GATGCAAAGCGCAAATATGATCTATTCCAGAGGTCGGGAACCTTTTTGACCTTAGAGCCATAAAAGGTACATATTTTCAACTGCATTTCCGTGCGAGCCATATAGCATTTTTTCACTTGATCAGGCCTGAAATTTTTACTCAAAAGTCAACAAATACAATCTCATCACCCTTCTTTCGTTTAGGCATTTCGGTAGTATTTCAAAAACTAGCTAGTCCGATTTAAGTATGACAAATACTGTAACTAGTACGCACAAACGTACGAAGGGCTTTTGTCTATTGCTCCGCGACTCTATCGCTTTGTGTTGTCACAAAATATGTTCCAGAATCCCCTAGTTTTGTCACAATGCTTGTCTGGTAATTCTCTTAGATAACATAGACATGCGCTGAGCCCGCGCTCCCAAACGTATTGGCAAACTTTCTGCCAAATTTGGCTGTAAAAAATTTGAAAGCTCGTAACAATAGTAAGCTTAGCTTTACAATATCAGATTTTCCTCGGAGCCATATGCCGTCACCAAAAGAGCTATATATGGCTCGCAAGCCATAGGTTCCCGACCCCTGATCTATTCAATTCAAGAGTAGTTGCAAGAGTGCACTTAATTAAAGATGGATTTTCACAAAAAAAAAAATTTGTTTGAATATTTTGCTTCTGTATATTTTTTAAAATTTTTGACGCTTACTATTTACGGAAAGTCGACTAACTTTTTTACTTATGAATTTTTGAAAATCGCTTCAACGAAAATCGACGACGTAGTTTGAAAATTGCCTCTGGTTGCGTAGTACTGAGAACTCACTCCATAACTTGCTTTCATCGCTCATTACGAGTATAGTGTTTAACCTATGTTTTCAGCATTTAATCCTAGTTCCTCATCGCGTAGTTTCATAAAGATTGAAACAATAATGTCATGTGAAGCTACACTAGCTATAATCACACGCCAAATATCTCTTCCAGTCAAGCCATCTACTTTTGTAACGTTTTATTTTTGTTTTTATAGAACGGCGTTACTTATCGATCTTAAGATTGGTAAGTATGTTGATAGGTATTTGTCTGTCTGTGTGTTAGATGCACGCGATATCTCACGAAAGCGAGGTTAAATCTGCTCCAAATTTTGCATGTGCATTCATCATAGCTCGGATCAGAAGCCTATTGATTTTGGATGGATTATGTCTTATAATTAGCGAGTTATTAATTAATTAGTGATTGGACACACGGTGTCACTATGGAGTGAGACCACTGATTTGGGGGATCCCCTAACCTTCGATCGATAAGTCTTCGGTTTCTAACCGATATTCTAGTTTGTTAATATTGGACATAAAGTTCACCCATGCATTGCTGTTGTTGTTTTGTTTGGTTTATTGTTCTTTTGGTGTAAAATCACATTTCTTCGCAACTTATGATTTCAGAGTTCAACGATAGAAGACGTCGTTATCAGGCCCATAAGTCTTATTAGGCTCAATATTTTTCACCCAATTTTTCCGATTTTTTTTATATTCACCAATTTCTCATGATACGCGGTATAATACTTTCAAAATTTGACTGACATTTTATATTAGTCATTTGACCTTCTTGTCAATATAATTGAGCATTATTCTCTTGTTACACTTGTGATACTATCATGAACGAACCACCAACAAACTACACCAACTATAAGATTTTTGCACCGAAACACAATTGCGAGTTGAATATTCTTGCTTCGGCCTCTTGCAGTTGAAGTCCGGGATTAGTTTTCTGATGGGCGTGAGACTGAAAAATGTCTGATTTCTTTTGCATTGTATGGATAACCGAAACTTGGTGTCAGTGTTATGTAGATGATCCAATATTCCCAACACTCCGAACATTTCGTTAAATCTATACAAAACGAAGAAGGACAATGTTTATGCAATAATTTCCTAATATGACCATAAATGATTGAAATTGAAAAATATAAAAATCAAATTGAGATTCGGTGCGTAAAATATTCGAAACTGGTGCGTAAAAAGATTAAGGATATTTGGGTTTCAAGTATTTACAACTTTTCGTTTTGAGTTCAACACAAATTATGCCACCCCTAAAATAGGTCTGAAATAATTTTGCAGTAAATACACACAACGAGAAAAAACATGAACGTGGATGGTATGAGAATCGAGCACGTGGCTATTTTCAGCATTACCACGATCTCAAAAGATCGATGCCAGAATCCTTACTTACTTTAAATGGTGATAATCGTGAGCTTCGCTTGATTGGATCACAGGGAAATGATATCCGCTGTGAGCGTTTACTGTGTTGAGAACAATAACTGTAAACCAGATGTATGCAACTAATATGTGGCTTCCAAATATGAAGGGGGCCTGTTAAGGCTGGAATCATCGTCGAAATCTTAAAAAATGGTAAATTCTTGTAATTTGCATCAGAGTGATTGTTGCGATTGGAATAAATAGCTTTTCTCCGAACTAACGGACCAACTGATTTTACATTTCCAATACTGAAAAATGGTTGAAGCCACTAAAGGGCTTTTTTTTAATATTTTTCTAAATTTCCTCTGAGAACTATACGAACCGATGTTTCACTCAAAATTTTGCTGTTTTATTTTAATTCATTCGAACGCTTTTTCTTACGAAATATAGGAACGCTTTATTTCTCCACGTCTGACAGACTCCATCACAATTGTCAGCGGATCTGTTCAGCAAACTCGGTGCTCAGATAAAATCTTAACGCGTACCGGTGTCAATTCCCTACTTTCGTGTCCATATATTTGAGCATTTTTCTCTAGTCTAGTCTCGAAAAAAAGCAAATCCAAGATTTGACAAGAGAGCTAGATGCTCAAATATATGTATGTATACAAAGTGATTCAATCTGTCACAGTAACCTACCAGTACCGTTTTGCAGTTGAGCAGTAGATTTGAACCTACGCCAAAGCGGACAGGCGCAAGGAGCGTAATTTTTAAATTGAATGACGTTATCGCACACAAAAAAACGAATCCTATTGAGGCCACAAGAATTTCTTAAATAAATCAATGCTTGTAGTAAAAAATACAACCTTCAACCACTGAAAATGAGAAAAGCGATTTTTTTTTCACAACAAGAAGAAGAAAAGAAATACCAACATGATAATCAACAACAACAAAATAACAAAAAGATCCAAAGTGCCACGTCGTGTCCAATAAAATAATGTAATAAATTGGCACCAATGCGCCAAGTGCAATCAGATCCCGTGAAATAATATCTGGTTTGGAAGCTGAGCCGTATGCTAAAAGGTCCACTCGGACGGGGTGTTGTTGGTAAAGTGTGCCAAAGTATAGATGGCCATCATTTAAGTAATCGTGTGATGTCTACTGATTTGGTAAGTAGTATTACATCCAAAAGTAGTCCCATGGGAAAATATATCTTCTCCACCACAGTTGAAGAAGTAATACATCCCAAATCAGTATGTTCCGTGTTAAATACGAAATTCACTGAGCTGGGTTTCAAGCAGCGAAGTGTATCAGCATTTCGTCACAATCATAAGTTTCCCTTTGGTGGCATTGAGAAAATTAAAAGTACTAATGGTACTTCGTCCAATTTGTGTTCTAAACCGAATGTTTTGAATGATGTGATTGCTTCAAAGAGATTTATGAAGCCGAAGAGGCGTGTGTTGCGAGATGCAAAGCGCAAATATGATCTATTCCAGAGGTCGGGAACCTTTTTGACCTTAGAGCCATAAAAGGTACATATTTTCAACTGCATTTCCGTGCGAGCCATATAGCATTTTTTCACTTGATCAGGCCTGAAATTTTTACTCAAAAGTCAACAAATACAATCTCATCACCCTTCTTTCGTTTAGACATTTTGGTAGTATTTCAAAAACTAGCTAGTCCGATTTAAGTATGACAAATACTGTAACTAGTACGCACAAACGTACGAAGGGCTTTTGTCTATTGCTCCGCGACTCTATCGCTTTGTGTTGTCACAAAATATGTTCCAGAATCCCCTAGTTTTGTCACAATGCTTGTCTGGTAATTCTCTTAGATAACATAGACATGCGCTGAGCCCGCGCTCCCAAACGTATTGGCAAACTTTCTGCCAAATTTGGCTGTAAAAAATTTGAAAGCTCGTAACAATAGTAAGCTTAGCTTTACAATATCAGATTTTCCTCGGAGCCATATGCCGTCACCAAAAGAGCTATATATGGCTCGCAAGCCATAGGTTCCCGACCCCTAATCTATTCAATTCAAGAGTAGTTGCAAGAGTGCACTTAAAGATGGATTTTCACAAAAAAAAAAAATTTGTTTGATTATTTTGCTTCTGTATATTTTTTAAAATTTTTGACGCTTACTATTTACGGAAAGTCGACTAACTTTTTTACTTATGAATTTTTGAAAATCGCTTCAACGAAAATCAACGACGTAGTTTGAAAATTGCCTCTGGTTGCGTAGTACTGAGAACTCACTCCATAACTTGCTTTCATCGCTCATTACGAGTATAGTGTTTAACCTATGTTTTTAGCATTTAATCCTAGTTCCTCATCGCGTAGTTTCATAAAGATTGAAACAATAATGTCATGTGAAGCGACACTAGCTATAATCACACGCCAAATATCTCTTCCAGTCAAGCCATCTACTTTTGTAACGTTTTATTTTTGTTTTTATAGAACGGTTGTTACTTATCGATCTTAAGATCGGTAAGTATGTTGATAGGTGTTTGTCTGTCTGTGTGTTAGATGCACGCGATATCTCACGAAAGCGAGGTTAAATCTGCTCCAAATTTTGCATGTGCATTCATCATAGCTCGGATCAGAAGCCTATTGATTTTGGATGGATTATGTCTTATAATTAGCGAGTTATTAATTAATTAGTGATTGGACACACGGTGTCACTATGGAGTAAGACCACTGTTTTGGGGGATCCCCTAACCTTCGATCGATAAGTCTTCGGTTTCTAACCGATATTCTAGTTTGTTAATATTGGACATAAAGTTCACCCATGCATTGCTGTTGTTGTTTTGTTTGGTTTATTGTTCTTGTGGTGTAAAATCACATTTCTTCGCAACTTATGATTTCAGAGTTCAACGATAGAAGACGTCGTTATCAGGCACATAAGTCTTATTAGGCTCAATATTTTTCACCCAATTTTTCCGATTTTTTTTTATTCACCAATTTCTCATGATACGCGGTATAATACTTTCAAAATTTGACTGACATTTTATATTATATTAGTCATTTGACCTTCTTGTCAATATAATTGAGCATTATTCTCTTGTTACACTTGTGATACTATCATGAACGAACCACCAACAAACTACACCAACTATAAGATTTTTGCACCGAAACACAATTGCGAGTTGATTATTCTTGCTTCGGCCTCTTGCAGTTTAAGTCCGGGATTAGTTTTCTGATGGGCGTGAGACTGAAAAATGTCTGATTTCTTTTGCATTGTATGGATAACCGAAACTTGGTGTCAGTGTTATGTAGATGATCCAATATTCCCAACACTCCGAACATTTCGTTAAATCTATACAAAACGAAGAAGGACAATGTTTATGCAATAATTTCCTAATATGGCCATAAAATGATTGAAATTGAAAAATATAAAAATCAAATTGAGATTCGGTGCGTAAAATATTCGAAACTGGTGCGTAAAAAGATTAAGGATATTTGGGTTTCAAGTATTTACAACTTTTCGTTTTGAGTTCAACACAAATTATGCCACCCCTAAAATAGGTCTGAAATAATTTTGCAGTAAATACACACAACGAGAAAAAACATGAACGTGGATGGTATGAGAATCGAGCACGTGGCTATTTTCAGCATTACCACGATCTCAAAAGATCGATGCCAGAATCCTTACTTACTTTAAATGGTGATAATCGTGAGCTTCGCTTGATTGGATCACAGGGAAATGATATCCGCTGTGAGCGTTTACTGTGTTGAGAACAATAACTGTAAACCAGATGTATGCAACTAATATGTGGCTTCCAAATATGAAGGGGCCTGTTAAGGCTGGAATCATCGTCGAAATCTTAAAAAATGGTAATTCTTGTAATTTGCATCAGAGTGATTGTTGCGATTGGAATAAATAGCTTTTCTCCGAACTAACGGACCAACTGATTTTACATTTCCAATACTGAAAAATGGTTGAAGCCACTAAAGGGCTTTTTTTTAATATTTTTCTAAATTTCCTCTGAGAACTATACGAACCGATGTTTCACTCAAAATTTTGCTGTTTTATTTTAATTCATTCGAACGCTTTTTCTTACGAAATATAGGAACGCTTTATTCCTCCATGTCTGACCGACTCCATCACAATTGTCAGCGGATCTGTTCAGCAAACTCGGTGCTCAGATAAGATCTTAACGCGTACCGGTGTCTATTCCCTACTTTCGTGTCCATATATTTAAGCATTCTTCTCCACTTTAGTCTCAAAAAAAGCAAATCTAAGATTTAACAAGAGAGCTAGATGCTCAAATATATGTATACATACAAAGTGATTCAATCTGTCACAGTGACCTACCAGTACCGTATCGTAGCTGAGCAGTAGATTTGAACTTACTCGAAAGCGGACTGGTGTAAGGAGCGCAATGTTTAAAATGAATTTCTAAAATAAATCAATGTTTGTAGTGAAAAATACAAAATAATATAAAATAACAAAAAGATCCAAAGTGCCACGTCGTGTCCAATAAAATAATGTAGTATTAATTGATTCTTACAATGTGTTCCACTGGATGGCTGTAAAATGTTGACATACTACATGGCGCTTTCCATTGATGGTGCATTTTATGTATTCGTTTGTAAACTTTTGGAACGTGTAAAAATCTATATGAAAATGAGGAAACGAAATAGACAAAATCAGTTATTAAACAAGCAAAGAAATACAGCTGCCATTGAATCCTAAGTTCAGTATAGATATATGTTTACTTGTGGTAAATTTGTGATACTTGGTAAATTGCATTACATTTCGTGAGATCAAAAAACAAACAAACGTACTACAAAACAAACTCACCTATGTCCATAATAAAATAATATTTCTTCTACAGCGACAAAGGATGCAAATTCCATAATACCACAAAATAAGGTAGGTAATTCAATCTGACAAGTTATTGAACCTTTCCATAAGCAGATCAAGTAAAACCCATAAAGAGTTATAATTGTTATAAGTTGATTCAACAGTACAACTGGGAAAAGAATTTTTAGATGACTCCAGGTGATCTGCAAATGAAATCGAAAAACTAGAAGAAAAGAAACAAAAGATGACTTTCAATTTCTGTAGAAATATCAACTTTTCTATCTATTCGTTATTTATTTAATGCTTGCTGAAAACATTAAAAATTAATCGTTCTGTACAGGCGTGGGATTCAGGGGTTCGTTCGTGGTTCTCGCGGACCCGTTCTTAAAACGTCGCGATAAGCAGCGAACCCGTTCTTCTTTTTTGTTTTAGACATTAGACGGCCGCAGACTGTAGTTAACGCCACAACTGACGCATGTATTAGATTTATGTAATGCTAGCGTGGTGAGATACATACATTTTCTGAAAATAGGGAACCCGTTGTTTGAGAGTATGATACGAAAGAGAACCTGTTCTTAAAGTATTAATCCCGCCCATTGGTTGACTTGTTCTATATATAGTTTTAGAATACTCCAGTATATGGGTAAGGTTATTCCTTTTCAATGTACTATGAATTTAAAAAGCATTAAAAGTGAACATATTTTATTATTATTGAACTGATACACAGAAATATAGCTTATGAACAAAACTTAGAAACTTAACATTTGAAAATAGCGGCCATCACTGTTACTTATGACATATTGACACTATAGTAATATAAGTATGGCTGATATTGTTGACAAAAATTGTTGCATAATAGACTGGCCGGAAAATCAAGATGTGAATTTTTCCGTTCGGGCAGACAGAAGATGTTGTCATAATTTAGCGTGCTATCATCACTGTGATATTACTAATAAGTATACCTTATGTTGATCTCCTTGTATTTTAAACTGATAAAGAAATGAAGGTTTTCCGGTCATATCCATAACAAGAAGTGGTAAATTACAGAGCCAATAAGGTACTGAAGTGAGGAGAACTGGAACTGAAAGACAAATTATTCGAGATTAATCACGCTGTTACACAATTACGTAAGTGATTATCTAATGTTAATGCGGACTGAAACAAATTTGTCATCTTTAATCCCAATAACATACATTATTGAACGTTTTACTAAATTGCTCCTGGTTGTTGTTAATTTGTTATTTTTTTCACAAGTAGCCTAATGGGCCACTCGATTTCCAAATTTTCAGTATTCAAAAATGAAAGGATTTGCTAGAAGACTATATTTTTATTTTTTTCCAGTCCGTATCCTCCTGGACCAGATATTTTATCCAAAATTGTGCTATTTTATTTCAATTAATGGTAACAATTTTACATGGCATTTGCTATCCAAGGTTTAATTTAGTACGGTATTGCTTTCTTGTATTTATTGCATAGTCGTTTTATAACTTGGAGGTAAAGATAAAATTAGGTTTGATTTTTGTTTTTAATAAACTCCTATTTAATATCACTAATTGAGGACGAGCGAGGAGGCGCGCTGATAAAAAAAACTATTTTAAATCGGCATATAATAAATCTGTAAAGCATCGTGTCTAACCGGTTGCAGTTTCTCAGCTTTCGTCGGACTTTTGGCCTATTTTGTGAATTTTGATAACAACCAGAAACATAGAAAACTTGTGCTGATCTCCAGCTTTCTTTGTTTGATGGCAACCAATAACGGAAAAATATACGTAACCTATTCATTAGCGGCTTTCTATACAAACACAAGCTTTTTTTCATTCCCAACTACAGAGAGACGGAAAAAATGTGGTACATCGGTCCTGCTGCTTCTCAATCTATAGGTATTTTGCTAACATATGCATAAATTAATGAAACTTACTCCAAAAATAAATAGTTATTTCATCTTCTCTGCTCCAGTTTAATACACTTTTCCATTGATTTCGGCAGAATTTCCGCGAATCTATCCATAAGTATCCTGTTGTATTTTGTGCATCAGAAAAATTCATGTTGGTTCCAACCTTTTAAACTTTACATACAATTTTCATTGCTAAATGCACTCGGTCGCGACGAAAAACGAGATTGTAGATCTAGGTACGCATGACTGGAACTCATGAAAACTTAAGCTAGTAATTGTTAGTTTGCTAGGCGTGGGTCATGTATAAACATGGTTAAACGGGATCACAACTATATTTTGCAAACAATATTTGCAAAACAGCAAATGCAGGGATTGCTTACGCGTTCTGGCTTACTAATAACAAATCCCGAAAAAGAATGGTTGCATGAATGTTTTGACTACCGTTCTCAGGATAAGTAATAGCAAGAATTAGTGTTCAAGCCTCATAGCATAACGCGCGCAGTGTCTGATAACCACATCATGTAATCACCCCTAACTGCTTGAGCGTAACAGGATCTTAACGAATACCTGTAATCAGCGATATCAAACTAAGATTCATATCTAAAATTTCCCCTTTTTATAGAAAATTTACAACTCCCTTGCAAGCTTTTTGCCGTCTTCTATATTAAAATCTCCTTCAAATAATTTTCAGAACAAAGTTATGCAAAAATATTATGCATTAGGTTACACTTTTTGGAAACACAATACGGCAATCACAACTCACAAACAATGAAACTTGTCCGCCTGGCCTCACTAAAACGCTATTTGTATGGAACCGACGTTTGCAGTTCTTCTGAGGTAGTAGTCATTTTTATGATGCTTTCAAACTTACAGGTGCATATTTCATAAACTCAGTCTAAATCATATTATCGGGTATAATCAAAGAAAAAGGAGATGAACACTTTGTTAGGCATGTATATAATTAGCCCAAGTTTGAAATAGAATTCAGAAAATGCTATTACAAACAATATTAAATGAAAAACGATATATATATATATATATGCTTTCTATTTATATCTAATACTTTACTTCGTTGTGTACTCATTTATCCGTCATATCGATGATGCATAGATTATTCCGGAAATAGCGTGTTTGTTTTCGAAGATATACGAATGCCGTCACGCACAAACATTAATTTGTTTTAAATCTTAGCGGCGTTGGCAGTAAATTAGCGCCTGTAAATTAGTGTCTAATCGTGCCAATGAAATTTAAGGTTGATTTTTCGCTTCTTCCTGTCCAGAGCCCAAATACAAAACCTCATCTCCAACAACTCGCGTCAAAAATGTTCTTCTTGAAACGTGTTCATAACACAATGCGTAAAATCTCTAAAAGACAAAAATATAAAATATCTATGTGCGATGGTCTACTTTGTATTGAATAATATAACTGATTTAACCATTGAATACTATTGGGTGCTCACGAAGGATTTGTACCAAGATGGCGCACGACCTGAACATAGTATGTGTACCAGGTCAGGGCTGTTCAGGTTGTGCGTCATCTTGGTACGAATACTCCCGGAGCGCCTACTGTACATCGTACAACATAAATAACATGGGGCTCATGGTGCAACATTGTGCAATTACTTGACTACCTGATCCTGTATATATATCAGCAATACGGTGATCGAATTGAATGATTCTAAAACGCTTTGGCAAGTAGGCATAACAGGTTGAAAATTTGGAGCCTGAGGTTTAACCACAAAATAGAGGTACGACCAGTTGATTCACGTACCTGAGCCTAATATGTAAAACACGTAACACGTGGAAGGCCTTCGGAAACAGTTGGTAGTTTCATTTATTCATAGTAATTTTTTATGTCCATGTACTTTTGTAATGTTTTTATAGAATGCTCCTTCACTAACATTTGTTTGTTGACATCGGACACGAAGTACACCCATGCATCGCTTTGTTAAAATTGTTGTCGTTGTTTTGTTGGGTTGATTGTTCTTGAGGTGAAAAACCGCTTTTCTCCGCAACTAATGATTTCAAATTTCAGTGGCCACCCCAAATTGTTCCCTTTTTCGTAATTTACTATTTGTTAGTCATTTGACCCTCTTGCCAATGTAATAGAGCACTGTTCTCTTATTACACTTGTGATGCTATTACGGACTGACTATTGACTAGCTCACTAGCAACACTAACTACAAAAATTTTGCACCGCAACAGCATTGAGAGTTGATTATTCTTGCTTTTCTGTTTTTGGCTTCTTGCAGTCAAAGTCCGGGATTAGTTTTCTAATGGGCGTGAAGCTAAAAAATGTCTGATTTCTTTTGCATTGTATGGATAACCGAAACTTGGTGTCAGTGTTATGTAGACGATCCAATATTCCTAACACTCCAAACATTTCGTTGAACCTATACAAAACATAAACCATATATATATATGGTAACAAAATGATCGAAATTGTTGAATGGAACATCAGATACACTAAATATTATGCTTCGGATTCGGGCTAAAAAGTTATGAATATAGATCACACGGGTGCTTAAAAGATTAAAGATATTTCATTTTCAATTATTTACAACTTTTTGTCAAAATAAATACTTTTTGAGATTGGGTATGAGAAAATTTTGCATCAATATACATATAACGAGAAAAACGTGAAGGTGGATAGTATGAGAATCGAGGACATGGCTATTCTTAGTATTACTATACCACGTTCCCAACAGATCCATGCCAGAATCCTTACTTACTTTAAATGGTGATAATCGTGAGCTTCGCTTGATTGGAACACAGGTAAGTGATATCCGCTGTGAGCGTTTACTGCGTTGAGAACAGAAATCATGAACCAGAGGTATGCAACTAATATGTGGCTTCCAAATATAATGGGTCCAATCAAGCCTGGAATCACCGTCGAAATCTTAAAACAATAATACATTTTGAATATAGGACTGTAATTTCACTAATTTGTATTAGGTCATTAGGGGGGATTGTTGCAATTGGGAAAAAAATCTATTTTCTCTGAAATTCATGAACTCAAATTTTCAGTACTTGAAAATCGTTGAAGCCACTAGAAGGCTTTTGTGCTTTCATTTTTTCGAGTTCCCTACTGAATGCTGTAAGAACCGATATTTTACTGCTGTTTTATTTTAATTCATTCCAACGCTTTTGTTTGCGAAATATCAGAACGTCTTATTCCGCCACGCATGTCCGACTCCCTCGCGATTGTCGGCCAATCTTTTCAATAAACTCGGTGCTCAGCTGAGATCTTACCGGTGTCGATTCCCCAACTTCGTGTCCCTATATTCAAGAATTAGTCTCGAAAAAAAGTATACCAAGGGTAAATAAAATTCTGTAGTGGCAATTCATTCTTACAATATGTTCCACTGGATGACAGTAAAATGTTGACATACTACAAGGCGCTTTCCATTGATGGTGCATTTTATGTATCCGTTTGTAAACTTCGGGAACGTGTAAAAATCTATATGAAAAAAGAGAATTGACATAGCTTCACCAGTAGCCAAAAGTCAAACAAAACAACCTCAGAATATTTGAGGGATCGGAGGGAATTTCATCAATCCCGATTTTCTTAGAGCCGACCCACCAAAGGTGTTGAGGCTGGACGAACTATAACGATAGATTCTACAGCCCACGCATACTCTCTGAAATTCATAAGTAATACAACTGCCTACAAATACAACTGCCTATTTACCTATGGTAATTTGTAATACTTGGTAAATTGGTTTACATTTTGTGAGATCAAAAACAAAGTGCAATGCAAAAAAGACTCACCTGTGTACGTAATAAAATAATATTTCTTCTACAGCGACAAAAGATGAAAATTCCATAATGGCACAAAATAATGTAGGTAATCCAGGTTGATATGAAATCGAACCTTTCCATAAGCAAATCAAGTAAAATCCATAAAGAGGTATAATTGTTATCAGTTGATTCAACAGCACAACTGGGAAAATTATCTTTAGTTGACTCCAGCTGATCTGCAAATGAAATAGGAAAACTAGAATAAATGAAATATGAGATGACTTTCAATCTCTGTGAAAAAAAAATCTTTTCGTTATATCCGCAATTAATTCAAGACCTCCTAGGAACATTCTACATATACATGCTCGTTCTACACATATATACTTTATAAATGCACCGGTATATTGGTATTCAGATTTGAAATTTGAAAATATCGGCCAATGTTGTGACTTACGACTAATTAACACTATAGTATCTCCATATAAATGAGAATAAATATTATCGATAGTGGTATCCGGTATTGGTCTAAAATTAGATATTGCCACATAATGGGAAAAATCAACGCCACCGTCTGATTTCGAAAATGGTGGATTTTTTGACCACCGGGATGCGTTATGACTAAGACTGAATGAGCTTTTAAACTTGAACCAAACATTGAAATCCGGCGGATATTCATGACGTAATTTGCTCAAGTATGCCAGGTGTTGTTGACAAAAATTGATGCGTGATAGTTTGGCCGGAAAAACTTGACATGAATCTTTCCGTTTCGGCAGACAGAAAAGTTTGCCATGATTATGCTTGTTTTCAGCAGTGTGATATTATTGATAGGTATACCTTATGTTGACCTTCTTGAATTTTATACTGATAAAGAAATGAAGGTTTTCCAGTCATATCCATAACAAGAAGTGGTAAATTACAGATCCAATAAGGTACTGAAGTAAGAAAAACTGGAACTGAAAGACAAAATATTCAAGATTAATCATGTTGTTAAACAATTCCGCAAATGACCCCTGGACCCGATATTTTACCCACAATTATGCTATTTTAATCAATCGTAACACTTTTATATGACCTTTGATCTCCAGAGTGTATTCTTTTTGCTTTCTCGTATTTATTGCATAGTCATTTTAAACTTAAGAGGTAATAATAAAATTATGCTTGCTATTTGTTGCTTTATAAAAAAAACTTATTTAATAGCCCCTATTAAAAGCAATGAGGCGTATTGATAAATATTCAAATAATAACTCTACTAAATTTCACAAATTATAAAACAAACTATTTTAAATTGGCATACAATACCAGCGAAGCATCTTATCTATCAAACTAGTTGCAATTTATAAGCTTTCGTCTGATTTTTGGTCTATTTTGTGGATTTTGACATCAACCAGAAACACAGAAAACATGTGCTGGTCTCCAAATATCTTCAATTGATCACAACAAATTATGGAAAATATACGTACACATATTCAATACGCGTATTTCATGCAGAGACAAGCTCATTTTCACTCCCAACTACAGTGGGACGGAAAAATTCTGTTATATCAATCCTTCTGCTTCTCCATCTATAGTTATGTTGCTAACATATGCATAATTTAATGAAACTCACTCCAAAGATAAATAGTTATTTCGTCTTCTCCGATCCAGTTTAGTACACTCTTCCATTGATTCTGGCAGAATTTCCTCGAATCTATCCATAAGTAGTACCCTGTAGTGTCTTGCGCATCCGAGGAATTCATGTTTACTAGATTTATCCTGTTCTCACTTGACATACAATTTCATTACTAAATGCTGCGGATCGCGGCAAAAAAACGAAATTGATGATCTCGGTACGCGTGACCGAAAACTTGGGCTAGTACAGTTACTACAGTACAGTAGTTGTTCTTTTGTTAGGTATGGGTCATGTATAAGGTCTAGACACGCTTGAACGGGGATCTGCATGCACGGATCATATTTCGGAAGCAATATTTGCAACGCAGCAAATAATACACGGATCGCTGGGTTACTAATCATAAATTTAAAAAAAAAAATGATTGCATGTTTTGACAAATTTCCTTCTGACTACAGTAAATGATCAATACAAATATGAACTGCACTGTAAGTTGTTGTTTTTTATAGAAGGAATAAGTGTTTGAGCCTCATAATATAATACGCACAGTGTCTCATAACGCCATTACCTCTAATTACTTGAGCGTAAGACGATCTTACCGAATACGCTATCCTGTAACCAGCCATATAAAAATAAAATTCATATCTTAAATTTCCCCTTTTTTACCAAAGCTACGACTCTATTGCAAGCTTTTTATTATCTTCTACAGTATATTGGAATTTCCATCAAAAATGCTCAGAATAAAGTCAGCAAAATTATTGTGTATTAATTACGCATTTTGGAAGCACAATAATGTAATCTAACTTGTTCGCCTGGTCCCACCTATATGCTATTGAACCGACAGTTGCAGTTTTTCTGAAGCATTGGTCATTATTATGATGCTTTCAAGCTTGCATCCGGAATTAACACACACAAAAAAAATAGATGAACCTTTGTTAGGTAGATATAAATATATATGTATATTTATATATATATATAGCCTAAATTTGAAATAGAATTCTGAGTTTGCTAAAAACAAAAAAGTAAAAACAATATATTCTCTATTTATACCTTATACTTATAGCCTACCTCATTCTTCCGGAAATAGTGTGTTTGTTTTTGAAGATATCGCCTACGAATTCCGTCATGCCTAAACATTAAAAAAATCTTGAAACTTGTAGGAGTTTGGCAGTAAATTAAACAGCTTGTTCATTATGTGCAACCGTGCCACTGATTCTATGTTCCCTGTGTTATGACTCGAACAGGACTTTCCTATCTATCCCAGTTGATAAAAAAATGCACAAGGCGGCTTGATCATATGGCGTACCACGGCCTCCTCCTCCGGTTACCATTCCATGTCGAGTGTGGGTCTAGTTGGCCAATTACTGTTTTCAGATGCATGAATTTAATGGAGGAGGAAGCCATAACCGAGTTCAGCATTCCTCTCACACACACTGGTCCGAAGAAGGCGTATTTCTGACGCGTTGCACGATGCGCAAACCACTGAGCCATGGTAGAAGAATTCAATTGCAGGCGCATGTTCACTAAACGACGTAAGTACTTCTGTTTGACGTGGTACAACCATTTTTGCATAACCCTCACCTGGCTCCGTCATCCAAAGATTACGTCACTACGACCTCACAATCACGTCAAAGAGCTTGCCAAGATATAGCGAAATGGCATATTCGTCATCGATACCGAACCTACTGACGCCAGCGATCTCTCTCATATCGAGATCGTTACGAGAAAAACAGCTTGCTCGATTTCGGGTGATCTTCTGCGCGTCTTGGAAGACAGCTAGTATAGTTTGGAGGGTCTTATTACGTCTCTGTGACGTAATTTTTGAATGACGTTTGTATCGGTTAGAAAATTCATGGGTAATATTTTAAATATACTGAAATTGACTAGAATTTCGCCGTAAATCGTTCCAGCCAGTCATCTGACGTGTATAAAAATCTCGCCGCTAACGTTCGCTCTTATCTGTGTCGCAAAGTGAACCGAACCTCGATTTATTGACATCGGATGATGGAAAATTACCAACTACAGGCACATTGCCGCCATTGTCTTTGATTTGTATATGTGCTAAGCTTCAGTAGTCATAGTCTTATAATGGTGAGTGTACATGCTACACAACTGTGTTTCAGGGCTTATTAGATAGATGATATTGTAGATGAAATATCACCACCACCATATGTATGTTTTGCATCAAATTGAAACTATACAAAAAGCATGCAAACAACCCTGATGGCCTGCGGATTACAAACATTACTGCAAATTCAACTTGAAAAATGTGGGGTAAAGAAACTTTAGGTGTCTTTTCGCTTCCCCCGTGCAGAGCAAAAATACAAAACCCCATCTCCGACAATTGCTCAAATCATTAAATCGCTTCATAAATTTTCTACTTGAAACGTGTTTATAACACCATGCATAATATGTCAAAGAAAATATAAATGAACGATGGTCGGCTTCGAATTGAATAATATAACTGAATATACATTGAAGACTACTTAACATCGTACAACATAAACAACATGGGCCTCACGGTGCAACCTTGTGCAATTCCATACACATTTTTATTAAAAGTATGCTAATAAACTAACCTGAATGAAAATCGTGCAGATTATAATTTATGAGTAAAAAAACTACTCAAATGCGACGGACAGGTGATTAAAACGGCACTGAATAGGTCTCGTTTAACAACATTTCCAGTACCCATCGCCTTCGGGGTGTGAAAACCGATAGCAAAAAATGTCTCAGTAAAATGAAACACATGAAATGAATTATCAATAAGAAGAATCTGATAATATTTGGAACATGGATGAAATGAAATGGAATGAAACAACTAATCAACATGTGAAGTTCCGCTAGAAGTACGAATTAAAGTAGTATTAGTGAGGGGGTTTGGTATTGGGGAAAGTATTATTTTCCATCTAAATACAAAATATGGATCAAAAAATATAATCTCATAATATGGTGGAACTTCAAGTTTTAAATTTAAATATATGTTTCAAGTTTATCGATTACAAACATATAGATGCAATGAATTGAACATTATTTTTACATATTTCAAGTTTTAAATTTTCCAATGTGGAACAGTTCAAAGACTGTACCATGATATGTATATAACTTTAAAATATTTGTTTCCCAGAACTTTCTGCTTATCTGTTTAAAGGATTATTCAGTTGTTATATCGATAACAAAAATCTCTTTATTCTAGATTTGTTTTATGCAATATATTATAATTTACCAAACTTAAATTCAATTGCAAATGCACAAAACTTAAAGACATAACTCACGAGTTGTGGAAAAATATTCTCTGTTTAAATAGAATATATTACACTTATTGTGAATCCAACAGTATAAATGCTCAAGATTTTAATTTAGATGAGCTCAAAATATAAATTAGAAAATATAGAATTCAGCTATCAAATCATAGTATCGAGTGATGATTCAAACTCTTAAGTCTAAATCATGTGGAAAAATATAACGAAGAGGTGAATGGTTTGGTGATTAATATGTACAAGACATGATAGCCGAAGTACTCATATTTGATATACATAATAAGAAAATAATGTGGCAAGTATAAAGATATTCAGTCCAGAATATTTTACATAATTTATCTCAATGAACAAAAAACACCCTGGACCTAGCAAACATTTTCAACACGAAAATCTACAAAACAAGTCCCAATTTCAATCTTGCTTTGAGCTACCTGGTCCACAGTGTACTTGCTTTGTATTCCTGGGCAGATCTGGTATGAGTGTACTAATTGGCGTCAAGCTGAAGTATGTCTGATGACGTTCGTATTGCTTAATGCTGCGGAACTTGGCATCAGTGTTGTGAAGACGATCTAATATTCCCAACACTCCATACATCTCATTGAATCTAAATTGAAAATGAGATAGATGATTTGTTTCCGAATACTATTGCAGTGGAGAAAAAACAATGATCATAAAATATAATCGAGAGAGGGCAGTCAAGTGAGAGAGTCAATTGAGTGTTATGGAATACCTTTCCATGTACTGCCTTGCCTACTCTGAAAACACTCTTATTAACCTAGGCAGTGAATTATGAGGTTTGGTTTGGACACAAATATTACTGGTAGCGGTAGCTATCAAAAAAAATAAGAGAAAAATGAAAATGTTGAATCTTCTGTTTATGATTATACCTTGTAATGAGGTTACGAAACTAATTACACAGGATAGCTAAAAGACTTGGGTAACTTTATATTCAGATAAAATTAAATACTTACTTGAGGTGATGGTAATCATGAGCTTCATTGGACGGAAAAAATGGAAAATGATATCCACTATGGGCATTTGTCGTGTTGAGATTTGCTATCAAAACCCATAAATAAGCAGTTGCTATGTGACTTCCATACAGCAGTGGTCCACACATCACAGGAACAGTGTTTGAAAACTTGATAAAAATGATTGTTTTTTTATAACGAAACTGGATAGGAACCAGCAAATAATGATCAACACAAACATGGTCGGTCGTCATGGGACCTATAATTTTGAATCTGGTATGTGTGGCATGTTTGTAACTGGTTTGTATAGCCCGGTATTATAGCAGTTTGCAAGTAGCTGGGTAAATCGCAATCAAGGCAATTTAGTCTTCAGGCACAAAGATGAACTCCATAATACAGTACAGTCTATGCGCCATGTCTAGCCCTATTCCCATTTGTGCTGATTGTAAACATTGTTTCAGCGCATAGACTGATTAGATGTGCTATTCTGGTAGATATTGCACTGTGTTTTCTGTTCTACTTGTAACAAAAATAAGAGTTCACAAGAGCAAATAACCAGTCGCAACTAATTGAGACTTTTTATCCAGTGACATATACAGTTCACAATATATTGAGGTAAATCATTTACATATCAATACAACTCTGTTAATATCTAATAACATAGATTTAAACTTAAAGGGACTTACTATACTTTCAAGTGGATGACAGTACAAAGATGTGATACTAATTGGTGCTGTCCATTCATGATGAATCTTATGTATGTGTTTGTACACTAAAGGATGGTGTAACAGTCTGCAATAAAAAGAAAACCCCTGCACCAGAATGAAATGAACTTAGTAAAAAACTTAGACTTCCATTTAATCTATCTTAAAATATGCCAAAGAATCCTTTCGCACAGGGCCTTCAAACTGGGGCGCCCGACTCCCCAGGGTGGGTCATAGAAAGGCTCGATGGGGGTCGCACTAGAATATTTTTCGCCACTGCCCTCTGGTAAAACAAAATACCAATCAGATGTGAAAAATTTGAAACCAGTACTGAAACTCAACATCACCGAACTAGAGCTAACATTTGATCTTTTCTGCAAGAATATGCAAGCACTTCGGTCTCATTAAAGGTAACGCAAATTTAATTATCATATTTTAGTATTCTTTGTATTACTAAATTCTAATTTTATTTTAGTTCTGGGGGTCGCAAAGAAGTCGCCCGTGTCAAGTCGGTCGTGATAAAAAAGTTTGAAAAACACTGTCCTAGCATAATATATCAAAATGTCAACTAAATCCAACTTTTCAACACATAGTAGGTAATATTCCATACAAACCTATGGGAATAGTAGAACAGTAATTCTTCCAAGAAAACAAAAACCGTCAGTTCGATAAGAACCCATTGAAAAGTTGGGAGTTCAGGTCCATGTGTCATCAGACCTCTCCATTTGTACAAAGGTAAAAAACACCAGGTAGCCAACATGTTGATAAACTGATTCCTCAAAACAATAAGCACGGTATGCTTAACTTGTGGCCATGTAACCTAGAAAATAATATTTCAATTGAGAAAATTTTTATCATCAATTTTTATATGAATATAAAACGGCGAGCACAAGTTATGTTGCAAAAAACATGTTAGCTAGCTTGACTTAAATCATAATATATTGTTATTCCTAGGAAAGGGTGGTAAAAATATGTTTACAAAATATTTTGGATCCTTTATTCAGAAGTAATAAAACTGAAGATAGAACATGTGATTTCACTTTGTGGTATAGTGTCATTTCGTCACAGTGTGAGCCGTTGAGTAGCAAGAAATCTTATATAGGAATTTTTGACACTCCCATAGTATGTGTACTAGGGTAATGTTAGGCCGAATTTTATTCTGAATTTCCTCATTTAGTTCGGGGACTGTCTGTGTTAGCCAAGTGAATATACCCCTGCCCATAGGCTTCAGTCCCTTTACACTACATGATGTAAAGTAGGCGAACAAAATTAGTTACTTCCATATTGGTACACACACTTCTGGAGTGCTGAATTTTTTATGACACTGTGTCTAAATTTTATTGCCATGAAAAGATATATAATATATCACTATACATTCTAAATCTTAGCCTGGCCTCAGACCGCAGCAAAAAATAATAACAATAGAAGCACCTTCTTGTTTTTATCTGCTTGTATTTTGTATTGATATAGACAAGCTGGCTTCCCAGTCATATCCATCGCAATCAACAGAAGATTGAAAATCCAGTAAGGAATGAAAGCTACAATTGTAGGTCCTAGAAAAAACTCCAAAATGTAAAAATACAATACAAATACAACACATTCATAAAGCGGGCTATGTTGGTTGGTAATCTCGACATAGCCTTATTCACCAATAATAACAATACTCTGAGAACTCAAATTTCAGACTGATAAAGGCTAATTATTGGAAACTTGTGATGGTGGCTTCTTGATAACCAGCTGCATCCCTTACCTAGTAAAGCTGTACTTTCAATTGTTTCTCATAATTTTGAATGTGATTTTTTACTGACTGAAGCAAATACACTATCCATGAGTTTATAACATATATATCAACTTACGACTGAATTTGAGTCCAAAAAAAAAAATTAAATATGAACTTATAACTGGATTTTTAGGAATTTTATTTTGCAGAAAACTCTTCAATAATAAATAGAAATAATGAATGACACTATTACAAATTTAAATTTCACTCACCAATAACATACACCATGAATTCATTTTCTCCAGTCCAATATAATATATTTCTCCATAGATTTTGCCAGAAATCGTGAGAAGCTCCCCATATATGTTGCATATGCCTTACAACAAAAGTATTCATTATGAAGGTTTTAACCATAGTGACCAAAATATACTACAACTATGCAGTCAAACAACCACAACATCTTTAAAGTACGTCACAGAGAAACAGCCCACACAGAAATGACCACTCACAATTTTTTTTTTTTAATTTGATAATTATCATAAGGTATCTTACCATGTTAATGAGTTTCTCACAGCAGCAAATATGATCACAGCGGAACTCATGACAAAAGCTGCTGTCCTCAAGCTTGTGACGAAGTTGTAAACCTGAATGGGAAGAGAACCAATAAATGACTAATTGCCTTATTAAATGTTAACAATACTCATCTTTGGACTGTACCTGACATAAGCTTGCTCATTTTGATGTGATATTTCTGTATATCATCGCCTTATATAAAAAATACAACCATCTACGGGCCAACAAAGAACTGGCATCAAATCAACTCATAATTTGATAAAACGATTGCATAAAGTAAATAATGACGACAACAAATGACAGATGAGGTTTCGAGTGGATGGAACCACCTTTGTACCGTGCGATATCAGATTGACCTAATTGTAATCAAAGTGAGCAAATAATGTGCAATGTATTTAATGATCTTGCCATCAGCCCCACTCCCTTTTGCAACCAACCAATGCAGAAAATCATGAAAAGGTTTCATTTCTTGGATTTGTACAGATTGATAAAGATGAGTGTGGGCCAAAATTAGTAGGCGAATGAATTATTTTTGTATTGATATAGTGTTTATGTTCTAATGAAGACATTCTGGTACAACATTCTCATTGAGACACGGTCCCAATGTTCACAATCTGTTTATTACGTTACGCTTTTGAATGAAAGTAATTGAAAACTGGTATTCATTCTATGAAGTTTCAGAAATAATGACTAAACGAGGGCCAACTGGAATAGTAATTTCGGGTTCAATCAGATAAAATGTAAGCTGATAAGACAACTTATTCATATACCTAACTACGCCCTCTCGCCAAATTATCGGCCCATGTTCGATATGAGAATAGTTAACCGGTTATTAGTTTCAGACTTGTATTCTGCCAATTGTTGATCTCACTCAAAAATATAGCTAAATGAAAAAATTCCCTTTTGTCCACTCAAGTATATAATATACAAAAATGAAACAATACCATTGAAAATGAAACCATGCCATTTCCAAAACATAAGCTAAGTATGTTACAATAGAATTTTCAATAGAATTAGTTCATCACTTGCCTTCATTTTTATATTTTCCTTTAGCGGCATGACTTTTCCAGCTGTTTCTAATGCAATAGTTCAGATGTAATTATTAGCTAATTTTCTGTTTAAAAATTATAGTAAAATTGATGATTGCACTCCAACAGGAGATATGTCAAAATAAAAGTCAAAAAAATGATTGCTTCTGCTAACAGGTGAGTGAAATTCCACTTTCTTCTAAATTTTGAAATAGGTGGTTATAGCTGTTTTCTTCTACGATATGAAGTGTATTTGCAAGTAACATTACTTCAAACAAAAAACAAGGCAACGCGATGACAGGACACAATATTAGAAGTATGATAATTATTATTCTAAAATTTTCATAGTGCTCTAAATATTAGCAATAATTGCTATCATATCTGCAACAGCATCGAAATCTTTATGCACCTTTTAGCATGTCAGGTTATTCGCAAGTCTTTTATCGGCATGAGCATGACATTCAACTTATTCCCGAGGGGGTTTGAGTTAACAGTGAATTTCTTGCATATTTCATTCTAGCTAAGCTTGTTAATGTAAAGCGCTTGAAACAGTGTCAAAATTAAATAATTTACCAATCGAAACCACAAATTCTGAAATATTTTTAAATATGCTCTAGATCAGGGGTGACCAAGGTTTTTGGACCAAGGGCCAAAAATTCTGCCCACCTAGTTTGGCGGGCCATGTGAGTGTGACGTTAAAAGTTACATTTTATGAACAATATTACAGTGTTACAAAAGTAAAAGTGGAAAACAATAAGTCTTGTGCCAAAACTAAATTTAATCGCAATCTTGACAAATTCCTATGGTAATTTTTAGCTGAAACATCAAAATTTGGTTTCAGTTTGGTTGTGGCAGCACCAGACGGGCCAGATTAAATTACCCAGAGGACCGGATTTGGCCCACGAGAAGAAGTTTGCCCATGTCAGCTCTAGATTGTGTCATGTTCAACAGTGAAATTCACAAAAATCATTGTATATTGACAAGGAAATTGAATATTCACTCATTTTTGACATCCCTGATTTATGTTCTCATATTGCAAGCTCTCATTTTTTATGAAAAATGTTATGAAGTCAATAAGTTGGCACGCAATAGACAAAAAATGTATAACATAAAGAAAATATAATCAATGGTAAGCTAACTAAAGTTTCATGGGATTGCAATATTTAATTTGATCAATAGCAAATATTTCATAGAACACAAAGTTGGCGATTAGGCCTACGCATTTTAAATGCACAAAAATTGATTGGTACAAAATTAACTAAGTACAAAATGATGAGGTAACCTAAAGCAGACTATGTATAATATTATCTTTTGTCTTCAGCAGGCTTAAGCTTAAGTAATAAAAAGACTACTGTAAATATGTGAAGATCGTGTTACATCCTAACAAAAAGATGGGGCAAAGACAAAAGAAAATCCAATCTTTGATAAAGATGACAGATAAAGAGCTTTGAAAAGCCTATGTTATGAATTGCCACACAACAGAATTTTTGTCACAAATTGTATACTATATAGCCTATACATGATAAAGAAATCTATCTAAATATAAATCAATATATTTTTCTAGAAATTGTAAATGAAAAATAGTAGCGAAATATTTGACATATGAATTTCTAGTTTTCTACATATAAAAAATTTTGTGCTAGAAACAATTGAAGAATTTTTTTTAGCAAAAACAAAATTTTTGTATTTTATATTAGAAAAGAAAATTTGTAACAAACGTAAATAAGAATTTTAAAACATGTCAGAAATGGTTAGTGCCGCTGATAGAAGATTAGAAGTTAAAAAAGATAGTTGCTTTGATACCTCTTCCCAATTCCCCATTGAATTTGCTTTATAAATAGCGGAAACAATAGCAGGAAGTTCGGAGGAAGAATAATAATGCTCAGTGTTAGGAGCAAACAGAAGGTGTCGATAATATGGTCGATCAAACAGCCCTGAATAGTCGAGGAACATGCGCTCAAAATGCATCAACTTATCATTTAGCATGCGGACCACAATTTCATTCTTCTTATCTGCATTAGAGATCATATTTTCTAGTTGCAAAACTTTGTTTTGAAAAGTTTGCATAGCTGACAACAAATCATTAAGATGGATATCATGAGCTCTGAAATCTTTGTCATAACATTCAACCATTGAATTGATCATAGATTGTACTGAATCTGCATAATCAATAGGACTGAACGGCAATATTATTTCATCTGCAAACATTCTAGTTACTTCAATCCACAATTTTCCGATCGCCAAACTAAATTTGTACTCAGGATCAAGAAAGGTTTCAAAATAATGAATATTTTCAAATGCAGAATGATAAATAGGATAAAATGATAAATTTTTAGCACCCAAATCCGGAGCGTATCGAAAGTCTAACGAAGACACTCCAACTCTTTGTAGAAACATCAAAAAGTCACTACCAGAGCCGAGTGATTCTACTTTAGGAATATTCGGCATTTTTCTGTCTGGATTTTTATGATACCAACTATCAAACACAGTATGTCGACCTAAATTAATTTCCTTGGGATCAGGGTTAGAAATCTTTTTTGCTGCTTCAAACAAAGCATTTTGTAAAATTGGAGTACTGCTGGCATAGAGCATGCCATTACCATGCACTGCCATATCAACATTGAAATAGGAAACTGCTCGAAATAGTAAAATTTTTTCCAATTGTTCAACCCATTCAGTTGAGCCAATAAGGCCAAATTCCTCAGCGGCCCAGCTACAAAATATAATTGTTCTTCGAGGTCTCCATAGACCATTTTTTGATAAATGTCCCATTGTTCTTGCAAGTTCCATCATAATAGCTGTTGCGCTTGACGGATCAACAGCTCCAAAGTCCCAAGCATCCCGATGGTTTCCCAATATAACATATCTATCAGGCTCAATACTTCCATACAAAAACCCAATAACATTACGAACCATTTTGATTGGTCGATAATTGGCAACATGAAGGACAAATTTATGTCCAATATATTTAGAACCCAGTGACCCTCCTAGTTTATAAGTCAAAGACAACTTACCTCGCCATGACTTAGGTGCTACTGGCCCACCAAGCTTTGACAGTAATATCTCAGCATCAGAGTAGCTTATGGGATGAACTGGGATTGCTGGTAAAGAGACGTCATTTTCATTATCTCTATAAGCGCTGTGAATAGCAGGGTAGAACTGAGTGAGTGGATCTCCATCAATACGCCATAAAGATCCCTTTTGCACTCCAGTGGGTGGCATAAATAATGAATCGGGATAGACATCTTTTGTATTTTCAAAGTCCGCATAATCAGCAGGATCAGTATAAATTATTAAACCTATGCAACCATTGTTTTCCGCATTTAGACATTTTTGCCCTCGAAACATTTTGCCATATTTCACAATGCAAATTTTACCCCTTGAATCTAAACCAAACTTACGAAGTTCATCAAAATCCTCATTTGCACCATAATTAACAAAAACCATATCTCCTTCAACATGCCCAGCTTTTCCATATGCATTGAAATTTGACACAACATTTTCACAATTTTTCCCTTTACATTCATAGGAAGTTGATTTGGCATAAAGCTTTCCATTTGTATCTAAAATTCCAACATAGTTCGGATCTGATGCATTAGGCATAGACAACATAACTTCATAAGGATACACTTCAACTTTATCCAATTGTTTCTGCCATTTATTAACAATATGATCAACCAGAACTTCTTCTTCTTGAATTGAACCAGCTATATGCGTATTGCTTGCAAAATATCTCAAATTATCCTTGATATTTTCCGCTTTCATTTCGTTGAATAACATTTCTGTTACTTTATTGTTGGAATCAGCACTATCATCATATTCTAGCTTGAATTCCGAAGGATTTATGATAATTCCAATAATGACACCCAGGAGTAAAGTGAGTGATGGTCCGACAATGCTGTACAATACAACCTGTCGTTTTTTAAGCATCATCAAATTTTTCATCTTATTCGTTATTGTTGAATATTCTTCAAATCAAAATAAACTGCTTCGAATCCAAACCAAATTCAAGGACAATTTTACAATATAGTACAATGCCCTATTAAACTAAGAAAAAATATATACGTTTCAAGTCACAATATAAATTTTTCATATAACACAAAAATGGAGTCAAAACTACCATAAAACATTTTGTCTAGAAAATTTGCAGTAGTAAAATAGGCGTAAAATCCTCAAATGCTATTGAAGTACAAATACCGAAGTTTGAAGATTCTGTTAGTTCAAAAAAAATTACTGTACAAGACAAAAAGTGCACAGTGGCGGCGATATTATAAGTGCTATTGGACAGTAATTTAAGTGCAAAACATATTAAAATTATGGCAAAAAATTCTTTGGTGAATACAAATAAAATATCACAAATTTTATATGAATATAAAATTTTGATCACTGATAAATGAAATATCATCAATAGAAGTGGAGAAACAGACATCCAAAAAATTCATTTAAGTTGGAATTGAATAATAATAAGCATTGCTTTTCAATTTACTCTCTCAAGTCTTATATGACGTTTATGTTGAATACGGTACTGTAGTTTTCACAACATTCTTTGCAATTATTACTAGTTAAATGAGGGGTAAAGCAAAGTCCAACAAAAAATGAATAAGATGCAATATAATTATACATTAACAAGTCATTTTTTTCGCAGCAAAATGAACCCTACTACACTGCTTATCAAAAGTATTCATTAAAATAACACAAAACGCATATTATAATCATAACAGCTAATACGATGGCTTTGTAACACTTATGTCAATGATTCATAATTTCAGAGTGACTTGAAATTTCAGAAATTTAGTTTCAAATGCCTATAAAAGGTCAAATTTTGTTTTCTTACACAGGTCAAAGTCCAGCTTATGATTTAATTTCTAATTAAATACAGTTTTAGACCGTATTGATTAGCAATCAATCACTTATAAAAATTATAACACTTGACATATCACAAAATTCTTAAAGTATTGGATCAATTTCAAAAATTGATCAATGTAACCTATAATAAAGAAAAAAAAAATTAATTTCAGCTCAATTTGGTGGAAGTAAAAAGTCAGCTTGTCCAGGTTCAAAATCTGATCTGCATCTTTCAATAAACGATGTAAATTCCCTTCTTAACTCGGTGTGCTTTTCTATGTAATTGTCTCGTTGGTTTGTCATGGATGCAAGACCCGCTTCCAAATCATGTTTTTCATTTAGAAGTTGTCGGATAGTTGCTTGCAAATCTTGTACTTCATCATTGTGTATTAAACTTGCCTCATGCAATCTGAGCTTAGCAGCAGCTTGTTCCTCTTCTCGTGCTTCTTGGACATGTTCAAGTCGAATATCTTCAAGTTCATATCGTAATGCTGCTATTTCCAATCTTTTTGCTTCTTGCATTTCATTCCCATAAAGGTTCATAGCTTTATCGTGACGACGTGTCATTTCTTGTGCTGCATTTTCTGCTATGGCCTGCTCTTCAATGCGTGCTGCTTTAACTTCTGCCATTTTTTCAAGCTCATATTTCCGTTTCAATTCATCAGCCATTAGCTGCATGCGTCTTTCCCCTTCCCGCCTTTCGTCAAACCTTTCCTCGATGCATTTTTGTCTCATCAATTCTTCAATCCTAGCGATTTCTGATTTAACATGTTTCACGTGCGATTTTTCCAATTCTTTTAAGCAATAAGCTTCTTTGTTGCTCGCTAACTCCAACGCCTCTCTGACACATTCATTTTTATATTCCTCCGCATCTTTCCAAACTGTGCTTTCACACTGTTTTACAGCAACTTCTTTATCGTTGCTCGAATTCTGTTGAAATTTTTCTAAAATTTTCTCGCCTATTCGAAGGATACTTGAGTGGGTGAAAACTTGATCCAGCGCAGGTTTCGTCTCTTCGTACCTTCGAGGTAAACCTGTATATTTAGGTTCTATGGGCTGCTCCATAATAAGGCAAAAAGCATAAATTTGAGCCCGAAATTACGCCACAACAGACAAACAGGCGCTGAATGGATTTCCAAATTCAGAATTCCAAAGGTCAACAAAGGTTTGTGTATATATTGTTAGCCAATCAGAGTATAGAATCGAATTGTATCTAACAAATGAAAACGCAGATCACGTTAGCCCCGCCCTCCTGTGCGACGCCCCGAAAACGCCTCCTTGTCGCATATGCAGAAAAGTCATACATCAGCTCATCCAGAATGTAGGTCTATATATTCTTATTGATTGGCTTTATACATATCTGCCATGAGCTATAGAGTTAATATCCTAGCATTATCTCTCTTTGAAAAATATCCACATTCGCTTGAAGAAAGTTTTATCTAAAGATATAAAACAATGTAAAATAATCTAACTGTCTTAGCGTCGGCTGTCAGTCTGTTCTGCCTCTCCAACTCCAACTAATATTCCCCAAGACAGGCTAGCCCAGAAACGCAATGTTTTAGATCTATTGACTTCTTGCAGGTATTGGAACTAAAAATATCAAGCAATCCCAATAAAAGCAGTATCTTGGACCTGAAATGGTCCAATCAAACTAAATATTGATAATAACAAACGTAAAATTATAGATGAGGAAAAAAACAAAATAGAATAATAATTGCTCAGAAAACACATATATGGAAAACGATTTTATGGAAAGTTTTTTCGCATCTTTTGTGCTTTTTGACTCGGCGAGAATTTTATATATATAGACATTTAGATTGAAAAAGAGTATATAACGATACTCAAAACGTCTTCCTATTATTTGCAATTTACAGATATGTAGGCTACAATGATTATGGTGCAATTTTCATGCGGCTTTAGGCCTTTCTTCTGACTTCGGTGGAAATGGAATGCTTTTTGAAATTGGTACCAGACTGAAAAACATATGATGTCGTTTGTTTTGTACTGATTCCTGAAACTGACTGTCGGTGCCGTGAATATGATCCAGTATACCAAACACACCAAAACATTGGTTAAACCTGCCAAAAAAGTTATAAATTTTTGATTTCAGTTGTAATCTTTTTTTAATAAAAGTAGAAAGAAATGTGGGGGTAAATGGTTCATGGATTGAAAAACAAATAGGCATATGCTGAAAGAACTTTGAGCAAGAAAGTGGGTGTTATATCGTTGATTCAAATATGGCTGAAGGATACATATTAAAACTAGATGTATAACTTAGGAAGTTACCACAACCTTGCATGGTATATGCAGTATTCAACTTTGTTACTCACTTTAAATGATGATAGTCGTGAAATTCTGGCGACAGAGAAAAAGGGAAATGGTATCCACTATGATCGTTTGCTGTTTGAATAATCGCGACAGTCAGCCATACCCACGTCGTGAAGACATGGCATCCAACTATTGCCGAAGCCAGAACAAGTGGAATGTAGTTGGATATCTATAAAACATTTCAAAAATGGTAAGACAACAACTTTCTGGACGTTTCCTCAAAAAGTTTTTGCTTGATTTGAGGTAGCCTATTCTAAGAAAATGAAATACAAATCCTGGAACACAATGGATTCGCACACAGACCAACATATGCAAAATTCTATTTCGTGGTATTTTAAAACAGAAAATATTGTGAAGTTTATGAGTATTCTCCGACAGTTGACGGATGTTCTGAACAGCAATGTGATGTTGGTGGCTTTGCAAAAACATATTATGTTGTCAACTTACTATTGCTTCGACTGGATGCGCGTACACCGAAGTTATGCTCACTGGAGCTGTCCATTCATGATGAATCTTGTGGAATCGTTTGTATAATACAGGATGGTGGAGTAATCTAAAAATTTTATTTCTGTTATCTACTATTGGCTATTCGTGAAAATGGGAATAGAACTGATGATAATTGAAGGTAAATATAACGTCATATAGTTAACGTTATTTTTAGTGAAAGTCTACACAAATTTGTTGTGATTGTCGCAGGCTTGTCCATGGGACATATTTTTCTGTCTCATTCCATAGCAATTATGCCTGTCCCATCCCATCCCATGGGATTCCCACTGGAATACAATTTAATAAAAATTAGTAAATTTAGATTTAGCGTCTACTAAATAGGACTACATGTACGAAGATACATGCAAAACAACAAAATTTACGGACTTTGTTAACTTTATATTCATAACTATTATACATGGGTCCATCAGCCCCTTCACAAAGTACATTGTTAATGCTGAATATATTTTTGCTCTTTATAACTAACAAGAGAGCTATGCTGATATATATGGACACGAATTCTACAATGAAAGGTTTTACCATAATTTCCCCAAAAATCATACGGTTTTCGTGTCCAACAGGTCTCATGGGAAAAACAAATGTGTACTGTCCCATCCCATCCCATGGGACGTTTCCGGATTCCCATGGACAACTCTCGATTGTCATGAATAAAAATTGTAGAATCTCCATCAAAATGTCAAATTGTTACCACAGATAAAGTTAATATGAAATTTTTTATATCTATAAATAAAATTCGAGTCATATACCATCAATAACCATATTTTACTGATTGGTAGAAAAGAAATAGTGAGTGACGTACCGATGGCTATAGTAGAACATCCCGCCTTGCAGAATCGCTATTATAAGGACATCCCATACAAGACGCGGTACAGATGGCAGCTCAGGGTCAAGATACGGCATTCCTCTCCATTTTTGTATAGGATAAAACATTGTGGTTACCATAATAGCATACATCTGACTCGGGAGAATGACACTCAGAGCTTTTTTCAGTTGTGCGGGTGTGAGCTGGGAGAAATAAAAAAATTAGAAGTTTAAATGTTGGATGTTTCAACGATTCGAAGCAACAATTCGACCTTATAATTCAAATATTGTTACCGGTGAATTTTTTCCTTCCTGAATTTTGTATTTTCTCAAAAACGCTGGTTTTTCTGTCATATCCATATACAGATAAATGCTATGATACAACCAAAAGACGGTGGCGGAATAACCATATGTACCTGGCAGTACAAAAACAAAATCTTACATTTTATGTCTTATAGCTATATATACAGATTCTTTACCCTACCAAGATTGATAATGATATATACAATCAAGTCAAGATTATTTCCCCGGATCTTTTGTACGAGGCCCCGCCACTAATGCAAAAATGTGAGATTTGTGAAAACACTTCCGCCACGTTTTAAAATAACAAATTAGTAATTATCCACTCAGGGTTCGGGTTACGAATGAGTTGATGAAAATTTGAATTTTCAGTGCAATCTGCATTCCTATACCTCACCCTGAGGAATAATTACATTCTTTTTTATTCTGAGCGGGGGTATTTTTTTGGCGGGGCTTTCTACAATAGAGCTTTTTTTCAACCAATAAAAACAATCTTATACAATTATACATTATACAACATTCAAAAAAGATATAATCACATAGTTTTACTGGGCAACGGAAGCTGCGGGGAACCAAAGCTGGTTATTGACCAGCGACACCCAAGGTTCTAATATGCAATTAAAAAGATTGGGAATATTATTTACGGAACTACTGTTATTGTCGTCGAGTACCGTCGAGTGGTTTTGCCAAATTATAAAATATCATACTATAGATATGTTCCGTAATTACTAGAGATTATATTGAAGAGTCATCGGACCGCATATTGGCGGAGATTCCCAGCTCCAATTGATCACTAGGAGCAAAAATGCTTCTGTCCAGAATAGTAGAACGAAAAGCGGGTGTGAGAATACGTCAATCACAAAGGCCATAGTTGTCATTTCTGTTCGTTATCATTCACGCAATACTTATTGGTGAATGACAATTAAATACTTCACCTGCTACGAAAATCATAAAATGGTTTTCTCCTAAGAATTCAACGACTCTTTTCCACATATTTTGCCACATATATTCCGATTTGCCCCCAGTTCGATCTACCTGCCTGAAGTATAATCCACATTTAAATTGGACCGTTCATTTTATATTAACACCAGGCCATTTCTGCAGTGATCTTTAAATACTCGTATCATATTTCAAAACATTGGTGATGTCGGATTTCAAAATTAATTATATCATATTAAACTTTGAACGAAACCGAACATTCGACATAACTTAATTAGAATTAGGATCCATATTGGTCTATGTGGCTAACAGGGTCGATCAGCGCTTGTTTTTGCTTACTCTTCGAACATTTGTTGTTATTTATAACTTGGAGACTTGGTTTCAAGTTGGACTAGAACATATTTTAATGAAATAGCGTTACCATTCAATAATACTTTTTGTTCCTTGAATGATTGTCACAGATACGATGTACATGCAGATCAGTCGTAAAACGGTATAAACGAGAAAGGACACCTGTAACAAACATAAACTTGGCAATGGTTTGTTATTTGGTATATATAAAACTGGAATTATTTGAATTAAAAACAGCCTCAAATTGTCAAAGTTACCCGTCAAAATAAACTAACGTACGTCCAAGCTGTGGAGCTGCAATTGTGTTGGAAATGTTAACAGGCTTTGTGATAGGCCATTTATATACTTGCTTATAAAGGCAATTTTGCAAGATTACTCAGATTTAAAAAAAAAAATAGTTATGGCGTCATAATTTGTTTTTTGAAATAAATTTTTAACACGCAATAACGAAATTTCCGGAAAACTAATATATATATATAACATAACAGTAGATTTTACTCGCGTAAAATATAAAATATATGACGCCACAATTTTATATTAATTTCAAATCCTGGGTACGCCACTTGTTCAGCTTACCTTAATTTGGTGAGCCATCGTTGCAATTCTTTTTCAGATTATAACTTAACAAAAGCCTTATACATCTGCGCTAATGCCTCGATGTTAAAGTAAGATATCGGCACCTTTTCTGGAAATATTTTATCTCGAATATTGCAAAGCAGGCTACGGACTGTTCCCTGGAGAGTTTATACATCGGAACGTGCGACTGTGGAGTTAATAATTAGCCTCCATCGAGGTTACCATAAAAATAAACGATATTTTTTCAAGGACAACAAACCACATTGTTTGCTTATGTGATTCGCATTACACCACCCCAGCTGCAAAATTATTACACAGACACGTACTGGCCTGGAATGGGCCAAGTAATGTAATTTTATTGTTTAGTCAGATCAAAATAGTCAAAATGAAATAGAAAATATATAATTCGGAATAGTTAGAACGGCTTTAATATTAGCCTTAATGGTACGATTACTTGCAAATCTTTATGTTAGATTCTCTTTTTCGGGTGGCATATGAGCAAAAAGGAGTTCGATTTATTGTAAGGCTCTCAACTCTCTGATATCCGGTTGTAGTCATCACAGTTTCGAATCTAATGATAAATTTGGATAATCCAGCAAAGCAAAGTTGAGAAAAGTTTTTTGGGACATGATGAAGGAAATAACAATCATCTCGACGTTTTAAACTTGCAACCGACGGTAGGGTTGTTTTATCTGAAGCAGCCCAAGCCCGACATGAATCTCCATAAATATCATCTGAGGAAATGTTTGACGCCGGCTTTTGCGAATAAGCATCAAGTGAACCAAACTTGAAATTCTCGTGCCACACTCCGTCTTTCCGTGACGCTGTGAGTGGAGTTTCCACGAGAGCAGGCAAGTTTTTATTCGGTGATGCAGCAGACGACATTCCAGTTTGTTTTCCCTTTTCGATTGCGATTTGCACATCAGGAGAAAACGTAGCAGTTCGTTTAGGAGATGATGGTTGACACATACCTCGTAATGCTGGCAACTTAATTTTTGTATACGGGGTGCATTGCGCTGGTGTATGTTTGTAAATAATGTGATGTGTCATGAGAGCACACATGTTCAGATGATCACTCGGTTCACACACTGGCGTTGAAGTGGTGCCAGATTTATTGCTTCTACTTTCCATTTCAGTACTGCCTTTCCTAGAAGACAAACGAATGCGGTCTCCCGTTCCATCAATCTAAATTAGAAAAAACATATAAATTAACGCATATAGATTTTCAAAACTGGTCTCAAATTTACCAATAAAGTATTTGCAAATAAATTGTTATATACAGTATATTCCTATTCCGTTAGAGTGCCTTTTTTCTTGTGTACCCTTGGTGTGATTACTGCCTTTAGACGTAAATGTTCTCCCTATATCGAATGGTAGCTTTGGGTTATTTAAGCTGGATCTTTATCAATGTCAATTTCTCATATTCGTTTTGAATTAACAATCTAGTTAGTTGTTAATAATTTCGAATGCTTCTACCTGTTTCACAGCTACAGAGGATTTTTTATGTCGGAGTTTATCAAAACTGTAACTGACGTTGAGTTTCTGTGCCATTGGGGACTTTTTAGATTTAGATGACTTCTTTTTCTTTGCGTTTACCTGCTCTGGATCTAAATCAACAATAATTACTGTGAAAATACTGTCAACAAATACTGTAAAAATCAGTGTTTTAGTGTTATACATATACTATTTTCGTAATCCACTCTTACTGCTTCGAAAACCATAAACTAGTTATGACAATTGAAACTACTCATGTCTTGCCGATAAAATCATTTTTGCAATAACGTTTTAGTAGTACACTCGACGATCGAATTCGTACTGCACAATACGTAACTAAGAAAATCTTTTATGACCCACGAAAAATAAAATACATACTGTACCTTCCGAAGTTTTCCACTTGGGTGTTGTATAAGTGCTAACAGTCTCCCACCAAATTTGGGGATTGAGTTTTGGTTTTTCTGAAGTTTTTCTGTTTCAAAAAAAAAATATTACGCATTGCCTTTTCTGTAGGACAAGTTATGATATGTCATCAATATGATACGCACTTTTTTGATTTCTTCCCCTTTTTCTTCTTTGTGGCGGGTGTTTTCTTAGGTTTTTTAATAATGGTGATATCTTTATCTGCAACACATTTGTTTTTGCATGGTTATTTATAAATATTATATTAACAAAGTCATATATATGTCCCAAATCATAATATATATGTTATATTACCATTGTTTGAATGTTCCTCTGTTACTACTTCGACGACCTGTGAAAAAATAGTATCAGATAGATCAAAATTTATTGCCAACTTATAGCACACTTTTCTATTCTCTCCGCACTTTTTCTGTTTTCCTCCATTCTCATCACATCCTCACTTACTTTTTCACATTGTACGTCAATATGTTCTTCTGTTACTTTTTTTTGAATCCTCCCTCCTTGGCCTTGACTTCTTGAAGTCACGCCGCCAAGTTGACCTCTATTTTCAATCGAACCCGAAAAATTCAACAAGTTGCCATTACAAACGTCACATCCACACCTCCAGATATCAACCGAAGGTAAATTCGGAACCAGTAGTGGCGGACGAGATGCATCTGCCGCTGGTGTGTTTACAATAGGCGCCTGAATTTCTCGTTTACCATTTCGAGTGGCTATTGTTTGTTGAATGGGTTCGTCGCTTGCACTATAGTTTCCATCAACAATCCAGCTATTGCCAAAGAACGTCAGTTGAGATTTAGTAAACGTCGGATCAGTAGACATCAAAGGATCACCAATTTGTTCTAACCACCATTTTTCATAGGCCCCATTTGACTCTTTCAAAGCTTTGTTAACGTTTTCATGTCTGGAAAAGGACATTTATATCACATATATATGCTATCATATTGTGCATTCGAATATTTGAGGTAATAAAGAACGAAAATTCAACAAAAAATTCAAATCTAATTTAAAACTTATTCATCTTTTTACATCGTTATAAATTTGTTTTCCTTGCTAATTTCATCCGATATATATATATATATGAATCCAATCATTATGAGAATGCAATTCATAGCAAATATAAGTAACCAACCCAGATCAAACGGGTTCAATTCAAGCAGAGTTCGCTATGACTAAGCGCTTTTCTTGGCTTTAAATGGTAAAAATTCTTGCGCTAATGCCCACGACTGTACGACATATAGTTTTTGCAAAATCCGTACCGTGTCTGAATAAGTGTTGGTCACTCCTGTGACTCTTAGTGGAGCTTTTAACTTTATGAAAAAAAATCCGACAAAATATCTATTGATATAAAACAGTTATACTTACAATTCAATTCGTCTTTTTGATCTTGCTCTTTGTTCTTTGATTTTTTCCAACATCAGTCTTCTGTTCACTGGATTAAGCAATGTGTTTTCTTGCGTTTTATGCTCGTTTGCTTGTGTAGCATGCTTTCCTATCCAGCATACCTGACCATGTGTAAATCTCCTAAAACGATAATGCAGACGCACTTTCCATATTTAAAATAGAATTAATCATTTATTTTTCCTTCAAAGTCAACAATAATGCGAAGTTTTTGGAAGCGATATAGCAAGTCATGATACCTTTGATCATTAATTTGCAACTCAGCGCTGAAACTTACACCACCGAAATGCATGACGTAGCAAAGTAGTTGAAACACTTATCAACATCAACACAGTTACTGGTACAAATAGATGACATATAGTTTATACATTTACAATAAAAGTTTGTATTTATGCGTGCTGTGCAACCACTCAAACTTTGTCAGATTTTTACCTCTTCGCTAGTTTTCTTTGTCTCCCTGTCATGTCGTGATATTCAAATGCTTCTATATCCCAGTCCGGTCCTAGCTCCAATTGAACGGAACTCTCAATAAGCGAGGGATTATTTTCTCTAGTTAGGTCATCAAGACACGAAACGTTGCGAGGGGATTTTGTATTCGAGTTGAAAGATGGATTTTGATTTGCTATTTGTTCTTCACTGACATCATTAATACCTGCATCACTGAGAATCTTTTTCAAGTGAGACATAGAAACGCCATAATAAGTGAAGGAAATTTTTGTCAGCTCCAAATGCGTACCAGAAGTGTCTGAAAGTAAATCGTACTATAAGAGGAAAAAATTAAGTACCTTCAATTTTAAATACTCCATAAAATCTCAGATTTAATACGCGTACGAACGTATTTCTTGATAACCAAAGATGTTAAATTTATAATTACAGATGCTCACCAACTTATTTAATAGTAGGGTTTAGTAACTCTTTCCCTCTTTATACATTTACGCACCCTACCTTACCTTTTGGGTCACTTTCGGTGCTGTCCGTGTAAACTGAATTTGCTATTGACGCATTTGATGAAGTTGGTTGCCTAATACAGCCATGTGGTTTATATGTCAAAACATTTTCATAGACGTCGGTTGTATATCGAAGTATCTATACATATCACAAAATAAATTCAAATAAACTGTCGTCCAATGTTCTTTAGCGCCTCTAACGACGGATAACAGACTAGTTGATTTTTGTGGCTTACTACACCAAACAGCATTAACTGATCAGGATACTATGAAAACCATAATAATTTCGCCACTCACTATAAATATTTCGGTGGATCTGTGTAAAAGGAAAATAACAATAACGGATATTTATTTTATGAAAGCAAAGTCTATTGTTCTTTTGACAAAACTATATTTCTTAAAAAATTAACAGTCACAGACAGAGCTGTGTCATAAAATTACGCTTGTCCCTACTCTATACAGAAGGCAAATCACCTTCCCTTCTTTTTCTAGATCCCTGTAGCTTTCCATCAAACTTGAAAGTAAGGAACCGGGTGTAACCCGCAGTGAAGAGCATTTTCGCCAATCGTCTCCGGCAACAAATTTCCAGAATTTATACTCCTGAACAATGATAAGACTGTTTTGATTAAATTTTAGAACAAATCATTGGCGGCTACACATTAGGTCATAATTGTTTTGATCTTCTAATTTCGGACAAATGTCGGATAAGTCGAATTGTACTGGTGTCGGCCAGAGAAAATTGCTTGGGGGAAATATATATATATAATATTAGGAAAATATCATATAAGATCCGCCATATCTATAACATGATTCTCACACGAGCAAGATCGGCTATCCATATCGTTCATTCTAATGGATGCAAACACTACGACTACGTGATGCAGCGGATCGACATATCGAGGTGTGCATATTTACGTTGGGTAACTGTTTAAAAAAGTACAATATATGGGGAAGTATCTGCCTTAAATGTGTAGATTACCGATACATGAAACAATTATTGGGTCATAATCTTAGATAATAGCTTGGTCGATTACCAGACCATATTTTCAACTTAAATCTGAATTATAACTCGCATTTCTGCAACCAAAAGTTCATACTTAAACCCGATAGTACAAAGCCCGGCTAACAAATTTACCTTCCCTCATAAACATTTTCCTTTTCTAATCAGCACTATTCAGATTAGATTTATCTTGTTTAAAAGGGATATTAATTAAAAACTGAGATGGCCGTCGACTACGAATTACGATGCAATCAGTAACTCGAAAAACGTTTGCAGGAAGTCACACAGCGATTTATGAGTATAATCAGAGCGATTAGACGCTCCAACACGTTCTACAACAAGATAGACTTGCTCAAATTTTAAGGAAAACTCGTGACTTGCGAATTCGATATCTCATTAGACTGGCGAGATATGTTTTTTGCTGTATTGATTTCGTTCCTGTTTCCGTTCTGTACACCACAACGATCGTATTCCCAAACCATTCGGTAAAAATTTTCAGTCAAATTTAAACTATCATCCACCCATATCTGCCAACGTGTATTGGCAATTATACACTCAGAGAATTTGTATTTTTAATGAAATGGTAAACAAATTTCAACGTTCTTGTACCTTCATGTCACGAATGGTAAAAGTTGGATATTTTCGTCCATAATTTTCACCATAAACTTCCGATTCCAACTGGCGAGTTTCGTTAAAATCTGGAACATATTGTAACTCATTGACTGCGCCCTCTAGATCTTCTGTTCTGAAAGGAAAGGGGAACAATTTCAAACTCATCTAAGGGAAAATTTAGGCATAAGGTTACAGTTCGTATATTAAGTAGGATACATTCTCAATGCATATGGCCCAAGCAAAATGTTTTCTTGTGGAAGACAGAAAATTATTTTATTTAATGTCAAAAGCATGTACACATCGACGATTCACATTGTGCACTTATGTCTAGCTCGGGACATGGTAACTGAAATTTTACTCGGATGAATCACTTTGTCATTGAGCTCGTGATTTGGATTTTAATACCAATTATGTTATCGACAGATTAATAGTTATTGAAGAAAGCTTGATAGCCTGATTTTCCAAGAACCTCATTTCGTGGTAGGATGTAACGTTTCAATATATATATTTCCGGCGTTAATAACTGAGACGGGTAAAAAGTAACGATATAACGTTTTAAGCCCAGTATCCATAATAACTATTTTCTCCAGACTTACATGAACTAATCTGAGAATTATAATTTGTAGTATATATATTAAATTACGAACAACGTTCTAGTCACTTTATAATCACATGCATTTTTTAAAAATTTTCTAACTATATTGTCGGATGATTTTAAATGCTATCATGTTGTCCTTCATCAAAAGCTTATTTTGAAATGAAAAGTAGACTAGTATACAACGATATATATTGGGGCCTTGACGATAATGAACCCGGTTTTCCATAACCTCGGGCATTGGATCGAAGCCTTCTGCAACCACATTTTTTGTAATTACGACACGATTACAGATAAAAAAAATGAAAGGGAGTTTTGTGAGCATTCCTTTAACTTTACGGCACCTTGGTACTTTTCCCGATTCATAATACCGAAATAAGACTGGTAAAATAATCACAAAATTCATTGAGTTTTAAACTATTTTCTGATGGAGCTATGACGATATACAACTAAAACTAAATCATTCGAAATCGTGGATGGATACTCCGCCGAGACTCGATTTTTTTAGTAGACATTCGAGAGTAAAGCATATGTCTGTGGGAACAGTTAAATCAGTACTTACGTATTCGTCAATTACGTTAATAAATTACGTCAAATACTTACTTATATAAATGTGGATTCAATCGAAAACATACTTTCTTGGTCTGATGAATAGCATACCAACGTACTTTTGAATGAACGATATCTAATACATCCTGTTTTAGCATCCTTAGAACCAGAAAGTTACTTATGTTAAATTTATGTTCATTCGGAGTTTCGGACCATTCAAACTAAATTAAATTTTGATTTAATGTATTTTTCGGGTTTGTGACGTAATAATAAGGAATAAGATTATAAAAAAGATAATTATATTCCAGAAGAAGGTAAATGAATTTATTCATTCTAATATTCTTTCAACTGTAAAAGGTTAATTTGTATGTAAAAATTATTTACGTAGATTTTGACAAATTTTCAATAATTTTAAGAGTATATGTCATATTTTTATTCATATTATTATAGTAGGCGAAAATTTGTATCACGCAGTTTCCGAAGGCTCAATAATACATAAAGAAAAAAAGAGTTATAACAAAGGGGGTTAATTGTTTAATCCCTGCAGGATTCTCGGCTTCTTTTATCGCAGTTTTAATAGAGATTTGACCTAGTTTACACAATGACGTCTGTGCGACTTTGATTTCCCACTGTTTATTTTATAAGACGTATAGTTTGACACCAATTCATTAATTCAAATGTCTAGCGCTTTCACGCAGTAGTGCGATTATTAACAATAGCCGAAGAACGGGCCGATAAAAACCCCAGGTTCTGACGAATGTCATTCATTCCACACAACGATGGTTCAGTGCGTGTCGAAGGGAATTAGACTTAGGAGTACGGTAGGAAAATAAATGAGAATCAAGTCTATCTCAAGTGTTATTGTTGGTATCTGATGATATGATATATCACTAGTTGTTTCGAAAAAGAAAATGACATTTATTCGAATGCTCACTGTCAGGCAGCAAGCATCTGTACATTTTGGAGTTACAGATTTAAATATATCTTGGTAAAGCGACTGAAAACGATATGGTCTGCTTGTTGAGGCTCAGATTACCTGTTGACAAAATTTAGAAATAGAACGCTATCGCTTTCAAGCCCAACCAAGCGTTACCTGAACTATTCGCTCACTGCCGACGGAGGAAATCGCTGTCGCCTATTCAGTCTAGAATTGCCGCCGGCCGATGAGGTGCGCTAAGTTGGATAAGCTAGCTGTGTTTGACGTCTTGTTGAGTAGAATTAAAACTTAAATTATTCTTGTTATTTTTACAGCCGCTTTTCACGAGGCTAAGTTAATTCAATATTTTATTTTTGATTCGAGAAGGATAGCGATTATAGATTTGCAGAAAACGGTCTGGAATAGCAGCATCACAATGTTGAAATTGGCGGTGCTCCTACTACTGACCGCCCTACATCTGGACGTGGGTTACGGGCAGCCTCAATTGATAAAAGAACCGAATGTATTGACTCCGCCATATTTTAACATCGCTACAGGTATGACTTACAATTTGATATAAGGTTGTCGACTTCTCAAATGAATAAATCTCTCTTTTCCTTATACATAAAGACATGCCAAATGATTGGGAATATTGTTTTGCTTTTCCCGAACAAATACCAAGCTCTTTCTCAGTGAAAGAAACGAATTAATGTACTGTATATGTATGTTCAGAAATATCAATTTTTGTTTACCTATATGTCATGCTATTTGCCCTTGTGTTTGGATATTGAAACTGAAGAAAGCTATTTTGTGTTCATTTTGCTGCCCAATTTCAACATTGATATCCAAATTCACGCTTATTTTCCATTTACAGGAAAGAAAATTGAATCGACTGCGACATGTGGTGAAGTCGAACCCCACGTATTTTGCAAACTAACTGGCGGACCAAACGAATATGGATACAATGGAAATCTATATCAGGGACAGTTCTGTGACGAATGCGACATGCAAAACCCCACTAAATCTCACCCCATCAAATACGCAATCGATGGAACTGAGAAATGGTGGCAGAGTCCTCCGTTGTCACAAGGAAGTGAATACAACAAAATTAACATCACAATTCATCTTGGACAGGTACGTTGATAAGAAAATCGTGTTCTCGCTATTCCCATCTATGAATTTGGTATCAAAGTTTCATGTTGATTATATCCCACAAAAAGATATATTATTTATTGTGCTCAGCTCAGATATATACATCAATCATGATCTTTATTTAATTGTTGAAAAATTGATTTTGGCTGATACTAATAAGCGGTTGTTGTATTTCGCTTCAAGTACTATTTGCGGAAGACCATGGTAGTCTGGCCTTTTGATGTAACTGCTTAATCCCGCCTAAATTCGGGTCCCGACTGACCACAATCGTGTTCACCTTGTTTAAAAAGTTCTAATACCTTGTTTTAAAAAGCTAGCAATAATTATTTACAATCTACTATGGGACATAGTTGAAACGCTTTATTGAAGCTCGTTTTACCATTCGCCAAGTCCAACCGATCATGAGATTTTGGCCCGGAACGTAGAATATTTATGAAGGAAGGAAACACCACTGTTTAATTGTCTCGGTCGTTTCCTCGATAGGATACTTGTCAGACGATCTTTTGATTTTCTAGTTAATGAGGTGCTGCGTGCGCTCAATTAAATCGCCTTAATTGCTGACCGTTGTTGAAAAAATAGTGAGTGTCAACAATTTTTTTACACGATTTTATCAAAAATAAACAATATTATATAAATTCATAAATTAAGTTTAAAAATATGTTGACATTTTTGAAGTTTCCGACAATTCTTGGACTTGCCAATCTCGCGCGTTCTCGAATGCTTATGTGTAAATTCTACCGTGCATAAGTAGCATAGGACAACACGAAAGGTTGTTATTTAGATGTATTGGGAAATTTGTAAATTTCACGCCAAATTTACTTACAAATCATTCCAGATATTACGAGCAATATGTGTAGGCGCGGTTGACATACTTTTGACGTATGCTAGTAAGAATATAGAAAAATTCCTTAACCCGTAACCCATGTTCTTATCTATATTATTTGATATTTGCGTAAATAAAATGTTAAATTGCCATGCATGGTGCGTAGATGAATTGTCACTTGCAGAGAAAATGTACCCATTGGTCATACTTGACGGATCAGGTCTCAAGATTTATATTCAATTTTTACGGAATTCGTAATTGGTCACCGAAAGGTTAACGTAACGCTGCTGTCGCTCACGCGCTCAGCATAGCGTGCACTTGGTTTCCGCCAAGACCGATAAGAAGGCTCAAGCGCTCTAGATTTCGCTTGAATAGTTTTACCTTTGCTCAAATCTTGAATTTCCGACGACGCCCCGCTGGTCTTTGAGGGTAATTTTTCTCATTTTAGTTTACGTTCATTTTGAACACCTATCGCTTAAAAATGAAAATCTATAAAATAGCGCTTGCTTACAATTCTAAAGATTTTCCTTCAATATCATTTGTGCCCTCGAGGCAATTTAAGCTACAAGCTCCGTAAAGCCGACAAATGGTAAAAAGTACATGAAACAATAGACGTATTGATTGTAAATTGTTTAATGGCAAAATACATTTTAACCCTCTGACAAATGTAAATTGCTCAATGGTAAAAAATAACCCCCTCAATTATACTCACGAATATTGCAACTTAATTAGCGTGTTTATAATAACTAGTATTATCTATCGCAATAACCCTTCAATTAAAACACAGTGTAATAAAATCGTTGTAACTGCAATCTACTAATTGTGTCTGATGTGTAAGTAATTGTGCAGGTGAAAACACTTTTATGCGTGTTAAATGATTTAAACAGATTAATTTTACGAGCTTCCCTTAATTGATTAGCTTGATATGTGGTCTTTACACAAGCAGCGTTTTACGAAACCATTATTTTAAATCTTTTCGTTATCAATCCAATACTCCCTGTCGAATCCTTTTCAACATAACAATGTGATTAATTGAAAATTTTCAACGGCACCTATACTAGGCCAAGCGTGGGACATCGATTTTAGTTCTCTTCTATTTACGAAAATGTTACACAGTCTAATACCAGGACCACCGTGCTTATGTGATGTAGATTGCGATTGGTAATTACGTTAGTCCTATCGACTCTATTCAAATATTTTAGAAATCAAACATTATGTTGTAATGAAATAAACAATGCCTGGTATGTACCTCATTGTATTGGTCAACCTTTATTTATTGCTCAGTCATGATTATCTATAAATTTATTATTAGGTTTTCCACGTCGCATATGCCATCATCAAGTTCGCCAATTCTCCACGTGCCGGTACCTGGGTTTTGGAACGATCGTCTGATCACGGAAAAACATTCCAACCATGGCAGTATTTTGCTAACAGTGACAGTGATTGTCACAATCTGTTTGGTATCGATGCTTTTGAAGAAATTACTAGCGATGATAGCGTCATGTGTACATCAGAATACTCGGACGTTGTTCCATTGGAACGCGGCGAGGTAAGTTCCACCAAATGGCATTGAGCCAGCACCAACCAAACATACTTATGAAGTGGTCTAAAACCTATCATGTTGTTATTAATATTATTATTCAGGTAATTGTTTCTATCATCAATCGGCGTCCTGGCGCAAAGAATTTCTCGCATTCCCCAGTTCTTCAAGAATGGAGCAAGGCTACTGACGTGAGACTGCGTCTTCTGCGCACCAAAACACTTCTCGGACACTTGATGGCAGTTCAGAGACAAGATCCCACTGTGACTAGAAGAGTGAGTTTGAGTAGTTTTTCATTTAATTAATTTCAATTCTGGGTGAATTTACCTATTACTTACATTTACATGTCTATTTGTTTCTTTGCAGTATTTCTACAGTATCAAAGATATTAGCATTGGTGGAAGATGTGTCTGCAACGGCCACGCTGATACTTGCTTGCCAGATCCCGATGATAGATACAAGTAGGTTTCGTTGATTCAGTCATATCTATACTACCGATACAGCGCCTTATTGATAGCCTTCATGTTTTTATGATTTCCAGGCTTAAATGCGAATGCCGACACAACACATGTGGAGATAGCTGCGAGTATTGTTGTCCCGGTTTTGTACAGAAAGAATGGAAAGCTGCTGTTCCAGAAAGTGCAAATCAATGCGAACGTAAGTGTTTAAAATTCTCATAGGTTCAAATGAATTTTGTTTTTTTGTTGATATATTTCTAAATAATCACTCGATCAAACATTTCAGGATGCAATTGCCACGGCCACAGCACTGAATGCGATTTCGACGAGCAAGTCGCGATAAGAAGACAATCTCTTGATTTGGATGGCAATTACGAAGGAGGTGGTGTCTGCAAAAACTGCCTTCATAACACTGCTGGAATCAACTGCGAGAAGTGTGCTGATGGTTTCTACAGACCTGCTAATGTTGACCCAAGACATCCTGAGGGATGCAGACGTGAGTGCATTTTTGATATATATATATAAAAACCCCACCCACGTTTCAACAGGTTTTCAATAGCTTGGGGTAATGACGCGCCCCCTTTTACTACCATAGCTCAAGTAAGATAATATTAAACGGAATATATGCTAAATCAACCTTAATATATTTTTTATTTGAATTCAGGACTTCTATTTGGAAATGTCAACAATGTAATAGGGCAAACATAAAATATTATAACTATGTAAATACTATTGTGTTTGAATTATGAATACCAATTTTAAGGCCTGAATAAACACATAGGGAAATTTTACGAACAACCATGTATTCTGATCGAACCAAAGTAACTTGGGCTTGATATTACTGCTAGATTTCTCCATTCTCAAGGCATTTAACAATTTAGCTTTTCCTGATTGGCTACTCTTCTTTGGACCTAAATCCCGAGATGACATTGCTATATATCCAACTACTTCAACACCATCTGCTTCCTTTGGCTCTACCATTACATTCTCCCCTGATTTTGATTCCAATGAACCATGGAGGCCTGGGCCTGGAAAGGTAGACAGATTTACGACTGAGTCAACGGGTCGTGGTGAGGGCCATACTATCGACTGGTGGTTTGATCGTGAAGGGTATCCTCACCCTGATATCGATTTTGATCGACCTTTACCAGGAGCAATGAGTCCTCCATGGGGTAACTAAGATTGTCCGTCTCATCCACCAGCATGTGAATTAGTGGTCGAAACGAGATCAAATCATATTCATATTCCATCCGCTTGGACGATCATTATATATATTTACTCCACAATTAGGAAGGGTTTACCTATCTATTGTTAGTTACTACTTCATACTCCTCAGATTCAGATATAGCGGAAAACATATAGTGACACAGATAAGGGAAAAACAATTACCTTATGCATAACATAGCTATGGATATTATTATATAACTATATATGTTTACTCAGTGATGAACACAAAATTATCCTTAAAAGTAGTTTCATTTTGGGAAATTTCAGCAAGGATAAAGCACTTACACTTCAAATTCATGTCACGCAACCTGCCTGTACACAAAGTCACTTGTGCTTGTATGCATGGTAAAGTGCACACATTCACATTTTCTAATTATTTTATTTTTACTTTTTCAGCTTGTGATTGTGATAGCGCATTCACTGTTGGTACATGCGAACCAGTGACTGGACGATGCTACTGTAAGCCCAAGTACGCAGGAGACAGATGTGATAAATGTGCACCTGGGTATCACATGTTCCCAGAATGCGAACGTAAGTCATCTGATTGTTTGTGCATTTAGTATTACATATACATTTAGTAGAATAATTTATCACATTTTTATTTTCTTTCCTGATAGAATTCGGAGATAATGGTAAATATAAATGGTGGAGTGACAGGTGTTGCTTCACATATAAAAAAACTTTCGTCCACATGGTGTGGTTTATCACAGAAATTTCAATCTTTTAGCACTTTTTACCTGGTATTTAAGTTTGAATTGGGAAGGTTTTGGAAATAAAAATTTTTAAAAGTTATTTTATGTTGAATAAAATCCTAATCAGTTGTTCTGAGAAATGGGTATTTGGAAGTTAATATAAAGCATGTCTTCAAGATGAAATGTACATGGAAGGTGATTGAAATTTATAACTGAAAAATTATATTTCAATTTAAGTGATATGTTTGATATACACCACTCGTTTCACATTCACGTTTTTGTTTTATTTTCTTGCACAAAAATTTGAATGCACAATCCTGTTTTTTTGTCTTAATTTAATTTATGCAATCTACTTTCTAGTCTGTCCCTGCTTTTACAATGGTACCAGAGATGGAATCTGCTTGCCAGAGAATGATATTTGTCCATGCAAGTACAATTTTGCTGGAAAATATTGCAGTGAATGTGCCGCTGGATTTTATAACTTCCCAGAATGTACACGTAAGTAGTTAATTATCTTTCTCATGACGATCAAATTCATTTAAAGTTGTTTGAATGGCAGTTCAAGACAATGTGTTCTGCTGAATTATATATGTATTGCCTATTGCTTAGTCATTTCCAACTTCTATCAAATTGCGTGATTTTATTTGATTGCTTACTAATTTTGTATTTTTAGCCTGCACTTGTCTTGGTCAAGGAGCAATTAGCGATATTTGCGACCCATACAGCGGACAGTGTACTTGTGATGAGGGATTCGGGGGATTATATTGTGACCAGTGTGCAGCAGGGTACTACAAATATCCGCTTTGTCAAACATGTGCTTGCTACACAGCTTTTACTACCTCAGATGTAAGTAGTAATAGTTTATCTTGCGTAAAATGGTAAATGTCAGAATATTACGAATATTACATTAAGTATGTCCCATTATTTTTAGATTTGTGATCCTGATACTGGAAAGTGTTTCTGTACTGAGTTGGTGACTGGAGAATCATGCAATCGCTGTTTACCTGGTTATTACGACTTCCCACAATGCAAAGGTATTGTATTTCATGGTTCTATTTCTATATATAGCAATTGGAAGAAAATTTATCATGGTTTTATTCTCTTTTAAGAATGTGAATGCTCAAGCCCTGGAAGTGCAAGTACCATGTGTGATCAGGAGAGTGGAAAATGCCAATGCAAACCTAACTTTCAAGGACCTAAATGTGAACAATGTGCACCAGAATATTACAAGTAAGACCTAGTATCAGTTTTTTTTCGATTTAGAAGTTTTTGCGATCTTGTGGTGCGACCACATCTATTTTACATGATGAATTACCAACAGAACATAAGCAATAAGCCAGACATGTACCATTGTCAGGTAACTGTATTACTGGGGTCATCATAGCTTCAATATTGAGATTCGAATTTCATTCGTTTCCCAAGGGGCTTGCCTTTATGTAGCGCCACTAACTTTAATGATTGATGTCATATTTTATCAATAGCTATCCGAACTGCATCCCATGTGACTGTGACGTACAAGGATCTCAACGAACGACTTGTGATGTGGTGACTGGCCAATGTACCTGCTTCCGATATATTGGTGGACGTCGTTGTGACCAATGTGCACCCGATTACTTCAACTTCCCTCGATGTGAAGACTGTAAATGTGATCCAAGAGGGATCAAGTCTGTTGTACCAGGCGTCTGTCTTGCTTTCACCACCGTAAGTGACATTTACATTGTGGTTGGAATTAAGGTTACATTTTGATAACTGTTATTTGAATCACTTATTTTGAATTAAGGGCCAATGCGATTGCAAAGAGAATGTTGTTGGAAAGTATTGTAATGAATGCAGTCCCCTGCATTATAACTTAACACTCGGATGTGTTGATTGTAACTGCTTTCTCCAGGGAACACTCGATGGTGTTGCTGCCTGCGATACAGAGGTAAGTTGTTTATTGTTTGCTAAAATTTAACCAATGATAGACCATGACAAGTGAATCTAACAAATATGTGCTAACGAGCCATCGTTTATTAGGTTACCAAATATGGAGATCAGTCTTGGGCCCACTTTTTATCATACAGGGAGCTGCATAGCATAGCCATTTACTTTATAAAATATGGGACTTATTAAATCTTTTTTGTTTCAGTTTGGTGATTGCTGGTGCAAACCCTATACATGCACTCAAAGATGCTCTCAGTGCGATGATGGATTTTTTGGACTTGAGGAAAGCCATTACTTTGGTTGTACTGGATGTCAGTGTGATGCTGGTGGTGCAATGACAGAGGATTGTGACACAGTAGATGGGCAATGTCGTTGTAAAGAAGGAGTAACAGGCAGAAAATGTGATAGGTACGATACTAATTGGTATTATTTTATAAAAGGTTGTGTGACATTTTGAATATTTGAGAGTATCACTTGTGTATATTTCTCTACTCTCACTATATTAATTTTAATTTATTTACTGATTTCAGTGTTGCTGAAGGCTACTACTACCCAACTCTACTTCAGCATAGATTTGAGGTTGAAGATGGCAAAACAACTGAAGACCAAATCTTGCGTTTTGGTTTCAATCGAGAACATTTTCCAACTTTCAGTATGAAAGGTTATGGAGAATTTTCTCTTGTCCAGGTATGTGCTTTTGTATAAACAGCTAAGAGCTATTTCGATAACAATAAAAAAAGTATGTAAATAAAGTAACAGTCGTTAGTTTTTATATCATAATATAGATAAAATAGTATGTGACCAAATACTGATTTAATGATATACATCTAGTAAAGGTAGAATATCCCCTCAAAATTCCTCATAAATGTGCAATTAAATGTGTATTAAATTGTTTTTCATCTATCTGTTCTGTTTGGGAAATATATTCACAAATCTATTTCTTTTTTCCTATTTACCTTTCAAAGTTTTTCATTAAGTTTTTTTTAACCATAACTACTCTAAAGCATGCTACTGTGATATTTCTTGGTAAATTTAGTATTTTAGTTCAAAGTAAAATTTGTTTATTTTTCTGAGAAATAACAATTTATAGTTTTAAATGTACTGACAATATAAATATTTTACTGTGCATATTACACCAGTGTATATATATACATAATATAAACAAGTTTAAAATTAATTTCTGAATTCTTTATCGAAATTCATTCCATAAGTTGAATTTTTATTCCTTCTCATAGCATTAATTTTAGTGAAAGTACAATGTATATTATATGAAACATGGTTCTACTTTTTTGTTTTATGTTCTTTCACAATATGTTATTTAGATAACCATATTGGCTTTTGATTTTACCAATCTCTCTATTTCTTGCTCATAGCCAAGAGCTGTGTTGGATCTGACTATAACACAGAACAGCTTGTATAAAATACTGATGTACTATGTCAACCCTCATTCATGGGTTCTTTCTTCCACTATTTCCTTTGTTCCGAAAACTTCTACTGATGATGACAGTGACGCAGAACCTCTATGCCCCAATTGTGAGTTTCCAGTGCACGAACCATGGCAAATGGAAATGTTTATTTTGATGCGTCTGTCCATCCACACACTTTTGACTATTTTGTTTTGCATGAGAGCACATTACTAACAACTTTGATTTTATGACATTACAGCTTTGCATAGCTGTTTTATTTAATCACAAATTGGAAAAATTTGAAAATTCGAAACATGTTTATATAACATTGATTCTGATTATATAAATTTTCGAAAATATCTTTATTGGTTAAAATTGTTGATACCAAATTATGTTTAAACTGAATTCTCTGGACATCTCTGATTGGTAAATGGTAATCATATTTTTGACCTCCAACACAACATAAATACTGCATGGTATTAAGTTGAATTTTCTCTGCATGTCTTTTGTTTTATATTTGATGCACAAATATTGCACATCATCCAATGATGACAGTATCCCAGATTCATAGACCCAAGATAAGTTTAGGAATATTATTAGTACATTAGGATAAATGCATGATTACAATAAACTGCATGTTGTCATATGTTTGATTTGGCACAGCGTAAAATCATTGTACCTGTCAATGTGGAGAGTTATGGTCTGTACAGAGTGCTCTTTTATTACGTTCAACCCGATGGCACAACTTCAGCAAATGTCACTCTTTCACCGGTAACAGCTGATGGTAAGACCATATACGGTAATAGATAATCAAATTTAAATAAAATAGAAGTCTAGGTGTCGTTGATTGAAGAATTACATTCATTTTATTTCAATATTAATTATGGTGTTTCATCACAAAATGCATGTTTATGTTGTTGTCACTTTGTGGAGTGCTTTCCATGATTGTTTTTGTTCAACCCCATAGCAAATGAACATTTGTAAATAATTCTTTTGACTAATTTAGGTTCGGAGCAAAAATTTATTGTTGATTTTGAACCAAGTCAAAGTCCAGCTTTGATGACTGCTAACAGCGTATTTGTTCTTAATCGTGGAGAATGGAACATCAATATTGAAGGCGAACCAGGTTGGTATTTAAATTATGTCTTGGACTGATTTGCTATCAATCATTTTTTGTCTCTGATTTAGATAATTCAACCTATTATAGATTGGTTATAAATACTGAATGTTTTTTCTATTAATATTTTTCTTTTCGCTAGATGGTAGTATAATTCATGTGTACAATTAACTATTTTATATGACATCCTTAACAGTAAATTTTTGGATTTAGTTTTGCCTTGTTAACCATATCATCATATTTTTTCAGGACTTCTCATTGACTACATTGTTCTTCTGCCATCTGAATACTATGAACCGGGAATTCTTCAAGCTAAAATCACAGAACCTTGTGAGCCAACACTAACTCAAACAGGAAAAGATTGTCTCATGTACACACACATACCACTCACTGGAACTCCTCAGGCTGCAGCCATGGCCTTCGCTGAGCAAGCACAGTAAGTAAAATACAAAAATATGGATGTGCATATTTCTATATTATATTATATGTATTATTTTATGTATAGGATGATATAATGTTTTCTTGTTGATGCAAGATTCAATATGTCATTGTTGTTGTTCGCATTTGTATAGTTTCATTTACGGTATATTTGACATTTGCTGGTATTCTGTTGTCATTGTTTAAGAGAATTATATTCAACAATTGAGTGGGATTATACTGTTACTTAAGATTTTTATATATTTTTCTAGACATGATTCTCCTACAACTGCACACCCAACTATGGTTTTACTTGATGGAAACAAAAAAGGTGATAATCACCATACAGTGTCCATGACTTTGAATGATGTAGACAGCGCAGGAAAATACGTTCTTGTTCTTGAATATGCAAGTACTGGAGACAGAATGAAAACTGTCGATGCCACAGTTACAGATTTAGCAGGAAACACATTTTCTGATGTGAAATTCAATATCTACTCGTGCGAGTATCTTTTCCTTTGTCGGCAAGTTGCACTCACACCTTTGAGTGATGTCATGGTATGTATAGCTTTTAAAAATCAATATTTACCATTGTACAATGCTTTATTGTCTTCATTTCTTTCTTAGGTCTTTGATATTTCTGTCCCAAATATCCAAGTGGACCTGAGCGTTGGTGCTGGTGATGTTGTTTATGTGAGTCGTGTTCATGCAATTCCATATGAAAAATGGACAATGGAATATGTGGAACCTAAAAGAAAGTGCATCACTAAAGAAGGACCCGAATTTGATGAGTATGTATTTGTAGTTTGTTATATGATAAATTTGAAAAAAATTTCTTCAATAGAAATTGGAAAACTGAAAATTTTCTCACAAATTATAATTGGTTTTAATGATATATTTACAGATGCACTGCTTGGGCTTATCCAACTTCTGCTACTGGACACAAGATTGAAGTAGGAGGTGGTGATTCTGTTCCTCCTACTGAAACTACTGGGGAAGTTGATACTGTCTTAGTTGGTGGTGAAGACAACACTATAGAGATTGACATGGATCTTGATCCTGGCCGGTAAGTTATTTCAAAGTATTATATCATTGAATATGAAATATTGGCATTACGAAATATAATATGATTGAATACAATTACATTATATAAAGAACTATATTCAGTTAATTACCAAGTTGGAATACATTCAGCTCAAAACCATTTTAACCTAGCAATCTAATTATTTTCTTGTTTCAGATATGTATTTTTACTTCACTATTTCAACCCCAACCATGTATCATTCTCACCTAATATTATCATCTCTGATGGCGGTCTTACACATGAAGGAACTGCAAATGTTACCTTTTGTCCAAGCGGAGATGGATGCAGAGGCGTTGTTATATCTAACAATGGAGCTGTGGTTATTGATATTACCAACCGACCACAAACAATGACAATTAAAGTGCCAGCAGGTAAGCGACTAGGTAAAAAAACATTTGCCTATCAAGATTTCTCTAAAGAAAAAATTTTAAATTAAATACAGAGTAAATTCTATAGAAAAAATTATGGAACTTTTCCATAAATAACATTGAGAATAATGTCATAGCTACTAAATCTCAATTTCAAAATTCCTATTTCAATTTACAGACAAAGCTTTCTGGTTGGATTACATTCTTGCCATACCAGAGGAGTCTTATAACGCTGATCAACTTGACTTAAAACCAGTTGATCATTCAAGAAAATTCTTTGATGAATGTTATGGAGTAGGAACTGAAGGATTGATTGACTCTGCAACAACTCCAACAGACTTTTGTCGCAAGGCAGTGTTCTCATTAACTATGGACTTCAATGATGGAGCTTTACCATGTGATTGCTCTGGTGCTGGCACAGTTGGCGGTGGAGATGTAGATTGTGAGGTAAGTGTGAATAATTGTAAATTTCTCTGAATCAATACAACCGGAAAACAAGCAGTATTTTACCAAATATCATCACTATTTCAGGACTATGGTGGTCAATGCCCTTGCAAGCCAAATGTAATTGGAAGAAAATGTGACAGGTGTATGATAGGATTCTATGGATTCCCAGATTGCAAACCGTGCGATTGTGATGGTGCATTATGTGATGAGGTAAGATTCAATAACTGTAGTGTAAATATAGATTGAAAATGTGGTCTTAGAACATCATGTATACATTTTTTAATCGTAAAATTTGCTTTCCAATTGTTGTAAATATTGCATAATATTATATTTTCTAAAACTTCTGTACTATTTACTTTAGATCAATGGAAACTGCATCTGTCCACCCAACACTGTTTCCCCATCTTGTGATCAATGCCTTCCTTTTACACATTCCTTCCATCCTCTTGCTGGATGTGTTGCATGCGATTGCCATTCTCAAGGGGTAGAAAATGCAACTGACCTTGGATGTAGCAAGGATGATGGTCAATGCAGATGCAGAGAAAATGTTGAAGGACTAAGATGTGACAAATGTAAAGCAGGATTTTTTGGATTCCCTGATTGTAGCCCTTGCGTTTGTGATACACGTGGAAGCATCTCAGAAACATGCGATCCAGCCAGTGGACAATGTTTATGCAAAGAAAATGTAGAAGGACAACAATGTGATAGATGTAAAATGGTGGGTTATTTTAGCCTGTCACATCTAAATATTAATGATTGAATTGTTAATATTAATAATATCACTTTTCTGTTCACAGGGTACTTTCTATCTGAATGAACAAAATCCTCTCGGATGCACAAAATGCTTCTGTTTTGGAGCCACAGTTGAATGTAGCAGCACTCGATACCCCATGGAGGAAATTATTGATATGGAAGGCTGGCGGCTTTTGAATTTGAAAACGTATGTGCCTCAATATATCCCTTTATTATATCAGAATTTTTCGCTTGCTAAATCTTTTAAACATTTTTACAGAGATACACCAGAAATTCAGAGTGATGGTAACACTCTTACCGTGGATATCTATGAAAATGGAGGAGCTAAAGAACCTGCCAGAACCAACTTGTATTGGGCTGCACCAAAAGCATATCTGAATGACCAAATTGGATCCTATGGTGGCGTTTTACACTTCATTACCACTTCAGAACAAGGTGGACGAGGAGACAGCACTGGTACATTTGTTTCGGTCGCCGGAGATCAACCTGCTCCTCTAACTGCTCCAAATCCAACAGTCATTTTGGAGGTTAGTATTGTATAATATTAGAACCTAACTATTGTTTGTGCTTTTGATTTAACCAATTGTGTTTTACTTCAGGGCAATGGTATGATTGTTGGCTGGATAAACAGAAACAAACAGAATGGAGAATCAGTATTCCTCAACTTGACTGAATCAAATTTTGTTCATCAAAGCACTGGTAAGTATTTTCTTTACTATAACATACAACTAAGTTGTTCATTTATTTTTCAATATTTTAGCTGTTATAAAACCAATGTATTTTTTAATGTAGGAAACCCTGTGAAACGTGAAGAAATGATGATGGTTCTTAGTCCTTTGTCAAAATTGCGTATCCATGCTACTGATGATCCAGATGCAGCCATCGTCAGGCTTTCGGATGTTAGTATGTCAACTACTGATTATGATGCTGAACTCGGATCAGGTCCAACTATACCAACCGTTGAGGAATGTCGCTGCCCCAAAGGTACATTTTTATAAAATAGAACAACTCAAGACAGTTTTTAATTTATTAATAGGAATCACAAATTGAAAAATTAAATTTTATTTAGGATACACTGGAGAGTCTTGCCAATTGTGTGATAGTGGACATTTTAGAGAAAATCGTGGACCTTATTTGGGTTATTGTGCAGAGTGCCATTGTTATGGACATTGTGAAACTTGTGATGAACATGGTGAATTGATTGACAAGAAGGATTGTCTTCATAATACGGTAATTTTTTTCTCAAAATAATATTCTTAGGGAGTCGTTCAAGATAAATTATCTCATTCATATTGTACGCATAAAATGCTCATTTTTATACATAACTTATTATAGGCCGGTGAAAATTGTGAAAAATGTAAAGATGGATACATTGGAGATGCAACTACTGGAGATCCAGATGCTTGCCAGCCTTGTCCATGTCCATTCCCATCAGAAGATGGAAATTTCGCAGAGTCTTGTGAATATGATGAAGGTAGGAAAATTGTCATTTTGTTTATTATTGGTCAATTTGTCCCGATTACTGATCCAAAATTTATGTTTATAACATTTTTCCAGATGGTGATGTTGTCTGTCACTGCCAGATTGGTTACACAGGAGAAAAGTGCGACCAGTGTGCTCTAGGATATTTTGGAAACCCATCAGTTATCGGTGGAGATTGTAAACAGTGCAATTGCCATGGAAACCTTGATTTTAACTTGGTGATGGAAATTTGCAATCCGATAAGTGGTAAGTTATATATTTCTTTCAAAATAATGAGTTTTTTTCTAAATCTCCGTTATATAGACTTATGATATGATACAATTTTGTCATTCATTCTAGGTGAATGCAAAGACTGCTTGTACAATACTGGTGGAAAATACTGTGAAAGATGTGCAGATGGCTTTTTTGGAGATGCCAAAATTGCCAAGAACTGTACCAAATGTCCATGCAATGAATGTGGTACTCTGCAATGTGATCATACATATGGATTCTGTGCTTGCAAGCCTCATGTTATTGGTATCTCATGTAACCGTTGTGAGCCAGGTTAGTACCGAGCATCGTTGAATTGCAATTACAAATTTTATAAACTGATTTTTTTTTACCATGACATTTTTTTTAATAGGATATTACAATTTGGATTCCTGCATTGGTTGTCAAGACTGCAGCTGTGGAATTGGTGCTAGAAACAATGAGTGTGATACTGTGACTGGAGCATGTGAATGTGCACCAAATGTTGTCGGACTGAAATGTGACAAATGTGCACCAGGGCACTGGGACTACTCATCCATGGGATGCAAACGTGAGTGCAACAGACTTTATCTTCACAAATGAATAATAATTAGTCTTGTTTCTTGGATTTCCAACATGTCCATGTTTATATATATAATAGTTCCCTTCACCATCTCTGCCATATTTCCAACATGTCCACAAAACCACAGCAGCATTAATTAATACATTTTGATACTTCCATCAGCACTCTGTGCCAAATTTCAACAATGTTCCAACCCAGTCGGCACTTAAATTTGTCAAAGGTTTCCAAACCTGCAACAAAGAGAAGTTCAAACTTTCAACACAAAGTTTCATCTTTTCTTGTTCCTCTAAAATCTTCTGTCAGCAAATAATTAAAAAAAATTGACATGAATGTTCATGGAAGTCTGACACTCTCATATATTTTTAGCCTGCAATTGTCGAAACAATGGAGATTGTAATCCGGTCAATGGCGAATGCAAATGTCCACCAGGAATCACTGGCCCTCAATGCGACCAATGCAAACTGGAACGTCACATTCTACCACCAGGCGGTCTTCAATGTGAAAGTGAGTATATACATATTTACTTATAAAAGTTCGGTTTATTTCAATATGCCACATTACTAAAGAACATTTTGGATGTTTTTAGGCTGTGACACCTGTACACATGATCTTCTTGACACCATTGAGCCAATGACGGAAAAAGTAGTTAGCGCCAGTCTTAAGTTGTCAAAAGTATCAGTTGGAGTTGCAGCAGCAAAAAGACTTGAAGATTTCGCAGACCGCTCTGAGGATGTCGAAGTAAGTTATATAAGTTATATTATATGTAAGTTATATTCGATATATTGAATGAAAGATATACATATGATTAATTTTCTATATCAAAGTTTTTTTATAGCACTGTTCCTAATTGAAATATTATTATTTAGGATCGTATTTCTGAGACAGAACAACATATGAATGACATTAGTGATGATGCTGATAAGCTTTTGAATGCCGAAATTAATGATTTGAATGATATGATAATGTCTGAAGAGGATGAGGTAATATTTCCTTATAGCATATTTAGTAGGATTGTAGCTTTGGGTGATAACATAGTACTACTTTGCTGTGATTAATTTAGCAAAGATTTTATTGTGTAGATTTACAGTCGTAGCAAATAGAAATATATTATTTTAATATTTTTTGTTAGATAAACAATGCCGCTATGCATTGCTGCTTTCTGTTCATTAGATGCTTTCATTTTATTTGCTAAAGTTTGATTGATTTTGAGTTTTTTTATGAAGTACTATGATTATGTTCAATATAAGAACATAATAATTACTGTACGTAAGAGACTAACTTGAATTTTCGATTTCTTCTCTTATGGTCATCTTTTCGTTGTAATAATTCTTCAGTTTCATAGTATTTAAGCAGTCTTGCAATGATTCCAAGTCATTGAATTGCAATTTTGATTAGCGCATTTTCAATGTTTCATCTAAAACAATTGTTTGATATTTTTGCAAGTCGCTTGCACTCAAATTTGCGTTGATTCAAAAGGATTGAAAAGACTTGAATATGCTTTTTGGGTTATATAATGACATCCCTACATTCTTAGATTTGTTCTAAGACATTAGGACAAGCATTAGTTTAGTTTTTACACCCTTTATTTGCTGCAATCACATTATTCCGCTTGCATGTAGTGCCTAATTTTGCTTAATATAATTGCTTGCCAGGAGGCATCAGGTTTACCTGCACCTATTGTCGATTCTTCTTCCAAGGAACAAGACTCTTACATTGCGCTTAAATCTGCTGTAGGAAAAACTGAACTTGCAGTGAGTGCTTGCATGCTGCTTTATTTTGCTTAGACTGTAGTTGTGCTCTATAGCTGGTAGTATTTGAAAAAAGTAGTACTTTCAAATTAAAATAATATAGTCTCAAAAGATATGCTATTTTGTATTTTACTTTATTAATATTATTTCGAATAAGAACAGTAGTTCTTAAGCAATGAGTAATCAAAAATGGGAATCGACAATTCCACACATGATATTCAAAAATCCATATAATAGTGTAACCAGTTTATGTAATTTGTATGATTTCTGTTGTTTGTGTCAAGTTTATTATTAAGTAACTTAACTGCATTCATCAATCTTTATGGATAAATGTAATAGTTGTGTAATAGCACATTATAGATGTGATCATTAGAATACCTGTAACAAGAACCCCTTCAACAAGTTACTCACTTGTTTCAATGCTCTCCAAAATATAATCAAAAGCCTAATATTTTATCAAAGAATTGATACATCAATATACCTGGAATATTAAAGCAAATTATGAGTATTCAACACTTTCATTTCTAGGTTGCTGCTATGTGCAATAAAACTGAGGCACTTCAAGAAAGCATTGAAAAGACTAGTGGAAGAATGTTAAGATTAGATGCCAATGCCACTGATATTAATGATGAAATCGGTGGGTTTTCAACAGATTCAAAAGATCTTCTTGAAAAGGTAATGATGATTTTGTTTTATCGAACACTTGATATATTCAAAGTAAAATTGCATTTACATAACAATTTGATATCATAATGATTTTATTTTGCATTGTCAATCTCATTGTTTCATTTTCTTATTGATTCTCATCATAATTTGTAATTTCCGACTACATTTTTGAAAAGAGTTGCAGAATATTCTGACCATATTTGACATGAGATATTCTAATTTACTCCATCTTCTTCATTGTATAATTCAGATAATTATTCAATCATTATCCATCTTTTCTTTCTATTCAACTCTTTACTAACATTTTCCATTTCTTCAATCACTAATATAATTAATAAATTCACCCCCAGATTCCAGACATGTTTATGGAAGAAGGATCAGCTTATGAGGTTCGCAAAACTGAATGTTGCAAGCATTTGTTTTGTGAATGTTTTGAATCTGAATGAATTTATTGTGTGTTTTTTTAATTGTTGTCTTGTTCTATTTGGAGCACAATAGGGTTGCTTTATAAATAAAGTCACAGGGATTTAATTATTAAAATATGATATCATTTATTTCTGAATAATTAATTACTCTTTGTAATTGTGTTTTGAGCATAGAATCCACTGTGTTGGCTCTTCAAAACTTGAAAATATAATATATTGTTCAATACTGAAAAAAAATAATAATTAAGGAGAGAATCCATGCATGTGGTATAAACAAACACCATAATACTAAGTTGATGACCAGGAAAATTTTAGCTATATAAGCGTTATGATCGTTCATTAATGATGGGCATAGCTTAGGTACAAAAGCACTATTTCTTACACTGAAGCTTATTGAAAGATCGTTTGAAGCACTGACTCAATTTCACAGTTTTGGTTTTACCTTATTGATGTGGGGAGATAAGTTGCATGCAGTTGTTCACTGTTTATTTTTCTATTGAAATTTGTGTGGTTTGCTGTGAGAATTTTAACTCAAGCTAATATCTAACTTATTTTCGTACTACAATTCTAGCTTAAGGAAGATGCTTCAGGAGACAATGACGAATATCTTCAAAAATTATATGACGCTGAAATGTTGTTAACAAGAATGAAGATGAGAGTATTTAAACCTATGAAGAAGGTCGCTGATGCTGAACTAGCTCAAGCAGAAGAATGTAAGTAAAACAGATATAAGAATGCTTACAAATATACTTGCTATTTCATAGAAAAAGATTAAGTTATTTTTCAGTGTCAAACATGAAGCAATTTTTTTTTTATATGTAATATTTTTATTTATTCAGTATTTGGACTCGTAAACATCAACTTCACTCTGCCTTCCGAGGATTTGGATCAAAGAGTTGGAAACGTTAGTCAAGATCTCGGTGACAAATTGGCCAAAATGAAAGAATTAAGAGCTCATTTGAATGATGCTATTAAAACTGTAACAGAAGTAGCAACATTGAATGCCGCCAATAGTAAAGCACTCACAGCAGGCAGAGATGCCATTAACAGTAAGTGTCTAATTTGTTATTTCATGGCGGGTTTTGATTTAGTTGGTTGAATATCACATCAGTATTTTGTTTTTTTACAGGAATTACTGTTGAATTTGAAGAAATCAATCAAATAATTGGTGATGCACAGAATGTGTTAAATGGAGGTGGTATTGATGAACCTGGTGTGTTGGACAGCGATGCTTTACTGGAAGCTATTGATCAACTTCAACCTGTTTATGATGCTTATGTTGTGGGATTAGAAGGAATGGAGGAACTTGTCAATATGGTTAGTTTTTTGCATTACTTGACAGTAATAAAGTGTTCTCAAATATCTAGTGATTTAGTTGGTCAGTGAAACGTAAACCATATTTATGCCTGCTTTCGAAATCAAAATTTACCTAGTCAGACTAGTCTCAATTTTACACAAGATGCAGTTTTAGTCAATAATATTCAGCAGTCCTTTTCGCTGGTTTTCAGCTAAACTTGCTTAGTTTTGATGTCTTTTTGCATCCTTGTTGATTATTGATCGAAATTTCTTTATTCTATAGTCTATTGAAAAAGCTAACATGTTGAAGAATGATGCTGATATGCTTTCACAACTAGTTGAAGAAACAAAGAATGATCCTCGTAATGTTAGAGCAGTCGAAGCTGCAAACAGATATCAGAATATTATCAATGTTATGGAAAATGCACGAGAGGCAGCTGACAAGGCAGATTTGGTAAGTTTAAATTTATATCTGATGAAATACAAAATGACCAGCAATAATACCAACTTTTAACATATTTTTACAAGGAAAATTATGAAGAATTTTGTGGTAAAAAATTTGTATTATTCTCGTAGGATGCTACAGAAGCAAGAGACGATGTAGCTGAAAAGAATTTAGGTAAAGCAGCTGATGAAGCAAATGTTGCCAGTGGGAAACTTCTCAATGAAGTACAAGATATTCTCAATACCAAAATTGGTGACCTTCAGAATGATCTTAATGTAAGTTGAATGATATATATGATGGTACATGCTGTTTAACATTCAATTAATGAAACAAGATTTGACATATATTTAATATATTTAATAGGCTGCCAAGAAGAGTTCTCAGGAAATGGATTCTTTGGCAAAAGATCTCTCTAAAAGAATGGAAGCAGTGAAAGATGGTGCTACTACTTTAGATCATGGTAAGAAAATATCATATTGTGATATTTTCTATGTATGAAAGATGTAACATTCACAAAAGCTTTCAGATTTATTTAGCACACATACATGTTTCTTCAAACGCCTATATTTTTTTTTCTCAGGTGATATTGATGCCAAAATACAAAAGACAAAAGAAGATGCAGCAGCAGCTTCAGATATTGCTGATGATGCTTTGAGAGCAGCACAACAATTACAAGACAAGATTGACCAAGCTCCTGATCCAAATATTCCACTTAATCAAGAGCTAACTGATGTTCAAGACATATGTAAGTGTCAGATTGGCTCTGTTTCTCAGTTCCCCATGCAAAAGTAACAGTTAGCTATTAAATGACACAGATTGAATAAGTTTGTAGTTGAGAAAAAGCATATGGCATGCTAAAAGACCATTTTGTTAACGGAGAGGAATTTAGGATTAGTTTTCATATTGGTAATGGGTGCTTTCCAAATTTTCTAATCATATTACAAATGCATTAGTTATGTTAAATAGGATTTGATTTTGTCACCCGTTTGATTCACATTTTAAATTGTCTTTTTAGTGGCTGATCTACCCGACCAAATTGCTGATATGAACGCACAAGTGGAAGAGCTTAATCGACGTGCTGCTAGAATCGCTTTACTTCCTAAAGATCTTGCATTGGATGAAAAAATAGGTGAAATAAGAAAGAAGATTGAATTGTCAAGAAGCCGTGCTGACAACGTAAGTTAAAAACTGATACCTTGCATAATTTTGAATGACGACTTGGATAAAAAAAATTTGAGGCAAAATTTTTTATTGACGCAATGAAATTTTACTCTTTGGAGCTTCTGATTTTCATTGTGAATCTCAACATAGAACATTCTGTTTTACAGGTCAAGGTATCAATGCAATTCAAGCATGTACCTCTTGCTGCTGCAGATGCCAAGCCTGAATATGCACAAGTTCACATCCCACCACAGTCATTTGATCTCAGTGACAACATCAAGATTGAAATGTACGTCAACATCTCAAAATCACCAGACAATTCTCTCTTATACTTAGGAGATGCTTCAGTAAGTATAATATATATATATATATAAAGCATAAAGATATATTATATAAGAAATGGTGTTATATCACTCCTACTTGTTTACAGACTGCTTCTGGGGATTACATCGCTTTGGAAACTATTGGAGGCAAAGTACACTATTATTATAAAGTTGGATCTGGTGTTGGTGAAATTATTGGTACACATCCAGCAATCAATGATGAAACGTGGCATCGTATTGTCATCGAAAGGTATGTGAAGTTAAATAAAGTAATAGTGTCAAAGTTTTATATTTTCAAAAAACTTTTCAAGACTAATTCTTCTGAATCTGTGTAATTCGCTGAAAAATCAGAAATAAAATTGGGTTATTATTTGAAGGTGCATCATTTAATTATATAAAATCTTGTTACCTCGTAGTTTTAAACTTATCCACGTTTGTACAAACACATAACACACATAAACACATTTTAATAAACAAAGAAAAAAAAACAAGATTGGATCACTACAAGTTTTCAACCTTGATGGATATCGTAGAGGCCGCCATAGAAGAACAAGGGCGGATTATTTGCCTGGTGCACCAGAAAGGCTGGTATCCCACAAGACCATCTTCTTGTTAGGGGGCAATCCATTGCCAGTGGTATGTAATGGTGAAAGTTGTATGGTGATCTGAGTGGATTTGGTGAATGAGTGAAGTTGCACAGCAATTGTGCACTCACACTCAAAATGTTGAAGATATCAGAAATGAAGCAATATTTCATAGTGTAGCAGAAGTCATCATTATATTTTAAGTTTTGGTGATTTTATGATGGGTTGGCGTGTTTTGATGTATCAAAAACTGCCTGAAACGGTAAACTATGACACCCCTTCGAAACCAGCCAAACAACAGTAATGTTTAAAACACTGACATCTCATCATCACATATGTCATTGGATAAACAATTTGTTTACATGTACAAACGTCATCAGCTGTGAGCATCAAATTTTAAAATATGGATGATCATTCTTCTCAAGCTATCTGCATTTTTTTGTCATCCTATTAATCTCTTTCAAAGCAGTTATCTTAATCAAATCTTCATTTCCACACTTGACTTATCTTCTCCTGTATACTCATCTGTACATAACAACAAAGGCACCCATCTGAGCAAATATCTAGTGCAAAGCTAGTCTTTTGTGCTCAAATTAACTCTGGGAGTTATGATGGAAATGACTTCTTTACAAAACAAGTAACATTATTAAAGCAGTTTCAGTTTCTGAGTTGTACTATGAACAAGACTAAATGACACACATAAAACATGGTTATGTTTAACAATGTACACATGCAAAATCATGACAAACAGAGATACCATAATACATTTTATGATATACTGAACATAGGTGCATTTTTCACCTTCACAATGTCATCTTGTGTCATATTCTCATTTAATCATTTTCTCTGCAGAAATGGAAATGATGCATCACTGGAAGTATTTTACCCTAATCCTACAGAAGGGCGTGGAGACTTGTTTAATTCTGGTGCCATAACTAGTAAAGTCCAGACTGGAAAAACAGATGCAGCTGAAATAGAATCGTCTCTACCAAGGGAGACAACGCCATTTGTTGTTGGTGGTTTGCCACCCATGCCGGTACAAAACTATTTATAGTTTTATCAAAGTCATTAATTTGTCCTAGTACTATACTGAACTGGAAATTCAGATGTCATTAAATTAAATGGTGTAGTTGCATGTAGTTTTATTTTAAATTTATAAATGCATGAATATATTTATATAGTCATGAAATGACTTTTCAATAAGCGTATTCGTGATTGGAGGTGATCAGAATCTTTTTTATATCTTCTGACAAATTTTCACTTACCGGTATATTATTCAGAATTTTTGTAAGAAATTATGTGAGATATAAATTTGAAATGGTTTCAATTAGCTACTTAAAGATATTCATAAAGATATTTGTATTTCAATATTACTATGAGGAAATGAATTTAATGCTAAACTAGATAATTATCAATCATACCAAATCTTTAACATATATACTTCTACTAACAGCTACCAGGAAAAATACAAAACAATCAAATGACTGGATGTATTGAGGGTGTTAAAGTTAATGACGAAAGTGTTGGACTCTGGAATTTTGTTTCATACAATGGTCCAAAGCCTGGTCAAACCTGTGCTGGAGAAGGGTGAGTTGTGACAAACCTTGTTATACTAAGAGAGGATAACGTATTTAGTTATGGAAACATGAATCAAGATTTAGTCAAAGCTTTTTCTAGGACTGGACGCTCATCAAGAATAAATTGTTTTAGATTTTCTTGGTCTGAACGGTCAAATCCGATATCTGTTTGCTTATTTTGAAATCTAATTTTTTGTTGCTTGATTGACATTATGGATACTAAACATATGTTTTTATTTTTTATCCTAGTATCTTTCATTTCCCTAATTTATGCTCTTTTTTTCATTTCAGACGCAAATCACCACTCAGCGTTTCAACTAGCAATAGATATTGGCGTTTCCGAGGTGTTGACAGTTACATTCGAGCAAGTGAAACACAACTTCGCCAACTAAATTCCTATGCAGATACTACTGGAATCAGCTTTGTTAGCTTCAAATTTTTGACTAAACAACATGATGGCCTGCTTCTTTTCGTCGGACAGAGCGTGGTATGTTATTTTTATATTCACAGTAACAACAATTGCCAAATGTCACATTTGAATACAGTGATTAAAATATCTACTTTTCATTATCATTTTAGGATCAATTCTTTGCTTTGGAAATTAGAGATGGTAAATTGCATTTGTCTTGCAATTTTGGTTGGGATGAACCTAAAGAAGGAGTCAGCACTGACACATACCCAGATGTATCCACCATTGCACAAGCTTTCAACGTGAAGATCGGAATAGTTAATGTTGGCAGAAACGTAAAGATGATTGCTTTGGTCCTCAACACTGAGTAAGTATAAGTTTGGGCTCGTTATTATTTGATTATGAGGACATATACAGTGTCAGTTCATTAAGAATCTTGGCTTGTTTTAGATTAGAACTTTGTACCTATTATTATAAGTCCAGAATGCAAATGAGAAACTACACAACAATATATTTTGACAAGAGTTTGAAAAAGTAAAACGCTCTAATATTAAATGCAATTAAACATAATTTAGTGAACCAACATCATTTTTTGTATTAACAAATGTTTCATCACAATTCACAACAGGCTCAGCATAAACATGACTTTCACGGATTGGTCACCAAATATTCAAGGCGATGTCTGGTTTGGCGGAATTCATAGAAATGACATCAAACAAGAGTAAGTTAAACTGATTTTTTATTCGAATCTTTGTGGGAAAAGTAAATCATTATTCAACAGTAAACTTCATATTTTTTTTACAGATTTAGTCAATATGTAAAGAACATCAATACAAACTACCGCGGATGCATCAGAGACTTATCTTTCCATAGAAGATATACTTTCAATATTTACGAAGCTTACGAAAGAATCGGAGTCACCCCTGGATGTGATGGAGATGTATGAAACCTTTTTTTATAAATTAATAGAAATGAATTATCGTCACGGCTCACATACTCTTAATCAATAAAATAATTCTTATTATTTCTTTATTTAGGACATTCCGCCCATTGACGCCAAAGATGAGGGGTTTATTAGCATAGCAGACAATTATCCCAATGTTGAAAATATGGAAGGACTAGCAAGAGAACCTGAACCTACTCCATCGGCAGCAACTGTAGTACCAGATATTGTGCCACCAGATGAGGTACCAAAATGAGACACCGCTGCACAAAATTAAATTCGCAGATGTCACATTCTTATTCAATTGAATAAGATAGCATCACATCGCCATAAATTTGATTGAAGACTCATTAATCTAATGGGATTGCGCTTGCACGAAATTTCACAATCACCATGTTTTGGAAACAAAAATGTTGCCTCATTTTTATTTCTGTAATTGTGTGTGTTTTTATCATATTAAAATATTGCTTGATTACAAAATCTGCCACATGAATCATTCCTGGCTGGCTTATAAATTGACTTTTGATTTTGTGTGTAGAAATAACATTCTTTTGCTTACTAATATCAGTGTATTTCATCATCTTGTTAGACTGCATATTGTCTTTTAGGTAGATATTATATATTCCTAATACGTAGAAACTTATTGATGGGTTGAAATATCATAATTTTTTACTAATTTTGCTAACTTTGATTACTGGTGATGTCAGTGCTTTCATCAAAATAAATAAACTGTTTTAATATGCGACAAGGGTTTCTAAATTATGATATTGTTACATCATAAATTAAAAATTTGACTAAGGTATTCTTGCTTCATGTCAAAACAGTGTTCCCTGTATATTTGAAGTTCATTGCAACACATGATGGTGTTTTAACAAAACATTTAAATATGGGTGACATTAAATGAATGCATATGTATATCGATTAACATATCCAGCCTGCTAGATGTTAGAATCCTTACATCAAAATCCAAAGAAATGTAGTAGTGTAGTGCGATATTATTAACGTTAGCAGTAGATCAATCACATCTTGATAATATGTTTATACATTATACTTGATCAGGCATTTTTAGGGTTATTTGATATTCCACTATTGTTACCATTGATTGATTCTTTTGATAATATTCATGTTGTGCACAAAAATGTACATTCCAAATATGACCGAAAAAATTGTGAACTGTTTTGCAAATACTGTCTTTTATAAATCACTTTTCTGGAACGATCTTTTTTTTTTTTTAAACTTTTGGACACAACTCCGATTGTACTTAAACGTCCAGCATTTTTAAACTATGTAAATGTAGGTCTTGTCCTTTTGCTTACCATGGTATTGAAGCACATTCCCATTTGTATATATTCCTTTTTAGCCTTCTCGATCAGCATAAGTAGTTCTGTTTTGCTTTGTTTTAGTATTCTCTGTAGCTTTAGTTTTCTCTGGATACATCTCGTGTTAACTTTTATCTTAGGGATTTTTACATGACCCATTAAAATTCAAATAATTTTTCACCTTTTAAAGTTTGCCCTGATATTAAGAATTGATATTTTCGATTCTAGCATCAGCGATTTGTTTATTTACTTTATAATTCGTCGCCCAGTGTTTTGAATTTGTAAATTATTTCAAATTCATTTGCCAAATTTCATCAATTTTGTGTGTGCTTTTTCAATTATCAATTAGAAATTTGAAATAAAGTTATCTGGATTGAATCAAACAATACAATTTGTGGTCATGAGGTGTTGAATACATATTTTCAATGCAACTTCGCAGCTGTCAACTTACTAATAATGTGTGCATGCTTCTATCATCTACGCTTCAAACTAATGTGCTGAAGCTTGCAACTAATAGAGCACTGGTTCTGTCTGCTTCATGCTCGGAAGCATGTTGAAGTCTACTATCATGCGTCTTCAGAAAAGACTTCATTCACTGCATCTTGATACGGATCGACTGTGATTTGATTCAATCACACACAATTTAAATGGATGAAAAAAAATTGATTTTTTCATCCATGTCGTGAGTAATTAATTAAAGTGAAAATTTTGGTATAATTTATTCGTTATTGTCAAATCTTGCTTTTGATTTACAATTATTTTTCAATGTTTTGAAGGGTGTGGAGGAACCAGTGGTTGAAACTGAAGAAGTAAGACCGCCGCGTACTTTCGATATAGAAGATGCACGTCTCATCTATGTACCTGATGATCCTGATGAAGCGGTTTTAAAATCTGATGGAAAACTTGATGATACGGATACAGGACTGATGGATAAGAATGCAGATGTTAGCAGTAAAGAAGTTGGTAATCTCGATGATTCAATGATAAATTCTGAAAAACCAGTTGCCAACGATAAACCAAATGAGAAAGTATCGATAGACATACTTAAAGAAACAGTTGTTGTTGATCCACCACTTGAAGATCCAAAACTGAAAATCAAAGAAGAAAATGTCGAGATTGTTCTGGAAGAAGAAACTGGCATGGGTGATGAAGTAATTGATATCAAAGAAGTTGATATAGAAATGGAAAATTCGAAAGAGGTTGTTGGTGAAACTTTAAAGAACGTAAATGAACAAATAGGGAGCAACGCTGACATAGAATCGGACGACACTGAAACAGCTGATGAACCTATATCAGTCGAAGATGATGCACCTGGAGAACTAAAAGCAGAGGCTTATGGTGATCCAAAAGAAGAGGCTCAAAATTTTGCTGAAGATGATGTGGCATCCTCCAGTGTTGTACCAGCCATTCTCATCATTATTGGAGTTATTGTAGGCGTGGTTCTTTTTGCTGCCGTTGTGTCTGCGGTCATGAAAGGGGGCTTGTTTGCAGGTGGGGCCGGCTCGGTTCCAGCAAATCCACCTCCTCCACCAATGGAACAAGCACCTCTAAATGATGTGCAAGCTCAGCGCGTTGCTCAAATGGATTGGTAATTGATCCATGATATTGTGAAATGTAAATACTTTGTATGATACTATATGTATGTGTTTTGTACTTGAGCACGCTTTTTGTGATTAAATATGATGGCTGATAATAATTTACCTACGAACGCTAGGCGTCTTAATGTTGTATTGTGAACCGTTCCCACATGTGACACATTTTAATTAACTAGGGATATGTTTTTTTAACAGTTTGTTATGGTTTACAGTATGTTTGATCAGTTGGCCCTGCGATGATATCTTTCGTTGTCAGTGATTTCTAATAAACCCAATCTCAATACTATTTGGTTTTCTTGATGCAAGTTTACTTCTGCTTCGGATAGTAGTTCAGTATGGGTATCTAACAAGACAGCAGTCCTTTTGTGCATACAACTAGCAAGAATTGATATTGAGCTACACGCGATTGATTGGGAGAAATCCGGAAAAAGTAAAGTTTAAGTCTGCACAGCTGGGGTCTCTCGTCGACGGGCGTGCCAACGGGGGGTTGCTGGTCGGAACCCGTCCCTAAAACATAGCAATTTTTTGTAGCTTGAAACTCTTTTCAAACCCCCAAGACTCCTGAAGACCTACGTTTTCCGGTTTAAGGTTCATATTTCAACGATGCAATTGTATGTGGCGTATTGTAATGGGCAGGTCCTCCAGACATACAAATACCTGAAAACGTAGCCAGTCGTTCTGTCATAGTCAGCCAGTCAGTCAAACATAGTATGTCATTCAGTCATTTTGCCGAGTTATCACACACGATAACAAACATGTTTCATCAATAACTCACCAGGAAGAAAAAGTCTCATGGCAAAATAGCTTTTTAAAATATGGCTCTACAATGAAAATTGAGTTCGAAAATTCGAAATTTTTGTTCGACCGATTCGAATAATTTACTATTCGATTCGAAATGCCCAGCCCTAACGACAATATGAATTTCACTGGATGGCCATTAAACAGTCACCTAAAGATTGAGTTCTGCATTCCAGTTCGAACTTTTGATCAATGAAGACAAGACTAGATTGTTATTAATAATAATCAATTCTCTCTTTCAGTATGACTGTGAAATCTGCGACATAACAGAACTTTGATAATTCTATATTGTCGAATGCAATTTTGAGCGGGGAAAGATAAAGGTACTTGTGGTTTATGAACTCTTTATCTGATTGAATAATTCACCAAAAATATACGTCACCCACCGTCAATAATAGTAGTTCCGAAACTAAAATTCAAGATATTTTTAATTAAGCATGAGAACCCTGAGTGTTGATAACCAGCTTTGGTTGCCCGCCGCTTTCCTTACTCAGTATAAGTCAGTAAAACTGTGTGATTCTATTTTTCTCGTAATTTTGTTTAACTGGCTGTAAAAAAGGATCTTTTCTTAGTTCATATTGACTTGAATCTCTTCATCCTTTCTTTTATATCGAGCAAATTTGTATGCAATATAGAAATCTGTATTAGGACCCTCTTAGTCATTTTTAAGGCTTTGTTAGACATCCTGAATTGTCCAAAAAATTATTTTTTTCATTAGCTTTTATATATATCTGATTTTGAGAGTGATATAGTAAAAGTGAAATTATTTAGTCCCACGATATTCGATATTCTCTTTTCAGAAAAATTTGGCATTTTGGAGCAAAAAATAATAACGATAATAACAATTTATTTCACGTTATAAACTTCGCCTAATGAAAAATAGAAGAATTAAACTTACTACTAACCGATTGCCAAAATATATAGTTTGATTGGAAACTGTCCTCAAAACAGAATGGCGCTATTTCATTTCTGTGAAATTGTGAGTAATAAAGATGATGTTTCTATCGCCAGCCAGTACGGTTGTGTCTACGCCCGTCAAATGTAAAGAACCAACAACTCAATTTGGTTTATATTGGCTAAATAGTATTATAAAGGGACGCTCTTTTATTCGATAAAAAAATTCTGGATTCCTACGGACACATATGCCTTTTTCATTTTTGAACACAAATAACAATTAAAGTAGGCCAACACATTTTTGATTAGCATGTTTATAGGTATAGTTTTTGCACTTCAGGAAGTAAATTTTAGGAAGTTGTTGAGTGAAATGAGGCGACGTAGCAAGAGAAATGACGCGACTCGTGCGTGTATCTCACTAGTGAATTTTCTTCCTTTCCAAAGTACTGTTCGATAGAAAAATCAGCATTCAGTGGAAGAGTTATCGGAGGGTTTGCAGCCTGTAGGATAACGTAAATAAAGAAAATCTTGGATATCAATAGTCGTCATGCCCGTTTGCAATTTCGAAAAGAAGGACTTAAGTTTTTTTTGGCGTTATGGAATAGTACAGTTATTATTGGGAGTCAAGCATTCAAATACAAAAGAGGCAAGGCCTTCAGGTCAATTAGAAAACTGTGTGATTATATTCTTAATGTAGCAGCAGCACTTGCGTTTCATATTTGTTACGAAATACTCAGAATTTGATATCATCAGACATATACGTATCTCACAGTGATAGTTACTTTTGGGAGTATTTGGAAGCGGTCCAATTAACAGAAACGAAGATAGTCGCGATCGTTATGCCAAGGCAATTAGCATCGGAAAACTACTTGACTTTTTTCCATTTATATATTATACAACATTTGAAAAAGAATTGTAATAAATCTAATCGAAATAAATCATATGAGTAATTTATAATTCTATCTTTTTATTATTCATAAAACAAAATAGTAAAGCACTCCACTGCAAAATGTTGTGGTTGTCAGTGCTGCTTCTTGTTGCAGCAAACTGGGACAAGACCGAAGGACAACTGAGGGTACCGAAAGAACCAAATGTACTAACTCCTCCTTACTTCAACATTGCTACTGGTATGCTGGCTATTATTAAAAAATTAAGCAATAGTTGGTAAATGACCGTTTGCATTTCATGAAGAGTTCGTTTTAAAACAATTTTTTAATTTAAATTCGACGTTATATTGGATCTCATGGATTCGACCGAATTATGGAGTAGTAGTGAGATTTGTGGTTAGAAGTTAAAATCTCCATCCGACAAGAAACATCGTGATATTGTCAGTAAATACCTTTTTTGCGACCTTTATTTCATAGGAAAAGAAATTGAATCGACTGCAACGTGTGGTGAAAATGGCGAACAAATGTTCTGTAAGTTAACTGGAGGTCCGAACGAATTTCTATACAACGAAAATTTACGCCAAGGCCAGTTCTGTGACATGTGTGACGCCAACGATACAACAAAGTCCCATCCAATTAAATACGCGATAGATGGAACTGAAAAATGGTGGCAAAGTCCGCCACTGTCTCAAGGGAATGAATTTAATAAAATAAACATCACATTACACCTAGGACAGGTGAGTTTATATAATGTCGTTTAAAGTGAAAGATTTTTAGGATCTGTGATCATTTGAAACAACAGCAGAGAGTCTCCTTATAGAGTTTGTATGAGTACAACATAACGATATTGGCGCTCGATATATAATTAGAAAATAAAGCAATGGCTTACTGTTCTTTACAGGTCAATTGATGACAATTGTTTCCAGTTGATATTGCTTCCACCAAAGTCAAAAAACAGCGGGTTTTTGAAAAATTGCATAACAAATAACCTGGCGATTCATAATTAACATTTTTGTAACAGGTGTTTCATGTTGCATATGCCATAATCAAGTTTGCAAACTCACCCAGAGCGGGTACTTGGGTTTTGGAACGATCGTCTGATCACGGTAAAACCTTCCAACCTTGGCAATATTTTGCCAATAGCAACAGCGATTGTTATAACCTCTTTGGCATCGATGCATTTGAAGAGATTACAAGCGATGATACCGTTATTTGTACATCCGAGTATTCAGATGTTGTTCCGTTGGAACGTGGCGAGGTATGATATTGTTTTAGCGTGAACGAAACTACTATTTGGGGATAAATTTACAAAATTTGTTCCAGGTCATTGTTTCTATGGTAAATCGTCGCCCAGGCGCTAGAAATTTCTCTCACTCCCCAGTTCTGCAAGAATGGAGCAAAGCCACCGATGTGAGGTTAAGACTACTTCGGACGAAGACGCTCCTCGGGCACCTGATGGCTGTTCAAAGACAAGATCCAACCGTTACAAGAAGGGTATTTAGTTTTTATAAAATTATTTGTGAATTTGATATTCCATGTTTTGCAAATCCTGTAAAATTGTTTCTTTTCAGTATTTTTACAGTATCAAAGACATCAGCATTGGAGGTCGGTGTGTTTGCCATGGCCATGCTGATACGTGCTTGTCTGATCCTGCAAATAAATACAAGTAAGACAGCATGGATTTATAACCCATCTTGAAAAATCGTTATTTGAATTTCACGTTCGTAGTGCATGATGATAGATGATGACAATATTTTAATTTCGATTGATAAAAAGTGGAAAAATTAAAAAAAAAATACCATAAACCTACTCTTGTTTTTTAACCTTTTGTTGTATTTACAATTTTACCGGATTCATGTTCAAGATGAATTCTTATTTTGCCTCATTTATACAATTTGGTGATCGTACGTTTCAACACATGTACATTTGAACCCATATATTTGCACCCGTATATCCGCGGGTTCAATCTATATGAGGGTGCTAACATCCATGGGTTAGGGTTAGTATGGGTTCGAATATCCGTAAAAAATAAATTTCCATAGGTGCAATAGTATGCAGATGTAATTGTCGTGGGTTCAAATTACGGGTTCAAATGTACGTGGGTTCAAATGTAATGGAACCATACCATTTATATAGGCTTAAATGTGAATGTCGACACAACACCTGTGGAAATAGCTGTGAGTATTGTTGCTCAGGCTATTTTCAAAGAGAATGGAAAGCTGCAGTGCCGGAAAGTTCAAATCAATGCGAAGGTAATTTAAATTAGCAAGTGGTTTTTCTGAACTTGGAATATAGTGATATTGAATATATGTATTCGAATAGATGTTGACTAAACACAGCGAAACTTTGGGCTATAACATAGTTAATTCTTGACACGATTTAGTGAAGAAATGCAGGAAATTTAATTTGCATGTTTTTCCATTTGCGATCTACTAATAATTGTTCAAGTTTCTGGTAGAATAACATATATTTGCAAAGTTGATCCATAGAAAAGCATCGAATTTTTTTTTAGCCTGTAACTGCCATGGGCACAGCTATCAATGTTATTACGACGAGCAAGTAGCTATTCGTAGACAATCTTTGGACATGAATGGGAATTACGAAGGAGGCGGAGTGTGCCAAAATTGTTCCCACTTCACTGCCGGAATAAACTGTGAGCAGTGCATGGATGGCTATTACAGACCGGCAGATGTCGATCTAAGAGATCCTAACGGGTGTAGATGTAAGTTCAATGTATTTCAAACAAGAGCTAAATTAGGTATTAGAATTAGATGAACAATTTGATATCACTTTCCTGAAGGTCATCCCTATGACCCATGAAGATTCTGGAATAAAACGCTATTAACTCATCTTGTCTGTAATTTTTCATGAGCAAAATCATGTATTAATCGATCAGTGAGATCGAGAAATCTAACCGTCGACTTAATGAAAACAATATATTGACATTTATTACCACATCATTTCGTCTTATTCAGATCCTTTGGTATTTTGGGATATTTAGATTAAATTTTCTTAGAATTGTATTCGTTTATAAATATATATATATTGTATAACCTTTTATCATATTCGAGAATATCTGCAGGCAACAAAAATTTCACTTTTGTAGCATGTGAATGTGACAGCGCATTTACGGTTGGAACTTGTGAGTCAGAAACGGGTCGCTGCTACTGTCAACAGCAATACGAGGGGGATAGATGTGACAGATGTGCAACAGGCTATCACTTGTTTCCGGAATGCCCACGTAAGATCAATTAACTTATATTGTGAACCCGTAATCCCCGGAAACTAGACGATTTTGCCGAACTGTATCCAGCCTATACGGAAGTTAGTCATGCACTATTTCGAACTATCGACTATCGAATTACGCGATTAAACCTATAGCATGCATAATTTAGAATAGAAAAACAGTGGTTTGAAAATATAAACACGATTTTACCATTCAGCTTGCCCGTGCTTTTACAACGGTACACGAGACAACGTCTGCCTTCCTGTACACGACGCCTGTCCTTGCAAGTACAACTATGCTGGAATGTACTGCGACGAGTGCGCTGCAGGATTCTACAACTTTCCCGACTGTATTCGTGAGTAGACTGCTAATATAGGAGACGAAATAACAATATACATTTGTCATACCCTTCAGTACGTAGGCATAAGCTAACTCCCAGACTAGTCCTTGGAAATACGATACGAATACAGTCATGATGCTTTCTATGCCTTGGCGACATTGGTAGTGGACAAATATAGATTGCTGAAGACTTGTAGTCTACATTTCACTACTGGAAGTGCCTTTATAAACGTTCATAATATGAAATTTATCGATTCCTCAAAAATAGCATCACTCTCAAATTTTAAAGAGTTGTCTGCAAGCATTTTCCTTACGAATATGGAATGAAACCTTGCAGCCACTTGGTGAATGTTTCCCGACCCTTGACCCCAGAAAAGAACTCCAAAATTGCGAACTTTTTCAAGAGTATTTTCGCGAGTTGGCTCGTGCAAACCGTTTCAATTTTTTAAAACCAACATTTTGGGTCAAATTCTTCCTAGTAGCTGCCAATAAAAAGTTCCGATAACTAATTTTTAAGGCTCAGTTCATCTCGTTTTACACAGTCGTTTTTGATTACTGCAGTTAAACTTTCGATACTATACTATTTTGTTTTTCACAGTATGCGCTTGTACTGGAGAAGGGGCCACGAGTACGCATTGTGATCAATACACTGGCCAATGCGATTGCGAAGAGGGATTCGGAGGACTTGATTGTGATCAGTGCGCTCCAGGATATTACGATTACCCGTTTTGTCAAAGTTGTGCGTGCTTGACAACCTTTACTACAGAACAGGTGAATTCGTATATATATCTCCCTGACATGGTTAATAAACTCCCTACCCTTATATTTATACTTCTATTTCAATCATTACTTCATTTTTATTTAGATTTGTAACCCGAAAACCGGAGAATGCTTGTGCACAGAGTTAGTTACTGGCGATTCTTGCAACCAATGCATATTGGGGTATTTTGATTTTCCACAATGTAAAGGTGTGTCTCCTTATTAAAAATATATATGGCAATCTTCATTGACTAATAACGGAACACGTTCCAAATGCTAGCTCAGCGTGGGAAAATATTATGGTAATGAGGAATTGAAATGATGCAAAAATATATTTTTAATTCTTCTGCAGAATGCGAGTGCTCAAGCACTGGAAGTACAAGCAATTTATGTGATGCTGAGATTGGGAGATGTGATTGCCTTCCCAACTACCAAGGATTAAAATGCGACGAATGTGTACCAGAGTTTTACAAGTAATGTATTTTTGTTTTGCTGTTTTTCATTATATTTAGTGACATCTTACATAAATGTAGCCCATGTCTAATAACCAACCATTATTTTGGTCTTAATATATTCATAATTGAATTCACACAAACATGTTGACGTACATGACCTTCATGCAAAGTTTGATATTTTTAGTCATGCTGACTTCAAGCGCGTCGTGAATAAACTTATAAGTAGGCCTACACCAACTAAAACCACATTCGAAAAATTACTAATTTGTTCAACCAGTCGGGTTAGAACCCCGTAATTTATATGGATGTCACAGAACTGAAGTTTATCTGTTACTTTTTCATGAAATGGTCCTAATGGCCAGATCAGAATCTGAATTAACATGTTGATTGATCCGAAAGTAGATAAACTGTTCTATTTTCAAAATTTGCGACGCCTAAGATTTAATCTCGCAGACGTATATTGACGGGCTGTGACATACCATTACAATGCAACGATCATCCGTCTTAAACTGTTGAAGTGAAAATGTATACTAAATGCAATTCTTTATAATTAATTAAGCTATCCAAACTGCATTCCGTGTAATTGCGATCTCCGAGGATCACGTCGCACTACCTGTGACCAGCAAACTGGAGAATGTACATGCACAAGCTTCGTTGTTGGCACTCGGTGTGATCAATGCGCTCCAGAGTATTTTAATTTTCCCGAATGTGAAGATTGTAAATGCGACAGGAGAGGGATAAAGGCATTTATATCAGGAGAATGCCTCGCATTCACTATAGTGAGTTGATAATATGGAATTCACGTTACGATTTCACAGCTTACCATACGCTGTTCCTTATTACTCATATTATTTTATAAAGGGCCAGTGCGACTGCAAAGAAAATGTTATTGGTAAATACTGCGACCAATGTGCGCCTTTGCACTATGACTTGAACTCCGGATGCGTTGACTGCAATTGTTTACTCCAAGGGACGCTGGATGGCGTGGCGGCGTGTAACTTTGCGGTAATTTTCTTTGGAGTTTAAGAATATATCTTAAATTTTTAGTCGATTGGTATTTGTATTAATTTCAATTATAGGACGGTGATTGCTGGTGCAAAACTTACACAAACAGCCAAAGATGTTCTTTGTGTGATTCAGGCTTCTTTGGCTTGGAAGAAAAGCATTATTTTGGTTGCTCAGGTTGTCAGTGCGATCCTGGAGGCGCTGTGGATGAAAACTGCGATTCAGTAGATGGGCAATGTCGATGCAAGTTAGGAGTATCAGGACGCCAATGTGACAGGTGTTTAGTCTTGATCAGCTTTCTTCTTATATCTTTATGACGCAATAAAGATTTTTTCAAGTCAAACCGAGCCCTGAATTTGGAGAATTGCGTGAACTTTTTTATGCACCTTTTCATATAATGACCTATAAGTGGCGAAATATTGCATCCTAATTTCCATAATAGTTATATTGCGATCTATCTACAACCACAGAGTTTATGAATAATTTTCATGACAAATGTAAAAGCGCCCATTCCGTTTTGAGCAATTTATATTCTGATTAAACCCACTTTAAATTTTATCATCGAATCGGTATATAGCAAAGCAGCAAACTTTAGCAAATTTAATTTTCTTTTTTTTCAAATTTGCACTGCAAATTTACATTTTTTATGATTTCACTGACAATAAGAATATTATATGGCAATAATCTGTAAATGTTTCTTTTATAAGTGTGTTACCGGGTTATTATTACCCAACTCTGCTTCATCATAAATACGAAGTTGAATACGGATTTACATTAGATGACAGTATTTTGCGATTTGGATTCAATGAAACGCAATTTCCAGGCTATAGTATGAAAGGATATGGAGAGTTTTCAGACATTCAGGTCAGACTGAATTTGTTTTTTTATAAAGATGAAATACCAATCATTACGTTATTGTAATATTACTAAAAATTTTCTAATTAAAAAGCGAACAGATTATTACAAAACATTGTTATCTTCAATTATATTCAACCTAGACATAGATATGGATCCTCAATCTTCAAACACTACAATGTAGCAAATATCACATTTTTTTACAGCCAGAGATAAATGTACCAGTGATTGTAGAGAATAGTGGATTGTACAGGATTCTTATCTATTATGTGCAACCGGGAGACAGTAGTGTTGCAAACATTACCATTTCACCTCTCACTTCAGTTGGTAAGCCTGTAAATTAATTTTATCAATTATGTGGTTGAACGTATGAAAAACTTTTATCGGTTATCCATTCCATCTAAAGTCTAAAATAACATCGAATAAATTAACAAGAAATTTCTTATTCATTTACTATTTAAACCTTGCAGTTTGTTAACAACATTCAGCGCTAAATAATTTCAAACACTGGAATTTGTTTCAAACTCCCTTTATTCATTTGATCATATTACAGTTTCTTTTCAACATGTAAATAATGACATTACGTTGGGCGTTCGTGATCTGTTCGTTGTCACTCATCTATCGACTATTTTGACGGCGACTCGCGATTCTATATTAAACAAATACACATGAAAATTTGGAGCTCTGGAAGTATGTGCACCAAGATGGCGCACAACCTGAACATAGTATGTGGTTAGGGTTCAAGTTGTGCGCCATCTTGGTGCACATACTAAGGGAGCACCATTTTTTAGGAATTCTGCTATATGTCTCTATGTAAAACATTGAATGTCAGTGGTCTGTCTCTTGTCACTCATTTATGGATGATATTTTCAATTTTTGTTGACGGCTCGTGATCTTACATTAGAACAAGAGTGTGCTTGAAAAATTTAGTAAGCCTCACAAAAGTAACCTCTTTCATTTGGATGAATCACTAGGTTCTTCTCAAACATTTGAAACTGTGTTTGATTCGAGACCGATTCCTACCATGATGATTATGAAGGATGTTTTTGTGTTGAATAGAGGTCAATGGAATGTTATAATTCAGGGAGATTCTGGTATGTAAACTTTTGTTCATAATAATTTAGGAAAAAGGCTCATGCAAAATTAAAATGATTATTTCAACCAAATATCAGAATGCTGCGGACGTTTGTACGTTAAAAATAAATGAGTCAATCAGTCAAAGCTTAATATGAATATTGAAACGAAAATAAATAAAATGATTTAAAAATATTCTATTCAAAATTTCAGGCCTATTGATCGACTATTTTATCTTGCTACCATCTGAATACTACGAGCCTGGTATATTGCAAGCTAAAATTACGGAACCCTGTAAACCAACACCCGAATCGACAGGGAAAGAATGTATTATGTATTCTCACCCAAATTTGGATTCTGGAACTCATGCCGTATTGGTGGATTTCGTTGACGAAGAAAGGTGAATCGTTTTTCTTCCAAAACAATCATTTTCTGTCTCTCGCCATATATGATATATCTGTCTGCATTTCTCTCCTTTGCTGTTTTTCTTACAACCACCCCATTCTCTCTCGTTTCTTTTTATGTCTCCATTATCAGTGCGTTTTTATAACTTTTTAGGCATGCACAGCCATCAGTTTCCCATCCATTGATGGTAATTCTAGATGGAAACAGTTTAATCGAGGGTAACAGAAAAGCTTCAGCAACACTGAGTCCCGAAAGCGCTGGAGAATATGTCCTTGTTGTGGAATACGCAAGTTTGGTTGATGAGATGCAAACGATTGAGATGCAAGTTACTGATGGCGCTGGTCACGCGTATAATGATACAAAATTTAATGTGTATTCCTGTGGATATTCTTTCCTTTGTCGGCAAGTAGCTTTGACATCCAACAATGATGTAGCGGTGAGTGAAGTCACGAATAATCGGTAATATCGCAATTCTTTTTCTCAATACTAAAAATTCTATTCTATTACATCTAGGTATTCGATGTATCCGTTTCAAACATGGAAATAGAAATGGGCATTGATGCTGGAGAAGTAGTTTACGTTCACGGCATTCATGCAATTCCCCACAACGAATGGTCATTAGAATACGTTCAACCAAAACGACGTTGCATTGCAAAAGATGGAAACCATTTTGACGAGTATGATCTATAATTTTTTCAATTTTTTTAGTTATGAACTGCTATCATATGTTTATTCACATCTGTTAATTATGCTAAATCAGCGGTGAATTATTATTTGTGTAACTGTAACCAATTAAACTATACTTCAAGTACTTTTATTAAATTTGTAATTGTTGTTTACAGAATTTTTCAAACAAAAATCTCTAAACTGTAAACACGAAGATCGAATACCTGAGCGTAGATAGTGTAGCTTAAGCGAAAATCTTTTATGTATCTACTCATTCAAATGCTTCAAATTAAAATTACAAATTAATTTCACCAAGGTAGCAATTTCGGTCTGTACCAACAAGGCTGTGGTTAAACACCGGGTTAGTCGAAAAGGTGGCGGACTAGTTTGGTGGAATGCCACACGGTGGTGCAATATGTGCTATAATAGCAAAATTTGGGGTGAAATACCGAACATCATGGGGAAAAAATTTGATAAAACTGGAATTAATAGTCCATGGTTACAATTTCAATTGGTCCATTAGTTTTGGAGAAAGCTAATTTCCACAACAACGACCGACAATCCCGTGAAAAATAACAATTTAGCCAAACGAACCATTGACTGCTAACATGTTTGTATGTCAGGTGTATTGCATGGTCATATCCACTTCCAGAAACAGGTCGGAAATTTGAGGCTGGCGCACGCAATACATCCGACATAAAGGCTCCTTCAGCTACAGATGAAAACATAGATACCATGTTCATTTCTGGCAACATGTCTATTCAGATTGAAATGAATCTCGACCCAGGAAGGTTTGTATTGTTAGTTTATGAGTAATATTTTCTATACTACTGTTATAGTTACACGAACCAGACATTTCTCAAACACTGTTTGGGAGGGGTGCTTGTATACCGTCACCACAACTTCCATTTTATTTTCAAGATTTTTGTATAACTTGCAACTTTCGTGTTTTTACGGTGCTTTTCGGAAAATGAAATTGGAATAGAATTTCAACTTAGGAAATTTGGCTCAGAATGTTTGTAACTTTTGAATGTAAGCCAAAATAAAGTCGTGGATTTTCAACTAGTATATGGCTATAGGACGAGTCGAAGGTCAATTTTCACACTATTTGATAGATACGTATACATTCTACACTACTACAATCCACACCAGCTTTCCTTTCAACCGTCTGTTGTAATTTCTGGTGGAATAACTCATGAAGGAACAGCGAACGTTACATTTTGTCCGGATGGCGATGGTTGCAGAGCAGTTGTCGTCTCAGATACCGGTGCTGCTTTATTGGATATCATGAATCCAACTCAAACGATGACGATCCAAGTACCGAAAGATAACGAACAACATGGTCGAGGCATCTACATTTTTTTTAAATATTTTAAATTTTGAAATTGTTGAATCGATGTTGTCAAAACTTCTTAATATTATTCTAGAATCAAAGTAAATTATTACGCTGTTTGTAATGTGGTTTTGTTACCACATGTGTGTGTATGTGTGTGTTATATATGTATTTATGTATATATGTTCGTTTGTGTGTATACCCGTCTATTCTTCTTGTCGTTCTTCCTCATTTTATGCATCTTGTTGGCTCAATGTTTTTGTCCTTTGCAATTTGTGATGCTTTGAAAATACAGCCCAAATTATTATTATTTTTTCAAATAAGTCCGTCTATATCGATTTTTTCATCTCGATAGGTAAATCATTTTGGCTGGACTACGTTCTTGCTATACCCGAAGATTCCTATCGCACAGAAATTCTAGATTTGATGAAAATCGACAATACTCGAAAGTTTTTTGAAGAATGTTACAAAGTTGGAGCAAAAGTGAGTGCATATATAAAAAATTCACTGATTTAGCCAGTGCCATGAATGAATCACGCGAATCTGCACGTTAGTTACTTACTCCCTACATTGCTACGGCTGATTTTAAAGTCTGGGCCATATCATCTTCTCTGAATCTAAGTGGGGTCTCTTTGAAAACTTTTAACTTCAGTCTCTGAATTCTCTGATCAGAAGTCATGTTAAACTCAATACCGGGTCGCCGTTTATGCGGAGAATAATGATGTAAGGCTGACTTGATTTATTTGACTTCAACTGTCATATATCATTCTAAGATAATCGTAAATATGTCAGTTCAGAAGTATTGGATTCATTATGCAGTTATTATATAAACTGTTCTATTTGTATAGTGTTTAAGCTTGTCCTTACTGATCTATATTATATCTAAAACTTATCGATATTTCCGAAATTTGTTTGTTTTAATTAACTCTTGGAAATCAATTAAAATTTTCTTGTTTCCAATTTCAGGGTTTGATTGAATTAACCAACACACCATCTGAATTTTGTCGATCTGCTGTATTCTCCCTAACAATGGAATTTAACGATGGAGCTTTATACTGCGATTGTTCAAAAGAGGGGACAATTGACGGGAACGCTAATTGCTCAGTGAGTAAATCATAACATTACCATTGCCATTTGAAAAATGACGTTTTTCTGTTTATTATCTTGGTAACAGCCATCATTTTGCCATTATTTGTAAATAAACACTGTGAATTGCAAACTGTAAAGTCGATATTCAGCACTTACGAGTATTATAAAATTTTGGTTGTTTCCACGTGTGCTTCATACACCTATAAACTGAGGCGTGCCAAACGTTATTGCGGCGAAGGGCGAGTTTGATAGGGATAAGAATAATAAGGATGCCCCTATACCGAACTTAAATAACCCGGAGGATAAACAAATTATAGATTTGTTGTTTTTACTTAAAATGAAACAAATCGATTAAAACATGTAGATTAACGAACAACTCTACAGCTTGGATCTGCTGCCCCCTACAACGTGTTACCCGGGGCAGCTGCCTCTGTGGATCTTCCTCGGGTCCGCCCCTGCCTATAAATTATTTAACAAAAAAAAAAACTACAAATCTTACAAACTAAAAGTTTCAGTTTGCATCCTACTAAAATCAATTCTATTAAATTTGACAGGAATATGGCGGTCAATGCCCATGTAAACCTGGTGTAATAGGAAACCGTTGTGAGAGTTGTAACATTGGGTATTATGGTTATCCTGACTGCAAACCTTGCAATTGTACTGGCCAGCTTTGCGACGAGGTAAGCTAAGTATTGAAATGGGGATAACGTTCATACAAAATTTTGTCCATCAAGGTATTTTAATTTTCGAGTATAATAGCAGTGTTAAAAAACACGAGCGGACAGTTGTATAAAATTGTGTTGTGTTTTCAATACGTTTAAAATTACCCTGTGCATTTGCCTTGTATTTCACCAGAAATAATGCTGGAATAATCCTAGACATAAACACGTAACATACATACAATATTGCAAAATTATATTTCCATTTCAACCTCCATTTCGAACAAGCCTTTTAGCTAGCAACTTTTGTATTTAGGCATTGATATATATTTTGAATTTCAGTTGAACGGTAATTGTATATGTCCACCAAATACCGCTATGCCATCATGTGATCGTTGTCTGCCTTTTACTCATTCCTTCCATCCTCTTGCTGGATGTCTTGCTTGTGATTGTAATAGAAAAGGAGTAGAAGATGCCAAAGATCTTGGATGTAGCGAAGAGAATGGACAGTGTCGATGCAAAGAAAATGTGGAAGGACATATGTATGATTATATTCGCGTCTTATTACCTGATCGAAATAGTTGTAGAAGTAAAAACAAATGGATTGTTTCTAAGTATAATTGGTTAACCGATTGGAATTATTCAACGGTTGTCATTATTTTTGACTATTAATCGTAATCTAAGATAGCAGTATATGTTTGTGAAATTATTTTTTTTTCAAAAATGTAAATAAGCCACATATTTTCTCTCACTCAGTAAACACCAACGAAATGTGGAAAAACTTAAAAAGTTTGACTGCTGGTGACCAGAATTTTGAGAATATAAAAGCGAGTTTTCGATCGGGTTATATGAAGTCGTAATCCCACAGCACTTTAATATCAGTTATTGAACGCCATTTACCAGTGCACATTCGTTTTTTTTTAGGTGCGATAAATGTAAACCTGGATTTTTTGCTTTCCCTGATTGTGTACCTTGCGAATGTGATCCACGCGGGAGTGTTTCACAGGTATGCAATCATGTCAATGGACAATGTTTATGTAAAGATAATGTAGAAGGACAACAATGCGACAGATGTAAATCGGTGAGTGATATGTTAATTGACCACAATTTGATATCAAGCCATATTGAAATATTATTAGAAAATATAAGAGACACATCAGTAGCAAACATACTATTGTTAACACAACAATCATCACCTTATTATGGATGTGCAATCTTCATTGTATCATAAAAACTGTGACGTCGCAACTGCCGTCTTTAGGGATTACGTCGATACGGACCTTTAGTTAATGTCACTGACGACATTGCATATTTAAACATTTTCACAAACTCTAAGACACACACCCTTTTCGGCCATAATAGTCTAGATTATTTGCTATTTACTTTATAACATCACTTTAAATTTAATCGAAAAAGTTTTTGTACCAGGGTACTTTCCACATGGATTTCGCGAATCCATTGGGCTGCACTAAATGTTTTTGCTTTGGCGCATCTGACGAATGTTCAGGCACTTTGTACCCTGAAACGGAAATTATCGAAATGAATGGCTGGACTTTACTTCATTTGAAAACGTAAGCAAGTTAATTTTGTATTTTTGTATTCGCCGGTATGAGATTTCTACTGATTTTGTTGGTTATATAATTGCAGGCAGCATTTGTAAGTTTAGTGAATGGATATAATATATATATTATTGAAATTTGCTTTTTATCCATCTGTAATTTGATTTGGCAATATTTTGAAAATTTCTTGTGCGAAGTTATTAGTGTATATAAAAAACTCAATACAATTTACATTAAATAGCTTATAGTTACAAAGATCTGGAGTATTCCCATACGCTGCAGCTTATACTTTGGTTGGTTTCCTAGATAATAGATTCCAGGATCGAATCCCAACTATCCTATAGCAAATATACTCAAGTCTATTCCCTCTCCGGGAGTGCACCAATCATTGCAAAGGATAGGAAAGGGCCTCCATCTAGCAGCTCTCTATATTTAAGTATTTCATTATAGAGAGAAAAGCTTGAACACACAATCAAATACTAATTATTACATTATTACAATTGCTATTAAAAGGACAGTCGACGTTATTCGATTTTTTGAGAGCTAAAAATCATTTATCATCATAATAGAGACTTTCCAGAAGTACTCGTTGAAGGCCAAACAGCAACTGTTGATATTGAAGCAAACGGCGGTATAAAAGACTCGACCAGACCCAGTTTGTACTGGTTTGCACCGGTTCAGTATCTAGGAGATAAAGTTGGTTCTTATGGGGGAATTTTGCACTACGTAACGGAATCTAGACGGGGCGGACGAGGCGATGCTGGAAGCTCTAGTTACGTTCCGTCGCCTGCGGATAACCCAGCACCGCTGCTCGCGGGGCCACCAAGTGTCGTATTAGAGGTATTTTATTTTATTTTTTGTGGCGTTATTTGAAACATTAATAGCCTCTGCTTGTATTATGTTACGTCCTTTCATGTAATCTAAAATAGGAAGTAAAACGATGGAATATAATATATTTAATTAAAAAATAAGTGTTACTACTATTTAATACTAGCTTTGCTTTTAAAATTGGATGATAAGGATTCTAAAACAATGGCATTGCGATGAATGAATTGAATAGAACCCCACCCTTTCACAAATAAATATTTTAACGCAATACCAGATTCAATAAAAAATACATTTTGTTCCGAAAAGCACTCTTAGAAATAACCAACTTCGATTTTGCCGAGTGCGTACAATTTTTTTCTCTCCATCGGACAATAATATCCTATAAACTCAATCCCCGTTAGACTACAACATAACAAATCTTACTAATATTTTTTGGTGGCGGTATTATTTCATTTGAATTCAAATATATTAATATTAAGTTTGCATTATATTCTATGCCTTGCTTTTATTTCAACCGTATCGTGAACAATACTACGTTTACATTACTGTTTCCTATTTTCATTTTACTTAATATCTCCTCTAGTCGTCAGGAATTGAGTTATAATGAGTTTTTCTTAGCCAATATCTTTTATTATTTGGATTAAAATGTCTCCTTCTAGCTTAGTCAAAAATGATACCATGCACCAGGAATTTCACCGCTGTCGTTTGATTTTTACAGGGGAATGGAATGCTTATCAGGCTTATTAAACAAGAATATGAAGGAAAAGTTTCCGTACTTCTAACTGAAAATAATTTTGTTCATCAAAGTACAGGTAAGGTTCAATATAGACTGACATTCATACCGAATGAACGCCAAGTTATTGTTCAAAGTCCGAAACAAGTCGGATTCCTTTTAACTATCAATACGTAGCACCAATAAATTCTAGTGCTTCTCTCTTCCTATCACCCAATAAACATACATTTGAGTGATGATTTTGAAACATATCATAAATTCAATGCGTTCCTAAAGTTAAATGAATTCAAGATTCCTGCGTTTAGCTATAAATGTCAAAGCAGAATCTAAATGAGAGCTTGTATTTATTTTGAATTTCTATTTAGTTTTAGAAAACAGTAAATTGTAAGTTTTTAACAGCAATACAGTATATCGGTTTATTTTTACTTCGAAATATTAAAAAAAAATTGTAAATTTAATCAGGCAACCAAGTAACTCGCGAAGAAATGATGATGGTACTCAGTCCTTTATCGTCACTACGTATTCATGCTACTGACGATCTGCAAGCTGTTAGTGTCAGCATATCTGATGTTAGTATGACGACCACGGATTACAAAGCACTTTTGAATTCTGCACCTACGATACTTACTGTGGAAGAATGTCAATGCCCTCCTGGTATGTGACATAGTCGTTTTATAAGTGATAAAATACTTGTAAAAATGTGTACTTGGAAATAGTTGAATAGAGTTATCAACTCTAAGAATTCGAAGCTAGTTAAGCTTGCATATAAATTAACTTGAGCTCAGGTTAAAGCCGAAGCCAGGTCAAGCCGAATCGTCTTCTATTTGTCATTTGAGTCGAATTAACGGCCTTTTGAAGATAAAAAATGTCTCATTGAAAATAAAAGCAGTGTCGTTTTGCATCCATAGGAGCTGCCTCATTTTTCTACTGAATAATAAAGATTTTTGTTGCTTATTTTGCTTCCTCTATTCTCTATCTTTGTAGTCTGTTTTTACTTTTTTATTTTCACTGCAAACTATTTTACATTTTTTTCAAATTTTGTGTCCGATGTCATTTTGACGCTTTCCAGGGTATATTGGAGAATCCTGTCAGCTTTGTGCCCGTGGTCATTACAGAGAAGCAAGAGGACCTTACTTAGGATATTGTGCAGAATGTGATTGTTTTGGTCATTGTGATAAATGTGATGACAAGGGTGGACTCATTGATAGAGAGGATTGCCTTCATAATACGGTATCATTAAACGCTTTCACTTGGTAAATTAAAGGCTTCACTGTTATTATTGGGAAAAAAATGTTGTCTCTGACAATGAGAAACTTTTGTATCACACAATTATTGAAATTCTATTTGGGTCTTTGCTATTTGATGATTGATTTTGGATCAATTGAAACAAAAAACAATTGAAAATTCTGAGCACTTCAAAAAATTAAAATATTTGCAAAACTTATGCTGCCATTTTTTAAAGTTATGCCATTTCAATTGCAACGGTGTTATTAGGTATCACGTGGCTTAATTTGAATATTTCTACTAAACTTAAATGACAATGGTCTGTAAAGCCAGAGGTTTCTGGCGCCTACTTTCTGTAAGAAGGGTATGCAGTACAACAGGTTTTCGTAATAAACAACATTGGTTTAACAACCAGGAAAGTAGATAACATATCCCATATTTTAAGGGTATAAAAGTGTGTTTTTTATTAGATCGATGAACCGTTTCAAATACTTTTAATCAATTATGTATCTCTTTTCAGATCGGAGACAAATGCGAGCAATGTCGGGATGGATATTATGGTAATCCTATGAGTCGTCATCCCGACGCATGCAGAATTTGTCCATGTCCATATCCAACCGAAACGGGAAATTTTGCAAAAACTTGCGAATTTGATGAAGGTGAGTTACAACAATGGGTTCATATTCACATATTGTAGTGTACTAGGGTTCGAAAAAGATATTTCGCACCCCAGCCTAACTTTGAATTGGCTTGCGCAAGATCTTAGTTGGCAGGATCTATTATCGTACCTCAACCGTTACGATATTCCAATACTGAACACTATCTACTTATATACAATGCAAGTTGTGTGAAATGCAAGTAAGACTCGAAAGTCAGTTTAGTACTCTATAGATTTTAAAACTGAAAATTCTATTAATTGACATTGAAAATTTACTCCAAGTTTCACCATGATATTTTGATAGATATCAAATACAAATTTTCCCAGTTAGTAGCTTCTACAAGGTAATTTGCAATGCTCTCAGATTGCTTCTCTATTAGTATCAGTATTGACTTGCTGTAATTCAAAGCCTGACGTATACCAGTATTTACCAGAGTCTATGTGACAACAATAAATATCAAATTTGCGGGTCCCAGCGCGATATTGGTGATTCCCATCACAGACCAAATAAATGGCTTGCAACCTTCTTACAAGAAATTGGGTACATTGAGAATCCAGTTTCAAATGTCGTCTTAAATAAAACATTCTCAGAACATTACATACATAGAATTGTGTTGTTTTATGGAGCGTGCATTTGAAATATAAATACAATTTTTTTATGAAGAAATACCTGTTCAATATTTCATTTTCGTCAAAATTTTCATTTTAATATGAATCAAAATGACTTGCTGTACTTCAAGATGAAAGATTAATATTATCAAGGTTCTCACGTGTAAATTGCCTTTTTATCATTCAGATGGTTTAGTTTGCAATTGCGAGCCAGGATACACAGGAGACAGATGTGAGTATTGTAGTACCGGGTACTTCGGAAACCCACACGTCATTGGAGGTAAATGCCAGACGTGCAATTGCCACAACAATCTAGATATTGGCGACGATATGGAGACGTGCAACACTGAGACAGGTACGTATGACCTAATTTGCAAGTTTTTCGTTTATTTTTGGGTTTTTAGGGTCGCGAGGGTGCCACGACCAGTTTTGAAGTACGGGATACGGTATACCTATTATCGGAAGTGTTTTCATTTTGTATTTGTTTGAATTAATCGTGATCGCACTGGAGGGTTGCAGTTTATTCTTTGTCTTAACCACTATATTTTTATTATATGATTGATCAATCTATTAAAATATGTTTTTGAGCCCTCATTATGTATTCACCAATCATTTTACTGGAAGTTTTATTCTTGTTCGAAGGAGCGTAATTTCCTTTTAAAATGAAAAACAGCAAGTAATTTGTGAGTATAGAGGTAAAAAGATTTAGTTGACAACAAAAAATGTGGCATAACAACTTGCATTAATACTATAGCATTTTTTTAATTGTCGGTATGGATTACTTCGCCAATTTAATGCTTTTTATTAACTTTCTACAAATATCAATAATAACAAAAAAAAACTGTGGCTCTTTAGCGCTGATTGGCACATATTGATGAATTTGGAATTGAAATATGCTTGATGCACGAGCATTTTGGTACATTTGAAACACCCAAATATTTTTTTGTCCAGAAAATGTAGATAGGCTAGGTGAAAATCTAGTTTCTTAAAGATAACCAGCATTTTACTGTTCATTCTTTTCACAGGAGGATGTTCAGATTGTAAGTTTAATACTGGAGGAAAATATTGTGAAAGGTGTGCAGACGGTTATTACGGTGATGCAGTTGAAGCAAGAAACTGCACCAAGTGTCCATGTAACGAATGCGGAGCTTTACAATGTGATCATGTATACGGAGATTGCGATTGCAAGAAACATGTCATTGGTTGGCATTGTGAATTATGTGAAGAGGGTACGTGCTGAGTTTGTAGATATGTGGTTCAATGTAGGTCTGGATTTAGGAGCGTGACCAAATTATTCTAACTTGTTTGAATTGTTTTTATACTTCATTGAATGGGATATGAAATTAAAAAATTCAGCAAAAATGAAAAAATTAAAATAATAACGCTTGGCGGTTGGCGCATCGTGCTGATTTTTCACAACACTATTGTCATCGCACCGTTGATTAGGCCTACCATGTATGGGTTGCAAAGTTCGAATCCCGCTGGTATGCTACGGGTTTTTTCGTCATCATAGCCCATATATACGGCCTTTAGTGGAACGAAGGCCGTGCGTCGCTACTCCATTGGGTCGTTTTATAGGCTTTTCTCTCACCAAGATGAATATGAAAACCGTATAATATGTATGGCTGTTGAATTGCTTGTATTCAACAACGGTCGCATTCCAGTACTCTCATACTTTCTGTACATTGATTTTTCAATTACGGCGACTAAACCTGTTGCTATAACTTACAGGTTACTACAACTTGAATTCTTGTGTCGGTTGTCAGCTTTGCCATTGTGAAATTGGCGCCAAAACATCTGCCTGTGATATAGCAACGGGACAGTGTGAATGTGCTCCCAATGTTGTTGGACTCAAATGTGAAAAATGTGAACACGGACATTGGGATTACTCGGAAATTGGCTGCAAATGTAAGAAATGAGTCCGGTATTTTAGATTTATAAAATACTTTGTATATGTATGTAAATGTTATAGATACCTTCTATAACACTGTAAATGCTTTAAATATAGGCGTACATGAATTGTGTAATACGCGTAATAGAGTGAAATTCAGTTAGAGAACGTTTGCGGGGATATTACACATCTTAATGTGAAAAGTAACGATTCTGACTCGTTTACCAATACTTTGAAATATTATTCCTTTTTACAATTATATTAACCCTTCATTAGCTTGCAATTGCTTCAACGATGGAGAATGCAATCCTATCACGGGCGAATGTAAATGTCCTCCTGGAGTAATGGGACCTTACTGCGACCAATGCAAACTAGAACGTTACGTATTACCACGTGGACAAGAGGAATGCGAACGTATGTATTTATTTATATGTTTTGAAAACATGTCGATTTTAGATAGACTTCCAGTTTACATTTATTTTGACTTGATAAATACAAAAATTAATGTCCGCGGATGCAAATGTCCGTGGGTGCAAATGTCCATCTAATAATGTGCTGCAATCTGCGGGTGCAAATGTATGGGTGCAACATTCCTATTTGTGGATTTTTTTGGAATACTCCAAGTTAGAATTGTCCGTTTTTAGTGTATACATGTACAATTTTGCTGATAGGACAATAATTTATCTATATTTGATACATTTTCGACAAACTTTCATTTACTCAACTATTTAAAGAAATAAAAATATATATATCAAAGTGAGCCTATTTCTTATTTGGGGGTAGCTAGATGCTCATTGAAAGTTGTTTTATTGTTTTCCTTCATTCTATTTAGCTTGTGACGAATGCACTCACTTCCTCCTGGATCTGGTAGAACCAATGACACAAGAACTTATATCAGCGACCAGACAGTTGGCAAACGTATCAGTTGGACACATTGCATTGAACAAATTGGATAAATATGGAAAGAAATCCATGGCGTTCAGGGTAATTTGCCTTCAATGGTTATCAAGTCAACAGATTTTGTTAATCAAATTTAAAAAGATATATTTCTGTGGGTCTCGGAGTAAAGTTATGTACCAGTTCTAGTATATGTACCTTGTAATCCATGACATATGCTAAGTTTGGTACAATTACCCTTGATACAGTGGTTTCCAACTTTTTTCGTTTATTCCCATCCTTCGCATATTTTTTCTTCTCTCCACACTTTGCATAAATATATTTTAGTTATTCAATGTTTATTCAATGGTTCCTTAGCTAATGTTATGCGCACTTTCGCTTTTGTACAGTCCAAGTAGTTTATAATGCGCCCATAAACAAGTATTATGGTACCGTAGTAATAAAGAACTACAGAGAATAAATGTTATACTGCAGGAAATAATGAAAACCTGTCTTTAATACATGAATCAAGGTTGCAAATATGCAACTCTATTATGAGATTGAATATTTTTTTAACTTAGATTTATTTAAATTTGCCATTTTGTCTGAAAAAAGATCTCCCAATATATCAATTTCTCAGAATATGTTAAATCGGAATTTACATGAAGAAATGAAAAAGGATCATCACCCAATTACCACATCTGGAATTGAAGATTTTGTATTTCAGACAAACATGGATGAACAAGACGATTATATGGATGCATTGAATGACGATATTGACAGATTGCTTAAAACTGAAAATCTGGGCGAATCGTACTCTATGGACGAAGTATCTGGAAGTGGTGAAAGTGTTAAGCAATTCTTAGTGTATAGCACGAAAGTGAGTAATATTTGTTGCCCAATTAAGACATCCATAACGGTGTGAGAGGTTTTAAAAGCAAGAATACTTCTGTTTTGATCCAGTTTATTTAAATGTGGGCTATAGATAACAAGCGATCAATTCGATTTGCTGCAACTTTTCATTGATTTCGTCATATTAACAATGCAGATGGGACAATAGTCAAAATTTATATGAAAAACGAGAAAGCAGTATCTGGCAGTCCGGTATGTTGGACACCAGATCGCTGAAATTCGCCATCGCCACATGGTGTGCAATTTTATTCTTGATGATGTCATCACACAAAACTTCAAAGTGAAAAACGAATCCTATAGAGCCCACAGAAATATTTAAATGAATAAGCAATGATTTATATGAATAAACAAAAGTAATAGCCATCTAGTGACAACAACAACAATCAAAGCAAATGGCCCAGTAGTTGATAACATGAACGAATTTTTCACAATAACAACAACAATAAGTACATAGGTCCATTTCGTGTCCAATAATCGAAGATGCAGGAGAGGATAAATATATCAGTTATTCAAACTAACCTATTGCAGTAATTGAATCATGGCGTCTGCATAGGTTGCAAAAGCTGTAATTCTAATTGATGAAGATAAACGATTTTGCATTGAATACGTGGAAAGCAATTTTAAAAATAAAAGAAGATACCAAATTGTTTAATCAAATTGTTTTCTATTCACATCTTGCCATTTTTATTTATGATTTTATATTTAAATATATTGAATAATTCAGCTTTGAAATTGATATAAATATAATCTAATTCAGGAAGGATCAGGAGCAATCGAACCGATCCCGCTTGATGATATGGACGGAGAAGATTCTTATGTAACTATTCAACAACATTTAGAAAACATCGAAATTAGGGTCAGTATATAAGCTATGATTGATTAGTGGTTCAATTATTACTTTACAGATAGTTTTAAAAAAAAATTCGTCAGTCTTATTTGCTTTATACATTGACAATTTGGGGATCTCCAGACGTGTGTGTACCAATATGGAGGTAGCTAATTTTGTTTGCCTTCTTTACAACAAGTTGTGTGAAGGGACGGAAGCCTATGTACTTGGCTATCACAGACAGTCCCCGAACAGAACTAAAATAAGAAAAATCGAAATAAAATTATTGCCTAACCCTAACATGGTACACACACTACGGTAGTACCCAATTTTGGGCACCACGTGGGACACGAATTTTTTTTGACACCCTATCTACAACAAGAAAATGACAAATCTTCTTAAAGTTTTTCTTACTAATAAACAATTTTCTTATATCAATGATCTTTTTAATATTGTATCTCTTTGTTATTTCAAATTTTCAAAAACATGATGGCGCTTATTTTCAAATATTATTTATTGCATTTAATTGAAAGGTTGGTGATATGTGTAATCGCACCGAAGGACTTTTGGAAGATATAGAAAAGACTGGAAGCAGGACAATCATGCTAGATGCAAATACAAAGGCAGCTTCGGACGATGTAACGGAATTTGAGAATTCCGCAAAAGACACGTTGAATTATGTATGTATATCTTAATAATGTGCTTTACACTTTTCCTCCAAACAAGACGCCTCAACATCAACGACTTTTACGATAGCTTAAATGTCTCGGTTTCTAGAACAGGGGTGTGCGACATTTTTTGATAAGGAGCCATATATCTAATTCCAGACATCTAGCCGGGTCACACGAAAAAATTATTTTTTTCCATGTATACAACGAATTAAAAAATTATCACAATGCAAAATTTTATTTATTTAACATTTTAGCGGGACAGCCGAAATTTCGATTTCTTACATAGTTAGTTAACATCAGCTCTGACAGAAGTTGTAGCAACCCTTAATAATCGGCCAAATGTTAAGCAGTCAACTGACAAGACAAGAGAATGTCGCTTAGCCATGCAGTAATAAAAGCACCGGGCAAAACCGCGAATAATTTAACGCAGCGACAAGAGTAAAAAACATTGGCGGGCTGGATTGTGGCCCGCGGGCCGCTTGTTGCACACCGCTGCCCTAGAAGCATAATCGAGTTACTTGAAACCATGTTATTTAAAGTGTTTACATGGGTTTTATTGGTTTAATTGTTTCTAACATTATGAATAAAATATCATCATTTATATCAGCTCGTGGAGGAATCGTCCGGTGATGAACCTGTCGATGACGATCGAAAATTATATGAAGTACAAATGATGTTGCAACGCATGAAAGAAAGAGATTTTACTTTAAAAAAAAACTCAGCCACTATTGAATTGAAAGAAGCAGAAGAATGTGAGTGTTTTGAAGATGAAATATAATTCTGCGTCGATAACGTGATACCTCAAATTAAGAAAATGTATTATCTGCGTTCTAACTATTCGATTGCGGTTTGTTATTCCTCATATAAAATCTTAAAAGTACAACTATATAAATACTCTCATGGCACTCTTTACCAAAGGGTATGATATCTAATTTTATTTAAACTTGGGATTAAACAAAAAAATAGAAAAACGAGAATATCGGTCGGAGACCGAAGACTTATCGATCTTAGATCGGTAATTAGTTAATAACTCGCTAATTATACCACATAATTAACCCAAAATCTATAGGCTTCTGGTCCGAGGTAAGATGCATGCACATGCAAAATTTGGAGCAGATTCAACAACGCGTTCGCGAGATATCGCGTTCATCTAACAGACACACAGACAGACAGACAGACAGACATACAGACAAATACCTATCAATATACTTACCGATCTTAAGATCGATAAGTAACGAGGGTAGCTGCCGATGTGAAACCATTACTAGAATTGTTGGGTATTGTAAGTACTGTAAGACATAAAAAAGTAATGTTTACTGATTAACTGTTAGGACTGAACGATGACTACAGGGTGGTATTTTTTAAAAATTTTGTATGCATGATATATACGGTAACCATTTGTGATATAATTACCACAGGAGAAATGTATTTATGAATGCTGTTTATTAAGGTTTTTTCACCTCAACCATCTTACAACCATTATTATGTAAAAAGTTACAATTTTGCAAGAATATGGATTTTTTGTTTGGATATTGCTTCACCCTGTGCATTTTGAGGTGGGAGGGATAGGGTTTTTGAAGTCGAAATCAAAATTTGCTTCTTACATTTTCCAGTATTCAACCTTGTCGACCAGCAGTTTGTTTTGCCGTCTACCGAAGTACAAGAAAGAGTTGGAAATTTAAGTCAAGATTTGAGTTCCAAGTTATACAAGCTCAAAGAACTTAAACATAGATTGGTTGTTACAAATAAAACTGTAGTACAAATAACTGCACTGAACAATGAAAACAGAAAAAATTTAGCAAATGGCAGAGAATCCATTTACAGTAAGCAAGGAAATAAAAATTCTAGTAATTTACGAGCATACATAATCAAAGTAGAGAGACACGTCTATGTTATAGCTTTTTTGTTGGGGAAACTTCTTTAAGCAAACTTGCATAAATATGATATACGTGGAATATCTTGTATGTGAATAGAGATATAATGATTCCAATCAATATATTAATGTCCTTCATGTTAGATGGCTATTGAACACATATACATAAAACAGGTTTAAACGTAGTCTTAGGACTAGGGCTGACAAACCATTACAAAGCCTGCAAGTATGACATGTAATGTTCTTTACTGCTAATCATTAGCAGGCTGTCTTACGATTGTTTCATTTACCAGGAATCAGTGTGATATGGGAAGAAATCAACCAATACATGAACGATTCTGCATTCGCTATCGATAATGACGGAGGAAAACTACCCGATGCTGAAAATAATGATGTATTACTAGATCTGATAGAGCAATTACAACCTGTTTACGATGAACGTCTAGAAAATCTGGACGGAATGGCAGAATTAGTTAATAAGGTAGTATTATTATATGTGGAGCAAACGCATTCATATGCCATAAAACATACAGGAACTATAAGCTATCAGTTTACCAGCAATCACGAACGTTTTCACACAAATGTAAGTTCTTATTGAAGAACTAAAAACAAAGGGCAAGTCGGAACCCGAACGAACCATTTAATTGAAGATCACCGAAAGTTGAGATAAAATGGTGTTCATCATCTTTGAAATCAAGTGTGATCTTTTATATAAAATTTACAACTTAGAAACATGTTTTGAACAAAATTTGTTGCTTTTATTCAAGAATACCTAGAACCACATTGCTCATGGTTCTATTCATTTGAGTAATTTGTAATAATACAACCACGTTGATATGTAGGTACTTCAGAAGTAAGGAACACAATTGAATTTATTAACACTAGCCTGATTTGTAATCTTTTTATGATTTAGGGAAATTCCTATGATAAATATCTTATAAATATATTATCTAAATCTTATCTAGATCTAAATATCTTATCGCTCTATACAAAACTTTCAATTTCTTTAAAATTACATCGAATTAAATTCTGAATCATAACTATATCAAATTGATTTTTAGTCAATAGATAAAGCAAATATGCTTGATGACGATGCTGAAATGTTGATCAAAGTTGTGAACGAAACTAAAAATGATCCGCGTAACTTACGAGCAGTGGAAGCTGCAAATCGATACCAGACTATATTCAATATTTTGAAGCAAGCTGAAGAGGCAGCAAACAATGCTGATTTGGTACACGATTTATATTTTAGTTTATAGTTTTGTTTATGTAAGTGATATAGGATATGGATTTATCGTTAAATTTTGTGGAAATGAAATCAAAAAGTTACTTGACTTCCAAAATCCAAACGCAGTTTTATCCATTTGACTTGTTCAATCAAATAAGATAAACAACTCTTTTTCGATACAACGCACTTTACAAAAAAACTAATCTGTGAGTAATACGAGAAGATTTAAGCTTGTTGAAAAGCTAGAAACTTGACCATTTGGAACTACTCTTTATTTATGAACGGTCAGAGTATTCACAGTTACCTTGTTTCTCACATTCATTTGATACAAACCATAGTCAAATATACTAAATAACATTGCCAAAGTGAATACTAAAGTAATTTGATTATCGTATTAGTGTGATGTTCCTTTTTTCATTTTTCTATAGCACGCATCAGAAAAATGCCTCTATTACTCTTCCAGTTTATAGGGTATAAAGAGTATTTTAAATAAATAAGTTGTTCCCTGGATAGACGGATTTACTATTATTGTTCGCAATAACAATGTAGCACGACTTTGAATGTTTGAATGTGAACGATTTGAGTAATGTACGACAAGAATTTGAATTTTATTGTTTTACCTGAACACTTTTTTTAGGATGCAACAGAGGCAAGAGATGAAGTAGCCGAAAAAAATCTTGGCAAAATTGCTGCAAACGCGGATGGGAATAGTAGCCAACTCTTGAAAGAAGTTCAGAATTTACTCAATAAGGAATCTGATCTACAAAATGATTTAAATGTGAGTACCGAAATAATTAGATAAAAATCGTTTGGGTCAGTTTATTGAGACAATACTTTTACTACCAAACTTACTTACACACTTGTATTTGAATACTGTTTAGGACGCCAAAACTCGTTTAACTTCAGTCGATGCTTCAGTAATGAATATACAATTCCGACTAGAAATTACAAAAGAGGGTGCGACGACTTTAGAGAGAGGTTAGTGAAACTATTTATTATATGTTGTCGAACTAGTTAACGTAGTTTAATGGAACATGTTAATATAACTTGAAGGGTGGCTTGAAAAGTACTTTGCCTCCTAACAATCAGTACATACAGGCTGTATATACTCTAAAAACTGCTGAATCATCTACTGCTTTCAATTCGGTTTATACATGAACTATAACCCTAGTAACGATTCACCATCTTTTTTACTCTAGAAGCAAATACCCACATAAAAACAAATATTCGCATTTACATAAATTATTTTCAAATAACTTATATTGATAAAAATTTAACATTGAAACGTTTAAGTTTTGAATTTCAGTTGATAACATATGAAACATATATGCTTAATTTTTCTTCTCCAAATTTTAAGATGACATAGATGGTATGGTGCAAGACATAAAAGATCAGGCTGCAAATGCTAATCAAATCACAAACGAAACAATAGAAATGGTAAATGAATTGCAGGAGTTAATCGACCAAGCACCTGATACAAATATGAGTATTAATGATGAACTGACAATAGTGCAAAACATTTGTAAGTGAACTAATAACAAATTCCAGTAGAACCTACTGTTTTTGTATTTGATAAATATACAATTAGATAGCTAGAATGATTCTGCATAAAAAAGAAACTCAACATTTTTTGAACCTTGCAATTCTGTTCCTCTCATTCGAAAGTGATTAGCAATATCAACGTGTCTGTGCACATTTCGTACTTCCATCATGCGAGGTTATGTTCCTACGCCCGTTGAGCTTTGGGGAAAATTTAAGATCTGAATGAACATAATTTTATAACGTTTATTTTTATATATACCAAAGATAATAAAGTTGCTTAACTTCCACCCTTTTTGCAGTGGAAACCATCCCTGACGCAGTTGAAAGCTTCGATTTAGAAACTGCACGTCTCAGAAGAAAGGCAGCACGAATTTCACAACTTCCACAAGATTTTGACCTGGATGATAGAATGAACAGAATACGAAAACTGATAGAACTTTCAAGAAGCCGGGCAGGGAATGTATGTAGTTGTTTTCATATTTTGCCTTTCTCTATTTTTCTATTTTTGTCGCGTTTCTCTCTTATTTTCTTTTCCCTTTTCCTATTTGCACGATATTCTCTCGTTTTCTTTATCATTAATTTCTATTTTCTTTATTTCGCTCTACATTCCTCATACTAACTTTTACAACTTTTACTCTATTTCAGGTCAAATTATCGATGAAATTTAAAAAGAATGATGGTCTCGATAAACCAGAATATGCTCAAGTTCGGATTCCACCCCAAGTAGCCAGTGCTGACAACTATCTTAAAATTGATTTGTTTGTCAACACTTCCCGAACAGCTGACAGCTCCATTCTTTATATGGGGGATGTCTCGGTAAGTCTTCATTAATGGAATTACAAACAGAGACCAATGAAAAATACAGCTGCTAATCCTAGACAGCGTTTTTGCGTCACCCCGGTAGTTCTCTATGCTAGTGCGGTTATAATATATAATAGATATTCCCTACCACGACGGAATTTTCTCAGAAAATCATCAATAGAAAACATTAATAAAGATTACATAAACACACGTGAGGTTTTCGATAGAAGACCATCAATAGTTAGTTAGGACACCCGTATAGTAATGGTTTGATTCAGTTTTCTTGGTTTGCAATCAAAAATAAGCTTATTTTAGTTCGTGTTGGTGGCGCGTTAGGACGTGTAGCGTTTCAAGCAGCACTGCCATTGTAATGTCGAACTACGGTAACTTCATTTTAATTTTATTCAAGTCATCAACTGGCGACTACATTTCACTGGAATCTATTGACGGAAGAGTACATTATAATTACAAAGTAGGCGAAGGGGAAGGCCAACTTGTCAGTAGTGTAACAATCAATGATAACGAATGGCATCGCATTGTCTTGCACAGGTACGCCTTTTTAAAAGCGATTTAAATTGATCAATGAGACTAGCACACAGGTGCGCAGGGTAAATCATGAAATAGGATTGAATAAAATTTTATGCTGTGCTATTGTTTAGGTTGTACTTTTTGTAATACATATTTAAAACCTTAGCCTCTAAACATGTATCCCGTGTATTAATTCACACCAATTAATCATTTTTTATAGAATTGGAAACAAAGGAAGACTGCAAGTTCATTATATCGAGCCAGGGGATATATTCAGTGGAGGAGGGAGCACGAATGAAACAATTGAAGGGATAACTAACTCTGATGATGTGAGAGCTTATATGCCTAGAGAAACAACGCCATTGATCATTGGTGGCACACCCATCAATTCAGATACCGTAAGTAAATGTTTTTGTTTCATAAATCCAGGCATCCGACTACGTTACAACTCAATTTCAAATTTTAGAATTATTTTTTTAACACTTAACTCGACTTGGAGTGATTTATGGGAAGTATCGAATGATTCGATTCGACTGGAGTCAATATCGTAATATGTCTTGACTCAACTCTTAGAAAGCGGCTTTGGATCCTGACTTTCCCATTCCATCGTGATTGTTCTTTTAATGTATTAGTCGACTACACTCCGTTTTGACTCAATTCGTAAATAACGAATAGCTTACCTGGAACGCGTTAATACTTCAAGAAGGTGAACTTGACTTTTTTCAAGGAAATGTAATCATGCCTTAAATAAATAGGCCAATGGCTTTTGAGCGTACAGAATTTCCAGTTGATAACTTGCTATAGCTGTCTAATATTATACCAAGTATTCTGACATTTTCTTTTTTATTAGACTTATTTGATGCTGTCTAAAATGAAAAAATGACCCATTTTTCGTTTATTGAAATTCAGCTCCCAGAAGTAATACAGAACAAAGAAATGGATGGATGTGTTCAGTCTGTTAAAATCAATGATGAGCGAATCGGAATATGGAATTTCATGTCATACAATGGTCCACAACCAGGACAAATTTGTGTCGATGGGTTTGTTTTCTCCTTCTCAATTGTAGTAAATTATTCGATTTTTGAGAACTCTTCCAGATGTATTTTGAATAAAACGGAATTTTGTAAATGACCGTATTTTTATACAATCCCGATTCCTAGTCAAATCGATCTTTTTGCCTAGACCTGCTGATGTACCACCCACTTCTGAAGCCGGTCGTATGTGGAAATTCCGTGGTGTCGACAGTTACTTGAGAGTTCATAGCGAACAACTTCAAGGACAAAGATTCTATGTGACGTCAACATCTACCAGTTTTATATTCAGATTTAAATTCAGGACGGTTCAATCGAATTCTCTTCTTTTCTTCATTGGTCAGAGTGTGGTATGTCTTTGTTTTTACTTACCTTATTTTTGGAAATATTTCCTCAACAAATGCCCAAGCAAGCTTTTTGAATAGATCGTCATAAGAGTACAGCACCATCTTATTCTTATTATAGTAAGATATTTTTGAAAAAAATTGCTCCACATACCACAAAAATAATTTGTATATAATGTTTTTGGAGAAGATAAGCAATAAAAAAATTGTTCTTGGTCAAGAATTGTTGTATCAAATATATATATAAAATGAGATATTTTTAAACTATTATCTGCAGTTGAACTGTTCACTTCAAATTATCGTAATAAACGTCTGAGATACGATGATTTAGAAGAGTTACGAACGTTGTTACGTCTGGAAACCCTCCCCATTCTCTCAATCTTTTTGGAAATTTAACTGCTTGGATGGGGAAAAAATTTAGAACTTACGAATATATTTAAAAATCTTATTTATATGCTTTTGAATACGCAAATTCTCTGTTAAATTGACTAATACTTTATGCACCATTTTTAATACTATAATAGGCGCTCCCGTAGTATGTGTACAAAGATGACGCACAACTTGATAACCCCAACGTGGTACACTATGTTCAGGTTGTGCGCCATCTTGGTATACATACTACGGAAGCACCCTTTAATGTTCACGTAATCCTATAAACGTTATTAAAACCGAAGAACATTTTGTTACACATATCAATTCAACCATGATTATCTAATTCACAGTCGCAATTTTTTGCCCTGGAGTTGAGAAACGGTAAATTTGTACTGACTTGCAATTTTGGTTGGGACGAACCAAAATCAGAAACTGTTACATCGTTTCCTGACGTGAACACTCACCCACAAGCTCTCTCCATAAAAGCTGGAGTTGTCTCAATAACGAAACAGTTGAAGATGATTGTGTTGGCTATCAATTCTGGGTAAGTTATTCGCAAATGCTTCGACTCTATCGTCAAACACACTTTTGCATGTATACTTTTATATCTGGAAAAATTTACTACATTTTATATAGCTATACTTTACTTTAGCAAAAGCTCATTAGAACTTAGGTAATGTAGAAAGTTATTGTAGCTAATATTATATTCTACGTTTAAACTAAAACTATCTAGATAACGAAATATTTATTTAAAGTTTTAAACTAGCCTTCAAATTTGAACTGATCGCAAAATAGGATTTAAGACCGAATTTCATATAATCAAGTTAGGAAAGTTCCAGTGTCTCAACAGTTTCTTGTCATACTTGTTCCACACTTGTCTCTTTGTGCACACCTGTCCTACTGTTCTGAGTTAAAATAGATAATGAATATGAAAGAGGGAAATGTTTAAAATAATCATATGAGGCAAATTCATGCTATGTTCTGAGTGAGGATAGATATGTATCTTTGTCTAGACGTCAGATTATTTATATAATGTGAGATTCGTGCAATTGGCACAAGGGGAATGCTACTGGGACAACCTGAAAAAATCCAGAATCTGCCTATCACCAATCTACCAGTTCGGGTTATTTATGCCATTATAAATTTTTTCGAATTAGTTCCAATGCACAGAATTTGCGTTGTAAGCTAGAAGCAATTATGGAGCAACGTTAAACTTTGACGACTACATTTACTATTGACTACTTTTATACAAAATACTGCATTTGAGAGCTAAAAATTGATTTTTAAATTCGAAGAAAAATTTACAAACTGATTTAGAAATTTAGAAATCTCAACTTTAACAATCTGTTTACAGATTGAATCTCAACATAACTTTCACAGACTGGGCACCTGACATACGAGGTGATGCCTGGGTTGGTGGAATCCATAGATACGACATCAAAGATGAGTAAGTTTGCTTATATTTACTGATGTGTTTTTATAATACTAAAGTTGTCGCAAATTTAAGATCTTGACTTTGAATTCCATGTCTGACAACCCTCCTACGACGTAAAAATAGATCAAAACATGCCGCACCAAAACGATTCAGGTTTTTACAAAAATATGGCGGATCTGGCTGCAAATTGAAGATTTAGAGAATCAATCCCTATGCCACTAGTTCTTTTATGGTATAATAAATCGGATAAGCTTTGCCAAACTGGAAAGAATGCTGTCATTTCAAAACAATTTTTGGGTATAGGGTAGGCGTGGCTTTTTATGCAAAACCCTATTTAGGGTTACCCTAAGGGTTACCTTATTAAGGTCCGCAACGTCTCATAAAAGTGTACCAACGAAATCATTACCTTTTGTCTCATTTTTAAGCTTCTTCTTTTTTTAGATTAATACTTCCTTAATGTCAACAAATGTTTATTTTAGAAACTGATTTTGTTCAAATTCAACTTCAATTTATTTATATTTGTAGATTCCGTCCATACGTTAAAATGCTTGATGAACATTTCCGCGGATGTCTAGGAGGGCTCGCTTTCCATTTGCGAGCATCGTTTAGTATTTACGAAGCTTATGAGAGGGTCGGAGTGACACGCGGCTGCATGCCAGAGGTTAGTGTTATAGTTGTATTTCTATTCAGTGTCCTAATGCTATGGAAGAGCAATGCTGTATAACTTCTCAGTCAATACTGTTTGTATAAATCAATCATGGTATATTATTGTGTTTTCGCTAGCGTTAAATGATTTTGCTCGACTGATAAAAATTGTAATCCGTTGGATAGGAATTGAGTCGGATAGCTGACTTATATTTCCTGAATATAGCTGAGTTGCTATTTACAATTTGATTGCCACCACATGTGCCAATCCATCTCGGTTAAAATGACAAATACAAAGTGCAAAAATGAATGGGTTGTATAGAATGATATCATCACTCATATTTTGGTGATCCCGACGTGTTTCCAAAATATGTAGTTATGAAATCAGTCTTCAAGCTATATGTTGATTCGATGCTGTGAATTGCACGAATTGTTCCAGTCTTCGCAGACTAAGGTTTTGCTCAAACTCGTGAAGCTATTGTGCACGATCATTGTTCGTAACTTACCCCAACGTTACTGAGTGAACGTTAACACACTATACAATTTTGGTGTTGATTTATGGTTAAAAATTACACTGGGCGCATATGTATAATGAGCACAGTGATTATCAATGTGAATGAGTAATTCAGGAATAGCGTTTTTTCAGCTCCGGCCATCCTACCCACTCTACTAAACAACGTAAAAGACGCTATTTTATTTCAGTCATCGTAAATTTGATTGGTGTCATGACGTTGAAAATTAAGCGTTTGTGTCATGACTTCCTGCCCATTTTCCAAGATGACTAGGTTATGTTCAGTGTAGCTTCGTACATTTGTGGCCAATCATTTTGAGGGTGGTATGGCAATTTGAAATGTTTGTCGTACATGTCTTATCTTATGACTGTAACACTTTGCCTAGACCATCTCAACTGTTGAAGTCAATGGAAATGACTATATCAACATTGCATCTGGTTTATCAAATGTAGATAGGATAGCTGGAATTGCGACAGCAAGAACAATTAAACCTGAAGGTACAATATTGTCTGCGAACGAGCAAGAGGTAAATGATTCAAACGTACATTGCCATTGAAATTTCCTGTAACAACCATGTAATCGCTTCAAAACTATTTCAAAAGCTTTTTTTCTCTATTCAGGAGTGAAGTAAAATATTTATTTCATAAAACGTACGTCTACACCTCATGATTTTTGGATAGCCAAGTTGAATACTATGAATAAGATACTATGAATTACATTACATAACACTAGTAATTTCGCTGCAAAACTGCAGATATGATCACATGTACGATCCCCCAAATATTACCGTCAAAAAGTAGCGCTTTGTTTTCCTGAGCAAAAACTTTTGGACAGCTGTAAAGTTTTTTTTTATTAGTTTATTTTTCAAACAATAATCCAACAAAATATTTTGAATTGGTTTTTTATACTTAACTATATATACAATATGCCTAGGTATCAATTATCAGATTTATGTATTACCCCTTACCGAAATTTTGCATTTAACACGGCCTAATATCCTCGTGGGTATATACCACATGCTTAATTTTCATTCTCCAAACCTACAAACGTACGTTTTGAAGCAGCTTGAAGTTGATAAAAACCTCGAATGTTTTCAACATTGGGTTCATTAAGTCTTAATAAGAAACATATTACATATTTTTTTTCGCAAAGTAAAATGATTGTGCGCGTGGAATTGTGAATGGCATTTCTACACTATTTTTTCCATAATATACTACTATCACCAAATACAGCATTTTCAGTTTATTTTTCTCCGTTCAAGTTATAATTTTAAACAGTTGACACTGTTTTGAACACTGAATGATATATCCAACAGGTCGGGGGCGAGCAAATCAAATTATTCATGAGAGATGGTCACATGGTATTGTCCGATGGTGATACAGAAGTTTTGTCAAAAGATACGTATAACGACGGCGAACCTCACACAATAAGATTTGAAAGATACACGGGCGGGTGAGCATCGAATCGATATTCATTATTTTAATGTCTCAGATCCATGAATAAATGTATTATACCAATTGCAACACTTGTACCATGCGACGGCATGTAACGATTTTACCAATTGTATCAATTTCACCCATTTCACCACATGCAAGGGTTGTCACTCATTACACCATGTGTACAATATGCACTACATGTACCTATTTTGGTACTTGTACCAATTTTCCAACGCGCCTTCCACTCCTTTCACCACATGCAAGACTTGTACCTATTACACCGTGTGTACATTATGCACTACTGGTACCTACTTTGGCACTACCAATTGTCAAACGCGCTCGTCTTGCACAATTTTTGTCGTTCGAATTACTTTCATCTCCTTTTGAGCACATACACCGCTTACACATTTTGCACCAATTGCAATACGTGTGTCCTTGAAAGAATGGGAGATGGGGTGTATGTAGTGCGAGTAGCTTAACGATACACTACTTTTGTAAGCATGAAATGTCAGTTCTGAGTGATTCACGAGTCTTGTTGCACACTATACAAAACCTTAGTCAGACGAAACGTTACAGAAGTATATATGTGTTAGCGTGCAATAAGACTCTTGAATCACTTAGAAAAGTTATTTTCAATCTTGGTATAGCATTCTTCTTTTATATGCATACGGATCCACCGGCACAACAGCGTAGGAAAAGGATAAGTAGTTAGTCTCACGGAAACCAAATAAAATGTCAGCTTGTAATATAGGTATCAATCACGACATGCTTTGAAAGGTGTAATCGTTTTGCGCTCAGCCAAAATCATTTTGAAGACCACTGGGTAGTGTCATATATCACACAAACATTACTAATTCAACAAAAGAATATTTTGTATTGGCTTTTGGTCTTTTTCAGAACATTATATCTTAACGTTGATAACCTCGATGTGCAAACTTCTGAAGAAAAGGAAAGCGAAGACGCGAAAAGACGCCGAAAGAGAAGACTTCGTCGCAAGAGACCAAAAACCAGCAGTACAAAGACTTCAATATTTGCAGAATCTCGCGTCCATATTTATGTTGGCGGATCGCGGGATGATCCTAAATTTGATGGATGTATTGGAAACATTCAGATTGAAAGGTTTAGTTGTACAATGTATTTTATGTGGTTTATTTACACTTTAGTTTTCACTCGTGTTTATATGGGCAATGGAAATATAACCATTCGGAAATCTCTTAATTTATTAAGATAAGGATGACATTGTTTTTAGTTTTATATACCACTGTGATCAAAGCTATTTTTGAACAATTTTAAAATGATTTTAAACGTGGTTGGTATATTAGTCCTTTGTTTTTGATGAATATGTGAGTTGTATGAAAGCCAACAAAGCCTTGAATCAAAGTTATGCATATCAAATGGACGGTTAGCTTTTAACATTCAAACGTGGAAAAGGCATCATCGTCTATCAAGCCATCGCATTTCTCCACCCTTTGACAAACTTTTATTAATTATTCAACACAGAGATCCAAAACATCATGGATTGCTTACTGAAAAAGCACGTTGTGGATATTATGGAAGCGCCATGTGTACAGGAAAACCTAAATTTAACCAATGTATGATTCCATCAAAAAGTGGAACCAAAACCTTGGCGATTACTGGTGAGTATTATTATAAAAAAAACTCGCTTCTTAAGGCTATATATTATTCCATTTATTTAATTTTATTTCATATGATATGAGGCCCTATTTTTACTATAAAATTCTGTTTTATTTTAATTGAAACTTCACCCTTTATTTCAAATTGCACGGGAGAAATGTAGCGAAAATGTAGAGAGAAATGTCTGCTCATCTTTTTTGCAAACTCGCTACTCTCAGAACTCATCCTACCGGTTCCGATGTTCTTCTTTCTCGTCATATATTTGAGCATTGCTCTTTTGTTTTAGACTCAATCAACTCCAAACCCAAACCGAAAATGATGGGAGGTGAAGTATCTGCCCATGAGTTTACAAACGCCGGTACATCATTGAATGGGGATGAAATCAATGGAAGCAATGCAACGATTGCTGCTTCATTAGAATCAGGAGATAATAAAAAGAGAAATGGAAAACGAAGAGGAGGTTGGTTTAGATGAAGAATTTTAGAATCTGCATCCCAAACTATTTTCATTCTGCAATTGAAACTAAAGTTTACGGTCTAACAGAACTTTTTTACTTATTGAAACAGTCTTTAGGCAAATCCATGAATCAAAGGTTACTGTCAAAGAGCATAAAATCTATATCACGATAAAAACGAAGCGTTTTAAACTCTAATATCCATGGGGTGGTATTAGAAATTTTTGTCAGAGAGTTTGGCTTGTAAGTTTAAGATTAATAAAAACGAATTTCCACTGTTTACTGCAGGGAGAAATAAGAAAAAATCTGGCAACCGAAGTCAAGAATTAGTTCTCGGTATTGACGCAGTTCAACTATTTGACCCTGGCTATGACGGAGACTGTCAACTTCCGCTTGACCCGAAAACGAGTGGATTTTATTATCCAGGTAGGTCCTTTATGGACAATCCTCTTACAATCCAAGAATTGCACTATTGAAAATGAGATAAATGCGAATTTTGAAGTATAGCTTATATTTCAGCTTAATCAGATAAACAATCCGTGCATAACCTATGCTATAGAATTCTCTTTGATAAGCAATATCGACCGCTTTGATATAAACTCGCTCCAAGACACTCTCATCGGGTTTCAATGATCTTGTTTCAGGAAAACCTCTATATTGAGTTACTAAGGCACTGTCAATGATGTTATGTAGTATATGCTTAATATGCACAATAGTTTTTGATCAATTTTTATGAAAAAAAATTCACATTTATTATAATTGCTACCGCTTAGATATATATTGTTTGCTTTTATTCAGGGGATGGTTACTCGAAATATAGCGTTGACAATTTTGATTCATTCAATTGGAGATTTTCACTCAAAATTAGAACAGAGCAAAGAGAAGGAATCATTTTCTTCATGTGCACTACAGGGTAATGATAGTTTTATATATTCAAGTACCTTTTTCTCTTAATGTTGACTTCAAATAAGTCTCCGACCCGGAAACCCGGTCGTAAGCTTATATACTTTAAGGTTTTTTCAAATTGACCGGGATTCAAACTTCAGATATCGATCTGAAAAATCGATTATGATATAGAAATTCCTTTACCTTTTTTTCACCACATCTTATATATACTATTCTTTAGATGCCCGGAGCACATCGCTGTTTATCTCATAAAAGGACGAGTAACTCTGAGTGTTAAATTTGGAATTGAGAGACGCAGAATTAAATCAATTTATAAATTTAACGATGGATATTGGCATGATATAACTTTCCAAAGAAAAGCACAGAATCTACAAATGATAATTGATGACACAATCACGAATATAGAACTCTATGAAACATCATACACGTTTTCTACTCTTATGCTGTTTTATGTCGGAGGAATGCAGGTATTTAATATATAAACTATATACAATGTAAAATTAGTCGTCCATACTTTGTTACGAAATCGGTAAATGATCTTGGCCAAAAGCAGTGTATGGCAACAAGAAAAAAATATTTCGGTATTTTTTCAATGCTAAGATATACTATGTTTTATTAGTTAATTTTATATTTTACCTGATCGTAAAAAATATTATTAAATGCCATTTATTTTACCACGTAACCTTCGTAAACATCCAAAACTGCTGTAAACAGTCGTGACGACTCCATAGTTTCGGGTTAAATACATTAGAATTACGAAGACTTTACATGGCTCCCAAATAATATGTTATTTTTCATGGTACCAAGTCTGTATTTTTTAACCTAAAATCCCTAAAGAGGCAAAAATTTATGATCAGGCATTCCTGCCTATAAAAGATGCCCTGCCATTTTACATTGATATGACTGTTTTTTTTTTCGCGGAAAATAAATATTATGATGCAGCTTTTAGTATCCTAGTCGAATACCATTTTTTGTGCTGGCAAACTGATAGTGGTATGTTGCAAGATTAAATTCTTACGGCAAATTGTCAAAGGTGAAAGTAATGCCTTTGCTGTATGGTGCATGAGTTTAGAGCAAAACAACTGGGATATATATAGTTAAAGCAGTTATTTTGTATTTGGATTATGAAATACCTTTGGCATTGCTGTCAAAATACTATTCAATACCAAGGTCTTCTTGTTTAAAACAAAATATACTATTATGTTGCATAAATAAATGAACTTGGATTCAGGAGATGGAAAAAGCTGATGCAGCCACTTTTATGAGTCCAATGCATTTGAGCGATTTCAACGGATGTATCCAGAACTTGGTGGTGAACGATCAACCTATTGAGAATTCCAAGTTGTCGAGACTACTGTTTAAAATCAATTTAAGACCCTGTTTCGAGGGTGACACTGAACCAGGTGAAGTAAAAACTATTTTTACTGAAAGTTCTCACTAAAGGTCGAAAGAATTTGGTTGACTTAAATATATAAAACATATCCTTGTTGAATGGCATATGAATATTCAAATTTTACACGTAGTCTTCACAGTATCCATCTTTATTCATTCAGGAATGTTTTTCTCTAATTCTAATCCGAGTGAAGTCGGCACGTACCTGTTAGTATACAATGTATATAACGTTGGTACAAATCTTGAAGTCACAATGGAGATTCGTCCCAGAGCACAATCTGGAGTTCTTCTCGCCGCTGGTGGACAAACAGGTAATTCTCATTATGTCAACCCGGGATAACTACGGCATGGCAGGCTTTTTTCTCCGACAGTAGGTTATTCGTGCTACGGTCACCATTTGTTTAGAACTGATCTGGTTCTCTCGCTTACTGCATCCGTGGCTATTCATAAATAACCAATACAGTCTATTCTTATTGGCTCAGTAAAGTTCATTACAAACTAAACTTCTTTTCAGGAAATTTCTTCCAGTTGGTTCTCATTGACGGAAAGGTTGTTGCTCGCCTGAAACAAGAAACGAATATGTTAATGTCGGTCTATGATCCCAGCGATTATAGGGATTCTATATGTGATGGGAATTGGCATAAAGTGCAAGGTAAACTTAATGTAGCAGGTGACAGATACGTGATTTCATTGTTTCCGTTTTTTTAAATGTATCACAGATATAGATAAAATGTATAATCTCACTTTGTGGTTAGAATAAAACACCACTGTTTTAAATTCAAAAATTTTATCAGCGTTGTACAGGTATGAACTTGAGTACATTGACGAATTTAAGCATATTTTTGTACCTTCCATCCTAGCTAGCTAGGGAAACCCTCTTTGACCTCTCAACCTCTGAATTTTTATTTTTTTTAAATGACTGTCTGAAGTGTAGTCATTACAGTCATCTACCACAGTGATTCTCAAAGTGAGGGATATCCCCCCCCCCCTCCCCTGGGGGCGAAAGAGATAGAACAGGGGACGAAAAATCCGAAGAGAGCTAAAGGGAGAGCTTGCTCATTCTCAAAAAGTCAAATTTGATTATAATCACCTAATGTTTTAATCAGTATGACGTGGGTAATAGCAATTCGAAACAATATTACAGTGATTTGACAATAATCCTATCGGTCATACAATTGCTTCAAAATTGTGACTAATTTGCTGATTTTTCTGATTACAATTTCAGTGATCAAAGCAAAGAATATTTTGACTCTGAGTGTCGATGGAAACCAAGTACTACCGATAGAACAAGGAGATATTGCAATAAGAAGTTGCGAAACAGACGGACCTTTGTATATTGGAGGTCTTCCAAGTAAGATTTATGATAATATGGTTGATATACTAAGTGGACAATAATGAAAAAGACTTTCATTTTCATATTTTTGGTAGATTAGTCCAAGATATAACTCTTGAATGCGACATTGCTCTATCTTCGTGTTGTTTTATTCAAAATCAAAGTCAAATTTACAGTCTCTGCTATCAGTATTAGCGGTATAGAGGACTATTTATTCTTGAAATATGAAGGCCTTTATTAAGACGGCTTTATTATATAGTATATTTTTCACTTAATCGTTCCAGATGCATGAAATTTATTTCAAAAAGCAGACCTTTATCAATATACGGTATTCAGCTTTACAACTTCAATCAAAACATCCAAGCGCTTTTTATTTTTCAGGGAACGCAAATGTTGGACGACTTCTTAGTGACAAAAGACAATACATTGGCTGTATGAGGAAAGTCAGAGTCGATTATTTCAGCATTACACCGTCAATTGCAATCGAAGTTAAATCTGGTGTATCTGAAAATAGTTGCCCTTATTGATTGGCTAAATGAAGAATACTTGTAGTCGTTCTTGTTTGATTTAACATTTTGATCAGTTGAAACAACTCAATCTAAATTTCATAATAGATTCCCATGTCGTTTACGTATTTTACATATCCACTTTTAGAACCTAATTGCCGTAGGAATTCAACAAGTCACAACACGGAAACAACTGACGTTTTTTATCACATTATCATTGATATCTTAACTTTTTTGATTCACTTTTTTTAAACTGATGGGTTTCAGTTTCAATTCTTTTTTTCATCTCACTTCAATATTTCCATATCAAAACTTCATCTAATCTTTCCATAATATGAATAGTTGCTTTAAATTGCCTCATTTGTGAACAGATTAAAATAAAACCTCCTCAATCTAGATTTGGACAAATAAAGTAGTTACAGTTCTAAACATTTCTGCTTGAATTCACACATTTTGCGTATGAGCCTCTGCATAAAGACGACGTGTGTGCAATTTTCACAATTTACTTCGAAAGTTTTCTTTGGAATAAATTTCATTCTCATATTGCAAAATATGTTATCCTACCTTGCTACTATCTCGTAGCGGCAAGGCATATTGAGTTGATATTCGATTTGGAAGTTACCTACGATTTACAGATATCTGGTCGCGATAGGACTTAACTTAGACTATAATCAGATTTTATAATAGTGGCAAACATTTAGCTATTGTAGAACGAAATGACTTGTAAGGTTTTCACTTACAGTGAAATACAATGGCATTGATATACAATGGCAGGACCACAAACTAGTGCAAGATCATCGTCAAAAATTATCATTGCCATTGGTAATGATGATTGCTGCCTATGCATTTAACATACTGAGCAGTGGAAAATGTGCCATATCCATAAATTTAACAGGAAGAGTCGCAATCGTTGAAGGCGTTTTAAATCAAATGTAAACTACATTTCATTAGTTTTTGACATTTCACATGTCGTAGATATTAAACCCTAAACTGTTTCAATCGGTGACCGTACATTTGAACCCATGCGTATATCCACGGGTTCAATCTATATGCGTGTGCTAAAACCCATGGGTCAGGGTTAGTATGGGTTTAACTATCCGTGAAACAAAAAAAATTTCATAGGTGCAATAGCATACAGGTGCAATTGTCATGGGTTCAAATGTACGTGGGTTCAAATGTAATGGAACCGTTTCAATCCTATTGATACTCTGAAACGAAGTTGTTGAAAAAAGTAGAATTGTGTTTATTAATAGAAATGTTTTCGGTGAACTAGTAGTGAATGCTGTTCTCGGGAGTTCCATATTACCTGCCCTCAGTGCGAATGAATGCTGAAATAACTGAATAAGTAAACAACGTAATATAGATGCAAAATGAACATGAGTTTTCGATGTCTCAAAAATGCCGTGTACCCCTTGTCACACTTGTACTGTACCGTTTGTATATCAATTGTCATTCTCGTGATGAATTACAACTATTTTGAAAATAGAATAGCGATTTTTTCCACAGCTGAAGGTCTACTTCATGTCCAATAATATGTTGTAATTGTGTTCAAGGAATTTACGTATGAATCAAATAAAACAATGAAAATTATCAATCAAACAATCAAATTACAATCAAAATTAATTCTGAAAAAGATGCAATACACTTGGATAGAATTAGCTGTCAACGCCCTCAAATATATTTGGTTGAATGGTTTTAAATAAATTATATTTGGATGAATGTTTTTTAATTAAAATGAACAAGTTGCAAATAGACTTTTAAAAAACACAAATCAAAAAATTTGCAGCAATATAGTACAGGAAGATTTTTTCTGGTGTCGAAGGGGTGAGTGATACAACTTAAGAAAGTGTGCTATTTATACATGTATTTTTGAGGGGCCCTGAAAGGTCATACATATACTTCGAAAAAATACAGACACCCGTTTATTCGTTTTACATTTATCCTACCATTGAATTCTACGTTGAATTATATCCGTTCTTAAACAACTGTGTCTACGTTTATTAGATTTTAAAAAATTAAGAGATTGAATCAATGTCAGCCGTTGTAAAGCTATGAATTCTCACCCTCGTGGTACTTTGTGTTTTAGTCACGTGGTGAACAAACGGAACTAATCTAAGTTTCCAGTCATCAAGACAAAATATAACACAAACAGTTAAAATTTGAAGCAAGAAATCAAAAGTAAGTCTCCAGAATAATGAGTATTCTGGGTCATAAACGAACAGGGCAAGGATGGCACAAATGCCATAGCTAGACACAGTAACGGAAGTTGCAATAGCCGATCTTTTAATTCGGTTTCTCAGTTTCCTGAAATTCACCTTTTTGGGCTCCGGGAGTTTCACGTGTTTTAATAATGGATAAACAAATAGTCCCAATAGTAATATTTCCAATACTATAGTGCCTGACAAAACGTACCCACCTGGTAATTTTTCAGGAACTAGGGAGTAATCTAAATTACAACCTGTTATTGTTTTTTTGTACCTTTTAGTTATGACATACAAGAGCATTCCGACTATAACAGTAGCAGCTATCATAAATGCAGTGATAAAACTAATCGCACGAATCAGTTTGTTACAAATAGACTTGAAAACAGTTGAATTGTAAAACATTCTCTGCCTCATCCAAAGCACAGCAGCGAGTGGACTGATGCAAAGCGAGTACAGCACGTTCAACACGGCACGTAGAGCGTCACATACGTCAGTTTCTTCTTCGCTGAATGCGTAATGTATTTCCACCGCTTGAAGACTTTCCCGTATAACGGAAACAGTTGCTGCTAACAAGATGAAATATCTCATCCTATCTTTCGTTGGATCTTCTATCAATTCGCGCTTATGCTTCTTTGCGCATTGTTTAATTTCTCTGTTAAGCAAGTATATTTTCCACGCGTGCCTGAAGGTCACAATCCAAATGAAAATGCTCGATGCAAAAACGATAGAAAGTGACAGGACAGCGCCTAACCAAATTCGAAATATTTCGTCTTCATCAATGTGAGACTCCGATTGGTTTAAGACCGAAAAATTATTTTTGATATACATTCTGTTTTATTTAAATATAACGAAGTAAGAATAATTGTTTCACTGTCAAAATTTTTGCAAGTAGATATTTATCTTCATTTCATACACTCCTGCTTTATTTCATTTTCAAAAAATGCAGTTTTATTTTTCTGGCCTAAACTTTATGCTATCCTATATGAGCCCGTCTTTGAACAAAACTAATCTTTGAGCAACGAATAGTATTCGATGAAATGATGACTGAGTTACGTTTTGCAAGTTAGATCAGAGTAAGTTATATTAAAAACACATTAATAAACCGAATATTTTATCTCTATTTGAATTTGAAAATCATAACTAATAAGAATGAAAACACCGAGCTCAATCTGCATTTGGAATTCAGTAGACAGTACATAGAACATTGTCATCACCATGAATATAACAACATTGATTTTTACCGTTTTGGTGACGGACACCACAATCGTGAGCAAGATCATCCACCTTGAACGAATGAATTCATTTATAGTAAACACGCCACCCAAAAAAAGGCCGTCAGCAAATAGTGTTAGCACTGTTTATATCTAATAAATATATACATCTTCCGTCTACTTACCGTCTATTTTTTTTTATTTAATATTGCGTGACATATAAAATTTATACATCAATTCTATATATGCGTCCATACTGGTAGCTACAGCTGACATAACTATATAAAAATAAAAGTTACATGCTTGTAAACTGAACAATGTACCGTTGATATTTTTGTGCTCTGTAAGTTTTCGATTCGATCAACTCGCGGAAGTACGCATAGTGAAGAAGCACAATAAAATCAATTCAATTTTAAATTTGAAGTTATTGTATTTGTTCTACAAGCATTTCCTGGTATTGTAAAACCGAAAATCTTCTGGTATTCATTGCGTTTGCAATAATAGAATTTACAAAAGAGTGTGAATCACACATTCGGCAGCAAAATTATAAGCGTTACGCTTCTGTTTCATGTTTGAGGTTGGAAAGGTTCCATATATACAAAAAAACTAAGACACATAATGTGTTGGCTATCAACCTGTTTCACCCTATTGTACACAGAGTGAAATCGTTTTGCTTTTTTTCTTGTTGCTGTTGTTATCTTGCTGGGATTCTTGGCTTTGTTGTGGTGAAAATTGTTGTTCTTCTCGACTATAGTCGAACAATCGGTTCTAAATTTTCGTTACTTGAAGATCGAATAAGCATCAGTCTACTATTTGCTATTGTTACGAATATTGCGCCATCACATGGCATACGTCAGACGCTATCACTTCAAGATGGCCGTGCTCTCCTCTCAGCTACGACACTGCCGGTAATGCTGGTAATTTTTATGGCCTTGGACCTCGATGTTCCAGGTGGATTTTTTTTCTCTCACATCTCAGTCACGCTCCAGTGATTTTAGGTCATATCTCGAGAACGGTAATAGCTAGGGATGTTATATTTGGGCTATACAAGGTAAATAAAGTGAAGTTCATAAAAAGAAATTCGTCACGGTTGAGTGAACACGGACCCTAAAGTTGATAGAAATCGACTTCTATTGAGAATGATCAGTTTATGACGTGTTATTTAAACTAATTAATGAACTAAAGTGGCTGGGGGCAGCGCGCCGGACGAATTTCCGCCATTCGTCCGGCGAAACGACCCTGGTGCATCCATCAAACTCCTTATAAAACATCTGCTTTTTTATACTCAAATATTTTCCTTATATTTCCCCTCGCGGGTAGCGTAGCGACCGTTCAATTTTGATTTAAAGCTTTTCATTAGTTAGTTAACTTTTAGTGCAAGTCGTATAGGATATAGTAACTGTCTAACGTTGCCATTAATATGGAAAGGTGTTATGTGAGCGATCTGACAATTGAAACGAACACGGAGTATTTCTATGATTTTTATGATTCGATGTTAGACTCCCTCATAGGTGACGCTACTCGATAACCATGACTGGTTTATCGTGTCTACCTTCACGCTGAAAACATTATTCTTTATTTTACCGTACTGTTTGTATACTTTCGTATTTTCGGTATGTTGAAAAATAAACTACTGACTGCCTGACCGTGGAACAGATTACCTTAACTCACCAGTACCTGTCATAGGATACCTGTACCCGGAACATCCTAGCTTTCATAGGCCCTATGTCGATGATGATCCATACGCCCGGTATGAATTTGAATCGAAGTATCAATTGATACGAGTCAAAACTGTAGCATAAAATCATCATTACAAAACTCACTAGAAAACTCGCGAATTCGCGAAGCATCAGATCTGTGAGTGCGATTGCCGAACAGCAACAAATAACCAAACGATCGATAGGTCCACTCCGTGTCTAATAATATTAATTTTGGGTCACTTCGTGAATAAAACTGTCTTGAGATGATATTTTATACGCTTAACCTCCAAGGGAAGATTCATATAAGGGTTGCGTCAAATTTATACAAAATTTTCATACTGGCATTCATCTTTGACAAGATTGTTGACAACTTTGTTTACATTGATAAAAAATTTTAATCTGTAAAGATCAACAATTTCCGAAAGTTGTCTTTTATTTTGCCAATAAATTAAGGCATAACAAGTTTTTGTATGTCAAAATGGTAATCCCTACGACCATTTTAACGAAAATAAACGCATCACGTAAAAACTGTCTATCGTCTATCTGTCAATGGTAAAAATGTAAAAGTTCCATTTTCTATAAGATTTTTTTTTAAGTTAAGTAGATTCATATTTGATCAGACATGTCTGGGATATAAATTTTGTTCCTGTACTAATACGAGATTATGCGAATTCTAAAATATTACCCGCTGGCTATATTGAAAGTTGGACCTCGCTCGCAAACCGGTTGTTTCGCTTCAATTGGTGGATTCATTAGGAGCTAATGTTCGAGGTAACACACGATTGAAGACTTGGATTTGACAGAATATTTATTTTTGCAGATTTAATTTCAATTCATAATTTTCAAAGCAATGGAGTTTATATTGTTTCACTTTGTTACCATTCTCTTTTCATGCCATTGGTCTGTAGTTTCACGCTCACCTTGGTATCAAAATATTTTGATTGGATTCGACCTTGTAGTTTTAGAATTTGTCGGAAAACAAATCCGCTTATAATTCTTATATTTATCTAAATTTCTACTACCGCATGGCAACACAATAAATTTGAAAATAAGTTGATAAAGCCTGAATATGGCTTCACAAAAATTGATTATGCACAAAAGAATCAAAAAGGCCGATTCAAACTTGGCACTGTGGTATTCAAAAGTTTTTCAAAACAAAAGGATCAATTTCGAATATAGCTATAATTAAGGTTAAGTGGGAAATCCACAGTTATGGATAATTATCCTCTTAGAGGCCAACGATGGTTTAAGTGGTTCACGTTTTTTGTGTTGCACGTTTTGTACAACGTTGAAAATCCGGATTTGTAGTTCACATGCTATAATTTGCATATTTGGCAATGTTTTTTTGATTATGAAGCAAAATCAACTGGCACTATTTCAAACGGTAATATCAAAATAACGCTCAAACAGGCGAGATTATTTTTATTTTTTGGATGTCGGTTGCCTGAGCATTTATATTATTCATGCCTCATGATAACATGCAATATATCGATTTGATTCAATTCCACCTTGTTAGAACCCCGTGAAACTGTCACATAAAAAATTGAACCCGTCAAAAAATTCAAAATTGCGTTCGAAACTTAATTTATTTTTTGCAAAATAGCTAGTCTCTTACATCTTTCTCTATAAAACAATAGATAATATTATTCCAAACTAATTCGGATCATAATTGGTGATCCAAGTTTCACATTATCAAAGTAAGCAAAATGCCCAAATTGGCAAGTTGGTAGCCTATATTCCCATCGCGTAATTCGTTAAAATAATATTAAAGCTTTCCACCAATTAACATACAATGTAAGTGATCGTTGGTTATCATTTCTTCTAAACTAACGAAATGGACCAAATGTGTGCACGCAAGCAGCGAAAGCTGGCTTTTATAATCAGGATGTGTGACAGGAATGTTTACATACAAAATGAAATAATAATTTTGATTTAACTTTATTATAATATTTAAAGATTTCTCTATTTTTGCTCTAGTTATTTTCCGGCTCGTACGTAACGTCCTTGAGCCGTAGGAAAGCCGTAAGTGTCTGTCAAGTTCATGCCTTTAGCAAAAGCATCTTGTAATTTTTGTAGCCCTGTAACCATGTGTGAGGCTTCAACTTCGCCGAATTTTTTTCGCCATTGTTTTAACTCTCGTTTGCTAACGCATGTCGGTGTTTTCGAAACCATATCATTGTAACTTCGCGCTCTTGACATTCCTCTTTGTTGTCCAGTAGCTGTACCAGTTGGTGATATTTGCTCCAAATTTCTGAAAAAGGAATAACCGGTTTTATGTAGGCGCGTCGCTGAGCAGAAAAAAGAATTTCACGAAAAAAAATGATACGTTTGCAATAGAAAATATGGCGAATATGAAAGCTTTTCTGTTCAAGACCAATAATAATTGAACCTATACTACAAGCATTGAAATATTCATTTCATCTACTATTTATTGTGTCTATTTTTTTTTTTTAAACTCGACGTCTCAATTTTTGCAATATAAATAAAGGCATTTGTTTTTACTTATGTGATCTCCCGAATACACTTTCAATACAGAAACGTTCACAAAAAATTGATTCCATATAATCAATCTATTATATAGCCATCAGTAAAAAGGCTATTTGCAAAAAATGTAATTTGAGAAGTTAAAACATTTATGAATTCTTGATTTGAACACAAATTTTGGCATTAAATGCCATTCAGCTTTTTTTTTATTTGCTACGAGCTAGTTCAGCGACGCGAAACTAAAAGGATCTCCATATCGTATCTCAAATAAGGAAAATTATTATTACCGCAAAGAATGATCTCTCGCTGCGACATCGTTCTCTTCAAAACTTGAATTTTCTGACTCAGAACATGAACTTGACAATGATTGTGAAGATATTCTCTTTATTTCCTGTATCATTATATAAAACATTGTTGAGGTCAAAAACTGGATACGAAGTGGAATATGAGTAGTTTTGCTAAATTATTGTTCTTTTGGAGTTTCATTTAGTATTTGAGTGAAATTTTGTTGATATTGCATGGCGTAGTAATTTGATCTTCGTTTCCATATATTCGAGCATTGATCTCTCACATTTTCGTCACGTAATTAGTGTTTTGTCGAAGTTACTCATTTAGACGTTCATAGTTTTCAATCTGCGGTACTGTGATTTAAATTTTGCATCACGTAAGACATCTCAACAACATGTTTCAGTAAATAATACTTTTTCATTGTGGAATGCACTGCATTGAATTCACACTCACAGTCGTGGGCTTGCTCACTTTTAGGAACAAGCGCGAAAATTTCAGTCCAAGCCCAATAAAGTCACTGAACACTAATAGTGAAACGTTTTTGTTTGTTTTTTTAAAATTTAAAGCAAGGTCACGAAAACTCACTCAGAAATTGAAAATAAAATTTTTTTAGCGGAGCCATAAGCTAAAATGCTAAAACCTACTGACATCGTAAAAAATTGTAATGTGGAAAATAATCCAAATAATCAAATACTAGTATGTTCTACAAAATTGATGTAGAATCACACTTCGAATAAACAATTTTTTTGGTCAATTTTGAGTTCAAGTTCACCCTGCTTCAAGCCAGACACTGCAACCTGCTTTAAAATTACTCGTTTGAATCTCAACTCGAAATCAATTTAACACATAAAATTTGAAGTATTTTTGAAACGGCAGCTGTTCACAACAAATTAAAGAATTAAGCTGGTAAATTTGTACATCACAATTACCGCGGTATTTAAAGTGAGACAAACACATTCCACGTCTCCTAATTTGAATCTAACACTTATAATCTGGTTCTAGTTTCCTTTGAAATTTAAAATCGGTCCAGTCGTGTATAATTATGTACAAAAATGACGCTTAATTAGGTAAATTCATAATTTCTTAATTATAGCAACGCCCTCGATGGTGTAAGACTGCAAGAACCAATCAAATTGAGTAAAAGTTGTAGTGTGACTTTTTTGAGTCTTAACAGCCAATCAAATGTAAGAAAATAATAATAATGAGATTGTTTGTTTCAAAATTTTGACCAGTGTTAAAAACGGAAATTTTTTATGAACTCAGGGGAATAATTCGAAAACAAAGGGGTTTTGAGTGACGATAATTAAAACTCCAGATAAAAGTTATTAACTAGTGATTACAGAACACGACATAATCTAATTTTTTTTTTTTTTTGAAAACTGTTTCACAGATAAATTGGGTGTGCTCGATTATACTTAAAATATTACCTATATTTTTTAAAGTTTAGAAATCTTCAGATATTTTGAAATAAATATTGAGTTTAAAATGACGAGCAGCTTTTTGACGTCACTTTATGTGATGCCAATATTTCCAAAACGGTTGCATGTAAAAGAAATCATCGGTCTTTATCGGTAATTTAAGATATCGAGTGGTCCATTTACCGTGAACCTAAATCCTTTCTATGATGAAAGAGGGTTTTTATGGGTGAGGGAATTTTTGCTTTCGAAAAAGGATATATCTTACGTGATTCACGCCTCGGTTCTTTTTGTAGAGTTCGCTGTGGTACGAATCGTGTTTATCAGTTTCTTTTGTAGAATACGCATCTTTGTAGGCACGAGTCAGCATACTTTGATATTCATTATTCATGTAAGTGATCCCATGTTGCCTCTCTTGACCATGTTTCCCTCTTTTGTAATAGCCGTCTTCATAATCATCTGGGTCGAAGCTTGAGGCAGGTGCACAAATGACACGGCGGCTTTGAGAGATATTACGGGGAGCTTCTAGATTTCTCGGCCACGATTTATTTCGTGAAGTATCCAAAGACGACCAAGTTCCAGTGTGGGCTCTGCTGAACCCTCGAGGCGACAAGTCCCAATCTTGGTGGTTTGATTTAGCTGGATTTACTGGAGGCCCCAATAAAAAGTCTTGTATTTTCTTGTTATTTTGCTCTCTCCACGCAACGTATTCACTGTATCCACTATCGGCGCTGCTGTACGCGGAGTCCGTTATCATGGCAAAACTTTGCTGCAATGCACTTCTGCTTGGATACGGATCCGGCATGAATCGTGAAACGACCCTGCCACTTGGAGGCGCGTGATCCCCTATTTTTGATGTCATGCTTTGTGATGATGCAACTGGAAACTCCTTCTTTGTTGGTTGAAATTGCATAGGTGGAGGATCCCGAAAAGGTTTTGTTTTCTTTGTCACGTGAAATTTGGGAGGAGGAGATCTAGGATAAGCTGGCAGTTTTTTCGGACGAATTCTTGATTCTATAGACAAAGAAGAAACCGTATTAATAAGCATTTCACAAAGACCATCTTGAAATGAAATAAGGGTAAAGGCAGACTGAACTCTGTCATAATTAATAAAGATTAATTTCACAAATACTATTCTAAATACTATTGAACTATTCTAAAACTGCAGTAACAAACACTAGTGAGATGAGCTAGCATTTACACTCAGTAGTTCACGAATGGTATTAAAATAGTTATTTTGAAAAGCATAGACTGAATATTAATTTACTACTGACTGTACACAATTATATTAACAATGAGTTCTTGCAGTTGAAACAGTTTTACATTATTGTCGTATTGCGATGATAATATTCACTCTCAGCACATTTGATTTGGTATATATTGAGGCAAAACTTGCACTAAAATCGTAGTTCGCCAAAGAGTTTTACAACTCTTTCTTTATGCTTTTAAATGTTATATGATGTTACCCTTTGTTTTCTTTCGTCGAATCGGTTTTTCTTGCTTTATAATTGGCTCATGAATGATATCCGGAATTCCAATATCTCTGTACAGAAAATAATATTTTTAACGTTGAAAATATAACTTTTTCAAATTACAGTAAGAAATCCTACAGTGCCAGATTCATACTCTGAGAACAGTTTCTCCTAAGCTTGAAGTCTTGCAAATCAAGAAACAAACTGTCAGAAATGGGGTTGGTTATATGGTCACTATTACCAATTGAATGGTCTGTGATGTTCAGTATAGAAATGTTTCAAAACAACATTTCAATAATTGGATACTTTCTGGAAAAGAACAGCCGATCGACGTCAAATATTTAATAATTCTATTTTCATTTCCAGAATTGGAAATAAAATAAAAATCAATACTCTTTCATGTTTTCGGCTTTCTCTTGTGTTCTTTGTCCAAGTAAAAATCTATTCAAAATACTTACACTGAACTTTTCCATCGTTTTATTGAATAGGGAACCGTATGTTTTGTTTTCTTTTTTGATTTTTTTATGAAGTCGTTTTTTGTTATTGGTGGAACTTCACACTCGCCTCTTAACTTTCTTACTTCTCCATACGGCACCATTATCCCGTATCCGTATGGACAATCAAAATACTGTCGATTATGGAATACCCCGCTGTTTTTGGTAACTGTGAAATTGTGAAATCAAATTAAAAGAGTAGGCCTACATGTACTTTGCTCTTTATAACTCTCGTAGGAGTGTAATTACGAAAGTTTGTTATAAGGCGTTTCCACGCCTTCACTTCAAACGAAGCTCTGTTACGCAAATGTCTACTATTTTTGAAAGGACCAGAAGTTTCCGTTTCGGCACTTTACAAATATTTTTCTTTTATTTAAGTTCTCCGCACTAAAATTGTCGTTAATATGTCTTGAATTTATGCAAATAAAAAAATAATATTAATCCAAGTACGAACTCTTTGTCAATAGATTATATAGAAATAGTTAGCGAATCGTTGTTGTTGATCACCATCGATTCAACCATGTCCTATTCACTGTCTATTGTCTTACTCCTAGTGGGTTAGGGGTATATTTGATTACTATGTTACGAAGTTATCAACAAAAATCCAGCGTTATGAGAATGACACGACATAATCGTTGAGATACTATTGGAGAGAAAGTAATACGTTCACAATAAATGAACTTGCTAGTACCGTTATTTTTTTCAATAACCCTGTTGGGTGGGATGACAAATTATAATGAAACATACGGATGTACTACATAAACCTTGCTTTTTGGGGGCCACACAACCAATTTTATTGATGTCAGATTCCAGTCACACATTGCGGGAAAGAGAACGCGATACTGGTCGCTGGGCACAAGAAAACAAGTAATATAGCTTAATAGAAGTTTAATTACATGGTAGAACACAATAGTTTCTTATTTGTACTTCGTGGAATTGTTGCCTATTCTCATGAACATATTTTATCTTATCGAAGGCGATAGGTTTTCTGCTATATTACTTAATTATCAGAAGTCGAACGAGTTTCTATCCATATCTACAATTAGTATCACAATATTTAATATACTCGATACATTCGTTGCATAAATATCAACGGGCATGCACGAAATTTTATTGTGGTAATTCTCCTCGGAAGAATAGAACCCTATTATTTCCTAATAATTCATAAAAAAATCCTCAAACCACTCAAATTCCCACAAACTCATAACTGTACTGTCTAAAATCTTGTTCCAAAAAAAAAATTGGTCTCCTTTTAATGTCACATCAACTTGTGGTATAAAAATGAAAATTTTAGATTCTATCTTCGACCCTTGACTCGTATTTTTCTAGTTTTATACCCCAGGGCATAACTGTACCTCCTTGGCCTTATTTTGTCATATTCAATACGTTTCGTATTTTGTGTTTATATAACACGAGAAATGTTAAATAATCTCTGCATCATCAAAAAACTGGAAAAACTTGAATATGTATTGAGATAGTGGTTAGGTCATATGCCGGTAAAATCCGACAGAAGGTTTTGAAAATAATAATTCTATTTATGTGGGGATAGAAAAATTAAATAAGACGCATGATTCACATATTGCAAAACGACCTATTTTCAGTTACTAGTCGACGATATATTTGACAATAATTAGCTATTTATTTACAAAAAAGTAGATGATGTTGTGACAGCAACGGATAACAGTTTTCTTGTAAAATCAACCCGTAGCAGTACACCAGTATCTTACGCGACCCACACAGAAATCTGTTATTTGATCATTCAATATTTCAAATCAAATCAAAATCATTAATCACGTTCATCACCGTAGTAATTCACGTCGGTACCGCTAAAGTCTTAGCTAAGCACTCGGTTTATCAAAAAGATTACGAGCCACTTGGGGCGCAATATTGTAAAAGGAGAAAAGTTGGGATAGGATTTGCCATCGAGCTATATGAAAAAAATTTGATAACCGCAATGTCAGCAAAACTGGTCTTTCGATTTTATTCTGATGACAATACAACAACAATAACAACAACGAGAATTTAGAATTTAGCGGTGGTTGCCATTAGATTGAAAAGGGTTAATGATGAAACAATTTTATGCTAAATATACGATTTTTGATATTTTGGATTTATATTTATTATAAATACATCTTCAAACCTTGCACCAAAGTGCACAAATGCGTGTGTATTAAGATATTTTAATGTTTGAGGAAACTTTCAATTCGAGCTGATTTTAATGTCTCGGGTCAGAATCAGGAAAAAACTCACAACCAAGATAATGAAGTCGAATTCCAACCACTTCACTAACATTTCTGAAAAATTTTCTCAACATCCTCACAATTATATATAATATAGCTTAACGTCATGTTACGGTAACAACGGTATTTTAACTGACACGTTAACCTTGAATATGATATGCCCCGGGGCTAAATAGAAACAATAGCTTTGATACAGAAGTCAAATCCCATGAAATTTAACGAGAGTTATTAACGTGAGAATGTTTATTGAAAGTTTATACATCGTGTCAAATTAATACGACAAGAATTACTTTTTGTTTACGACCCCCCGAACAAAGTAACAACCGTTCTACTTTTCAATCGATTTTGCATATACTATATCATATAATGGTGTCCAAATTAGACCAGAAATAATGCTAATGAATCATATTTAACAATTATGATTAATAATAATATTACAGTAAATATCAAAACACCTAGCCACATATAATTTTGTTCGCCTACTTTACATCAAGTTGTGTAAAGGGACTGAATCCTATGGGCAGGTATATTCACTTGGCTAACACAGACAGTCCCCGAACTCGTAATCGAACTAAAAATAGGGAAATCGGAATAAAATTATAGCCTAACCCTAACCTGGTACACACAATACGGGAGTATCTAAAAAGTACTTAGTATAAAGCTACCAACAATAATTTATCCGGTTTCACGTAATCTAATAGGGGATATTTATATGAAGTATACTATAGAGAGATAATCCGATAACGTTTACATCCATTATATAGTAGCAAACGTCTCAAATGGTATTAGCTCCTGTATACGTTTTTACAGATAAAAAACCCCATTAACGGGTTAGATAACATAAATATTACCTACTTTTATTGTTGTGTTGATGTTATGCGTAATATTATCCCATGAAATACACACCGTTAAATATTCAAACGTGTTAATAGAAGATTGGCGTCACACTCCGTCAGCAGATTTGATAAGTCACCAATAATCAATAGCAGTGGCACCAGGTTTTGCCAGTTCAGTACAAGAGTTTGCATTCAAAATTGAGAGTCCATATTATTATATGTACATATAATGTTTACATATATTCAATTATCTGCATTTTATAGATCATTTAGTTTTGCAAGTAATAGGTTTGCTTTTATATATTTTCATTGATAACATGTACAATTTATCTTACTGCCTTACAAGTATAGATAGATTTGTGGCAATTATGATGTGACAACCATGGCGTTCCTCGAGCCTTTAGAATGTGTCATCATCAGGGTTCCGCTCCACCACAAAGATTGAAACCACTGATCTACGGCATAACAAGACTTTCTATCAGCTGTAGACATAGAATATACCAACTCTTTGACTTTGACTGATGTCAAATACACTTTGAGGATTGAGAAACTCAATCCGAATCTCAAATTGACAGCAGTGGCTGGTCGTTTGTAAGCATTAATACGTCAGCCTATTATTGTTCTGCACCGCTTAGAGTCTAATGCCTACATGGGCAAACTACGGCTCGCGGGCCAAATCCACCCCGTTGGGTAATTTAATCTGGCCCGCCTGATGCTTCCACAACCAAACCGAAACCAAATTTTGATGTTTTAACTAAAAAAATAGCTCAAGGAATTTATCAAGACTGCGATCGAATTTAGTTTTGGCACGAGGCTTATTGTTTTCCAGTTTTGCTTCTGTAACACTGTAAATAAAAATGTTTTTACGTCACACTTGTATGGCCCGCCAGTATAGGCGGGCAAAATGTTTGTCCCCTAGTTCAGAAACCTTTCCCACCCTGGATGAATGATATATGAAATACCGATTGATAAGTGTAAAAGACACAATAGCTCGACTTAATATATTAATGTATCCCATGAATTATTTTCAAAAGGATATTCAAAACTAATAACCTAATTACTATTGAATATTTGCAAGAAATGCCTATCGAGATTTTGGAATCTTAACAAAAAATTCTTGCTTTTTTTTTTAAATTGGCTGTAACCTAAGGTGCCTGAAAGCAATACCAAATATCAAGAAATCCGAGACTTTTATTGATTTTATCTCACGTTGAATTGGATATTTCAGGGGTCTGATTTCATGAAACTATACGTTATTTATTTAAAATGTTTCAATAAGTTTCGTTTAGTTTAACTATGTAGTCACTGTAGTGCATTCTGATTTATGTTTAAAATAAAAACAATACAAACAAACGCTAACAGATTTATCAGTTACAGCATTTGATTTAATTATTAGTTTTTTTATACATTGCATATAATGTCCTAACAGTCCTAACAGTTTAATCAAGTATTTTAGCTTAACACTCTTTCAAATAAAAAAGCAAGCTAGGTATGTTGGCCCCTCAACTCAAAATGTTTAGACATAAAAAATTCCCGTCATGAGTATTACTTTTTTTGCAGAATATATAAACTAATCCGGGACGTTGATATTCCTCAACACGAAATGCATCCTTCATAAAGTACAAAATAATTATAAAATTAATTAACTATAATTATGTAATCATTTAAAGAATCATAAATATAATCATAGTATAAATAGTTGAATCATAAAATTTAGCTGGCAAAAGTATAATTTTTAAAAGTAGTATCATATTGTACCTAATTCCCCACAAAACCAACGTAAGTTTTGGGCACGCAACCATTCGATTTTGCACATCTAAAACGTGATCAACAGTGTAAATACCAATGTAAATGTCTTTTACCTTGCTCATCTAAGTGAACTCCTACAAATACTTCTGGAAAAACAACCTCAGTTTCCAGCCGACCAATGAACTTGACTGTACCTGTTTAAATAAATATCCATGCTTAATAAATGAAACAAACAAATTTAGAAGGAGGACGTTCAAATGCCGATTGAGAATATATATCCATCCATACTTTATGGCTTCACATTTTTTCTATTTTTATTTATTGGTACACCCCTATACAAGATTGAAAATATGCCACTGGTGAGGAAGATTATTAAGTATTATATTGGTTGTCAAGGAACGGGGAAAGTGATCGAGCATCGTCTCAGGCTGTGGATGAAGATTGCTATTGTTACTTATCGATTTTAATCGGTAAGTATGTTGATAGGTATTTGTCTGTCTGTTTGTTTGTCTGCATTTCTGTCTGTCTGTTAGATGCACGTGATATCTCACGAAAACGATATTGAATCTGCTCCAGATTTTGCATGTGTATTTATCATATGTCGTACCAAAAGCCTATTGATTTTGGATGAATTATGTCATATAATTAGCGAGTTATTAATTAATTAGTCATGGGACACAAGATGTCACTATGGAGAAAGAGCACTGTTTTTGGGATCCCCTAACTTTCGATCGATAAGTCTTCGGTCTCTGACCGATATTCTCGTTCGTTTAATTGATTTGTATGGAATTATCTTTGTTGAAGTTCATAAAAAAATTTTCTCAATTGCAACATAAACATCTATATACCACTCCTGTTACGGACAGAAAATAAAAAAAAGTTACCCATTTACTGTGAAACAACATTGATTTTGGCTATTTTTTTGTTATATATTTTCCATAAGATTTCGGTGAAATTCGCGTCATTAGTATATAGTATAATTTTTAGTGTGTTAGTCATTTTTCTACTTAAGTTATGTGAAGGAAACAAATATACCAAGTTGACTACAAAAAAGGAATGAACATTTATAAAAACTGAAATATCATTATTTTTGTATAATTGACAACATTTTATTCTTAGTATTCAACCGAAAATCTAATGCTGATAAGTTTCGAAAATATTTTTCTTCAATATTATTGAAGTTTATCACCATTTTTGTGATTCCCATCAAGAAACAATATTACTAGTTTAGGAAAATATTTTGTCAAATTATTATAAATTAATACAGAAATATAATGATAATCTTTCAAGAAAATAAAAATATTTTCATAAACACTACTTAAAAACTATTAAATTTAATGGTATCATTTTGAAAAGTGCTTGCCCAAAAGTATCTTTTATCGAGTTCTGTTCAATGGTGTTCCATGCGTGGATAAGTACAAAAATCATCTTTGTCAATGACAGTTTTTGTTATTTGTGTGTCTTCGTGTATCTGTTTAGAATTCCCAACCCGCGTACATCATTTGTAACTTAAGAAGCAGCAAATTAGCTATAATGCGGTTAGAAAACACGTCAGTAACAATAAACATTAGAAACACTAAGTATAAACCAGTCTTACCGGTATATCTTTTGGCAACTCTGACTCTATCTCCAATTTGAACAAGATATTTGTCTTCTGATTTCACTTCCTTAAATTCAGTCATTTTCTTTTTGTTATCCATCGCTTTTCTAATCCTTTCCCTTCTCTTTCTTGCGACAGGACGTGTCGGATTTACTTCCCCTGGCTTTATAAGCAGCTTTCGTTTCGTTGGTAAAGCGACTGATCGCATGATGATGATTCACACCTAGGAGTTAGCGGTTGGCGATAGAATTCAATGATAGCTGTAGGCATATATGTCTCATACTATTTATAAATAGAAATCTTAAAATGGAATAAATGGAGTTTTAACAACGTCATGATCAAAACGTACCATTTGCCAAAAATGATCGCTTCCACCATCCACCCGCAAATATTCTGACAATCCGGTCATTACTTAAAATATTATTTTCACTTGAGTTAACAAATTTGAATAATATTTCAAAACTACAGAGAAACGAAATTTTTTATGTATTATTTTCATATTTATATTAATAGGGTAAGTTCTGGCAACCGATTCGTTTAGAGTAGACGTTTGAGGTATATTTAAAAATAAAACAGGAAAACAAATATTTAGTTGCCACATTTCGCTCTGATTAAAGCAAATTTGAACTCTTCGATGAAGATTACGACTTCGAATATGAAGCAGTGTGTCGGGATAAAATAACAAAAAGTAAATCCTGACAAAAACCAACGGTGGCGCAAAGATTAGGCCAACACCCTGATCCCCATGCGTCTAATCACAATTTTGCTTAGTTTGGCGAAGCTATTTTAGACAACTCGCTTTTATAATAGCTAATATTCTAAAAATTCAAAACTACTGCCATTTTTTACAAGATTTTTTTTCAGAATAAGTTTTGATAAGTTTTAGCCTCGAAATTGACTTTATTCATACGTAATAATCACGTATACTAAAATAATATACATTATAAATGCTGGTGCTTACAAGTTCGCATTTCATCATACAAATGCTTCGTAGGAAAAAAAATTTTAAATCCCAACTTCCTAATTATTTATTTGAAGCTGATCAAGTTTAACAAACATATTTCAGTAAATTCTTCATAATGTGCGAAATTTGAGAGAGTTTTCACAACTAATAAAACATTATTCGATGCTTTTTATTGGAATTGGAAACCAGATACTTTATATTGATCTTATCGGTATCAATACCTCCTTTTTAAACATTCATCGCAGCTTTTTGTATAAAACATTAGAGTATAGATACTGCTAAGAACAACGTACTAAACAACGTAAACAAAATGTTAAAAAACAAGAGAGCTATGCTCAAATGTATGGACACGTAGCGCCACATAATTTTGATGACGTCATAGCAAAAAATAAATGTAATACCCCTCTAGCAAAAAATATAATCTTCACTCACTGAAAATTTCAAAGCAATTGGTCCAGTAATCAAAGAGAAAAGCGATTCCTTTAAAACGATGCAAAATATAAAACCAACATAATAACAAAACGATCGTTATGTCCACTACGTGTCCAATAATTTCTCAGTCAATCGTCGAGTTATCATTATCGAGCTCAAAATAGTACAGTATATTGTTACATAATTTTTCAACAATGAAATATTTTCCTTCGTGAATAATAATATATATATGAAAAAGACAATGTTTCTTGTATTTTGCACTGGTATATCTATAAAAGAAAAAATTTTGAAACAAGCAATGTGGAAAACGAGAATCATATTATGCCGCTATATCATAGAAAAAATTTTGACCGAACCAAATGTTTTGAAGTTTATTTCCCATATTTTTGCATATTATTCCATCAATAAAATGTATAACCTGTCCCGGCAAGTGTGAAAATGCATTTCAGATTGTACCTCCATCACCAATTGAATATTACCTATTATTCAATGTACAAAAATCCGCCCGCATGCACCGTGTACCTCTAATAACACGTCCTACACGGTACGCCCACTCGCCGAGGTCTATCTTCAATAATCCAGACTGCAGAGTACTAGGCATTAATCTCATGTCAAATCTCAGCCATATTTTATCGACGTCTTCATCTTTACGTGTTTTTTTATTTTCTAATTAATAACAATAAAAAAGAGTAAGTAAAATACAAAGCGGCCGATAAAGGCGAATCAAAACATTGAACGGTATGCATAATAAACAAAGTGAATTCAACAATAGTAATTTGGCCTTCTCAAATTCCTATTTAATATTCTAATATAATATTTTATCATATTATTATTACCGTTTCGACCTACAGTTTTGACGAGCGTCAATTTTAAATAGTCATTGTCAAATATTTCACAACCATTAATTTAACCCGTATGCAAAATGTAACACCACGTCATACATCGTCCACAACAACATCGATTAAAGCATCATTTACCTGCGCTAACATCTTATACTTGCAATTAATGGCTTCAAACACGGCACTCACAATGCACTAACAAGATTCTGCCCCTTGGCAATTTTCAGTTTTGAAGAACTATGAATACCATTATATGCAAATACTGCGGCACATAGTTGTATACATGCACAGTTGGATGGCCAAAGAAGCCAGCCTCGAAATCAAAATTAGAATCATGCAATGAACTAAATCATTCCATATTGATTACAAGTTTGAGTCCGTAGCCGTTCCAGCTATCAAAACATGAACATTATCCTTCTAATTTCTGCGCACACTACATTTTTTTGAAAATTATGGATTCGCTCATTTGTAGAATCAGAAATCATTTATCGTTTGCTTACTCAATATAAATATATATAGATATTGTACGAACAAACCATTACGCGCTGCTTTCCCGTATAACTTTTCGGTTTGCGTCGGATGCAAGTTATAGTTGGTCTCAACCGGGTGACGTTTGAAATCATTGTACAAAAATGTTTATCCAATACATGACTCTGAATCATCAGTTTTTCATAGAACAGACTATACATTCTGCCAAAGAGACCAAGTTTAACAATCAATTTTGTTAATTTACTTGAGCCATAGAATGCACTTTTAAGTTAAGTCAATTTTTGGCATTAGTCTGATTTTAGCTTAATTTTTCTGACTTCTAGTGCAGCGCCCGAAAGTTGTCCACATTTGTTTCCAACGTCTCCGAGAGCCACAGCAAACTTACCCCTGCTTCGATATGTTAGAGAATACGATAATATATTTTTCACTCTTAAAAATGCTCAGGCTACTTCATTACAGAAAGGTTTCCACTCCCGCTAGTACCAGTAACCGCCTCCACACAAAATCATATCTACTGTTCAAATTGGCTTCATTCCAAGTACAACTTGAAAACCATTGCGTACAACAAATTATACGGTCAGTCTCTCGTTTCCAAAATATTCAATATTTAGAAAAAAGGACTTGATCGCTTAATTACAAACACAGGTAGCAAAAATAGGTGTGTGCAATGTGAAACAGTAGCCTTCGGGCATTGTGTCGAGACGGCTAATCCTGACATGTTTTGTGTTTATGCAAGTTGTTTCGAACCAGTATATCCGTCAAAACACTAGAACATTTAAAAGCGATCTAGAGCAGACTGTCAAGTTCGAGAACTCTAAGCTCGGAATTGTTCTATTTTAATAAAATCTCAAGTAAAGCCATGATAAACAAATATTTTTTGAAAACAGTGAAAATCAATTACAAAAAGAAATTTTGTAAATAAAATCAGCTAGTGACTATTTTTAAAAACTTTTCAAAAAAAAAGTAGTATTTTGAAATATATAATTTTATAAATGATTCTTGCACAGTAACTTATAATAACAATTATAATATAACAATTTAAACGATAAGCCGACTAAGCGATAAGCTCGAATGTGAATTTGAATAGTTCCAAACATCAGTTGCGCTATACATTTAAGTGGCTCTTTATTTATTTTTGTCTGCCACACATAATGTACTGGACTAAACATTTCGTGGATAGACAATATTCTAAATATGAATGCTCGCAATACCAACTATAGGATTCACAAACAATCAATGGGTCAATGAGGCTTCAGCCAACGGCAAATCATATTACAGAAGAATTTGTTATCTTTCCCAGCCGAGAATCCAAAAATCCACACATATTTTCACAATTCCATTAATATAGAGAAAAAAAATATGAAAATACATATCGAAACGTGAAAACATGTTCAAACGATAATCCTCGGGAGTCGTGCAGATTTAGCATTAGCCATAGAAAGGAAATGCTTAACACCACATTACAAATCCGATCAGTTTTGTCGATGTCAATAAATATTAACTCATTACATCGGAATTTATTTTTAATATATTCAATATATAAACCACATAAGTATCAGGTAAATTTCCTCTTCTTAAATCCGTAAACAGAAACGTAGCAAATAAAAACCGAATACATCAAGTTTGGAGATTTGTGTGTTGATAAAAAATAGAGCTAAGATATTAATCTGTGTAGCATTTTGAATATAAGACAAATCAGAATTCCTTTATTATTACATACTTTATAAAAAATTTTACTGCTCATTCTTACAGTAAAAAAAAGCGTTTTTGTTTATTTTTATGCGATCATTAAGTTTGGAGATTAGTGTGTTGATAAAACATATATATTAGAGTTAAGATAATAACATGTGAAGCATTTCAAATATAAGACAAATCAGAATTCTCTTATTATTACATATACTTTATAAAAATTTTACTGCTCATTGTTACAGTAAAAAAAACTTTTTTTATCGTTTTTATACGCTGCTTTTTGTACGCTTTTCACTCGTAACAAGGAGCCATTTATTGTTTGAAGCTACTTTATCTTAAAAGGTCCGGAAACTTCCAAGCCTGGCATTGCCTATTCAATTTATTACACCCTGGGCAAGATGTTAGACATAGATTTCCATCAATAAATGTGAAACATTTTACTTTTAAAAACGATGCCATTCAAATAATGGTATTACTATTTCGTACTATTTCGTAACAATGACAGACTCGATATCTCTTCCTTCTGATACTTCGATTTTGTTTTTTAAAAACAGGACGCTAGTGAAAAACTTAACGAAAGAATCTATCGGGTTTTCAAAATGATCCGCCTTGTACGGGATTGCCTATCCAGGTTCAGTCTGACTGTTATACTATCCGGGCATTGTTCTAACATTTCTTACTTGCTATATCAATGCACTCAATCAATTAGAAGTCGATTAATGAACTTGTATTTTTTTGTGTATGACGTATCTTTTTGTAAACTCTTATTGAAAATAGTATGTGTATGGTTATTGTTAATATTTATGTAAAAGCAACAATTTCCATATGATTTGGCCTGCTTCATAAGTTTTACTGGATTCTGTAGTTAAGAAATCACGAAGTAGAAAAGTACTTTTACTTACTTAGGCTTATAAATGAAGTATGAGTTGTCAGAGGGCTTAGTTTATTCACCTAATATTTTGCGCTTGGGCGACATCTTACGTACCATAGACTTGTTCCGATAGTAAATAATTTACTGAGGAACCATTCGCATGATACGGAAACTATTTTATGATAATACACGTTTCAATAACAGCTGACATTACAAATCTATGTTGTTGTTTTTCCAAACAGCTATATTTTTCCATAGATTGCTGTATTGTAATACTTTTTTGTGCAAAAATCGATCTTGCTAAAGTTTTTTTTGTCAAATACTGACATAAACACAGTAAAATAGATTAGGATTGGGTTTATTTTTAATTTATCTGAGAAAATTTATTTTCTGTAAAATGTAAAAATAACTATTTAATGCCACATTTAAAGAGTGTGGCGGCATAGTTTGATTAAGTAACGGCACCGAGTCACAGAGGAGGCCTTGGTGACTCACAGCTTAGAAACACGCAATGGTCATGAAACTTCATCAAAACATCATATCAGACGCTAAACTCGACTGAAAACAGAAAATAATTTGCGCTTTGCGTGCGTGATCTGCTATTGTTTCATGTATAAATAAATATCATTTTATGCTTATAAGTTCCAACTGGTATTCAAAATTATCATCATAAAGCCGTCTCAACCGCCACCCCGAAACCGACCAGAGGTAGGCCTACGTAATTGTATATAAATATAATACCTATCAAAAATTTGTAAATCTTTGATATGATGATAAATATTTGTATATTTTTATACATTTGCATATATGCTCGCATCGTATGCTATAGCTTTAACCTAACAACGGCCGATTATTATAGTCTGTCATCATTATATATATGATATTTTGAAGTAAATTATGTTTATCCAAACCTTATTCCAAGATATATATTTTGGTCGGAGGTGACAATTGCATATTTGCTTGAACTTTCTTTTATATTTGTTTTACTAAGTAAACTATTTAAAAGGACAGATTGACTTATGTTGTGTGTTGGCCAACTGATTTCAAATATTTTGGGGAAAATCGTCATGGCACGATATCGTGCCCCGTTTCACACACTGAGACTACAGGCTATTTTTCTACAGAAAATCGTGATATTTCTTGGTCATTGTTCCAGCCTATTTGTGACCGATTCATGGCGAACCGGAATGTGTTTAGCACACGCTGGTTCATGAAATAAACGCATCATCGCACGACGTCTAACTTTAAAAAAATCATGGCGATGCTTAAGGCTAACGTTACATTTTGGTTCTGCTATTCTTAAAGGATGAAGGGGCGCCAGGGGAGAAGATTAGTCCGACTGAGATACGCAGATAAAATATTTAAAATTGAGCTTGAATAAAACACTTTTAGTAGAAAGTTATCAGCTAATAGAAATCGACTTAAGAACCGGAAAATTAGGAACTCCGTAGCTGCGTCGTTGCAGTTAAGAGAGATAGTCAGTCGGTCGTACGATTAGCCACATACGACAAAAATTCAAAAAATAATCCCATTCATTTTCAGGTATATTGATTAAGATATAAGGAGTATGAAATCTGTATGAACTTAATATATTTCGGACATCGGTGGTTTAGGGATATGGGGAACTTAAAAGAAATAGGTATGACTTTGGGGTGTGGATTGGCTGCGGGGACTTGATTTTAATATGACACAGGTCAGCCATTAATAGAAATTCAATGAAACATTTCTTTCTTTCACTGCGCATCTTTAATAAAATATCACTACCCGGTTATGGAGACTAAAATTTGAGAATAACCAAATATTTAAGGGCCTCTATGTCGTCATTTATTACGATTAGGATTTTAGACAGTGTAAAAAAGTTCTTTCTACTTTATTCGGATATGATGCAATCTTGACTCATACAATATAAAACAATATTTTTGAATGTATAAAATACTGCCTTGACAAAAATTTGATACAAATATGCACATTTATGAACAGTGGATTTTATACAAAATTCCTAATTTCATTCTGAAACAATTCTTTTTCTGATTTACACGATACCGAATAGCGGTTATGAGTAATCTGCCAAATGGCAGTCCAAATAAATCCATCACTTTATAAACATAATCTATTATTGTCGTTATATATCATTACATATGACATATGTTTCGCTCGATATTAGTTTGGTTTTCGATGTCTATATGATTAAGCCCACGACATCGTTTCTAAACATTTTCATTTGAATATGGCATGCGGAAACGTGGTCTCTTATTTGGTATTATGTCACAGTTCCAAGATGAAAAACGATTTGACCACGTAAACTCAATGTAGTACGAAATTGTGTTTTCCATCAATGACTTGTGGGAAGACTACATATTTTATACTTGAATATATGGGTTTGCAGGGAAGTTTTCCTTACTAAAATGAGATTCAGTTTTCGTATTACGTTTTGATAATTTTTCTTCGTGTTGTTCGTTTCCTGATTCGAACCACGATGACTAGAAGGCAATGCTGACCCCGACATGTCAGTATGACGTGTAAGAACGTCTCACGACCAACGTAAAGCAGACGTTCTCTCATTCGCAATTGTAAAATTAGTCGATTTTACGCGCACGTTTTAAAATTATTGCGTGATGTTTATGTGTGGTTTATTAATGTGACTACACGATCATCATTTGTAATCAAAAGAGAACGGGAAACAATTGAGTTCAATCAGTTAGCACATGAACGTATCGACCCTTGTTAACAGAAGTGTAGATGATAGGTCAGATGGAAGTCATATGCAAGGTCAGATGGCATTTTATATACCTAAATAATCATAATAGTTGAAATATCAATCAGAAACATGGAGAAGATATACGGCAATATCGAAAGTAAATAGCAGAGGTAAAGAAAAACTCGAATCAGTAATTTAAATGGTTAACAGCATTGAAAATAAAACTAGATCACATCATGTTTGTTTTTGTTATGGAATCGTTAGCATAAACTGGTTTAAAAACTAATCGAAAAGTTATATAAATTACGTTGCGTTTTATGTTTTGTTATGCGGAAATTAACATAAACAAAGGAGTTTCAGGCTTTTTTCGCCAAGATGTAAACTTTATCACGTGGGGAGATTGTCGCTTATGGCAATGATTTAAGGAAATCCCCAGAGAAACGCATGCAGAGCATGTGTGCCGTCGTATGTAACAATTCGTTATGTCGATATTTCGTTGAGATTATCCTATAATGCCAAATGGGCCACATTAAGATCAGTGATTATTCCATGTTTGCAGGATTCAATAACCATGGTTTATATTTTTGAAAAAAAATATGTTGGTACTGCCACATTTTTTCACTTTACCTATTTTATTTATTCATCGAAGTTATAGTCAGCTGGTATGACAATAAGGGATTAGTTGTATATTTTAAATCAGGAAATCGAGATACTGCATAATTAGTCAGTTAAATACACACACTTGAATCAAACGTTTCCTCACAGGTCATACATAGATGTCACGTTAGCGATTGTTGTTTGGCGTATGGTATGCGGTCAGTTTATTCAATTGTATCACGCATTCAAACTTTTCATTGGTGTTCAGTTGCAGTCATTGTTTACAATAGCCTTTTGGAAAGGTGATTCACGTAGAATTTACCGTCAGAGGAAGTTTGTTTCGTTTTGTGCAAGCCGCTGACTAGAGACTTCTCATAACATCACGCGCAGCTGTTTCGCAATTGCAACTGTGGTGCGTACGGCTGTGCAATCTGTCGTTCGAATAATAATGTATTGTCAACAGTTTTTGCACATGTACGGAATATGGATACGGGGCTGATTATTATTCAGCATGCGAGTCATTGAGGTAGCACACAAACCACATGTAGCGCTTATTCATGGATTGTTAATGTAGTAAGCTGATAATTTGGTATGTTGCATCAGCAAGTGTGACACTTAAACAAAAGGAACCAGGATGATATTAATTTAAAGAAATTGAAGTCTTGAGGGTACCGGTGCTGGAAAAAATTTCTAGCAGACGAATCGTAATCTAAATAAAGTGTTATAATTCTGTCAGTTCAGTTTTAGGTCCTCTATCTACTAATGAAAATTCGTATAGAGGCGTGGTAGTATACAACATCAGTCCGTATAGGAATTAATTTGAAATGATAATTTAAAGCTATTCTACCATTTCTCTTTTTTTTCGCTTTACGATGTGTATCTTATTACGGTAGTCTGTGAATGTTCCCATATTTATGTCAGAGTTTGGCAGATTTAGCAGAGCAAAAGCGGTTTCAAATAGCTAAAATCGTAAAGAATATTGGGGAGAACGGGCCTATTTGGAATCAAATTTTCAGGTTAAAAATGAAAGTAAATGAGGACGGTTACTACATAGATTCAACTTATGTAAGAATCAATTCTAATAGATTTTATTCTTTATTTCAGATACATAATTCTCAATAGGCGAGTAATTATACTTACTTTAATTTGTTACAAATGTGTGCTTTGTAATAAATCATCGAAATATTTAATTGACGAAACAATTTGAAATCTTGCCGACGGCACCGTAATTGAAGAAAATAATCTTAAAATCCTCGGAAAAGGGAATTACTCAATAAAATCGTTAACCTATGACGAAATGTCGCAGACTGCGGAGTAGGTGTCGAGGTAATTATTCTATCACGAGCTAAATTAAAATGAGAACCCAACTTGGTGTAACTGTACAATGCAATTACGTCATTCACCATGACGTCATAAATTAGTGGACTGCCTTCGGTTTGAAGATTATTTTTTAGTTAATTGTAAATGAATGGAGCATTTCCCTGCAAAAAAAACAATAAAGATAAAATTTCTTAAAATTTCCTCGAGCATAGCGTGTTTGAGTTTCGCATGAATTATGAATTTGATTGAATAAATTTTCAGACAGTCCTTGTTCAAATACAAAATTTTTGTGAAACAAAACGTGCATTGAATTCGTTTCTTAGCGACAGGTTCACAAGAAACCGAAAGTTTCGTTTATAATGCGGACAATAACGCATTTAGGCAGTGAGGGAATTCTGACCACGCTACAGAGATATTCAACCGAAAAATCCATGGCGTTATTTTTTCAAAAATGTGCTTTATTGTCAAACGAGATTGGAGAATGAAGAATTTTGTTTCGTACTCAATTCAAATTGATTCTCTTTATTGTCATCCATGTGTACAGCCCTTTCAAGCTTGCATTACGTCCTACCGTAAACATTCAGTAGCATAGTTTCCACGTCTTAGTCAGCATACATTATGCCTTTTTGCTGATATGTGGTATGTATAAATTGTGCGTATTCGTGATTTTCTGTTTGTTTTGATTAGTCAAGTAAAGTTATAACTGGTGAATATTACTTCATAGCGAAGCATTTCCTAGCTAGTGCTATTTACACAACAAAAGCGGATAATAGAGATCCATGTCGCCTATTCAATCAAAGTATTAATAGTTACCTGTATATTTTGGGTTATATTAAACAGGTCGAGAAATAGAAATCCACGTCGCTTACTCAGTCAAAGCAATAATAGTTACCTGTATATTCTGGGTTATATTAAACAAGGCCAAATTGTTACACAATCTCAGATTATTGTGTACATCTTATATTCGTATTGCGGTTTCCAATTCCAATATTTCTTTCTAGTCATGTTGGATTATTTTGCCTGCGGATCAAACGGATCAAACTTTTTATGCTTTAGGATTACATAATTTCGAAAGCAATTTCTATATTTTCATTGCCTTAAGCGCTTCAAGTACGCGGAATTCTTTATGGTTAATAGTATCGAATATGACATAAGTCTAGGACTATTTACAAAGAAGCGGTTGGTGAAGTTGACCTGTCTTTTAATTAATAAGACAGTGAATTGATGTGATCTTGTGATGTGATTTTGGCTAGTTTAGATGCTATATTTATGATGTGTGATTGATATGGTATAGATTTAGTATGATCAGTATCCATGACATTTTCTATACTAATATGACTTTGCTCTAAGATTCTGTGATATACAAAAATACCACTGCCAGAAATACCATCTATTTAAAGCTTGTTATAATGAAATTCAGATAGCGTTTTTATGAGTTTATTTTTTATTTTTGGAAGAATGAGAGTTATATTGGGTCAATCTAATCTAAATCGAGAAAATATGTTTTGTTCGACATGGCAAAACGAAAGATTTGATATTTGTTTATTTTGAAAAATAAACAGAAAACTTTATATTTATATAAAATTGGTGTGTATCGATTATAAACTATATTTAATTGTGTATAAATAGCAGAGTATTTCTTTTTTAGTTGAAGTTAAACAATGAATTATTTCTTGAAAGCCATATGTCTTTTAAAAGCAGTCAACTAATTACCTATCATATTGACAGTCTTAATTGAAAATTCTCATATTTCAGTTCAGATCGATCAATTTCCTCAGAAACAAATTCTGCGGATTCTAAACCTTTTATTCTCACGATGAACGTGGGTTAAGTTTCTAATTATGGACCACGATTAATTCTTTTTACATATACACGTTTCCGGCACAACTTTTCATGGTCTAAATATGACCTGCAAACGTGATTATTTTCAGACGTTTATTCAAGCTATCCCATCTATACTATATTAAAAATGATAGTTAATCTACCCCAAATTTGCCATTTCGCCATTCGTCATTCCGCTATTCGCTAAATTCGTCATTCGCCAAGTTTGCCATTTCATTAGGGCAAAGAAGCTGAGAGCGAAGCTATGAGACGAATAGTGAAATACCGCGACCTCTAAAATTCAAATAATTTTACATATATTTTTGACAGTGCAAGCTTTCACGAAGTACGTGGTCATTGGTCATATTTTGGCTTTATATTTGTCCATTCGAAAAAATGTTTGGTCATTATAGACGGCTGAGAACAATTCAGTCACGTCTTATTCAACACTCAAACAGCGATGACGTCATCGCCATTTTAAAATGGAAAGAATCGTATTGTGGATATAATTATGACTATCATCAACTAGTGTAAACAAAATTAATATTTATAATATAAATTATGAATTTTTGTGCTTATTGTTACAAATTAAATACAATATAAAAAGAAAAATAGCGGCAATAAAATACTTTTTCATTGAGCATAACCTAATATGCCTATACCAGTCAAGAATAATTTACGACTTCATTGAAGTATTGTGTTTTCACATTGTATGAATGGTCTCAATTGACAAACAATTCTTATGGCAAGGGCGGGAAACTATTCAAGCATTTGACATCCGTTTTAGGACAGGAAAGCCATTGCTGAATGTGCGAAATTATGTCCTTCAAAATAATAATAAATTATGAACGGAAATGGGATTTGTTTCCGATTGGTAGCTTTTCAAATAGGACTTTTAGGAATAAAATTGATGTGCTTAGAAAAGTGCAGTTGTATTTCATATGCTATGGTACATGCATTTTCCATGTGTCACCGTTCGTAGATATTTTAAAATCCTTGTTGATTCACATAGAAATTTCAGTTAAATTTATTATATTTATATTATATATACAATTTTAGAAACTACTGGTGTAATTAATACCAACATGCCAGATTCGCCAGGGACTCGGGACGAGAATCATCCATCTTTAGCATCACCAGGAGAGAAAAGCAACAACGATTTGCCTGCGGACAACGTGTCTTCAACAGGTTCGTTTAGAGTTACTTGTTACTTACTATAGGCAAGAGTCTTTTTTTTTCGTTAACTCAGCGATGACTGGCATTGAGATACGTTACTGGAATTTTTGTTTGAAAAAGTTGCAGGTATCCAAAAGTCAAAATAATGTAGGTATTGAGTAACGGATATAATTTTTTTTCGTTTGTTATATTTGTAAAATTCTTGCCTCTAAAGCCCTATTTGCAAACATGAACATAATATTTCTTTTAAGATGTCTTTTATAAACCTCTCATATGGAAGTATACAAGATTTAAACTATTCTGTTTTTACGTTATAATTTTGTTTTTTTTAATGTAGTTAAAAACAAATAAATTTTATAAAGTGAATTAGTACGAGTCAAATTGTAGCAATATACAGTTGAGACAATTTATAAATTCGATTAGACTGCACCATAATTATAATATTCAGTTGAAATATTAGCATACTGTTAGTAAAAAAATTATTTGATTTTGATGCAAAAAATAAAATAATGATATTACATGAGACTGGTATGTCAAACGCCAAAATAAAATAGAATACTCGACTGAAAAACTAAACTCAAAAATACGAGCACGAAGTTCACGATCGATACCGTTACTTAACTGAGCAGTGAGCACCAAATATGTTGAAATACTCGGTGACAAACGTGATGAAGTCTGGCGGAAACTGAGCACATAGGAAACTTAAAACAATAAATAAAAGTAATGATTTTCTAGCAGCGTGTTCCATTTTTCAGTTCTGAATTTTTAAATCCATAGTCCGTCAGTTGTGGCGAAAAGCGATTTTTGCTTAACAAAAACAAGAGTAACGGTAGCAAAACTATAAATAGATCCAGGTCCGTGTGCAATAATGTGCTTCCTGTGTTATATTTCGTTCATTAGCTGCAGAAAAATTTATGAAATATTTTATCTACACCTTTCGATTTTGCAGAATGTAGTCCCGGCCCATGGTAAAATATTACATTAATAACAAAGAGTATATTTTAATCTACATGCATAGATAACGTAAACTTCCGATTTGGCAAACATCAATAGCTTCCAGGAAACGGACCGTTCATGCAGACAAAACTAATTAAAAGCTGCACGTACTTGTAACTTCTGGGAACTATACTGACCGTGACATTAAAATAAAACGAATTTTCGGTGATCGGTGTAAGAAATATAATAGTAACGCAGCAACGTAACTATATATAAGATAATTATTTCCGTAGGAAGGAAAGGTTTTTTAGTCTTTCTGCTTTTTAGGCCGTCATTCTTTGAATAAAATCGTCGCGCTGTCATTAGTGAGAATCTTGTTAGCCGCACTGAATTACTAAAGCGATTTATTTCAATAGGCCAGCTTTTTGAAAACCACCCCTGGAATGGACCTGAAAGCAGTGGCTCCAACCCAAATAATGTATTTTAAAGAAAACGGCCTCAAAGCCTAAATTACACAAAGGCTTGATAACATGATTATATCAACATAGAAGTACTAACATGTGTAGTCTGTTTATAAGATTGAGGAAGCTCTAGCTTAAATTCAAAGCCCTGTGACATAGGATGGGAAATTTTTCGTTGGCCAAAATATCTTTCAGTGAGGGAAATTCTACCCCACTATCACGAATATTTTGTCTCACAAAATTCGTGAATTGTTTCATTTAAAAAAATGTAATCATTTTAATAGCATTTGGTAGGTATTGTACATAACAAATTGCTCTACATTGCTTTGAAACTATAGTACATTTACTGATGATTTGAGCAATGTCACGGGTCTCGTGACTAGCACAACGATTCAAAAATGTCCAGAAATTGTCGCAAAGGAAGTTTGAACCACGAATTATAACGTTATGTTATCGTATCCTTATACTGACCGACACGATTTTCAGTCAACTCAAGAACAGAATTTGTCGCCATTAGTAACAACGAGCCAATATCATTCCATTGCCTAGTGACGTCATAATGAAAAATAAGGCGTATCAGAAAGGTACCACCGTCCAATTATCACCAAAGCTGTTTTTGCTTATGTCCTGTATACCGGTAAATCTAAATTGTCTATAAAAATACGATCGTCTGTGCTAAATATATAATTGAAATATTATTATTTGTTTTTTTTTATAATATTGAAAACGGCAATATGGCATTTGTTGATAAGTCGTTGAGTGTATCAAAGCGACAGATTGCATGTCATTTTTGTCCTATTTTTACCTGCTTCATTTTTTTTTACCAAAACATAAGCTAACGGAATGTTATTAGACATATTCTAAAAATGGCTGATGATAAAATACCTTTTTATACTTGGATACCCTATCTTGGCACGATATTGCTATGACATCTATATTTTGATTCAAAGTTACTGTGAAATACTATCAAACACACGCAGTATTTTTAACAGTGTAATTTACAGCCTGTCATTGATTCGTGCAAAATCGTTAAGGCTTATTCAACATATGGCGTACTTTGAATGAATTAGTTTATTTCTTATTTTTCCACTCAGAAAATCAGGAGTTGTGGAGGAATTTAAGGCTAAATACCAATGGGATTTGGGAAAATGTCGTAATAACTCTTGGCCGCGAAGTTCGGCAATTCGTTACCGGTGGCTATTTACATAATGACGTCAAAAATGCTTGACTGTAAATATCGAAACATTTTAAACGACGAGGAATATGGACATAAACGGTTCTCTCGTAGTGTCGTTTCGACACTCCAAACAACCAAAAGTATTTCGGGAGTTGTGTTCAGTTCGACATGTCATTTCTATTGCCAGTGCTGTTTGCGTGTAATTCATTACTATAAATAGTTCAGTTGTTGAAATATTAAGCCACAAATTACATATTCTTCCCATCTAAAGCTCGAATGAATTGAACATCCATGGTTGCATGTGAATTCTTAATCTGGCACGACACCAAGTGTCAACGGGTTGCGATTCGCGAATGACATGAAAAATTTGATTCGAAGTTGCGGTACTCTTGCGTTAATATAAGCTATTATTCTGTTTAATTCTGATTCATTGCTGTTTGGTAACGGATAGCTCATACTTCAAACTTATAATGCGATTGTGAATAAATTTGTAATAAAGATTAATTAAATACCTGGTTGTTTTTTGAGCATTTTTTGCACATCGGAATTGTTTGCGAGCTTTCAAACGTAGACGCGCGCCCGCATAGCAGTTTAGTGCCGGTGATTGGTTTTGCAGTAACACTGGATTCTTCCTCTTCACTGATATTTCCCCTAAAATCTACTATAACACTTAGTCATAAATGAATTACCCACCGAGTAATGAATGCGGTATGCTATTTTTAAAGATTAGGGTTTTCAAAAACCGGTTGGCCAATTATCTACTGCAGGGGTTTCCAACTTTTGGTTTTATGAAGCCCGTGAAGATGTTGACTATTATACGCGGAGCCCCACAATGATTTTATATTAAAATAAAAATTACCTACCGGATTATGTTACTGAGTGAATTAAAAATTTTTTTTTTCATAAATCGGATGTATTTGCTGCTTTGTATGTAAAAAAATATTCAAAATTTGGCAACAAGGCGTTAATTTTAGTAAGTTAACGAATAGCTCGCGGAGCCTCTAGGTTTCTCTCACGGAGCACTTTGAGAACCTATGATCTAATCTGAGGCACTGTTCTATACGAGTGTATGAACACCCCTAACAATTCGTTAACTTTTACTCCAAAGCAATTGTAAGTTGGACATATACGTACGGTACGTCAATGAGTAAAAATTATTGTACAAAAACTAAATTTTGACGACACTTGAATATCTCTCTTGTGGTTGTCTTGTATTATGGTATAATCTGATCAAAATAGGTCTCATGCGTCGTGAGTTGCATGCTGGTCCATATTTGACAGGAACTTCATCAATAATGATTACAAGTTCTGTAGTTATGAATACGAATTGAATCGTGTGCTGAAATTTGCCATGTCAGTGACCTTTATTTCTGTCATACTATCACCTCATTTGGCTTTCTTTTTATTATTTAAGATTAAAAATACCATATTTCCAATAAATGTATAAACCCAGGAATCGATCCTTTTCGGTCACCGTATGATCAAAAAATATGTTGCTTCCATTTTTGGCAAAGATCGCAGTCGCCTAAATCGATATGACCTGCTGGCGTTAAAACAAAGGTTCGCGTATTCCAGACCTCTTGTATCGACATGGCTGTAACAGGTGTCTTCCGCGTCTTATCGTCATTGCGCGCAAGGTTCAGTGATCGTCTCATTACCCTTGAATCGATCCAAAATGTGGACGGCTAAACAACATCTGGTATTTCACACCGGTACCGAAAGCGATAGACCGTCTGTCGTTTATTTCTATAATTGTCTGTTTGTTCGATTATTGTGACGTGATATTCGTCCACGTAGAATATCCTAATATGATTTCCGAAACTTTTTTACCAATAGATTCTTATTTAGGTACCCTAGGGTTCCATGCGTTCTAAAAATTGAGGAATTTAATCTAAATCTCATTTCAGAATTGCGATTTGGGGCATAGTTATGTTTTTTTGCGTTTCAATATGCTTTACCATTCCCTCGGTCCATTTGTGGCCCATTTCGTAAAACGCTACGTCTACATGTATGGGTTCGTGTATAGGTTAATCTTATATTTGCCTAAAACCCTCAATTGCAACTAGTTAGATTTTACCACGGACTCTTTTTTATCTTACAAGTCCAAGCCTAAGTTAAAATTCTTGTAGAAAATAGTAATAAAAAATCAGTTGAATGAATGCTGTTCTTGTTGTATCTATTTTTAAATCAAATGCGAGATAATCATAAGCCCTAAATATGCGTTTAAGTGTTATTAGTTCGATCAATATGTTATTTGCAATGGTGAGCTTCGATACTGATCAACACGCGTGCCCTTCAATGGAAAACTTTCATTTCGCCTTTCAGAACTTTATTTATTCCGCTGACTAATGATGAATAAGCAGAACAAGCGCAAGTGCGCTTGCATATCGGAGGTACGAAATACGTAAGCAAACTTGCAGCTCGTTTCTTGCATGGCCGAACATTATCCTTAGATATGGACTACCCCGATAATCCTTAGATATAGACAGACTACTGCGATATAATCTTCATCATTAATCCGTGCTCGCATGTGCTTAAATCAAAAGAAATATATTGTCTTATTTGCACGCTTCAATTTTGGGGTACACTCAGAACTGTATCGATATAGACTTGTTAACCGATAATCTGTATTATGGACCAAAAATTATCGGTACCGATATTCCGATGTTTCGATAATCTTGTTAGTGTTTCCAACAATAATTTATATTCTATTTCATATAAAACACAAATTAATGATCTATACCAGATTATTATGGATTTTTTGCAACTCAAACTCTATAACGATTAGGATATTGAAAATTTTGTTATGTCAATATGTCACCCTTCCGCTATTCACAATGCATTTAGGCATTGAAATCGACTTTTAAACCATCATTTTCTTTGTCACATTTTTCAAAAACGTCGTCTTATAAATTAGCCTACTAAAAACGATACTGATTTTGTTAAAATGACTGTTATTAACACTATCGTAAAGTGTGTTATCTAGAGTAGAGCGTGTTGAAATATATCTATCTATCTGAAAGTATGATAAAGATGTAGATAATTCTGTACTGTTTATATCCGAGATTTTGATAACTCACATTCAATCCGAATGTCTGTTCACTGTTGATAAACGTGAAAGAGACTTTATAAGTGACCGTTTTTATATTATCCAGCAACAGTAGGAAGGATTGGATAAGTTTCATTCCTAAAACTGTTAATTTTTAATTAATCATGCTTGTCTTTTATTCGATGGGAATCAGGTTGCGTTTTAAAAAAATATTTCGAACGCATTTCGATCGATTTGTTATATTTTATATCTGGTAAAATTGGCATTATGATTTTGATGCACTTAATCCTGAAAAATGAATTTAATACGTTACAAATAAAGTTTTTGAATTTTATTATACAGCGCGGGGAGACGTTACACGACTATAGATAGTTCCGGTTTAAAATTGAATGCACAAAGGCTAAATATTAGGTGTTCCAAAATGCAAATTATTTTCAATTTGCAATTGTTTCGAGTACAATGTTATAACTGATTCAACATAGTAAACAATGTTCCTTTTATAAAGAAAACGAATGTTCAATAATGACCAAATAACTGCTAAATAGTGTTCGGTATGCAAATTTACAAACTAGAAACGTTGGGTTTCTTCACAATAGCGATCACAGGGCGTCGTCATTCTATGGAAAAATGTTTTACAAACGATTTCAAAAACCATGAATACTGATCGTCATATCCCGTTATAAGGGAATTCGAGTCGTAGCAATTGATTGTATTACTTGACATACAACAGTCTCATTTTTCTTCTGTGTTTCGTCATTCTAAGCAACCCAGACTAATAAATAGAACATAACTATTGTTATTACTATTCATTTTATTATTATTAAAGATGCATCACCTGATTAAGCATGAAATTTAGATACGACGCGACATACAAGCCCGGCCATGTATATGTCATGCGTGAGAAAAGTTTATTTCCGAATGTCTGGTCTACGAGTGATAAAAATGATTGCATCTGGGTTTTCTCACCTTCTAATATTGATGACGTCAGCGTTTTTTTCTTTTCAGTGTCATCTTTGACATTATACCATGCTTGTGGGGCTAAAACCATTAGTGGACTTGATCGTGCCGTCCTGTAGGGACGCTGAAGTTTTGTAAATTCTTGAGTAAACTGTTGTATATTACGCTGATTTTTGATATCGAATAATAATACCGCAACAAAAAGTGAATTGCATACGTATTTTTTGATAGGTTTTCCTAAATAACAATTTTAGGTTAAAATTGGTAACAAGGAGATGAATTGATAATACCGTATTTGGTAACTATCCTAATATAACACCACTACTAATTTTATGATTGTTTTTTTTCTGTGATTGTGTTTACTTAAGGTTAAGTTGGGGTAAACGAGGAAGGTTAGGTAATTGGTCTTATTTCTAACTCACTCTAATCTAATATAAAATTATAGTTAAAATGATCAAAAAATCTAATGGCGGGGAACTAATAAGGATATTAGCCCTAATTTTTCAGCTCGCGTTGTTCAATTTTCAAAGTCATCCGGTCGAATATCCCTTAACGATATTCAAAAACTCTCATTTTTTGTAATTGAAAAAACGATTTGTGTTTAGAATTCAAAATATTTTAAATGTAACTGTATCTTTAGCTGTTTTATTATTTTTCGTGAGCTGTAAATCAATTCGGTTGTACACCGCAGAAGATTTTTTCGGGTGCTTTAGAATAATATGTACTTTTCTAGCTCACTGTTTAAAAACTTCGTAAAATGTTCCTTTTTTAGTGTATATCAAATATGACTTCAAAAACCACTTTGCTGGCTTATATTGTTGATAGCAGCGTTCTTTGTTATATTGCCGTCATCTGATAAAGATGCAAATTGTATTTCGAGGACTATTGTGATGCACAATATTGCAGTTAGTTGAATGCAATCTCAGTCATGGGGAAATGCCAAATATAATAATGCTGATATTGCAGTTTAATTCAAGTTAGATTATTTAAACCGTGGTGTGTCATGCATCCATGCCATTCCGAATCAGTTGCCCAGAAAGCAGTGTCGAAATAACTGGAAAAACTGCATGTTTTTCGTTTTAAATACAAAATGTGACGGCGAATAGGGATATTTCCACTGCACTAAATTTGGTTATAGTTTTTTCATTTTTATTGTTAATGTTTAAGTACTTACTGTGGAAATCCTATAAATTTGCCATGTTGTTCTTCTTTCACAGTTACTTTTGCTACTGCTAACTCTTTGCACCGTTTTTAGATGACCGCCTTAGCTATCTTTAATAAATTTATAAAAATGAAATTTGTAGAACCAGAATTGCCAGTGTCTCGTGGAAAAAAGAAATCGCCGGTACACTGCAAGACAGAAAACTGTTTCTATCAAGGAATCTCAACTTCAAGACATCATACTTCCAACTCTCGCCCAAATAGCAACGATAGCGCCGGAGCTGCATCCAGTACGTCAAGCACCCCGGACGCCTTTGTTACCGACCGAAATATCCGTTCTGTTCATTCTCGTTCCGGTTCTCCATTACTCATGCAGGGCTCTTCCGGATCCTCTCCGGTGGTTTCTACATCTCCGGATTCGTCTCAGAGTGTGCAACGACAATTGAGTAAGCTGAAAAGATTTTTGACAACGTTACAACAATTTGGAAATGATATTTCGACCGATATTGGAGAAACAGTACACTATCTCGTGTATTCATTAGTGGTAAGCGTGTTATCATAGCTTTTCCCGTCTTTTCTTTTACTGTTATAGCGGCCTTCGAAAATTTTTACCCGGAGATTCCTAAAATATGCCATTGTGCGAAGAATCGATTGAAAAAGCCTGGTAATGGAGGTTAGGGTTAGGCTTGGATTTTTTCCGGGTAAAATATTCAATGGCGAATATTTTCATGGGTGGAACCACCGTCCAGGGAAATTTTTTTGGGTTGACCTTTCCTCGTCCCTTCTTGCAGTCTATCTTATACATATTAGAAACCCATTTTTGTGAAGCCGTCCACGCTCACGGCTCGAAGAAAACCACATACTATCAATCACTTATACGTACTGAGGAAGTATTATTTTAGAAACCATTATATTTTCGTTTTGGCATAGTCAGGTTTTCACACCGTGAGTGCGCGGTGTGGCATGCGGTTGGAATTGGGATCTCATACCTGCGGTGTCGACATTGCCTGTAATAATGTGTAAACCACTGAATAATTTCTGCAACATAATCTATAATCTCAAAATTGTTACTGTTGAGTGATTTGCATTCCATTATTACCTATTGTGATTTTATTGTTGGGCTTTGTAATTTTGGGACACATACATTTTGTAAACACAAAAAATATCGGGAATTTTACTTCGCCAAGTTTAACTGTTAAGTGAATTACGGGTACTGTTGAATTTACAGTGATTCGTTCCACCGTGCCTAAGCTGCTGATAAAATACCAACGCATTTTTGATTCGGTGTTTGACCCTGTAATTTTCGAATTCATTTTGACAAAAACATAAAATTATATTCCTGATTCTGTATTTTCATTTTTATTTTTTAGACTGGAACAATCACGATAGAAAGTTTTCATGATCGATTGCAAGACGCCACCAATTTCCCTCTCCGTCCGTTTGTTGTACCATTTCTCAAGGTTAGTAACATTCAATTCACAAGAATTTAAGTTTGCTTGGTTGGATATGGATCGTTTTTTTTAATTGTTGTTCTTGTGCTTGTTGGGGTTGCAAAACATATTCCGCAACCCAATCAATTTCAAAATCTTTTATTTTTATTCAAAATATTTTACTCCAATTTTCGTTTTTTTATAATTCAATGGAACACATTCACATTACATTCGTGCAATTCCTTTACCATTTGGTTGGAATCATGACGACATTACGGTAGTCATATGATCTTCATGTTTATATATTTGAGCATTGCTCGTATTGTTTTGATATGGGACAGATCTACTGGACGCAAATATATTTTTTGATTTTGAATATCACCGATGAAAATCTTCTATTGCAAAAGAAAAATTCATGCGCAATAATATGTTATAAAGTTTTTGCTTCGCGGGATTGCATCACGGACTGTTTCCCTTACCGTGCATACTTGAAGCAAATCTATTGCGGCAGGCGATATTCATCGCCTATTGCAGAATATCGTTTAATTTTGATATACTTCAAATTGCTTTCAGCGAACATAGCAGAACGGGTGATGAAAAGTAGACTAATTCGCGGGTTGTTAGATTTCTTGAATTGATCTCATTGCCGAAGAAATCTACCTACTTTGACAGTTCTTATCCAATATTTGAAATAGTCCAGACTTCTAAAAATGATGTCTGTTTCAAATCAACTCTTAAAAAGTAATTTGACAAGTTATTTAAAATAAAAATAAAATTAATTGAAAATTTGAAGAAATTGTTGAGTATTTATATTTTAAATGTACCAGTAGAGGGTCATCTGATTTTGATTTGGGTTGTGCCCCCTGAACCCAACCCAAATTTACCATCTATCGCTGAAGGCTAACAAGTTTTAATATGGCGTATTATTATTTTTCTAACTCGAGAGTCCGCTCTGAATTATAAATATTTCTCAGTGCGTCTGCTGATGGTGGATTCAAACAGAATCTTCTCACGTAAACCGTGGTTTATTCTGCCAATGTTTCAAACCCTATATGGTTTGTTTAATGACACTCGAAATTATTTCCGCTTATGCGTTATCCCTGGCATGAATGGTTATGAAAATATTCATTGGAAGCCATACCCCGTGATTTCAAAATAAACATAGAATCAAGTATATGTATTTTCGGGATATTATTGAACACTAAATGTACATATGGATCGTTTTGTTATTATGTTGTTGTTGATCATGTCGTTAGTATTTTCTTCTTCTTGTTGTGAAAAAGTCGCTTTTCTCTTCAACTACTGGGTTAATTGCTTTGAAATTTTCAGTGGTCGAAGATTGTGTTTCTCGCTAGATGGACATTACTTTTACTTATTTGAAAAATTTCTGTGGACTTCGTTTTTTTGTGTGCGATGACGTCATCGAAATTAAAAATTGCGCTTCTTGTGGCGGTTCCGCTTTCGCGTAAGTCCAAATCTGCTGATCAGCTGTGACAAGGCTGCTGTTACAGATTGCATACCGGCACCACTTCGTGTCCATATATTTGAGCAGGTTCCATTACATTTGAATCCACGTACATTTGAACCCACGACAATTACACCTGCATACTATTGCACCTATGGAAATTGGCATCTACGGATATTTGAACCCATACTAACCCTAACCCATGGATTTTAGCACCCGCATATAGATTGAACCCGCGGATGTACGGGTGCAAATGTATGGGTTCAAATGTACGTGGGTTCAAATGTGCTGTCACCATTTGAGCATCGCTTTTGTTTATAATTGAAATCAAGGAATTGGTATCTAAAACCTTGCATTGGTATCTAAAAAAAGGTAAAGTTAACAAAACATTTGTTTTGTTGTATAAAAGTAGAATTCGATAGGATTAATTCAATAATGCAACATATACTTTTACACGACGATGGTTAATGGCAAGCTGCTTTTAAAATAGTGTTGTAAAAAGAATCAATTATTTTTATTTCAAAAATTTGCGATCACAAAACCCGAGACAAGTCGACTTGAACTCATCTCATCGAATCATTGTAATTTTAGGATATTAAATTTTCTTTATATTTAAATTTTAACATTGTTACTCTTAAACTCAAACAAAATTGGTTCAATCTTTTTAACAATAGTTCTTGTTTATAGTTTGTTTGGAGCAATAATGAACAATGACTAAATCACAATAGAACGCTGTAGATCGCTGCGATTAATTTTGTTTTTGAATATTTCAGATATGTAAATAATCCTGCATAATCGAAATGTGTGCAATATTTTACTCATAACATTTGACATAAATTCTAATTTTTTATGACAAAATTTGCTAATTATACAGATATTATTGTCATTTTCAATACGCGGATTATAAAATTTTCTTCACCATCTAAGTAGGGCATCACGAAGCAGTTCCGATCGAAACTAGTGCCATACGTATGTAGAACGTTAAGATTGTGTACTAAGATGTATTCTGTGGCTCGAATTGTCACAGCGTTATAACAGTCCAAATAGATACAAATAACAAGTCAAATGGCATTTGTTACTAACTTCATGATATGCAAAACAGACCACGTACCCGTTATGTGACGCAATATAATTTATTCTTTGATTTTCCTACTTATCTAACACATAAGTTTGTTTTGAAATTCGTTTCCGCCCGTTCCGCGTTCGGTCCACTCGAAATGACATCACATCACAACATTGCACTGCGCTACAGCAAAACGGATCTTTATTATTACTATGTATGCATAAACGACGTGTAATACGGAAGTCCTTCCACAAAGGCTTATCACGCACTGTCTTGTTCTACAGGTAGCGAGATAGTAAGGTACACATGCCGCTGGTTAGAATATCTATGTAGAAGTTTTAAAATGCTGTAATTGAGTTTGTGCTGAGATAAATTGCGCTTTATCCATATACTTAACCTATTGTCGAAAAGATTGTAATATTGGCTAGACGTTCTTAAGCTTAACAGCTCTTTCAGTTAAAGCCTATATAAAATTAAAAAGCCAGATTTCGATTTGATATTACCTTATATTAGTACGGTATACACGATCCAGCTCGCCATCAAAATTCACGCTATTTAGATTTGAAAGTGGAAGTCTGTGATTTTTAATACGTTTCACGTTTTTGGTAATAATATGCTGATAGAATATAAACAATAATAATGAAAAATAAATAAGCAGTTTGCATAATGCGCTTAAAAACCAGCGGGCGGTATTGGGTTTTTATACGCCGGAACTACCGTTTGTCACTGCATTGGTACTTCCGCTTGATTCATATATGCCGGTAGCGCACAGTGTTATATGTTGGTAGTATGTCATATTTTGCTGTGAGAAAGAGAGACAATCGCTGTTTGTTGTGATTGCCCGTAATAAGATCTAAATATCGTGCTTGGAGAAAGATGTTTGGTTTCAGACTTGAGTCCGAGTGAGGCATAAATGAAGGTACTTTTGGGACCTGTTTTTATAGCATGCAGGCCGAGCATTTTCTTCAGACAGGCATCGTTGCAAAAGGCGAATAATTTGTCATAACAACATCCATACAAAACTTTATTTTAAGCTATTGTAGACTAAGTGAGGATGACTCTTTCTTTGGCAGTTCTACTGTTTTATGACTATAATTTGACGAGATTCAATAGTTTTCATATACACGACTTGCACATCAAGTATGTTTATGATGCATTAGCCTATATTCGAATAAGAGAATGTGCCTAATTCAAGATTAAAAATTTCAAATCGGGGCAGATCGTCGGCCACTTGAATCCTGAATTTTCGTCATTGCTCTGCCATCTTAGGCATATATTTTACCGAGTGTGGGCTTGTGTTTGGATTGATCTGATACGGCCAAACCTTACATATGATAAGTCGTAAATTGAGAAGCGTGGATTATCAACGACGGGAAAGGGAAAGAAAGCTTTAACTGTTTGTCATTCTTCGAATGCAACATCCGTTTCTGTCGCGTTCGTTCAAGTTAAATCCCGCCCGGGATTTTTAATGACTCTGTCTAATTCGATTATTTAAGTATGGGCCGAGTTTATAACACAATGTTCTAGTTCATTTTACTTTCGAGTCACACATGATCATATTTGAATACAAATCGGATTCTAACTCTGAAAATCAAAGAGACAATTTCGTCTTGAACAATACAAATCGGATCCTACATCTGGAAATCAAAGAGACAATTTCCTCTTGAGTTATGTAGTTGTCTCAGCGCAGAACGTGGAAAATGGTGTTGCGTTATTATTATGAGCTATAGTGAAAGTTCTTTTAAATTTGTGACAATTACTTTACTTGGCAACAGGGTATATCGTTCGATATGCGACGAACAGCACCGCAATAACAATATTAAAAATGCTGAAGTCTATCGATGCATTCAAATATTAAGTTGCACGATGTCGTGTTATATTTCTAGTATAACTACACATATTAAGAAATAAAACTGGATTAGGAATTGCAGATTTATTTTTTAAACCACGATATTAAAATAGATCAGTTGCAATGAATTGCTTTATATTGTGTAAACTTGAGCATAACAGTGTATCACTCATAAACGACAGTGAGATTCATTATTGATTAAACTCTGAGATTTTGTTCTCGACATTGTCTTTGCTGAAGAACTTCATTATGCTTCAAGACCGACGCCATATTAGTGCACAGTTCTGCACATATGTTTACAATCATGTCAAAAACGAGCATCAAGTTGTAACAACAAATCGTGCTTGTTCCCCACGTTCACAGCAGCTTAGCGAGGCAGTACAGCACGGATTCGCATAAAAAAGAACTTGTGTCTGATTTTGAAAGATACTTTTGGAATCTTATTAAGATCTGCAATACTGGTGCATTCATTACTGTGTTGTATAATATTGTTTGGTTGTGTAGCTTTTCATAAAAATGCCTTTTACGAATTAATCTTTTGGTATTTTTGTAGTTACATGTGTGCCCGTGTATCGGGGCGTTAATTGACACAGGGGCCTAAAATATTAGTAGCCTGCCTTTATATTACGGCGCTTATCTTGAATAAATCAGACGAATCATACAGGATAAACCAGCATAGGCAGCAGCAATAAGGAGCTGAGGCTTGTCATGATAGATCATACAGGCAGCGTTGTGGCGGAAAACGCAATTCTCAAACGTGCGGCGGTGGAGACCGGCCGGACACGACACGAAAGATTTGAAACATAAACAAACAACGCAGTATTGCTTGCAGTGAATCTAAGCGGATGCACTTATTGAACAAGCAAGCTTCAAGCAGTCAAGATGCCGTTTTATAGCTATCAAGATCTTGCTGTTGCTATCATTGCTTTATGTGGATAGTGAAATGGAGCGATCTTAGTCTATCAAAAATACCTTTTGCAAAGCACGCGCGAGAAAATATGCAGCGAAGAAATCAGTGTGAATTTGTGACAGCGATTCGAAAGTTGGGCCAAGATTAGAATTTTAGGTCATAAAGGCTTCGTATGGTTCTCGGCAGTTTAAAAACATTACAACACGTTAAAAGTTAGCAATGTCTTTGTTTTGAGCTAATGCATCAGCTATTTGGTTAGGAATCATACTTTCGACGGGTGTCCAACAGTCGTTTTTTTCGTAAGCTGTACTTTTTTGCAGGTCTGTCTTCACTTGTCAAAGTTTGAAGATAACCCCGCGATATATTCTAGTCACTCAAGCTTATATGTTACATCGTGAAATATCATTAAAGTAGACTATCTTGCATTATAATTTTTATCCATCTTCATATTGCAGATAATATTATTTAAGTGCATATATTTATTTATTTTTATTCAGTCTACCCTTCCTATTCTGCAAGGGGAATTATTGCGCAATGCTCAGGCTGCAAAAATGACAACGCAGCAGTATTTACTGAAGCACGATAAGTTTTTACACAATTCTCCATCGCCCGGAAGACAAGATACAAGAACGCCTGACGGTCTTATGGACTTGAAGGCAAACAACAAAAGGCCACACTCTGAAAGGTAGGAATATGAATATTTCTCCAGTCTCATGCCAGTTGGTTTATTCACACTAACTTATAAAAAGGTCCGCATTTCAACATTTCGAATCCATTTTTGTTTGATAAGCGCCAAACTCTGGATTCGTTTGAAGCAGAGGCTTATTTTCGTCAACGCCACTGAAACAATTATGCCCAGCAAGAAATAATTATATTTTGTTCAAATGTTTTATGCCCCAATATCAAACCCGGTCTATATGACATCCCATTAATATCTCAGTGGCGTTTGGGGACATATATACAGCTATATTCTTAACTATTCTTTACTACCTTTGATTGGACGTTTGTTTGAGCTTGGTTTTAAAGTAAAAAAAAGGAAATTGACGAGAATTGTGTCGGTGCTTCATTGGTTAATACAGAGTTCTTTGACGGAACTGCTTTTCAATTTTGGGCTAATATCCGACGGAGAATTCAAAATCAGCATTCATGAATTTTTTTCTTGAGTTAAAACATTTAGCTCTAAGTCAAGATGAATAACTTAATTCAATCCATTGCGTCATTTCATCAGTTTTTCAGTAACTATCTAGGTTTGAACTTTTGGCTTTGAATTTTTGGTTTTAAGCCGAGCTTAGTATGAGAGAAATGAGCTCACATGCAATTGACCTGATGCGGGGTTGTTTTGGTCTTGACTAATCGTTGTTCATTGTCATTGAATCAATATATAAATCGAAATAAACGCCATAAAATTGTCACGTCATATAGCATATTAATTTATACCAATTGCAATATTAATTTACGTTTAGTATTCATCCCACACGATGTGGCATCGCCACTCTGTGTCACCTGAAGTTTCGAAATGCGTCGATAATTTGAATAACAATGTGTTACGTTGCTTGGATTTATTAATTTCAATATTTTTTACGCAGAAACGTTGATCTTGACAAAAAGAAACCGAGGCTTCCACCCCCTCCACCGTCACAAATTAGCAGGTAAGTTGAGTCTATACGTACTTTTTTTATTCTCTGCTAAGTCCTCAGTTGTTCGTGATTGTCCAGTTAAAAAACGCCATTGGGTGTTCCTGAAATATGCGCACCAAGATGTCGCATAACCTGAACGCTAACCTGGTACACAACTTGAGTTCAGGTTGTGCGCCATCTTAGTGCGCATACTTCAGGAGGTCCCGCTATTGTTTAAGATGAAACTGGTTTTTGGTGTTCAATGTGTCATCATTTTGTTATATTGCAACGTCGCTATGCTCATAATAGTCTTGTGATCTATTTTCCATACACACTGGTGGTCATTCTTCTTTTGTGTATGAAACAATGAATGAAAGTTTTTTAAAAAGCTGATTTGCATTAAAATAATCAATTTCGTGGAATGTGCAAAATAGACATTATAGAAATAACTGGGTCGTTGCAGTGTATTTACTTTTTCTTCCGTGGATTATCCGTTTCACAGTAAATGCTTGAAAAGCATTAATACAAAAATATTATGCCAAGTTATCTACTTTGGATGACTAAATATGATTCATTCGACTTTAAAACTATAACATCCTATATCGGTTCACACTATGATTTGATGCTTATTTGTGTACCACGGCAAGCTAAAAGATGGCTTTTTACGACGAAGTCTCAAATTGATCAATATCCATATTACCATATTAATTGGTGATATTTCAATTGGGGATATCTGAAATTTAAATATTTCCCGGTAGAAAATTCGTCCAATGTCGCGACCGACGATCCAGTAACTCTGGTTTCGGGGTACATGTTTGCGATATTGAATATTTGCTTCTAAGTCCCTTAATTAACAGGTTTATTGGTTTGCAATTGCAAGAATTATAATTTTTGCTATACTCAAGTCTAAGCCCCCAACCAAAGATATAAAGCCGAATATGCAAGTTCATTGCAACAGAGTGTGTTACTAGTATAGCATATCGATATTTTAGATAGCGCAAAATGATTTTTTTCGACTTCAAACACGAATTTTTCTGAATTTACATATTCTGAATGTGCGTATCTTTGTCAGAATAGTTTCGATTTTTGTTTTTGATGAGCCCCTGAAAATGCAACAAAAAAGCGGAAGGAATTTCGAAAGTGACAAATCAACATGTGACGACTATTTTGTTAATTTTGCAAACTATTGAAATGATGACACATTTTGTGCTTATGTTTATATTCGAGCAGCATCCGTACTATGTGTGATCAATAGGCGAGCTGCTGTTTCAGAATGAATAGAATTGATGACCATCATAAACACGGAAATGCCACCTTCCTTTAGTCATCCATATTGTTGTGGGATGTAAATTACCATCAAATGTTATTAGATCGCGTTACCTTACTATCAACCGTGACGTAGCAATACTGGTTTTGTTATTCGCAATTTATTGGATCGGTGAATGATATGTTAATGATCTAATAGAATGGCGTGGGTGTAATATAGCATGATAGTGACGATATTTCGAATTTTAACTTTGGACTGACAATGCCGGGTCAAAGGTTATGCATCGCTCATTACAACCTGTAAGCACTCAAAATATCTTCTGTTGTAAAACCGTCTTTTCGATTCTCCACTCATATATATATACACATATAAATTCGTTTACCACGTATTTTAGTCAAAACTGAAAAAAATTCTTATTGGAGAATGCCAATGGTTGAAATTGACAATAGCGTTAGAGTCGGTTTGACGTAAAACTTCAGCCGCTTTGAGTTAAAAAAATATTTTTACATCGGGACAAATAGTTTAATGACGCTATGTGCTTGTCTCATTATAGAGCGTCCTAATTCTTTCACATTACTTCAGTTTGATATAGAGTGTAGGAGCTTTTGCTGTCATTATCTGACTAAGAAAGTATCGGTTTATTTCAAAATATCGTGATTTTTGAAGTGTTTTTGATAGTTATGGTTTGCAGATTATTAGGTTATGACTGGATTTTCCTCACAGAAGCAGCCCCGTTTCTTCAACCAGCTTAGGAGAACCGTTTGGACCACGATCAAGTGAAGTTGCACTCCGTTCGCAATCTCATTCACCTCATCGACATTCTAGCATCCCGCATTGGCTTGGAGCTAACGGTGATTTTGCCACATCGAGCCACCGATCTTCACCTACTTTGGGCCGCATTCCACCTCGACTTAACCCGCTCGAAGACCCAACCTCAACCGTGGCGGCTGCTGCAAGCTCTTCGTCGAACCGAAACATGTTCGGAAACCGTCGAGGCTTCAATAATCAACCAGGAGCACATTTTCCTGGCTTTCAACCGCACCGGATGCGGCCATATCCGGATCCGAGAAACCCGGTGCCGTTACACCAAGGTAAATTTTTTATATTGATTGGACGCGCTGATATTACGCTCAAGTAGGATTCATGGCACCAAGCAAATAATTAAATAGGAAAATTTTGACTGATACAAAAACAACGTTTAAAGATTACTCAAATGTAATATTAAATATTATCAGTACAAGTTGAATTCAATTTTTTTTGTATTTGTTTGAATTGTTTATACCAGCGTAGTAGATGGGATGGTAGCTCCAGGGCCAATGTTGTATTAGCGTTTACGTAGTTAGAACATTTATTTTGAGGGTGCGAAATTGTCAATGGCACCTTTGTCACTTTCTCTGGGAGTGTTGGCTTTCAACACAATGTCCAAAGTCATTTTATTTGAGCAATAAAAAGCTTTCTCCTCGTCTTTCATTGGATTAGATGCTTTGCATCTGCACTCAGCAAATGAGTTGAAACGACTGAAGTTAGTTGATAATTATCGGATATCCCGAATGCTTTGTGACGGGAAGTGACGCCGAAAATTGGAACAATGGCACCGGCGTCACGCACGCTATTCACGCAACATGTCGCGTATTTTCCCATTATCATCGTGTCTTAATTCTGATATAAACGCTTTTGGTTTGCAGGAATTCCTCAACGAGAACCGAGTTCCGGTCGCAGGTTATCGGAGAGAGAATGGGCGGAAGAATACAAATCCCTCGACTATGTGAGTAAAATACGGGTCAAAAGTTAGTTGATCGTTCATAAAAGAACATTATCTAAAAATTAGTTTGCTATCTATCATCCATGCTTGGTAACGGTACTTGTAAAATTAAGTACAATTCCTCTGTGCTTAAATTATATATCTATATATATATAGGGTGTATAAAAAATTTCGCCCGATTTTATAGTAATAACAATTAAAAATTTCTTTGTCTTTGTTTGGTAATAGTTCTTATTGCGCTTGTAGTTCTCATTTATCATACAATAAAATTTATTTAAACTTACAATTGTTATTACTATGAAAATAGGGCGAAATTTTTTGGACACCATTCATATATTGGACAGAGATGACCTTTGTTCATATAATTAATAGGTTGCCGTGGATTATACAAAAATACATATCTGATTCGGGATTTGGTTGAATCTAGTGCGATGTGATTGCAAATATGGCACAAATGATTTGAATAATATTTCTTCTTAAATATAATTACACTTTATTCGTAGAAATTAAAAATGTAATTAAAACTAGTGGAATGAAATGTTGATTATTTCCATAGCCGACTTTAAATTTTGTAATCGAACTGGGTATATTAGAACCTATCAAGGGATCAAGGGATGTCCATAATGTGTTCCAAGGGACCTCCGTTGGAATTGGTATGGTCATATTCTCCCAATTTCCATTTAAATAGCCTCCTATACGTAGAAGGCTACCGGGATACCATATTGTAAGCGGGTTTGATTTTAGGGCCTGTGCACAAGATGTGCAATACCAATTGAGTGCGATGTTTATGTGAAGATTTGCTCCTTAAATAACTTCGAATGTTTCTAGTTTGAATAAAAATGACGATAATTGTGCCAACATCTGTGCAAAGTTGTTATAAAAATTCTGTAACTAAATAAGTGAGCCGAGGTGAATATAGAAAGAGATTGAAGGCGAGACTAAAATGCAATCGTACTTTTTACAACTAAAATCTACAACTAAATGCATCACTTATCTTTTTACAGACATTAAATTGCATTGTGGAATTGGTAGAAAAGGCTCGACATTCCCTCTTATTACTGCATCGTACCCATGAAACTGTGATAGAAGAATCCTCTCGTTATCGAAGATATTACGAGGAAGGCGATCATTTTAAGAGAAGAACTGGTGATCTTATTAATGAGACAGAGAAAAGAGTTTCGCAAGTTCGAAAACAAGCCGGTAGGTTGTGTTTGCTTATAGCTAGTAACAATCTAAGGGTCAATCACATGCATAACCAATAGAGCCAGACTGTAAAAAGTGATTCGATAATTTATTATCTGGTCGGAAAGATAGATATGTTTTTGAAGTAAATGGCAGCTTCGTACATACAAAGGTGATCTTGCCCTTTTTGGAGCGAACGTTTTGTAAGGATATCATAAGAAACGATTGCTGTAAACTTGTTTATATTTTGGGTGGAAATATGGTTCGAAAAAAACAGCCTGGACCAGGGATATACCCAGAACGAATCCAATATCCTAATACTTATTGAAACAAGTTAGTTGAATGCTGAACATATGCTTATATCTTATTTAGAATGTGGTTACGAACAATGGTAAAAATGCAAATCGAAAAAATTTCGCACGTGTCTAAAACTATTTGTAAGCAAATGGTGATTGTTATATCAAATGACAATGAAAATTTTGCCACTGTTTGTAACATAAATTTTCAAAATGAAAAAATAACAGAGGACGAATTAATTGAAGCAAAACGACGTTTAATGGCCGAACTAGAAAGAACTGTTGCAAATTCGGAATCACGTGCTCACGAAATTCTGGCTGCTGAAAGAGGGAAACTCGAAATGGCGATCACTGAAGCGAGACGACAGGCGGAACAGGAAGTTCTGGCAAGGCTTAATAAACAAGAAGAATCTCATGAGGTAATTTCTCCAACTTATTTATATTTTTTATATCAGCAATATATACATAACGTAGGTCAAATAGTAATTTACTTTTCTGAAGTCAGAATTTTAGTTACTCAGAACTTTATGTAGTTTTAAGAGCGATCCCGTAGTATGTGCAACAAGATGGCGGACATCAGAACGTAGTATGTGTACCAGGTTAGGGTTAGGCCATAATTTTATTCCAATTTTCCTTATTTTAGTTCTATTACGAGTTCGGGGACTAGCCAAGTGACTCCAGTTGTGTTTGTACCTAAAATTATGACTTAACCCTAACCTGGTACACATACTACGTTCCAGTGTATGTATATATATATGCTGTCGAAATTTGAATCGTTTTTGAACCATAAAAACCGCTCAAATCACGTGTTCATGGATCCAAACTTCCCAATAGCTCAAGTATTTATCGAATCATACAAATTTATCAAAGGATAATTATGATATAAATGGCCATTAATAAAGTTGAATGGTTGCAAATATCACCTATTTCACCACTCCGCAATGATTGACGCATAACGCTTTTAAATGAACTATACGCATACCGAGGTAAAGCTCTTTACCGCGGAAATTCGGGCTATACGGTTCGTGCATGTTCGGCATGAGAATCGGGTTGAATTATTTTTTCGTCAAAGTAATTAGTTATTCTCTCTTAATATGAGAATGAAATATTTCTAATTCTCTCATTTCGAATTCACGCAGAATTGCTGGAATTGCGGTCGGAAGGCGCAGGAAACTTGCAGCGGATGCAACGTTGCCAGATATTGTGGATCGTTTTGTCAGCATAAAGATTGGGAAAATCATCATAAAGTTTGTGGCCCAGATCTTAAAACCAGAATGGAATTATCACCTCAGGTACTTTCAACGTCATAACTTTAAAATACAGAGACGAAATCGTTTTCTTATATTTGATAATGTAGTACCCACTCGCCGTAACCCGCACCAGTATCTCATTAACCGTAATATCATAACATATAGCCTCTGTTCTGTATGAAAACCTCATAACTTTTCTTTTGTTACAGCAGAAACATGTCCAAAAGCAGCTGAACGCTTCCGAACCAAAACGCCCGGATTCCGCTCCAGAGTCTCCGGCACCACCAACGTCAACTACAGACAAGAAAAAGGAACCATCCAGTAATTAATCCTCACATTAAAAAATTATGCAAAATAGTTTCACTGCCCAAGTCAAAAGGACAATGGTTTCACGTATGGGCCGAACTAAGCAATTGAAACTGCCTATCAAAATGAGGATAATTGCTTCATCATGTTTAATTAAACTTGATCCGGTTATAAAAATATTTATTATTAATAATAAACTCAAATATGTAATAATCTTTGACATATTTTGATGAAAAATTTAAGATTATTATTTTTTATTTATTGTGGCGTCAGCAACTACACTGCACATGTTATTTGTTACTTTTACCTCCATTTTATGTTCCATCCACTCAGTCCCATTTTATTCATTTTTCATGCCCTAACTTGGCCCAAAGATAAACCACACAATCGTGGTTCATTTTTTGCATGACCCAATGTAAACACAGCAATGTTGTTATATGTTTAGAAAACCTGTCTCAGAAATTGTTGAGTCGCGCAAATTTCACTTCCCACAAATCCCTACCATATTCTTCTTATTTCCCATAATTCTCGGATAAATTCGACAATATTGAACTTTTTCAATTGTGTTACTTTAATATGAGTAATTTCTTTGAAAATCCGATCAGAGTCACGTCTAAATTTGAATTAAAAAAAATGGAAGAGCATTAAGTATGTTAAGGTACTTGGCGCTCACGTCTCAAAATCATTTCCTCATCTAGTTATGGCTCGTATTTTTGGTTTTAGACTGTATATTTCTTTTTATTAGCGCAGAATGTTGACAACGTTTTTATTATTATTACGTCACAAATAGTAAATATTAGAGAATTCTTAAGAAAATGTACTATCAACATTATTATATCCTGGTGAAAACTAAGAATCCCCATGTAACAAAGTCAGGTCGTAACAAATAAGGCGATAAAACTTTGTTTACATAATACCCCTAACGACGATATAAACAACAATTTCTGGAATAAAAATGAGTTGCTAGATCTAAGACCATGCACGCATAAAGATTTGATTTCTTCAAAAATATCTTCAATTTACCAATCGTTACCATTTACCAGCAGTTTGTGTGATTGAATGATATGCAACGAACACTTCATTTGAATTTTGGTTGTCACAAATGAGCAATGAGTCGCAACTGTTTCATACTAATAATAACAATACTGTTACGTTAGGCACCAATATAATGTTGTATGGTTTCAGTAGCGACTGAAATTCTGGTGGTCGCCTGTTACCTCCCTCAGATATGCGCCTCTTTTACTTTCGAGGGGTTCTTTGAGCGGAGCTTCTTAAAACTACGCTTTCCGCCATTGGATCTACACTACAGTATTGACAAGGTATGTGGATGGAGGAAATAATGCCCCCCGTTTTCAGCAATTCATTTCACCAGAGTATGTTATGGCGGTAAATTACCGAACGAATCCCACTGAATCAGTGTTATTTTTCTGACGATACCATTATGACGAATATTATTATGATAATTGTTATTATTATTTAGTATGAATGATTATTATTAAATGCGATTATTTTTAAATTAACATTTGATTGTTTCAGATAATTTTTTCGCTAAGCTATTTTTATATGATCTTACTCGCTTTATGAGACATATTTTTTTTATTACCGAAACGCTTAGAGTTATCGTGGGTAACAAAAAAAAACTGGCCCACACAGCCTACCTATGACGCAATACTGAAAAAGCGTCAAATTTATCAGCGAATAAAGATGATTGCGTAAGTTCTCATGTTTATATCGGGGTTCCCACCGTAGTTCTGAACAAGAATACATGAGCAGTCATGGTCGTACGGATAAACAGATTTAAATTATTGTCTATCTTTCGTAAGCCAAGCTCGGAATATAACGAAAAAAAGGTCAATTTTCACAGATTTTTAAAATTCATCCACTACATTTCCCGATTTGTCTTTTCTGCGTTTCTCTAGGCGGAACAGAAAAAAATAAAACCCTAATTTTTGTGATGTATGTATTCTTCTTCCTCTTAATATGCGCCCACGCCGATAACAATTCGACACAGTAATGAATAGGCCATTATTATTGCGACCACAACGAAACAATTTATCTGGTGGCCATACTCGATGAAATCGGATATCTGATCACATTTTACGTTATTAACGAATTTGATTGCTAAACAAATATGTCAATCAGGCACGATATTACAGACTCCATAAAAGCGTATATTTTACGTATGGCTCTCTGTTACGTGACTGAAATTACATGTGGTAACATAACGATGGATCGGCCACAGTACAAAAGTTTGGAAATCTTTGTTATCTGAAGTTTCGTGTTTTTAGGTGAATTGTGAAATAGATGTATCGATATTAATGAATTTGATTCAATTATTTTAAAAAATTTAAGCATATTTTTTTTCCTTATATTTGTGTACATATATTATGTTTATTGGTTAAAATAAAATAAATTGACAGACTGTGGAAAAGGACTTCGAAATGCTTCCTAAAATAAAATTATATTTCAACATTCAGGTAATGGATGGAATTTACACTCCTGGTAGAGTCATTGGAGTATTATATATATTATGCAACCAGTGAGTGGTCTTGCCTTAAAACAAAGCGTCAATGCTGTCATTCACATTATTTCCATTGACGAGAATATAAACAATGGGAATCGAAATATTCTTACAAGTTGTCAGCCAAATATAGTCAAGGCCTTGAAGTCGGGAAAATTTTTCTAAATAACAGAGAAAAATGTGAAGTTGTCTTGATTTATTGCACAAAGCAAACAGAGAAATATGGTTGGTAGCTGTAAGATTTAACTTGTGATAAAATATTAATATGACTGAAATTTCCACAAATGATAATTCATTTCAAACACGCTACGGTACAAAAAATGACAACGCATGGGACGGACATCAGGGCAACGAGATCAGTAGAGACGACAACAGAGCGAAAATTTCGGAATGAGTCATGGTGACAAAAATTAAAAATGCATAAATGATTTGATAATTCAGTATATTTTTACTTGAACGAAAGGAACCGTCACATCCAGCAAGATTCGATACACGGGAGAAGTCATAGCTTTACGAAAACACATAACACACACAACAAAAAGGAATGGTAACTTTCGCTAGTATATTGGACACTGAGATTGTTTGATTATCCTCTTAGCCAATAAATATTCACGATGGCACCCACATATTACCGTTCCTATCTGGCAAATGTTTGTGAGGAATATTCCAAATCCATGGCTCATCTTTTTCCGAGTACTGGACGAGGGGAGTAGAGAACGGGAGCGTGATATCTGCTTTTGCCTCGCAAGTCTCAACAAGCTGAAATGTCTTCTTACCTGATTCTGGGAAAAATCTTTCAGGAATGAACAAAACTCCTAATTCATATGAACGAATTGCAAGTTGAGTGTCTTTCTTTTCCAATGCGCCCCAAGCTGCTTTTGATAAATTAGCACTAGTTACAAGAAACCATGCCGCTTGTTTATAATCTTTTGAAACTCGTGTGTAGGTTTTTATGTGCGGTGAAGCACAACTTCGTCCGACATTGTCTGCTTTCCATTGATGAAGGAAATTGTTTAACCAAAGTTGTTTCTTAGCTACAGCAAAACTGTATGGTAAAGATGCACCAGCTGGATAACCCTCAAGACTTGTGCGGACGTTATCAACAGTTGGGAAAATAAGTTTCAGTGTGGCTTTTTTACTCGGGGCATTCAGAGAACCAAACCTTTGTGGTTTTGTGGATGACAAACTCTTCAGCCATTCTTTACACATCCATTTATCTTTATCATTACCAAGCGATCCTATGCTGGAAAATTGTCCAATTACCGGCCATTCATTGACAAAAGAGGATTCGACATAGGAATTCAAAACTTTAGCTAACTTTAAATGCCCCCATTTACGGAACATTGAATCTTTGTGTCGACCAGGAACTGACCCAATTAAGATTACATTCGCCGTTGATAAGTCGTGAGAATTGATTAGATCAATCCACTTAGTGAGGTCAGGATGTTTCTTATATTCTTTTAAATATTCCAACATATCATGTTTAAATGAGAATGTAGACTTCTCTATCTTTGATGAACTTTGACACTCGATAAATAATGGGCTGACCCATATTCCTTGAGTCTTCTGAAACCAGTCCTAAAAACACAACACAACATTTTTTTGTTCATATTAGTTTTAAGATTTTTCTGCGATGGGTGACAATATTCTTTTTTCACAGTTCTTAATAAATTTGAAACGGAAGATTCAACTGAGTAAGATTCAACTGCAAATCATTTTTTATGTGTAAATTTTAAAATTTCAGAGAATCTTATTTTGACCAACAGAAAATTGATCATCAAAGCATATTAATACACACCCGTTCCACCAAGTTTGCAGTGTGAATTACAATCCTGATTCCTTCCTTGTATTTTAAAAACATCATCTTTGTATGATGAGTACCAAATGGTGGTAAATCAACACTGAAAAGTTAAAGCTGTTCTTAGAGATGAAACTCCTTTATAATCTTTACATAGCACTAACTATTAAGTAACTAAATTTTGCATTAAGTGCTTAGGATTATGGTAATATTTGGTCAATTTTGAATCAATATTATTTAGTACTCAATGCATTCATATAAAAATTTATAGAGATTTGCTTTTAGTTTACCTCAGATTAAAAGAGGGAAATATAGTCAGGTACACAAGAAAACAATTCTCTTCTAATTCAAACACAAAGATGACATAATGAACTTCCTGAAATTTCTAAGCATGAGAATGATGATAAAGTACATGAAAAGCATAATATTGACATAGTTGGACCAAAATTATTCCAAATCGGTTTAAATACATCGCCCTTGGAATGATAAACTAGTTACACTGTACTCAAATGCGATAGGACTGTCAACAAGACGAGTCATAGTTCGCTACTTTCATCATTTTTTCTCACTCCAGAGATAAAGATATAAAATTCTATCATTTTCAAAGCATCTAATAATACTGTATGGACTTACTTACATTATATCCACTAATTGTCAAATAAAAACATCACAAGAACTTTTACTAACCGACAAGTTTTTATGTTTTTATATTCAACTCTGTCAACTTCTGAATAATCAGCTCCATCTTTACCATGAACAAATAATATTGGAATATTTCTAGGAAACAGAAAATTTTTAATCCAAATTCCTCAAATCATAGTCAAAAGCTAATAACTAATATTAAAGAGTTGTAAATAACCAAAAATGTATCAAAAATTTTACCAACTTTCTCATTATGGCATTGGCAACAGATATATCATTGGTATTATAAAAAAAAAAATTTTAATATCCAAGATTATGCTCGGCTGTGTGGCACATCTTGCTGAGCGTTTGGAATACGATCGCCACCGCACCACTGATGACCCTGCGTGGGTTCCCAGGTTCGAATCCCATGCAGGGATAATTATGTGCGAGAGGATTGCTGGACCCCTCGCCGCCAGAGGGTGGTTCATGTAACGGTTGGTCGGTTGTGGCTTCCTACACCATGAAGTTCATGTTTCTGAAAACAAATAACTGACTGATTCCATACCCAACATAGACTGGTAACCGGACGAGAGGCCATGGTTCGCCATATGATAAAGCAGTCTTATAAACTATTCTCTCTCTCAGGGATGTAATACCGGTATGTACCGTAAATCCTATCCCATCCAACATGTGAAATAAATTTATCGAAAAACAGTGAACTTGCAACAGCTGAAAAATTGAAAAAGAGTCGCATACCTTTTTTCAGTGGGTAATTGCTGTAGAAACCATTTAACATCAATACAATAATTGAACTGGACAGTTTCAATCAAATCTCCAAAATTTTTGCTCAAAATATCGCTGATGTGAATCGAACAAAGCAAGCTTGACTCATTGTAGTAATTATATTGTGGAGGAATTCCAGATACTCGACTCAACATAAAATTTAATGGAGATGATTTATGCCAAATGATTTGAGGATCTCGAACATCTGTAAATCAAAACAGGTTAATTACTACCGGTACTTTCTGAAGATTATATTCATTTAATATTGAAATAATAACTGATTTTAAAATATATTTTGTGATGTTAACATATATTAAATAACTGGCCAATTGAGCCCATACTCGACATGGACTGGTAATTGATGGTGGTACACAACATGATTAGGCCATCTTAACAGCTTCCTTCTCTCCCAAGATAAATACGAAAATCCTATATTAGTATACTACAAGTACACATGCCTAATAAACACTTGTCGAGTATATTATGTTAGCATTAAAAATTCTTTTCGAGAAGTTGTTCAAAAATTTAGTCTAAAATTTGAAATAAATATTATTCATACATGTTTTAGAAAATCATAATTATTGTTTTTCCATCAGCAATATAGTTTTCATAAAAAAATCATTGTTTCAAAATAAGATTTCGTATATAATTCAAATTATTTGACATATAGTCATTAGGATCAAGAGCATTAGCAAAAAGATCGCATCTTAATGTTATTATTCAGAACGGGCAAACCGACATGACTCAAAAATGTTCTAAAATAATTGAATGAAGACACGATATTTACAATAAAAGTAATTGAGCATACATACTTTCTATTACTTTTTGTTTTGTATGTAATTTTTGTTTCTTATTTAGAATTTCGGAATCCTTTTTTGAATCAACTTTCTTGTTAGAATTTCCAGACTAGAAAAAAAGATTATAAAAACAGACTCAATTTTTATATCAAGTCCTTCAAAATTGGCTAACTCAACAACTGTGGCTTGCGTCTGCATTTCTGAAGCCCTTCTAATTGTCTTTGCCTTCTATGTAGTTGATATAAAATTCTATTGTATATCGTAATTGACCACATGTTATTTTTTACATTGACCATTTTTTGTTATTTTTATTTTTTATAAAGCATTATAACAAGCCAATAAATATTTCATTACTTACATGGCTAAATTCTTTGAAATGTGCAGGATTCTTGCGGTAACATTTGTCTGCATATGGGCAAACTTTCTTAGAATCAGTATTTCGTGTTTCAGCAGTGCGCTTTTTCTGTATGTTTGCAGGACTTCTGTATTGTTGTATGCTATCATCTTTCCTACTTCTTTTTCGTTGAGGTAATAGAGAAGCGCTATCACTTCCCTCGCTATCGTCATCGGACAATGCCCAGCCAGAACCAGATTCTACACTTGACATTGTTACTTTTAAATACAGTGGGAAATATAAAGAATGTCTTTCCTGTATTTGTAACCACTGAAACAACTCACATGGAAATCAAATAACCTAAAGAAGAGACGAGTTTTGGGGGATTTCCCTTTTTAGTTTTGCTGAAGCCTAGTGGTTAATGAATGTTAATTCTATATTTGTGTATAAGATCAAGTTATTAAAATTTAACTTTTTAATACAAAAATCATACTGCATACCATTAACAATTGTATCAATTTAGTATTTATGAATAATTTCTTTTATTTTTGGATTTAAAAAAAGCTTTTGATACCGTGGATCATAATATTTTAATTAGTAAATTGAATCATTATGGTGTTCGTGGGGTTGCTAATAAGTTGTTTGCTAGTTACTTAGAAGGTAGATGCCAATTTGTATGTTTGGCTGGTTCGGAATCTCGGAGAGAAGCTGTGTCTGTTGGGGTCCCTCAAGGCTCTGTATTAGGACCTACCCTTTTTCTTATCCATATCAACGATATAGTTAATGCCACTAAAGCTTCAATAAACCTTTTCGCAGACGACACTAGCGCTACATTCTCTGCCGCGAATATGACAGACTTGGAGCGTATAGTTAATAATGAACTAGTTCATATATCCAATTGGCTCACTTTAAATAAGCTTACAGTAAATCCTAACAAAACACAAATCATGTTAATTAACTGTAACAAACACCCAGAAACTTCCAACTTCATCCCAAAGTTTATCCTGAATGACTCTGTATTGACTATTTGCAACTCGGTCAAGTATCTTGGTGTAATTTTAGATAGTAAAATCAATTGGCAAATGCATATTCACCATCTAGCAAGCAAGTTGTCTAGAGCTATTGGTGCAATGACTAAACTAAGCCGATTTGTGCCAAAAAGTATATTAAGAACTGTTTACTTTGCACTATTTCACTCTCATCTACAATATGGAATTGTGGCATGGGGCTCGGCATGCAAATCCCATCTCAAAACAATATCTGTTCTTCAAAACCGTGCCCTGAGATTGATGACTGGTGCTCGTTCTAGACAGAGTTTAGGACCAATTTATAAAAAAATGAACATCCTTAAACTTGAGGATGTGTATAAACTTGAAGTGGCGAAAGTCATGTTCCAGTTCAAATTCGGTATGCTGCCCATTGCTTTTAACAATTATTTTACCAGTTGCAGCAATGTCCATAGTTATAACACCCGTTCAGCTGGCAGAGGCTCTTATTTTGTTAGAAGGACAAACTCCACCCTGGTGCAAAAATCTATAAAAATTGCTGGCCCAAACATATGGAATAACATTCCAAATTTGATCAAAGAATCTTCGTATAATAGTTTTAAGAGTAAATTCATGAGGCATCTCATTGATAAGTACTGAAGGTATGATTTTGTCCAAACTTCATGATACCTTCTGTATCCTAGCATATATAAATTACTATTATGTTTTTTATGTTTATCCATATTTATATATTGAGTACTATTTGTGTATCTGCAATAACTGCCATCTAATTTTGAGGCAAACCCTTGCTGATTCAAATAATAGTTTATTCTCCATATTTATATAATGAGTACTATTTCTGTATTTGCAAAAATTGCCATCTAATTTTGAGGCAAACCAAACCCTTGGTGACTCAAATATTAATTTATTTATCCATATTTATATATCGAATACTTTTGTGTATTTGCAATTACTATCATCCGATTTTGGGCAAACCCTCATTTACTCATATTTATATATTGAGTACTATTTGTGTATTTGCTAAAATTGCCATCTAATTTTGAGGCAAACCCTTGCTGATTCAAATAATAGTTTATTTATCCATAGGCTATTTATATTATGAGCACCATTGGTGCCCTTGCAATCTAATCTAAACTGCCATCTAATTTTGAGCCTAACCCTTGCTGATTTAAATAATAGTTTATTTTTCCACATTTATATATTGATTACTATTTGTGTATCTGCAATAACTGCCATCTAATTTTGAGCCTAACCCTTGCTGATTCAAATAATAGTTTATTTCTTCATATTTATATATTAAGTACTATTTGTGTATCTGCAATAACTGCCATCTAATTTTGAAGCTAACCCTTGCTGATTCAAATAATAGTTTATTTATCCTATTTATATTTTGAGTACTGTTTTATGTATTCGCCAAAACTGCCATTTAATTTTGAGGCAAATCCTTGCTGATTCAAATTATAGTATATTTCTCCGTACTTATATACTGAATACTATTTGCGTATTTGCAATAACTGCCATCTAATATTGGGGCAAACCCTTGCTGATTCAATTTATAGTTCATTTATCCATATTTATATATTGAATACTATTTGTGTATTCGCAATGACTGCCATCTAATTTTGGGGCTAACGCTTGCTAAGTCAAATAATAGTCTATTTATCCATGTTTATATATTGAATCCTATTTGTGGATTCGCAATAACTGCCATCTAATTTTGGGGCAAACCCTTGCTAAGTCAAATAATAGTTTATTTATCCATATTTATATATTTAATACTTTTTGTGTATTCGCAATAACTGCCATCTAATTTTGGGGCAAACTCTTGCTAAGTCAAATAATAGTTTATTTATCCATATTTATATATTGAATACTATTTGTGTATTCGCAATAACTGCCATCTAATTTTGGGGTAAACCCTTGCTAAGTCAAATAATAGTTTATTTATTCATATTTATATATTGAATACTATTTGTGTATTTGCAATAACTGCCATCTAATTTTGAGGCAAACCCTTGCTGATTCAAATAATAGTTTATTTATTCATATTTATATTATGAGAACCATTGGTGTATTTGCAATAACTGCCATCTAATTTTGAGGCTGAACCCTTGCCATATTCTTTATATTGAGGTCTATTTTGTGCATTGGAGAGGCTGACCCTCTCTATTTCAAATAATGTTTATTTATCCAAATTTCCACTCGATATTAAGATTACCAAAATTGTTTCACATTTGGGGCATATAATAGTTTATAAATTGGTACTTATATATGTATTTGTGGGTATTAGTCACCCATCTGTCTAAATTCTTTCTTGTTATAAGGCTGATTCCACTCTTTATACAATTGTTTCCCAATATTATATTCACATGACTATGAGTACCATTTTGTTTATCTCCGGAAACTTATTTTTATATGTGAGGCTTACCGCTTACTCACTCAAACAATTGTTATGTGTCCAACATTACATTTGAGTGTAGTAGTCCAATAGCCAAATTTGTTTTTTATTCATGGGACTTAGACCTCGCTTTCAAATAATAGTCTGTGTAATAGTTGATTATTCGTTCAAACTGTTTCATTTCTCAAAGACAAATCTTATCTTTTAAAAATTTACTTTGCTAAAATAATTATATTTTTTTTGTTCAATTTGTATAATGCGCCTCAGCCCTTCTCTTATTTTCTCATTTTGTTTTTAATCATCACATGTCGATGGCTATTGAAATTTGTAGCCCAATTGCAGGCAATTTAGGTAAATTAGATAACAACATCACATGTAATATCAAAACGATAAATAGCATCCCGATCCCGCTTACATATATTTTCCAAATATGTATCCATGACGAATGCTTGTAATATCCTTACCTGACCCCTTCATAAATTATTCTCCCAGTCCAAAATGAATGCAATATTTCTTCAAATGAAAAATAGTAATGGGCTTCTTAGTTGCATCATACCACATTTATTTTGTTAGTTTTATAACTTTTCTGTATTACCATGTTTATTCAAATTGTTTGTTTGTATATATAGATGTTAACACGAACAATTGCTTAGTCCATTTTTTTGTTTTGTTCGTTTTTTTTTTTTTCTTTCAAATTTTGTTTCATGAATTTTAACCACTTCAAATAGTCATATTTTACTGTGAACTAATCAGCGTAAACTTGGAGGGAGCTGACTCCGATGACCGCATGGTCGTATCGCTCCTTCCAGTCTATACCGAAAAAAGTGTATATTTTGTTACCATTATTTATTGTTATGACTGTTTTTTTTTTCTGGTTGACGAAAATAAATCTCTCTCTCTCTCTCTGCCATCATAAAATTTTTTACCGCCGTCTGCCGCAAAAGAGTAAGAAAATATGTGGCGGGAAATAAGTCACTTTTTATATTGCTTACAATGTACGTACACCCCCTGACCTCTGAGGCATGCAGGCTCCGTTTGGCTTCTGGATTTGTTTGTCACAAAAACAGCTTGCAGAGTTATCGTATGTGTATGTTATTTCACGTTTCTCTGCATCTTGATTCTGAACTTGGCCAAATAGCGGTACTTCTGTGGTGTTTTTGTATGTGTTAGTGTTGCCACCAAAACTGTAAAAGCTACAAAGCTAATTTACACTTGGTTACGGTACAGGGTTAGTTTAACTTACAGACTTAGTTGATTGAAGTAACAGTTATAGTCTAATTGTGATTAATAATTTCCTTATTCCTTTATCCTTGCAGAAGTCAATATCTAAGAATGAAAAAAAAACCTTATAACCTTAGCAACCAACATATTCCTATACCCTGTCTTTCTATCTTAATTAATTATAATTACTCATAAGTCATACATATAAAGTTACTGATAGATTTAAATACTTATTGCAATCTGGACTATAATTTGGCAATAATAGGCTCTAGTTTGGGCAATGAAGTGGTCTAGCCCACCTCTTCATGCACCCAATTCTGGCAACTTTGGTTGGGCATTTTGGCATTTGACTCCATCTATAATCAGCTTGACAATATATTTTTTTATAAAAGTTTATCTTTACTGTTCACTCCCATTTATAAAATTGATCAATTTGGCAGTGGCAATCATGATAAATTTATTAATATGGTGTGGCAAGTAATTTTTATTTATTTTTTATTAACTACCAGTATGTAATTTTTCATGTTCCCTTTACTTAATAACTTCTATATGGTTGTGTGTGTGTGAGCGTGTGTGAAATATTTCAATTATTTTAGGTGAGTGAACACGTACCACATCTTCTTGGCAAAACCTTCCATCTTATATACATTCTGTACGTTTTAAACCTTATCTAAGGTTTTGTTCGCTCTCTTGATTTCATAATCAGTTTTTATTTATTTATTTTTACCATTCATTTTATTGTTTTGCTGATTATGGAGTCGAAATAAACTTATACTTATAATAAATATAAAATCTGTCAATCTCTGCGGAAACTACATTGATACATAAATTGGATATAATGGACAATACAATCAATGAACTGTAATGAAATAATTCTGCTGGATACTGTTAATGTATTTTTTCTGTTAATTTTGGATGGTTATTTATAGTTGTTTTATTTTTATTTTATATATTCTTTGATTATTGAATAATCCACATTGCTGCATTGTGGAACCATAAAAAAAATATAAAATCTGGGTTTTCTTTTATATGAGAGTAGGATTGGATTTGCATATTATATATTTATTATTTCTAAAACGTCAGAAAGTGGGTACAAGGTAGACTACTTGCAGTACAGTAGTAATTCCCTTGTTGAGTAATATTGATCATGGATTTTGATCCATACTTGGAATTCCAGCAAGAAGATGCATTTGAGGACCAATATGCAGACGAACTGGACGTACTTAATGAGATGGAAGGTGAATTCATACTGTATTTTCAGTTCACACTTATCACTTTTATCAAACTTTGAAATCACTCACAATTTTAGCACAAATCAGTCGTGTTTCCACAATGCATAAGTTCGTAAAGTGCTTCATACCTGCATATGGAGCCCCAGAGTTTTGTGGGAGAAAACTCTGCGAGCTATTCGTTTACTTAATAAAATACTGAGTTGGGTGTTTTGTAATTGTCCAAAAAAGCAATAAATACATCCGATACATTAAAAAAAGTAGTTTTAATTTACTCAGAAACATCAATTGATATGTAACAATGCATTTTTCATGTTTTTTTTTATATATATTCATTGTGGGGATCCGTAAATATTACTCAATCTCTTCACAGGCTCAATACAGCAATAACACTAAAAAGTTTGAGAACCGCTGAACTAATGAATCCGCTAATAATGCCTTAATATTTCGGTATTTTTCTGCAATTGGATCTTATTCTCATTTAAGAATTATCAAATCCTAAAATATTAACAATGTTATGACCTAATTTTTATGTTTGGATGTGAACACTATAAGCAGTCAAGTTTTATTTATTTTTGATTTGCGCGATTGTCTAATAATAAAAAAAATGGTCTTTTACTATCAGTAGAAATGATATCTACCATATGTGTTCAGAAATTCCAATGATGTGGCGTATCCTACTTACTTACATAAAACATGAATGTTTAATTTGATCATTGTATTATTATACAATATTTCAATATTGTTTAATATTTTATTAGTGTTGACAAAATTTCTTTCTCTTAGGTAACCACTGTTTAATCGATCAAACCTTATGTTCTGGAGTTTTTAAATATTTTACTTTAATTACCGCAAATTATTTTTTAAATAATTTTCAGGTCTTCCTCAAGAAGCAACTTCATCTTCAAACTTGAATGTTATCAAAGAAAGACCAGATGGTCATCGTCGGCAGCTGTTTGATGATTCTGGTCCATCTATCCCATCATCCAGCGGGAAACATGATTTAAGTTTTGATCACCTCAACAATGATTTGTTGATTGACGAAGAGATGTATTCTAAATGTACATATTACATGAATTCTGTTTTTGTTAGAAATTTTCAAATCTTTATATTGTCTAAAACAGTTCAATTTCAAGGCTGAGAAATGTTTGCCCTAAACGAAGCTTCGGACAAAATTGATTTTTCGGGAAAAATTTATTTGGAAAAATAGTTTCAATTTAGTTTTTCTATTCTTCGTTATAGAATTTTAATATAGTTATGTAAACAACTAGAATTAAATTTTAATTAATTAAAATTTAATTAATTAAAAATATTTTATATGTTTTGGGATCATTGTTTTCCCTAGTAAAATGAATACCTTTGCAAATTTGCACCACAATGTCTTATGGGGTTCAAAAAGAACAAAAAATATAAAATTATTCTTTCTATCTTAATTTAGATTGATTTCTTGTATCCCTAATGGGATATATTTCTTTTGTTTGTCAATATACAGCACCTGACCATAAAAGAGCAAGAATGGATATTGATATTGATGATAATTATAATTATTACAACAAGAAAAAACATAACTTGCCAACAACACTAGATGAAGATAAAGATGTTATGTTATTGAGGTAAATTTTTACTCTTCTAAATTTGTATCTTTTGAGTACGAATATTGAAAATATTGTTTTTTATTTCATGAGTACAACCCAACTAATTTACTTCGATAATATGCAAAGAAATCACACCTGAATTCATGGAATTATGTCAGTCAGTATTGGGGGGCCCTTTGGTCACTCTCTTTAATAAAGACTTTGAATTACTGGAATCAGCTCAACATAAAAAACTCGACATAAAATAATCGGAGCAAGTTTTTGGAACGAAAAAAATACAAGTGAAATATGATTTACCACGTGAATGATTGATGTTGTATTGAAAATTCTAACATTTACCAGCTTTATTGGAGCAGTAATTCAAAATAAATCTGGTAAATTCTACTAAATTATTTCAATACATGGTTCAATCTTGGTTCGATTTATGTTATTTTATCGAAAGATGAAAGTTACGAGTCAATGGTCAAGTCAATTTATCCATTTCAAAGTGTTTAAGAAATCTATGATGATTAGTCTCGACTTATGGTTTGAAACAGCGTTACTTATGAATTAGTAGTGCAATGATCCAACACCACTGGTTCTCAAAGTTCAAAATTTGCTGAGACTTGACGTGACTCGCTTCTTTGGGATTGGAGACTTCTACTAACACTGATGCCAATGCTGCTAATTTTTCCTCTCATTTTGACCTTTTCGATAGTAATTGTATTGTACCCTGTTTCGACCAAAGCGTATATATAATACAAGCGAGGCAACGCTCGGACAATGGACGCCATCTTGTGCCTATTGTTCTCGGCCATATAACACGACGCCTTATGGGAAGTTCTCACACAATTATTGAAACATACCTAATATTTTCATTAATATTTTAGATAGAAAGAATTTGAAGGTCGCATTTTGAAGTAGAAGCTTAGGCGAACATGATGATATACTTTCATGTTTGCTAAATTGCATTTATAGTACATTAAATTGTCTTTAAATACAAGTATGCCGGTTTTGAGTTGCTCCCGAAGTAAGTTGGCCATTTTCATCGTCATAATTGACCATTTGACAATAGCGTTCTTTGTGATGTCACAGATGGACAGTTGTATTTATTCGTCGAAATTACCTCGGGACTCAAATTCGCTTCAATGGGCGTTTCCATTTTCGGGTCAACATTTTCTCGCCTGTCAAGCTCCATAATTCCCGCCTACTCAGCTCCGAGCTGCGCTAGAAGACCAAATGACATTGTAGGATTGTTGCGGTGGCATTATACTCCGTCAAATGGGCGTATCACTCTAAAAGTTTCCAAAAAGATGACCAAAAATGGTTCTACGTTGTGTTTGTGGCCAAATTTAACGCATTAGATAGTTTTTTATTTTTAATTGCGTTATATATTTAAGTAGCATATAGCCCAAAGTTCAAAATCCACTCTTCGGCTTCATTCTAGCCCTTATAATAGCTGACTTATTGGATTCGGTACAACAACACGACGAAAATTTCCCATAAGACTCCATTGTTTCGCGTTTTCCCAATATGGCACAAGATGGCGTCCATGAACCTGTTTTACATTAGGCAAGTTGGTTGCCGGCCCTTGGTTTCGACCACAGTAATATATGATACTATAATTCTTTTTAATACACTAAGTCTTGTGCTGTTTTTATTATTTTGAATGCTACTGCGAAATATTACTATGTCAAAATTATTCTAAAATTCTTGTTTAACTGTATATTTTTTGGCAGAAAGGAAATTCAAAAAGAAAACAGTGGGGCCAGCTCACCTGCTATGATTGATAAAATACTTCGATACAGAGAAAAACGACACCTAGATGCACAAGAGTTTATTCATCAGGGTATATTATGAGCAGTTGTGTATTTTTTTTATTTTTTTTTTATGAAATTGTCAGCTCATTGTACCCAGTTATATTATTATTATAGTTAGGGCCGTCCAAGCGAACCGAATTTTTTAAATGGAATCGAATCGCAAATTATTGGAAGCGTTTTTCGGCTTTGCTGTAAAAAGGTCTCTCCCATTGCCCGGTGACATGTAATTATTCATTTCATGCATGGTCATAAATGAGAAGTTATCGGTAACAATTATTTAAAGATTTTTGAGATAACACAAGGAGAGAATAGCAAATTTTGTGCCAGCAAAAACGCCAGTTCTATAAATAGAATCGATTTATAGCTGTTGAGTCAGTAATCATGGTACACAATCATGGAACATGGTACAGGACTGAAACATGTTTTGGAGGTCCAATACCTTTTTCCATTTTTTGGGCAACAGTTATATCTATATTACTAGTTGTTTATCATTTTACTGAAAATTAAACAAAAAATATTGAGTTAATAATACTAATGATAATAGGAGCATAATAGCAACTATGGCATTAAAAGAGTCTGTGCAATTTCCAACTCTTAACACTTGATAGTTTTCAAACACTAATTTTTTGACCAGTTCAAGTAGGCTTGTGATCCCCTTTTATAACTCTGCAAACATAGTTATGCAGAATATTTGCAATAATTTAGATAATAACTGCACATACATTATCACAATATTGAAGAGGAAGTTTTTATTGTTAATTAGAGACAAATTTATTATTGCGCAATAATATTCGGTTCGATTCGAGAAAAATATTCGGTTCGATCCGAATCACAAAAATATTCGATTTTGGACAGCCCTAATTATAGTCATTTGTAGATTAAAAATTGGAATTCTATTCCCACAATCCTCTCGGGGGTTTTGAATGGCGATGCATAATATTCTGATTTGTTCTATCATTGTAACTCTCTGTGCATATGAGTGTTTTTTACAATTACAACTATTTTGCTTATTCAGCGAGAGAAAAACCCACAATCTTTTTGAAAAATTCAAAATAATTCGTGATAATACCTCGTAAAGTATATACTAATTCCTAGTTGTAAATGGAATAACGTGTTTCTGCCTATATATACTAGTAGAACTAGTTCAGAACGGTACATTATGTAGGCAATACCTGAATAGTTTCAAAAATGATCTGATTCTGAACATCAATTGCACAAAATCATATCTTTATAAGTGAAGATTGTAAAAGTATTTCCAAAATCAACAATTTGCTGTACCGAACTAATGTTGAATGTGTTCGATTCATTCCCTGATTACTTTATCACACGGGCATTAATTTGAGGGCTTTATCCCAAGAAGGTAAAACTTGAAACAAAAATGAGAAAGAAATGAGGAAACGTATATTTTTGATTTTTAAACTCTTATGGCAATAACTTTTATTAAAATAATTTTCAAAATACTGCTTTAAACTTTGATCAGCTTGAAGAGCAATTATTTCTTTGTAAATAAAATTTTTTTTTGGAAAATTTTAACTTTTGCTTTTTCGTTTCAAGACCTTTAAATTAGGAATATTTTGAGACTATTCAGTCAACTTCAAATGTTGATATGAATATTTTTCAATTTTATACAATTTCTAGCGTTTGTATTTGAGACTTTCCGACACCTCTTATTAAGTAATACTTTATTTATAATTATAGGCAGCGAAAAAAATTCATCATCTGAAAAACTTCAGTTGAGAAAGGTTCTTCAATATCCACCCGTGCATAGTGAATTCATGTCAGCTACATCGTCTGATGGACAACGCTGTTATATGAGGATCAGATCAGATGAAAAACTGAAGAAGGTTGCTAGATTTATTTTTAATTAGTACAAAGATTTGTTTTTATTTGATATTGACTGACATCAGTTTCTTTAGAAGTTATTTTATGTGAAGTGTTTTTTCTCTGTACGAGAATTTGCATAAACAGGCATCGGTACATAAGTATATACAACATTTTTTGCACAATTTTTTTACACTCTCAACAAAGTGGCAGGCAAAGGGTGTGAATGTAACCTTGGATTATCTGCTGAATTGGTAATTTTAAATTTTAGGAGTTCGAATATCAGCTTTTGAACTTAAAATTTTCCATAGTTCAAAACCCAAAGTTTAGTGCAAGAAACGGTTACAGATTGTTTATTTCAATGCTTGAAGTTGAAAGTTTAAACAATTTGTTGTTGAATGAAAAACATGGTTGTTGAAAAACTTGCTGGAAGATAAACATGACAAGAATTTCTTAACCGAATTTCAACAAATCATATTTTCTACATTTTGGATGTACTTTTGAGTTTAGTTTCACGAAAACTTTGCACTGGTCATGTCTAAACCATTGCTGTTTCATTGTGATTAAACTATCCTCATTCAATGATTGTTTCCACAGGAGTCTATATCCAACTGTACTTTGATTGGAAACAAATCTCTCCTTCCTGAAAGTATATCAGAAATGAGACAGATGATTCAAGTTATGGTAAGCTCACATTTTTTAATTTTTTTAATTTTCAACTTTAATTTTTGTTTCGTTTATATTAACTCCCTGTTTAACTCCACTTGTCCAACGGTTTCATATTTTTAATTTTGTATTCTTCCCAGCTCTGACAGCAATATCAAGGAAAGGCATGTCAAACTCTTGACTCCAGGCCCTGATCAAACCATTATTCAATACATAACCACACTCAATTTTTACAGAAAGAAAAGAAAATACTGTCAGAATCACATCGACTAACGGAAGAAATCAGGAGACAGAATCTACTCACTACTACTTCAGATGTTGTTGTTCATAACACAGATGAAATAATGGAAGATTCTGAACAAACCACGAACATAATTCAACGCAAACAAATTGTGAGATCGGAAGAGGATATTGATGAAGGAATTTACAGTGAGGATGAATCACAAAAAAATGATCTATGGTTGGATAAATTTGCACCTACTCAATATACTCATCTGTTGAGTGAAGAGGTGAGTGAGAAACATGTTTTGAAGTCGTAATTTTTTAATTGACTATCAAGATTGGAAATGGTATTGCGAATAAAAATTAGTTTGGCGTAATTATATCAAATGTAAGAACATTCAGATTGTTTATACAACACATTTCATACATGCTTATTTCAGTACTCCCGAAGTATGTGAACTAAGATGGCGGACACCGGAAGGTAGTATGTGTACCAGGTTAGGGTTAGGCCATAATTTCAGGAACAAATATAACGGTCACTTGGCTAGTCCCCGAACTCGTAAATGAACTAAAATTGGAATTGTCGCCATCTTGGTTCACATACTTCAGGAGTACCCTCATTTGTGCCATTCGCTCCAAACGAAGCCCCGTACAAGCAGGCACTAATATCTGGAAATATGTAAGGAACTATAAATTCAGAAAACTTTTTCAATCCATCCTGTGGAAGCATAACACATAACAGAATCTAATTCAAAAGGAATTTTCTAAGAAATCCTAATTCTCAATAGATGGTTAAGCATTTAAAAAGCAGCAGATTTCGAACGTAAAGCGTAGTCTAATATGATCACCTTGTGACTCTTGTAAATTTTTGAAACACACAAACAACGCTTAGCATCGATTTAATTCGTGAATTTTTCAATAAATCAGACACTCTTGGTTAATGTTGTTATACTTCTGCTATCACACAGGCTCGGTGGTGTGGTGCTTCATGCTGAGCGTTAGGAATATGCTCGCCACTTCACCTTATGACTAAGCTGTATTATCGACTTTCCTCTCCTTCGGGATAAATATGTAAATCCTAATCTATCCTAAATGTGACTATTTTCTCATTCTTTTGTACAGAATGTTAACAGAACTCTTTTGAAATGGTTGAAGTTATGGGATCATGTTGTATTCGGTCGTGAAATTCAACAGAAAGAAAAGAAACAGGAACCGGATATGAATAATCAAAACAATAAAAAATCATATTTTCAAATTAAAAAAGAAATGGAAGAGGTGAGACCACATCCTTCTGTTCGATCTATATGGATTTCAGGTTTCGACTGATTGTTTTTGTTTCCATGTGCTTTTACCGGGTTTATCAAATTCCTTCAGACAAAGAAGACAAGATGTCGCACAACCTGAACCCTAACCTGGTACACAACCTGAGTTTAGGTTGTGCGCCATCTTGGTGCGCAACTGCGCATACTTCGGGAGGTCCGAAATTTTTATATTACATATAATTTACCGAGAACTTCTGAGTTTTATGGAACTCAATACTTCAAAATGCACCTACAGGTAGGAATCTTTGATTTGTCAATCAAATAGTTGACAGCTGGACAGCACGATTTCTTCCGCCATCAACTCCATAACCTGATAAGAATAACTGAACTTGTTAACTCTTCTCATACACGACATAGATTGGTTATTAAAGAATGAGAGACTGGTGTTGGACAAATTATTAAGCCGTCTTACAACTTTCCTCTCTCCCAAAATAAATATGGAAATCTTACCCTTTTTATTTCAAGATTTTCTGAATTTCCCTCGCACAACATCATTGAACTTTGCCTTTAGGGCCGATAAAACAAGTTTTTTGCATTTCAAACTCATATTAAAAATTGTATTTTGAATATCAATATTTGCGAGTTCCGATCTATTTATGCAGACTTGAGACTTTTGAGTTATACCTTTTATTTCTGTTTGATTTTTTTCCATTTTTATCATTTCTAGAGATTGGATGAATATAAACGACCATTCTTTAAAGCTGCTTTATTGTTTGGGCCTCCTGGTCTTGGAAAAACAACGCTAGCTCATATTATTGCGAAACATGCTGGTTACCATGTTGTGGAAATGAATGCAAGGTATATGTTATATATTTTAGTTTTAGATTTATTATTGTTCGATCAGCACTGGCTCCGGATCAAGAAAGTTTCGAATAATCCAGATTTCAACTCTGAGAAAACCGAATTGAGGCATTACAACTGACATGAGCAAACTACGGCCCGCGGGCCAAATCCGGCCCGTTTTTGGGTAATTCAATCTGGCCCGCCTGATGTTGAGGATGAATTTGTTTAAAATTGCGATTAAATTTAGTTTCGGCACGAGGCTTATTGTTTTCCACTTTTGCTTTTGTAACACTGTAGATGTTGTTCATAAAATGTAACTTTTACGTCACACTTACATGGCCCGTTGGCAGTCTAAATTGGCAAAATTCCTGGGCCCTGCTCCAAAAACCTTGTCCACCCATGCATTACAACATAGATTTGTAGGTATCTCGTGCTTATTCCAAATTTTTTAACTTTTTCATTTTTTTCTGATTCTCAGTGATGACAGAAGTGCGGAATTATTCAAAACAAAACTAGAACAAACGACCCAAATGAGATCAGTTCTTGGAAATGATGAACGGCCCAATTGTTTAATCATTGATGAAATTGACGGTGCACCTCTGGTAAATTGTTTGAAATTTTTTAATAGTATATAAAATAGGGTGTATTTTATTCTATTATTGTTCGGTTTGTCTACTATTGAATAGTTCAAATCGGGCTCTTAGTCAATACTATATTGAATTTTTGTATTGCAATTGTAAGAATAATCAGTTCAGTTTTTTAACTTTAACATTTCTGTATGATTTTTTTAATTCCAACTCCATCTCCCTATTTGGAGAACACCCAATTTCAATCGTTTGTTTAAAACGCTTAGTCAACTTGATGCTTTTTTGTGGGAAATTTTCACTTCGACTATCACCATCAATAATCTGAAATTTATGCTCCTGAGCTATGACTCGCAAGTTCAACTGTAGCTTCGACTCTCAGTTAATGGAAGTGGAAAAATATGGCTATGGAATGGCTCAAATATCAATAGAAACATCCCAATCTCGAAAATCTACTTCGCTGCTTCGATTTTTCCATTGGAATAACTTGTGGAAAATCATGTGATTTTAATTTTACCCTTACTTGCAAAGGAATGACTGTTATGTATCTGAATACGTTCATTTTTAGGCAGCCATAAATGTTCTCCTAACTGCAATGAGTAGAACAAGAAAAAAAGAACAAATAAAAGGATCAAAAAAGAAAGCAGGACGGAATGAAATTCTAATGCGTCCTGTTATCTGTATTTGTAATGATTTGTAAGTTTGTACATTCATTTCAAAGTAATTGAGTTGGTAACAATTATTAATCTGCTATGTGTTTAGAGATCATATGTCGCAAAGCGCTTTAGGGCAGATGGAGGCATTAAATTGCATACAAAGTTTTGTAATTACCTTTTCGATCAAATTTAATTTTATGTTTTACTATTGCGAAAAATAAATTTTGAATAAATTTTTGCTCTATGACAATTAATAAGTTTTTCCAAATTTATGAAAAATGAAGCAAAAGGATTTTATTGATATAAAAATCCTAATAGCATAGAAGTTACAATAAAATTTCAATTATTTTTCTCCAATTCACAATAATATAGCGGTTTTAATGATTGTTTTTAGATATGTACCAGCATTACGACAACTTCGTCAACAAAGTTTTGTTCTCAATTTTCCTCCAACACAATCAGCAAGATTGGCAAGTCGCTTGTCTCAGGTAGATTTATAATATTTGAAACAGTTTGGGTAGGGAAAGGGTGTGTTACTTTTCCAGTATTGAAGAGAAATTTGGTGAAGAAGTAATTGATAGCCAACTGTCTTTCTGAATGAGGAAAGTCACTCATAAGCAAGGATGGTGACAACCAATTTGACGTTAAGAAATTAAATATTAAACTAATTATGCACCCATAATTTTACATTTGACTCTTCAACTTGCCAGTAATTGTGCCAAGTGTCAGAAATATGCCTGCTCCTATCGCAACTGATTACTCTGCACAGCTTTGTAAGTTTGAATACTGGCAGAGATAAATGCTGGAATCCCTGCGGCCACTGAGTGGTTTGAGTAACAGCAAAACTGCTATGGCTTCCTCCACCTTTAAGCCAATACGTCTACAAAAACTGATTGGTTATTCATTATTTTCAAAATCAACATGAGCTGGTAACCAAACATAACCAAACATTATCCATTTTGCATAGATTCATGAAAATCATTTTTACAGTTGTGTCGAATACAAAGACTGCATTGTGATATGACGACATTGTTAAGGTTATGTGAGAAAGCAGACAACGATATTCGTTCTTGCATTAATACTCTACAATTCGCTAAAACTTCTGGACAAAACAAGTGAGAATTGTTGTTACTATAAATATCTTTTTGGAAAATTTGTGCCAGCAGTTTAATTCTCTTTGTCCTGTTTCAGGTTATCAGTCGACACCGTCAAAGGCTTAGAAATTGGTCAAAAAGATCAGCATAAAAATATTTTTAAAGTGTGGCAAGATATATTTCAACTACCGAAAAACAAAAGGTATTTTACACATTCATAGATCATGTTTTCAGCATTACAGCAATATTCCACTCCTTCTTTTCATCAGAGTCAATATTTCATCTGTAAGTGTGCCCCTTTTAGTTAGGAATGACAGAGTTGTCGGGGCCGAATCACATTTTTAACATAGTAGTATGAGTCAGGAGTCAAAACTGAAGTGGAAATTTTAAACCTTTTAAAGTTAGAATTTTGAACTTCTGGTGGTTATAATCCTAGGGTTCTCAACAAGTGGGCCATGGCCCATTGCTGGGCGACAGAAACATTTTTGGGTGAGCCACCAATCTATTGAAAATTGCTAGTCTAGTTAAATTTGATTGTACTGGAAATTAGTGATAATGCTATTTTTTGCTACTAAATCATAATTTTAATTATTAAAGTGGGAGTGCCGTCTATACGAAAAAGCCACAAAATTTTTTGTGTAACGAAAGTGGGCCATAAAAAAAAAAGGCTGAGAACCCATGCTGATAATCAAAAGTCAAAATTTTTGATGGAAACTGAAAAAGTTGAACAAGCATTCTTAAAACAATTAAAGAAAGCTTGCATGAAGAAAACTTTTCTACGCAGTTAAAAGTGGGAGTGGAAGTCGGAAATTTTTTCGAATTGGTGTTGGAGTCAAAATTTTTGTCCGAGCGTGAAAACTCAGGGATTGGGAATCAAGAGGCAGGTGTGAATTTTTGCTTACTGGTACTTTGTGACTAACTTTGCATTCACTCCGCAGAAAACTAGAAAAGGACGCAGAAGCAGCCCAACTTTCATCAGACATTGCAGGAAAGAAATCAAGTATTTTATCAACACGATTATACACAATTCATCATTTAGTATCTGCCAATGGAGACTATGAAAAGACTTTTCAGGTAGCGTTGCTTATATCAATGTTCCTTCATAATCTGTAACGGAAATTTAAAATGAAATGATTATCAACGGAAAATGCACTTGAAGCTGATTGCTTTTATTGAGCTTTATGTATAAAGTTGCATTATAAATTTTTATTTATTAAATGTTTCGAGCAATGAGAAATTGTTGTAATAAAAAAAGTCAGTAGTAGGACCAGGACCGATGGTGTGGCAAGATATTGGCTGGAGTAAACGCTTTGAGGGGCGACTTTCTAAAAGTAAGTGTGCTGGGGTAATATGACTTTTCATAACTCTCAATTTTCTGACATAACTGGAAATGGATGCGTAATTAAGTGGATGTCTTGCAAGGAATAGCGACAATGTTTGCACAGAACATAACAAACAATGAAAGTACAGATTCTATTTCATCGTCATAACAACACATGACAAAGCGGTGAAAATAGTTTGCAGATTTCCTTTGAAAACCAAACAAACACCTTGCAAATGGAGAAAAGCGGCCATTTTCACAAAGAATAACTTTTACAAAGTTTTTTTAAGGCGTATGTTTTATTACAAAGAATATTACAGAAATCCAATAGAACTTAAAAGGTATCAACCTAAAACAACTTAAAAAAATAAAAACGTATCGAAAAAAAAGGAGTAAGCACGCATTTTATTCGTAATCTCGTCTGACCTTCAAATTTACATGTTATTATATATTAGTGGATGCTGTACTAGGCCTTGTTCCGAACAAAATTTGTGAATAAACAGCATATAAAAAAAAGTTCTTGGAGCAACTCGTTTTTACCACTCAATATTAGTCCTGGCTTTATAGTTTAGCTCAGTGTTCTTCAACCTTTTTTATCGTGGTATACCTTTTACAATTTTTCAAAAACCTTGTATACCTTACAAATACTAATGTTTACTTAAGGCTTCAGTAAACATTAAATTTAAAGCACTTATTGTACTGTAATATCATCATGCAATCTAATAGGCTAGTGTCCGCAAGTTATAAATTCGACTGACGGCCTTAGCGTCAAAGGGAATAATGTTCAACGTAAATCAATTGAGGTGCATGGCAGCCGAAATCACCAATTCAGACACGTGATCGCATTATCTATTTAATTAGTGATGTAACAATGTGCTCACATCGGTTCTTTGCGTAAATGACATTTCATATTTCACGTGCGCCGCATTTGCATTGTTGGCTCCGCTTGAATATTTTATAATTTAATATATTGGAGTTTAGAATCCCTGACTTAGGCTGTACACCCTTCGTATACCCTTTATCAGTTGTATACCTAACTTATGGTCTGGTATACACTTGGGTATACCGTATACCCGGTTGAAGAGCACTGGTTTAGCTAGGTTATTTTTTCCTCAATTATAAAATCCCATTCTATAATAGCTTTGATTTTTTTTCATTTACGTTTCCCATTCCAGGGTGTCCATGAACATTACCTCAAAATGAAATTCAAAGATCACGATATGATGTGTATAAATAAAGCACAAGAATGGACTCAGTTTTATGATCATCTACTGAAAATTAATCTGCAACTTCAGGAATGGTCTGTGATGCGTTATTATCCGTATTTATTCGTCTTATTTCATATGATGTTCGCATGCGTCAATGTACCCCGACTCGGCTTCCCAAGTGTGAGTTTTGAGGTGAGATGAGTTGTTTTTGCGAAGGTTAAAAATTATTTTTTCATATATTGATTTATAATCAAAATTGGATTTTTTGTTATTTATTTTTAGAGTTTTACATTTGCATTGCGCTTAATTTGAGTTCCCCTAGTCTAGTGGCTTCTAACCTTTTTTCAAATTAAATTTCGTAAAATCTTGGGGTTGTGTCCCAAAAATATACTTAAATACCTAAACGGCGTTTAATGCTGTTATAACCGCAATATTTTTTTCTTTGAAAAAAGCAAAAATTAATTAATTTAAAAATTTTGAATTTTACGAAACTTGTATACACAGCTACAATTGCCAGTACTGGATTATAACTCGTCCAGCATCATCATCCATAGCTTGAAAATACTTAATTGCAAGTTCATCCCCCATGATTAAGGATGTCCTTGCCGTCCTTGCTGTCTACATTGGGTGAATCGACACTCAATTGCTTAAAGCCTTTTCTCCACAGGCTAAGTAGTATTGCTACAGGCCAGTTACAGCTTCCTCGACTATCTAAGTACTTTCATCTGGTGGTTCCTATTACCTATTCTCCATCTCCAAAGTGAACTGGAATGGTAACTCAACAAAATTCCATGGCTATGTAGCAATAATTATCTCTATTGATGTTTTTTGGTGTCTGTCTATTTGAAAAACTGGACGATGCCAATGGTGATAAAATTCTAATTTTGTGCATACTGCGATGTCTATAGTTAAAAATAGACGATCAAATGGATATCTCTGTTTGCTTGTCATATTTTGGACTGGTGTAAGTCTGTTAACAAATTTCTTGAATTAAATTTTGTTCTTAATATATTCAACAGAATACAAAAAGGAAACAAAAATGTGAAAATTTATTAGAAAGTATGTTTGTTGAGATGGTTCCATATGCAAGATGCTTTACAACAGCACAGACTGCAATTTTGGATTCAATACCTTACATCCTAGCTATTATGACGCCTACTATTCGTCCAGTAAGTTTTGTATATTTTGTTTCATTATCACAATTTTATTTGAAATTGGTTCTATTCGATATAATAAATCATGGGTATGCAACATTGAATACAGTACGGCCAGATACAAATAACTGGGTGTGGTCTGCACTTTTATTTATTCTTAACATAGGCTTTTTAGTAGTTGTAGGCACAAAAATTTTGGTTATTGATCTTATGACATGCATTGTGGCTTTGCACAAGCTAGCTGTTGGTTGGACAATGTAATGTCATATGCATAGATAATAAATTGGACTCCGGTATAGGCTTTACGACACGAAAGAATGGAATCACTCTCATGTACCAGAATAAATTCAATTAAAACCTTGTTTGGGCCGCACACCATTCAAAATTAATGCTTCCCTGGGCCGCATTTGTGCTGCAGGTTGCATACCCCTGCAGTATATTATTGATAATAGGAGTAGTTTGGAATATTTTCATTTTGATTTCATTTTGATAATTTGATAATTTTAGGTCTCAAAAATGTCCCACTTGTGATAAATGTATGAATCTCACTTCGTATGAATACTCTAACGGTCTAACCTTCTTCTAAATAATCATATCTGTCATGACCAAAACACAGCCTGAATGCCACTTTATATGCTTACCGCCGTTACTGGTACTTAAATCATTTGCCCCACAATATCCAAAACAACAGAACCCAAACGAAAATGAAGAAAATATATTTCTATATAATAACTTTTGTTTGTGTATATTATACCCAATAGTTTCTGTCATTTGCCTTTCACAAGTTATGTTCCCTCTAGAATATGTTGCGAATGTGTTTTTTGGATCACATACCCTAAATCATAACAGTGGGCAAGTGTGTGACACTTTGGAAAAGTTGGGGCTATTGGATCAAGAAAGTGGGAAACAACATCTTTGAGACATCACGCTGTAGGTTGGGTCAACTCTGAATTTCCATGTATTTTTTAGACTTACCTGGTTACTGAAATGATACTTTGTATGTGGAGTAAAAATAAAATAAAATTTTCCAAATACAGGTGAACCAACAATTGTTCAGTCCAGCTGAAAAGAAATTATTAAAGGATTTAGTATCAACCATGTTATCTTACAATCTATCATATAGACAGGAGAGGAATGAAGATGGACAATATAACTATGTTCTTGAACCGTGAGTGAAAATGAGATACAATATCACAAACTCTATTTTAAAACCTTAAATTTGAGTTGAATAATGACCATAGCAAATGTTTTTTTATTATAGAATTACATTTCTGTGTCCGATATTCTTCATTGACCGTTTTTGCGGGATTTTAATTTGTGATTAAGTTGAATTTAGAAAAAGGAAACAGTCCTAAATTTTTTGGTATTCGTGGCCCTGTTCTTCAATTAAAAAATAGTTTTTCTATTAACTGGTTTCCATCAGTTATTTTTTTTCAGCTGTGTTCAATAATAAAAAAAGCCAGCCACTAGAGCGAAAGAATAAATGCACTACAGTCAAATACTGAAACAAATCACAGTTTGTTTAATTTGATGTAGTCTGTGAAACTTGGTGAAGGTTTTTAATCGAGGCCCACCAGAAGCTCGATGACACGCTCCAGAAATCCTACTTCAATTGATTGTTAGTTCCATCATTTGTGTTAACAAGTTTTTTATTTTTTTTTAATTCTCCAAATTTGGAACAATAATTCACAAAAAAGCTCTAAGTGTACAAAATTTCTCTGATTTCCTAAAATAATATTTATATTTTGCAGGAATGTGGCAGAAATTTGTGAATTTGAAGGATGCCAAGAAAAACGTAAATTACCTTATTCTACTCGACAAATGATCGCAAAAGAAGTTGAAATGGAGAAAATGAGAAGAAGTGAACACATGATGGAAGGATTGACTTTATCACAAACTGAACAGAAATCAGTAAGTCAAATCAATTGGAATGGTGACCGTACATTTGAACCCACGTTGCGTATATCCGCGGGTTCAATTCATATCAGGGTGCTAAAATCCATGGGTTGGGGTTAGTATGGGTTCAAATATCCATATAAAAAAAAATTTCCATAGGTGCAATAGTATGCAAGTGCAATTGTCATGGGTTCAAATTAGGGGTTCAAATGTAATGGAATCAATTGCAATATATGTATGGATTTTGGTATTTCCAGAATGTAATTTTGTTTCACTCTTTGACGATGCCTAGGTCTCAATACTCGATAGGAATACACTCGCCCAGCACTTCTGATTACTCTGCGTGGGTTCGCAGGTTAGAATCCCATGCGAGGATAGTCATGTGCGGGAGGACTGCGCGACTCCTCGCCGCCGTAGGATGGTTCACCGAACCGCTGGTCGTTCACCATCAAGTCCATGCTTTCGAAAACAAATAACTTTCTAACTAATTCCATACCCGACATAAATACCCGACATAAACTGGTATGTAAATCCTATCTTATCCTATGTGTAAATGCTTGAGATTTCGAATGATTAGATTTGATTGGATATATGGTCCAGGCCGTTCGGGACGAAATTTTCGGAAGACCGAAAAAGTTACTAACACCATGTGCAATTTTACATGAATAATTTTGTCCACGTATCAATTCCTCGATTCATTTCGTGATGTGGTTATTTAGGCTGTGAACATCTTCATGTAGTAAGCTGTCTCCGCCGGCTTCTCCAATATTACAAGTATTCCTCGGCATAAATTTATTTATATACATGTCTCGTGCCAGGAGGACGTCAATAATTTTTTTTTCTTGTGTGGAAATGTGCATTTAATGTGCAAAACGCGTTATTATGCGATCATCGGAAACATCGAAAACAATTAATGCAATGAATCCGCAAACCAAAATTTTCGACTGCCAACGGAGGAATACTAAGACTAAAACAACATGAAAATATAAAAATAAAACAAAACCACTATAAATTTTGTTTTTGGAGACCCACTACTGATATGAAAAAAAAATTTCCGCTGGCCTCCTCATTTTTTTTTTATGCATCGTTTTGAATTTTATAAAAATACTGGTAATATTTCACAATTGCAAATTTTGTTTGGTTACTATGTAAATACACATAGCATTTCTCATAGCAATGGCATTTGCAAACTTCCTGAAGCCACGACCAAATTAAAATAAGATTTTTTTGTCTGTTTTCAAATATAAAAAACCTTAAGGCAAAAAGCTAAATTATTAAAAACGGATTGCGGTAATAGATAACCATACAAAACAATACAAACTGCGTCAGCTGTTTACGTTTTCAACCAATAAATCTAAATATTACTTAGAATCCATGTTTGTTGGTTGAACGATATATTGCATCATACTCTGATTCACAGTTTTCACACGCAGATTTAACAATGTATTATGTCCGCGATATATTATTTTAATCATAATATTTATTAGGTATTATTGCCACACCCGGACTTTTCCAATCTGATTTCTTGGTATTCCCTTTATCGTCGACAAGAATAAGTTGGTACCGTAATTGCTCCGCCGCCTAACTTGCCCTAAACTAGCTGACCCAAGATATACAGAATCGTTTTCGAAAATTAGTGATGGTACAATAATATGAGAGTACCGTTTATTGTTTTCAAATTATTCCCACTGCTACTTCACCATAAATATATCAACAATCTCCACTAAATGTCCTCAAATACCCTGATCGGATTTTGCAAAGTTTTTTTTTTTTATTTATGTCCCAAACGTATGATTTCCCAATTCTGTCTTATCGACTTCGTGCAAATCCGCATTGAATTTTGTTTGAAAGTAAAAAAAAGCAAACCCCTTTTACGCGAATTATGAAATCGTTGCGAACTTTTTCTGTCGTCTTCAGCTGAAAACTATCGTTATCTTTATTTCAACGCTGTGAGTAAACGGTACAGTATAGAAAGACCATAATCGGATTTGTCATACCGTTAAAAGTTGTCTGTCAGAAAACGTTTCAATTTTGTAATGTTTTGCTTACATTATACTTTCGTCTCTTTTCCAAGACTGCTTTTTCATGTTTTACCAATGATAAAATATGTAATGTTTTGCTTACATTATACTTTCGTCTCTTTTCCAAGACTGCTTTTTCATGTTTCACCAATGATAAAATATGTATGTATCGCTTTTTTGTATACCGTCATCCTCGGCCAATTATGTTGTAATTTTTATTATCAAAATAAATTGTTGGTCTTAATCAGTCAGAAATTTTGACTCGCGCGTGGGTGGATTTATTTATTTTTGGTTGAAAATGATTGGCGCAAAAATATAGATTTCAGACATTTCGAGGATATTAACAAATATTGGCGCAAAATATAGTTTTCAGACATTTCGAAGATATTGACAAATTTTCATCGAAATTTCGAAATCTGTCCCAAATATACCGCAAAATTTTATTCTCAGCCAGACCTTATATGGGTTTTAGTGCAGAAATGATTTCAGGTGAACTACGCTATACCGTGTTTGAACGGGTATTCTCCTCCATAACAGGCGCTAAGGAGCCACATTTTGTCTATATTTATCTGTATTCTTTCTGTTTAAATGCGTCGAAATTTAGCATGTTTTCAATGGAGTCAGAGTCGAATATTCGAACTCGAATGTTAGTCGAAACTTCCGACTAACACTCAGAAAGCATCAATTTCATTACGCTTTCGTTTTTTTTCGGAATTGGGAGTCCAACTCCAATTTTTCTTGGCCCAGAGTCGGTGTCGGTGATATGAGTATAAAAATTGAAACACTGATATTTGATATTTTCCATATCAATATTTTGGCGATTATGTACCGCGTTTGTGATTTTGTGTGATTTAAACAGATCGAGTATATATAATTTTTAATCAATCGTATTTAAATTTCTTAGTAGTTTATTCATTGCATCGATATAAAGCAATTTGCAAAATTACGCTTTATTCAAACAAGCCCAAGCCAAGAGTGCATACCGAATCCAACACTATAGACTGATAGTCGGATGAGAAGTCGTAGTTCCACATATGATTAAGCCCGAGCATAAAATGTGATTTTAAAATTTTCAGAATTTCATAACCTCTATGCGACCTTGTGCAATACCAAAATGAATGAATTTACTCATAAAACACTTCACACAATACCATATAAATAGACTTAAACTTGACATTTATAGTAATCGTAAGATAGTGTCGACAAAATTCCAATAAGTCTGAAAACAGCGTCACATTTCAACGAATTTTTGAACTTTCAGAATATTATATTTCTCTTAAAGCCACGCGGTTCTTGTTAGTTATACGGAAAATACAAACTTCAGTCGCATACCACAACGGCTTACCGCTTTGAAATTTGGTATTCTGTATCCGATTTGCGTATCCAAGGTGACAAATATCTCATGGAAAAATTTAAACATGATTTTCAAATCCGCTCGATAGAATTACAATAAACCACTTCCTATGAATGCTATTAGATAATTTCAGTAAATTTACACTTGGTAAGCGAGTACTTCTTCATCCCTGTTTAGTGACATCGCTATTAACACTATCCGCGATGACTGTTGAATTATTTGGGTCAATTTAATTGGCAGAATAAGGTTATCAAATAACAACGTTACGCGACCCAATTTTAAACTTTCATAATTCGACGACGGATATTGCGAGATTTTGTATGTTCCACTTACTAAGCGGAAGCTTTGAATGATAATTTGTTAAACTTGCATTATCTCTAATTATTTCCATATCCAAGTAGTCTACTCTCATTTTTACTATCAGAAATTAGGTAAATTTTAGTAACTCTAGAAAATCGAAAAATTACTTTAATTTAACAGTAATAAATCAATTCAATTACTAACAGGACATATCTAATGAAGACAAAACATCTTCCAGCAAGAAGGAAAGTGATAAAGTTCCATCGAAGTCTACCAAGACACCAAATCATTTGCAAAGTTTGGAAAATAGTATTATGAAGGCTTCACTTCCAAAGGAAAAGGTATATGTTTTGTTTACAGTACTAATGGAAGATTATCCCCAAGTTGAAAAATGCTGAAAACATGGGGCTAGTGGTTAAACCGTTATCTATGATGGCATCGCAGGGTACAATCTTCGGTTTAACCCCCCATGCCCACCACCCCACCCACGGTGTGATAAATTGGGTAGATGGAAAAATGCTGAAAACATGGGGCTAGTGGTTAAACCGTTTTCTATGATGGCATTGCAGGGTAAAATCTTCAGTTTAACCCCCATGCACATCACGCCACCCATGGGGTGATAAATTGGGTTGGGTAGGTAATGTCAAACCGGAAAGCTTCCAGTCATTTCAAACAGAGGTGGATCCTTAATAACAGTAGAGGATTGTACGATGTTCAGAGAGAAAGAGGCATAGATACGACTCTGTAACCCTTTCCTATATTGAAAGTTTATTTATCCCACTTCACTCATGCAGGCATATTGGATTGACAATTTGACATAATAACGATCATTGTTTTTAAAAATTTGAATGAATGCATATTTGTCCAACGCAAAACTAATTTCAAAAGTGAACAATGATCTTTCAAGCTGGACGAAAATAACGATCATCCATTCACAAAAAAAAACAGAAATTTTTTATTAACAAATTGACCTAATTTTAAACTATTGTAATTCGAAGGGGAATACCGCGAGATTTAGGATAATCGTCTTACTAAACGGAAACGTTGGAAACTTGGGATCATACTTTGTTTGCGCATGGTTCATGGATAAATCGCGCTTTTAAAGCGCGATTTCACCAGGAACCGTGCGCGAACGAACATATTCCCTTACGACCTATAATGACCAAATAAGGTAAACATCACGTAATCCTAAATCCTCCAATTTTTTACCGGTTTCTCATCGCTGAGACATATAGATATACCTGTCAACCTTGTCAATATTAATTTTGGGGGTTCGGTAACTTCGCCGAAAAAGTAATTTTAGACTAGACACATAATTAGCTCGAATTAAGACTATTTTGGGCAAAATAAACCAGAAATCGACTCGCTAAAATCTTAAAAATAAAATTTCAAATAATTTCTAGAGTGCCCGAAATAGTCGGTGAAAAATTGAATGTGTCCATTGCTTATCGCGGGTATGCATACCAATGTCGAAAAGGCCGGTTATGAAAATTGGTACATAACATCAAGATAACTATTGTCGAGTTTAATCAAAAATCCATCCACTTATTACTGTTAAATTACAGTGATTTTACGAATTTTCCAAGTTACTAAAATTTTCATGATTTTCGTTAGTAAAAATGAGTAGACTACTTAAGTATTTGGACATGGACATATTATAAATTGAAGATTTTAAAATGTTTAAAATTAATAACGATTCGAATCTTTCTAAGCTGTATTGCTGTCTCGTCGGAGTTTGGTATATTTACATTGAAAATGGAGCCGAAGTCTGGAAATCGTCGTCAGTCGGAATTTTAACATAAAACAATTCGAACTGAAATTTTCTATAGAAATTAAAAAAAAAAAACAGTTGACCAACATTCTTTGAAAGGCGCTCCAGAAGTATGTGTACCAGTATGGAGGTAACTAATTTTTTTCGTCTACTTTACATCAAGTTGTGTAGTAAAGGGACGGATGCCTATGGGCAGAGGTATATTCACTTAGCTAACACAGACAGTTCCCAAACTTGTAATAAAACTAAAACATGGAAAATCGGAATAAAATTATGGCCTAACCCTAACCTGGTACACGGGAGTACCCCTTGAAGTCTATAAAATATTTTTTTTTATCAAAATTCTGTCGCGGTCGGAGTCGACATGTTTTCGTAGTTGATGGACTTTCGGCTTTCCTCTCTCGGGCGTAAATATCTCAAAATCGTAAATATATTAAAAAGGATATTCTCTTTGTAATTCCGGGCATTTTCATGACCAGAAACGTGAAGTCGAAAAACACGTCGTTCCATTTCAAGAAGTCATAATAACCATTTACTTACTTAACCCTTGGAGAAAAGGAAAATAAACATGTTATTCATATTCGGTAATTTGTACTTCAAATTACAAATCCCTTACTCAGTACCTAATTAGTTGAAACTTAGTTTTGACCTTCACGTTTTGTTTACTGTCAACAATTTTATTTTCAAAGTATTTATTCATACCAAGCATGTATCATATTTGATTTTAATCGGCCATTGTCGTTTTTTCATTACCACTTCCGTAACCCATCTGTCATCTATAATTATAAAAATGACTAAAATAGGATATGTTGTGTGTTCCCGAATTGGTTACAGCTGTTCTTGGTATTACACATGTTTTTCTGGTTCTTTGCATACTTTTTCTTCTCTTTATATTGATTAAAATGGCTTCCCGATAAAAAAACAATAAAATTAGCAATTCGTATATTTTCATCAATTTGGTGGAAACTGCTTTTTCCTGTAATCTTTTTAGTACAAACATATTTATATCGTTGTTTTCTGCGCTTTTTTTTTATATTTTGCAAATTTTTAAATTGTATAGGTAGTAAGAAACATAATTTTGGTAAAAAAAACGACAATTTCTATTTATCGGGATTTGTAAAATGCGCCACCTTACCCAGGATGTAACGGCTGCCTGTTTGGGTTTTTGTTGGGAGCGAACGATGGGAATTAGAGCAAAAAACGTACTTGAATCTGTACCTACCGTATGTATTTTAATAGTCCTTTACATATTGGTATGTTGAAAATTCCCGGTTCAAGATTTGAAATTTTGCTCTGAATTCAAATCTCAACAAACGATATGTTTTAGTTCAGCTACCGTATATAAACTTAATTTTCCAGTTCGCTTGCTTTTTTCAATACCCATGTTCAGGATATCGGGTATCGTAAACACCCAGAAGCCAATTCGAATCACCATAACATCCGCAGTAACTAAACAAAGAAGTTTTCCGAAGTTTTCTAACTGGACTTTGACTTGAACAAGGGATAATCATTGTCAATAATGTTAATCTTTTCTATGGTCATTCGTTGAAGCGACAATTTCATGTTTATTTTATTTCATGAAGTCTCACAAAGGTGCTTTTGAATCAATTTTTACTTTATAGGAACCGTATTGGCATAAACAAAATGATGTAATGTTTTGTAATGCTGTGTTTTGTCTTTTCGCTCTGAATAAGGCTCCATACAATCCGGTTTAAACTGGAATCTTCCATGTTTGATACGAAGACCCTCATTTGCTTACACCACATGTTAGGTCGTCGGGGGTACCTCAATTGTCACACTGATATATCATAATACGGAAACCAAATTTATTTGTGCTACAAAATAGGTGTAATTTTTTCTGACTATGGATAAATAAATTCGAATATTGCAAAACAAATCCAGTCACCACGAATATTGAACATTTTTCTGCAAATTTAGAATCAAGGAATCTTGTAGTTTTACTGTCCTACTGGCGAATTACGAATGATTTATGGGTAAATGCACCATTGTTTTATCAGTCAAGTAAACGCTTTACTTTGCTAAATTCGCTAAAATATCTTCACATTCGCTATACACTATGTATGACTGGGCTCTTTAAACTGCGGGTCCCAGTTTGTACCCCCGGTGGGTCGCGAAAGGGCTCAATTGGGGTCGGGGCAAAATCGACACTGACTTATGTTGAAACAAAATATCGATCAAATCTGAAAAATTCGGAATCAGTACTGTGACTCGTCATCACCAAAATAGAGTCAAGATTCGATCTTTACTGCGGAATACGCATGCACATCGGTCTCTTCAAGTTTAAAGGTATTGTCAATTTTGTTTTAGTTTCCGAGAGCCGCGAGAAAAAATTTGTCCATGTCAAGTGGGTCGTGATGGAAAAAGTTTGTGAAAAACACTGATGTACAGCATATTTCCAATGAATAACAATATGTTATGCATTTAGAAACTTGTTTAGTTAAAGAGAACAATTGGATTTATATTTTAGTCATTATGGAGTTTCACAAAATATGCAAATCCTTTGTTTCTATGTTTAACGTAAAAGATCTTTTTTAACAATTTACATATGTCAACCGCAGTCTTCCGAAATGCGGTTTTGGTCCTGTTTTACGTCATAAGAAGTGAAGTATTTCATTAAATTTGTTTATATTGTCATCGTACCGAATCCCATATAGCGGAAGCCTGATTGTTTACACTCATAATATATCGAAATGGAAAACCCAAAACGAAAACAACCTAGAACCCACAAGCTCGCACTTTTTTTCTACGTTAATAAGATTACCATAAAAACAATTCTCCTAGGCTCAGAATTTAACGCTGTTTTGGTGAGACCGACGTGTGAATCGAGCTCTAAATGTGCGATTTAAATATACCCCATACGTGGCAGAACGTGATGAAAAAACGTTTTATTAGGAGGTAATTTACTGAAAAAACGCTGCAACGCAATTTTCTAGCTCACGCTTGAGTGCAAAACTGTTTAAAAATAGCGTAAAATATCAGATTTTTATCGTAACTCAAATGTATTGATGATACATTACATTCAAGGGGTTTCGATGACGTCGGTAGCCCGAACGCAATAATGGCAATGACCGCTCAACAACCTAATGATATCATTCACTAGTGTATGTATACTTATATATTGAAGTAACTCAATTAAAATGCACTGCTATTTATCACCAAAAGATTCAACTTCGTCTGGGTGCAAATTTTAAGCTGTTCAACCAGTGTAAACGCATTATCTCTTAATCCCTATTATGGGGTAATTAGGGTTTACAGTAATTCCTGGGAATAAGTTTCTATAATTCGCAAATAACGAACCTCTGGGACGTTCAACGAAACTGATGTGTTTTGCAAGTGCAAAGGTTTCGAAAACAATTAGAATCGACTTCAAAATACGATGAAACTTGTTTTTTGTTTTTGCTGACTATGACGTCATGCTTCTTCGAAGAGACTTTCGTTGTATATTTAGTTCTAGTTTTTCTTTTATTTGCTTAGTTTTGTGCAATGTAACAACATGCCCTCAAGGGATCAGAATCTTTTAATACCCCCAACATATGATTCATTTTCCATAGTGCATTGTAAAATTATTTTGGAATATGTTTTCTTATTGTTGTCAAGCTGCTACACGTTGGTTTTTTATTTATTTATTTGTTTTTTGAGGCATCTTCGCTTCCACCAAGGTTTGGCACACGCGTCATTGATTTGATACTCGAGGAGCTAGTATTTTTTTCGGGACTGGAATCTTTCCGGTTCGTCGTTGTCTACCCATTTTATTACACCCAAGACGATTGCTGTACTTCCCGATTTAGGTTGCTTATAAAGTTAAAAAAAATTATGTTTTTTTTTTTTTCAATTATTCTGTATTTTAGAATTCTAATTTTTGTGTTTAAAAAAAATCACACACTAAATTTTTTTTTATAATATTTCGATTAAAATTTTTCAGTGCTTCAAATGACCATCCATGCCCTGATTATCATTTTAATCAATAATTTTTTTTCATGTTATTATGACTCATTAATTAATATACTGACTATAATCGACTCTTCTTTTTGCAGCCTGTAATGGATTTCTTCAGTCGATTCAAGAAAGTGAAAAAAGTGAGAACTAACGAAGGTTCGATTTTATATTTATTTTTTTGCTTATTTGTAGATGAAAGGCTAACTCTATTTGTCATGTGTGAGCCATAATGCTTACATTTAACGCCTGACCTTCATGCAAAAACCTAGCTAGAATTCGATAAAGACCTAGTGCCCAAATAACTTATTCACTAAAAAGCGGCAATTCGTAGTTTAAGTAAGGAAGCCCAGTATGCCCACGAACTCGCCCGGGCTATCCAATGCTCATATCGACACCTCAAAACCAAACGGTGCTAAGTCCACTTTTCCGAAAAATGACATTTTTCAATTTTTCCTGGACTTAGCTCTACATTTTGGTCTATTTGCCTTACCTCTAGGTGCTCTAGATCTCAAGACAGCTATGGACGTAACCCTGCTTTTTTAAGAGCATTTGAGAACTAAACAGAGCTGTGTCTACTATAGTGACTTAGCTCTGGATACTGCATTGTAAGTTGGGGCTAAGTCCGTTTTTTGGACATAGCTCCTCTCAAAAAAATATATACAAAGCGCTAAGTCCATACCAGCCTCTATAATAACATAATAAAGGGGCCCTAAGTCCAATAAAATTGTTTCTTGTCCAGAAAATTGAGAGCCAAAAAGGGTTAAGTCCAAACCCCTGCCAAAAAAAATTGGGGCGGAGCACAAATTTTTTTATACCATCTAAATATGGCCTTCATTGTAACTTTGGTGGACCATAAAAACTAGACATCCTCGATGTAAGGTATTAGAGAAATAAAAAAAGAAACAAAAAAAAATACGTTTTTTTCTTTTTTCTCAAAACTAGAAAAATGGATTTAGCCCAATTTGGATTTCATGCGTCGATATATTTAACTATGTAGAGTGGAAACACTGTTCTACAATGCTAGATGTAGTCTAATTTGTGTGGCCGTTCGTCCGCGAGAGTCTTCTTAGTCGGGTACTAAATAAAATCCGGGGGAATTTAAGCACTTGATAACTTTTTTGACTAATGTATAGTTAGGACTTTGTTGTAAAAACCCTATGCTACTCTTTCGTCGATGACTACGCAGCGGTTATTCATTACTGCCGTTGAAAGACAATACCACCCACCTTCTTAATACTAATTATGAGCGTGATCGACCTTGTAGCAAACATGGCCATGCCGCACCGAGCTTCGAATGGGCATTCTCTCGTAAATGTAATCCGGACTTGAAAAGTTCCTCAAGATTTCGAAACCGGTTTTAAAGTAATTGTACAGTGTAAATATCATTTGTATAAATACAGTTTCAGCCCTCCTGCGTGGGAGGGGGGGGGGGTCAGGGTTTCTGGACTTCAGCTTTGAAATCCCGTCAAAATCAAATATTTACAAGAGAGCGATGCTCAAATATATGGAAACGAAAGCCAAAACGAAGCTGTAGTTCACACGAAGTTTTAAAATAAATAACAGCCTTCTAGCGAAGAATACAATCTTTTGACTTTAATCACTTAAAATTTTAAAGCAATTGGTCCAGCAGTTAATGAGAAAAGCGATTTTTTCATAACAGCAAGGAGGAAAATACAAGAGGAACAACAACATAATAACAAAACTACCCATATGTATACTTTGTGTCCAATAATGAAAACTTTATTGAATGTATGTCTCCTTTAACAGACTTTTAACAATGTTTGGTCAGCCGATTTTAATTTTTTAGTTTCTGAGGAAACTTTTAACTTCGATTATCAACATTATTGAAAGTCTGAAATTCCAACTCCCGACTACGGGAATTCAAAATTTCGATTCTCGACTCCGCCTCGCGATTTCGGGAGTTTATGATTACGACAGAGTCTCCCACGAAGATATGTACAACAATAAATAATGTTATATTCGACACCTATCGGTATGACATGTGCTCATGTGTATTCCGCGTGATTACAGTTCCGCCGGAAGTTATAGACCGCTTTTCAATTGCTTTTTTGCCTCGTCATCTTTCTTTTTGAATGAGACTTGAGTTATAGAGACTCTGACCATCTTTGCTCGTAGAATTTCTGACAATTTATAGCATGATTTCACACAAAAGATTATTATAACACTGTATATGAGTAAATACTCATTCTTTATATACCATGTTTAGTATATGTTGCAACTTTATAGATACTATTCGTTCATGTGATTCCAGATTTAATTCAACAAGGATGTAATGAAATGAGTCCGTTTCCTACTTCCGCAACGAACTTTGACCCCTTTGGAACGTATTGTAATTGTCCGCTTTTCTCCAACCTCGCATGCACGAAAATTTTTTCTTGTGGTTACACAATCGGGCTATTGAAACAATTAATCCTCTTCCGACTTCCGTATCGAACTTTGAACCTTTACCAAATTTGGTTTTATTTCAGTTTTACTTTGTATATCACAGGTATAACGATAAGGATATTATTATCTTAGGTAAACGGTGATTTTGTCTAAAATACTTCGCGGAATTCGAGGAGTCATCGATGAATATTTGACAGCTTTTATCTCTGAATACTACCTCATTGTATACAATGTTAAAAATTCTGGAAAATAAATGTTTTTTTGTAGTACTTTGTCCCAACAGACCTCAAATTGCGCAAATTGGTTTTGTCAGCGTTTGGTTAACAAACCACCGTATGGCATTCTTAATCTAGATTTTTTTTGCATTTGCCTTGTTTAATTGATATACTGTTGAAAACGCATGGTGTCTGTGAAAATAAAAATCATTTGTAGCGGTTCTGCGACCTCCCTCGTGTTACCCCTGTGCTACGCAATTCTTGTGCACATCGTAATTATTACCGAGGTGATCTGCCGTCTAACTGCGATTAGGGCTATTCCTACACACTTACTCATATAGTCTAGTTAATTTTCTCTATTTTTTTTAACTTTGTTGTTGGCATGTTACAGTGATTCAGGTGTTGTTAGCGGTTGAAATTGTATCCCCTCGACCCCAATACTAAGATGTGGTTGTCACCTTGATGTCATAAACAACGCTCTGATACCTGATACTGATGGTATAATCGTTTCGAAATTTGTCATTTCTTATCTTGTTATATCTGACGTAAAAAATGATTTCATATAATTTATGATTCGTTTCCTTTGTGGAATGCCGATTTTGAGGAAGTTTGTTGTCATGTTAATTTAACAGGTACTCAAATAAAAGTTTGACGGTAAATAGCTTCTGATGTTAGGAAAACCGCATAAAACGTTGACTGGCCGTAAGATTGAACTAAAATTGAAAATACGCGAGTGAACTAAAAATGAAAATATGCAAATCTCATTTTCGAGCGAGAAACACAGTATAGAAACTTACTTTGAAAATTGAATGCACAATTTCGTTTCAGTGTCGCTTTTGAGAGGCTGTTGAAGTGTTTTTGATTGATCATATTATTTGGATACTTGCAGTTTCATTCGCAATGCATATGGCGGCTTATATGAACATCAATCCTACTCATAGAAAAAAATTATCTCCGTTGTATGATCGAAATGTACGTTTGTACATTTTATCGTTTCATTCCCTTCACACAACTTCATGTGTAAAGTAGGCGAACAAAATTAGTTACCCCCATATTGGTACGCACACTTCTAGCGCGCTCTTTTTATTTTAAAAGGGTAAATTATCGCCATCACATTAGTAGTATGTGATTAGGCTGATCAGTCATATATGCTTAACCCCGACCACTCAAAACAACACTACAATGCTGTTCATTGTAAGCCACTTGATTCTACAAACTGATGGTCCGACTGTCAATGATTAATCGCATAGTGTTATTTTCTGTTGACAATCGGGTATTCGTTGTTGTGAATTTTTTTCATATTCTTATTGATTAATCGCATAGTGTTATTTTCTGTTGACAATCGGGTATTCGTTGTTGTGAATTTTTTTCATATTTTCATTGGCATTGTACAACTTCACATCAGAATGAGTGATTTGCACCTTACTTTATGATGTCGATTTGACACAAAAAAAAATTTTTTTTTTTGCAGCATTCCTACTTGTAATACTATGAAATGTTAGTCCATTTGTTGTATTTTTCGAAGCATTAGCTCACCTATTCTTTGATCTCTTCTGTCAAATCGCAATATTTCTCGTTTTTATTTTATCTCACTTGTAAAGCATTCGTCACACTTACAACCTTTATTGGGATTTTCCCTGAGCGATCAACTGGTTGTCAATTGTTAGTGATCTCATTTTCAGGCAAACTTTGTGCCGTGGTTAAGGGATAATTATTAGGCTTTGTAGTTGAGAATGATGTAATTGTTTATTTAGGGACTATCCGTGTTTATTTTTTACAATGGACCACTGAAAATGACTATACCTAGTTTTTCGTCATGAGTCATTGTAATGTAATAATGTATAATTATGTCATGTGAAATATGAATTGAGCTTCCGAATCTAGAAATGTCTTCCACGGCCAACATTTTATGTGTGTTTAAGCCAGATATCTCGATTGACCATCAATTCTTTATTTTGGTCTCAAGTTTATTTTTCCAACCAGTAAAAAAGTTAAGTTTTACACAAAATACGAAGAGAAAAGATAACCACACATTTCAAATGGGTAAGGGAAGCCGCGAGGTACCAAAGCGACACCCAAGGATCTAATATCTAATTGAAAGTTCGAGAAGTATACTCTATAGAAAATTAATTAACTGGTTACATATGCTATCTATAATTTTTCCTCTTATATTGTGAGCTGGAAAATTTGACGAACGTTTACACATCTTAATACAACCGAAAGCACCAATCATGACTTCTCTCTCTGTGATAAATCGAAATCCAACCTGATTACGCACGAGGCATTTTACGGCATTGTTAGTACCAACTCGATGCAACTTTAGTCACGCGTTTGAAATATTTGGACTAAGACGTGTGAATGATTTCATCTCTAGAAAATTACAATCTTTTAAAAAATGGTCCATAATTGAAATATTCCCCATGTTTGCCCGGATTATAGGATTTGTGACTCTTTACTTTGCTATCAATGCGGATAAGTCTTTCCATATTGAATTCTCCATTTTTTAAAATGCCTCAAATATATTGTCCCCTTGAT